AAGTTGTGATAATTCAAATTTTTCAATATTTGCCACTACGCCCCTTTCAAAGGGATATGGGGTCAGGATCCATCTAATGGCATGTATGAACATTCATTATGGGAAACTAGCCAATTAAAAAAAATAATATTTCCTCCAAAATGCTGAACCACCCCGGCCCTTACCATTTCGGCCCGAAAGTTGTGATAACTCAAATTTTTCAATATTTGCCACTACGCCCCTTTCAAAGGGATATGGGGGTCAGGATCCATCTAATGGCATGTATATACATTCATTATGGGAAACTAGCCAATTTAAAATAAAAATATTTTCCTCCAAAATGGTGAACCACCCCGGCCCTTACCATTTCGGCCCGAAAGTTGTGATAACTCAAATTTTTCAATATTTGCCACTACGCTCCTTTCAAAGGGATATGGGGGTCAGGAACCATCTAATGGCATGTATATACATTCATTATGGGGAAACTAGCCAATTTAAAAAAAATAATATTTTCCTCCAAAATGCTGAACCACCCCGGCCCTTACAACTTCGGCCCAAAAGTTGTGATAATTCAAATTTTTACAATATTTGCCACTACGCCCCTTTCAAAGGGATATGGGGGTCAGGATCCATCTAATGGCATGTATGTACATTCATTATGGGGAAACTAGCCAATTTAAAAAAAATAATATTTTCCTCCAAAATGCTGAACCACCCCGGCCCTTACAACTTCGGCCTGAAAAGTTGTGATAATTCAAATTTTTACAATATTTGCCACTAAGCCCCTTTCAAAGGGATATGGGGGTCAGGATCCATCTAATGGCATGTATGTACATTCATTATGGGGAAACTAGCCAATTTAAAAAAAATAATATTTTCCTCCAAAATGCTGAACCACCCCGGCCCTTACAACTTCGGCCCGAAAAGTTGTGATAATTCAAATTTTTACAATATTTGCCACTACGCCCCTTTCAAAGGGATATGGGGTCAGGATCCATCTAATGGCATGTATATACATTCATTATTGGGAAACTAGCCAATTTAAAAAAAAAATATTTTCCTCCAAAATGCTGAACCACCCCGGCCCTTACAACTTCGGCCCGAAAAGTTGTGATAATTCAAATTTTTACAATATTTGCCACTACGCCCCTTTCAAAGGGATATGGGGGTCAGGATCCATCTAATGGCATGTATGTACATTCATTATGGGAAACTAGCCAATTAAAAAAAAAATATATTTTCCTCCAAAATGCTGAACCACCCCGGCCCTTACCATTTCGGCCCGAAAGTTGTGATAACTCAAATTTTTACAATATTTGCCACTACGCCCCTTTCAAAGGGATATTGGGGTCAGGAACCATCTAATGGCATGTATATACATTCATTATGGGGAAACTAGCCAATTTAAAAAAATAATATTTTCCTCCAAAATGGTGAACCACCCCGGCCCTTACCATTTCGGCCCGAAAGTTGTGATAACTCAAATTTTTCAATATTTGCCACTACGCCCCTTTCAAAGGGATATGGGGGTCAGGAACCATCTAATGGCATGTATATACATTCATTATGGGGAAACTAGCCAATTTAAAAAAAATAATATTTTCCTCCAAAATGGTGAACCACCCCGGCCCTTACCATTTCGACCCGAAAGTTGTGATAACTCAAATTTTTCAATATTTGCCACTACGCTCCTTTCAAAGGGATATGGGGGTCAGGAACCATCTAATGGCATGTATATACATTCATTATGGGGAAACTAGCCAATTTAAAAAAAAAATATTTTCCTCCAAAATGCTGAACCACCCCGGCCCTTACCATTTCGGCCCGAAAGTTGTGATAATTCAAATTTTTACAATATTTGCCACTACGCCCCTTTCAAAGGGATATGGGGGTCAGGATCCATCTAATGGCATGTATATACATTCATTATTGGGAAACTAGCCAATTTAAAAAAAATAATATTTTCCTCCAAAATGCTGAACCACCCCGGCCCTTACAACTTCGGCCCGAAAGTTGTGATAATTCAAATTTTTACAATATTTGCCACTACGCCCCTTTCAAAGGGATATGGGGGTCAGGATCCATCTAATGGCATGTATATACATTCATTATGGGGAAACTAGCTAATTTAAAAAAAATAATATTTTCCTCCAAAATGCTGAACCACCCCGGCCCTTACAATTTCGGCCCGAAAGTTGTGATAACTCAAATTTTTCAATATTTGCCACTACGCCCCTTTCAAAGGGATATGGGGGTCAGGAACCATCTAATGGCATGTATATACATTCATTATGGGGAAACTAGCCAATTTAAAAAAAATAATTTTTCCTCCAAAATGGTGAACCACCCCGGCCCTTACCATTTCGGCCCGAAAAGTTGTGATAATTCAAATTTTTACAATATTTGCCACTACGCCCCTTTCAAAGGGATATGGGGGTCAGGATCCATCTAATGGCATGTATACATTCATTATTGGGAAACTAGCCAATTTAAAAAAAATAATATTTTCCTCCAAAATGCTGAACCACCCCGGCCCTTACAACTTCGGCCCGAAAAGTTGTGATAATTCAAATTTTTACAATATTTGCCACTACGCCCCTTTCAAAGGGATATGGGGGTCAGGATTCATCTAATGGCATGTATGTACATTCAATATGGGGAACTAGCCAATTTAAAAAAAAATATTTTCCTCCAAAATGCTAAACCACCCCTGGCCCTTACAATTTCGGCCCGAAAGTTGTGATAACTCAAATTTTTACAATATTTGCCACTACGCCCCTTTCAAAGGGATATTGGGGTCAGGAACCATCTAATGGCATGTATATACATTCATTATGGGGAAACTAGCCAATTTAAAAAAAATAATATTTTCCTCCAAAATGGTGAACCACCCCGGCCCTTACCATTTCGGACCCGAAAGTTGTGATAACTCAAATTTTTCAATATTTGCCACTACGCTCCTTTCAAAGGGATATGGGGGTCAGGAACCATCTAATGGCATGTATATACATTCATTATGGGGAAACTAGCCAATTTAAAAAAAAAATATTTTCCTCCAAAATGCTGAACCACCCCGGCCCTTACAACTTCGGCCCGAAAAGTTGTGATAATTCAAATTTTTACAATATTTGCCACTACGCCCCTTTCAAAGGGATATGGGTGTCAGGATCCATCTAATGGCATGTATGTACATTCATTATGGGGAAACTAGCCAATTTAAAAAAAATAATATTTTCCTCCAAAATGCTGAACCACCCCGGCCCTTACAATTTCGGCCCGAAAGTTGTGATAACTCAAATTTTTCAATATTTGCCACTACGCCCCTTTCAAAGGGATATGGGGGTCAGGAACCATCTAATGGCATGTATATATATTCATTATGGGGAAACTAGCCAATTTAAAAAAAATAATATTTTCCTCCAAAATGCTGAACCACCCCGGCCCTTACAATTTCGGCCCGAAAGTTGTGATAACTCAAATTTTTCAATATTTGCCACTACGCCCCTTTCAAAGGGATATGGGGTCAGGAACCATCTAATGGCATGTATATACATTCATTATGGGGAAACTAGCCAATTTAAAAAAAATAATATTTTCCTCCAAAATGCTGAACCACCCCGGCCCTTACAACTTCGGCCCGAAAGTTGTGATAACTCAAATTTTCAATATTTGCCACTATGCCCCTTTCAAAGGGATATGGGGGTCAGGAACCATCTAATGGCATGTATATACATTATTATTGGGAAACTAGCCAATTAAAAAAAAAAAATATTTTCCTCCAAAATGCTGAACCACCCCGGCCCTTACCATTTCGGCCCGAAAAGTTGTGATAATTCAAATTTTTCAATATTTGCCACTACGCCCCTTTCCAAGGGATATAGGGTTCAGGATCCATCTAATCGCATGTATGTACATTCATTATGGGGAAACTAGCCAATTTAAAAAAAATAATATTTTCCTCCAAAATGCTCTTACCATTTCGGCCCGAAAGTTGTGATAACTCAATTTTTCAATATTTGCCCCTACGCCCCTTTCAAAGGGATATGGGGGTCAGGATCCATCTAATGGCATGTATATAAATTCATTATGGGGAAACTAGCCAATTAAAAAAAAATATATTTTCCTCCAAAATGCTGAACCACCCCGGCCCTTACAATTTTAGACCCGAGAGTTGTGATAATTCAAATTTTTACAATATTTGCCCCTACCCCCCTGTCAAAGGGATATGGGGTCAGGATCCATCTAATGGCATGTATATACATTCATTGTGGGGAAACTAGCCTATTCAAAAAATACAAAATTTTCCTTTAAAATGCTGAACCAGCCCGGCCCTTACAACTTTTGCCCGAAAAGTAGTGATAATTCAAATTTTTACAATATTTGCCACTACGCCCCTTTAAAAGAGATATAGGCGTTAGAATCCATCTAATGGCATGTATGTACATTCATTATGGGGAAACTAGCCCATTCAAAAAATTAAATATTTTCCTCCAAAATGCTGAACCACCCCGGCCCTTACCATTTTGGCCCGAAAGTTGTGAAAATTCAAGTTTTTACAATATTTGCCACTACCCCCCTGTCAAAGGGATATGGGGGTCAGGATCCATCTAATGGCACGTTTATACATAGAAAGCCCCACATAGGGAAAAATGGGGGTAATGATCAACCTCACTACACACAGGGACATTCGTTTTGAGCAAATATTCAAAGATTTAAATATCCATTTTTTTCTCTCAAAAATAATGAACTACCTGTAACCCCTTGACATTTGAGAAACAAAGTGATGATTGTCAAAATGTTAAAATTTTTACCCTAACACCCCTCTCAGTTACAAATGGGGGTCTAAGTGACATATGGGGTTCATGATTAACATCACGACATAAAGGGACATTCATTGTGAGCAGATAAACAAAGATTAAATATTCAATTTTTTATTTTTTTTCTCTCAAAAAAGACCATCTTGGTCAAAAAGTGATAATTTTCAAACGCCCCTGAGGGGCTAAAAGGGGGTCATGACATACCTTATGACATTCATTGTGAGCGAATAAAACAAAATTAAATTTTCATTTAATTCGCAAGTAAGTAAGTAAATCACGTGTAAGATCTTTATCATCAGGTACACATGGAAGGTAAGCAAATCGCTATCCCTCAGGTATCAAATTTTCACATTTTTGTGAAATTCTTGACCAATTTCAAAGTGCCTGCATGTGAAGAAGAAAAAAAAGAGTCCACTAGCAAACTATAAAACCAGTGTGCAAGGTTTGTCGGGTTCGGGAAGGGGCGATTACGAACGCATTTGAAGTTTTGTTTACATCACTCTTCATGCAGGGGTGTGGGTGCCAAGTAAGGCCAGGTGATATCAATATCACATTTCATATTATCACCTAGTTCATGACCATGGAGTAAAAGGTATTAACGTGCAATTTCAGAATTTCTTCTTAATGTTCCGCTAATTGGAATAATAAGAATTCATGAACTTTTGCCATTTCTCTTGGTGTGTCTTATGTATAAAATTGCTATTATTTTTCAAAACAAATTTCTGCTACAAATGAGTTAAGACAGCAAATTGAAATATAACTCACAAGTCAGATGTCGAAACAGTAAGTGCAAGTTCGGGGCTGATGAAGGTTTCCCAATCTCGGTATGCAGTGCCTAAAACTTACTGCTGCATATAAATCACTATAGATGCCTGTGTATAACTTGTATTAACTTTCACCTTCTAATAGTGCATACCTATAATCCCCCTACCACTCTGCACACATGTGACTCTCTCAAGATATCTAAGAATAATTTGCCCCATTCTTAACTAAAACTCTGACTACACCCAATCTTTCTCTCCACAGCACGAAAGAAAACACCTGTCCAAAGAACTTGAGTTATTTGCCTTGATAGATTGGCAACAAAGTCATTCACTTTGTGGGCCTACCAAATTCCTTGTCTATTCAGCTAAAGGTTTAGAATGAAAAGCATGCAGTTACATGGTGACATGCATGCATATCCTAATGACATACCTTTGATGTCTACCCAAGAAGGCGAATAAACTTGTTAATGGCAGAAAAAAGCAGCTTCAAAATGTTAACATCTTTCTGTTGATAACTAGTAAATACCTATAAAATGTATCTTACCTTTTCTTTCCTTGTATATCAGGCAGTTTCTTTCTTGCTGCATTTATGATTCTCTGCCTTCCTTCAATCTCTCCATCGTGCTCCCTTCTCACGAGCAGCAGCGCCTCTTTCTGGGCCTGGAGATGGTGTTCTGTTTGTTTAACCTATGAATGATGAAACACAAAACCTGTACCAGTACATCATTTATTTCTCGCTTAAAACCCCACTGTCCTACTTGTAGCTACTTACGGTACTCCCTCTATACAGAAAACTTCCCCAATCGGTGCCTGTTGGTCCCCCATGATCCTCTATTTCTTATGTTATTTGAGAGCTGAGTTGATGAGATAGCCACCTGTCAGCGACCTCACTGTGTGGTCTAATCCCTCCTAGCCACACTAGTGTTGATAAGCTTTAAAGCATCTACCTAATTATCCAAACCAAATCACTAACCATTAAAGTCTGTCTGCACTAGTTTGGCCAGGAGGAATTAGACCTCCCTGCATGATCACTGACAGGTGGTTATCTCATCAAATCAGCTCTCACTTAACATAAGTAAAAGGAAATCATGGAGAACCAACGGGTACCACTTAAGCATCACAATGATTGTGATCATAATCTTACATCATTATCATCATCACCATCAATTCAATCATTATCCCTATAATCCCCCTCATCATCAACATCATCATCTTTAGACATTGTCTTCATAATCATTTCATAATTCAAGATCACCAGCATTATCGTTATTACCACCAGAATATTCATAATGCTCACCATCACCACCACCAACACCACCACTACCACTTTCATCATCATTATCATCACCACCATACCATCACCACCACCACCACCACCACCACCACCACCACCACCACCACCATCATCATCATCATCATCATCATCATCATCATCATCATCACCACCACCACCACCACCACCACCACCACCAACGTGTGTTATAGAATTAACACGGGTTTCAATGGGATAGTCAAGAAGTTTTATGACGGTTTCTAGGAACCCGCCCCAGGATACTAGTTAAACATCATCTCAGCTCAGCTCCCAAATGTGATTGACTATTGTCCCACATATTTCAATTCATGTGTTCCAAATTTGACGCTAGACAGCTATAGATCTAGTCATTAAAAATCTTTATTTTGCGTGAAATCATGAAATTGAAAGAAATTCCGTATTCTCACCATGTGTAATTCCTCTGCCGCTAATTCTTTACGTCGCTGAATTTCCTTTATATATTTAGAAACGTCAGGAACGTTGGTTAAATCTTTGGCATCCGATTGCATGATTAGTGATTACTGACACGCGCTTGTGCGGATACTCCACTCCAGCACCTGCATAGGCCCTGGGTAGCTTACTTGCAGCGCATGGCCTGGCTAGAGAGCGGCTGCTAGCGTGCGGAGCTGCGGATCTGCTTGCTGCATATATGTACTGTCCGTCGTCTGCTAGTTCACGCGATCGCGAGTGCGAGCAACTGCAACTGTACTGTACGTACCATGGAATATGCTGGGTGAATGTTAAGCATTCGACGCTATTTTCTCTAAGAAGTAATCTATTGATAATGCTAAGATGAATAAATTAGCATTTGTGAATCATTTTAGAAATGGTTTAATTCGTTCGTTTGGTCGAAAAAGTGTCCACATCTTAGAATACCAGTGCCATGGCCATGTCCGTGAACCTTTTCTGCAACGTTTTACTATCTACGCTTCAGGAGGCGACTCGAGCATCGCAGCAGTGTGGTGTCGGCGGTACTCAACTTCATGGATTGCACCCATTTCAGTGCACAGCAGCTATAGCTACACTTTTAGAACTGTCTCGTCTAGATTCACTACGTGTGATTTTGTATCTCATATTCAACAAAACAGGCCTATTTATGAGTCCTCACCAAAACATTTCTCGACTATTTGCTTTCCATGTCACACCCATCAACACCTCAAACTCGATGAACGGAAATTCTTTCCAGTAATATCAGCAAACTTTTGCGTTCATCGTTGGAATTCCAGTTCCAGACCCCCCTCGAATCCTGCCACAAGTTCATCATCAAGTCAACCAGCGGATGAGGACCAAAACCACAGTTCTGTTCTTCAAAACTTGGAGAAGTTGGAAAACTCATTTAGGTTTCATGGGTACTCTACCATTCGCATCGGAGTTGGAGTTTTTATTGCCACAGGTAACTACACAAAATAGCAACTGCATGCTCTCAAGAAAGAAAGCTATCAGTCATCTCTGTACACTTCATTAGAAAAAAATGCATATGACCAATGCAAAACCAAAAAACTCTATTTTGATATTAATAATAGGATTAGGAAGAATGAATTATAAGATTGATTAATGATCAGAAATATATGTATTTTTAGAATTTGTTTTTAATCCGATGGCAATGTATTCAAATTATAATTTTTCTTCCTCGTGCATGCAGCTTTGATGGTTTACCTATTACGGGACCCAATCAGAGAAAATGTTGCTGTAGAAGTCTCACAGGTAGCCTCACGATCTCTGGAACATGAACAAGTGGCCGTCAAGGCTGAGGAGTTTGCAAAGTCTCTCCTTCAGACGCTCCTTCACGATGAAAACATGCATCGACTTGCTGCACAATTCATCAAGCAGGTTTGTTTATTGTAGATTTTCAAGATCACTTTATCTAATGAGTTTTAATTGCCTGAAAGAGAGATATTGGTGTAACATTCAGTGTTTAGATCTAATTGGGAATGATATGGTGTGCTGTAAAGTATCATCCACAAATAAGAATTAAAATAGTGATTGTGCAAAAAGGACAGCTATGTTTTGATGATGACTATTTTGAACATGTACATGTACAGCACACTCTTTTATCTCTTTACAGGGAACAAAATCATTGTAAACCCAAATCTTGAAATGTGCAAATAGAATTACCTCCTTACCACTCCTCATTTCATCTTTACATGCATGCACAATGCCAGGTATTGAACAGTCCAGAGACCAGAAAAGCTGCCACAGACTACTTCTCCAGCATCCTGGAAGACCCCCAGAACAGGCAGCTCCTGGCCTCCACCATCAAACAGGTCCTGCTCCTGGCCATCCATGACCCGGACACCACGGCGGCGCTCAAGGCAGCGGTGGTGCTCATCCTGTCTGATCCAGAGTCTCAGGAGGCAGCGAGAGGTCTCATCACCGCTGTCTTCAAGCACGAGGATCTCAAGGCAGCAGCGGCTCTCTTCTTTGCCGATGTGCTTATGTCACAGGTTGTCATCACACAGGCAACCAAACTTGGTAAAACATTTTCAGATATTTCGTGAGCATTTTGGGAAAAGCTGTCTCCCACTCCCCCCCCCCCCCCCTTTTCAATTAGATTAGGAACAAATCACTGTATGATGGGCTATGTTTACATCTTATGAAGATGGATATCCCATAAGAACAATAAAGGCATTTAGCTAAGGACTTTTTGTGAGCATTTTTCATCTCAATGAGATGAAGTCATCAGTCTTGGTATAATATGGACTAAGGTCAAATGTCAAAGGTCTCAGAGGTGTATGTCCAACATGAAATTGATTACCTATTTTTGGTATCGTGAACAAGTCTTTGTTCACAGGCTGTCTTTGCACCTTGGAAACCAGACTTCATAGGAAATGTAGAGATTCCACATGGTGTTATATGCAGGAGATAAATTTGTCATATTCCTTTTTTTAATGAAATTAGGATTCACTTGATGATGAACCATGTTTACATCTAATGAAGATGATAATATGAGTTCTTAATTAGGAACAGACAGGAGAGTAATGAAATAGTGAAGACTTGGGTTCAGATCAGTATGCGATTTCTCTATAATTGTGTTTAGTAATCTGGATGTCTACATGAATGTTAAATCTATTGTTCTAAATTGTAACAAGATATTGGATTACGTTAAGTTATATATATTGAAGAGATAGAGATTAATAGGTTTCTCTCTAATATTCATATGTTAGGATATATCTCTTCACTATTCATGAATCTGTTTCAAAAATGTGAAATGAATAAGAGACTGTTAATACATATGTACAATTTAATTCTTCCATCTGTAGTTCTATTAAAAAAAATATGAGGGAAATATATGACAGGGCTTTGCTAAAAGGTATAAATCAGTTTTGGAACCCCCCCCCCCCCTCAAAAATTGAAATGGAAGCTCTTATTACCAATCATGTGAAAGATTATGTTTTGACTAATACGTGATGATACCAATTTTGCCGGAAAACCACCTACTAATTGATATATTTGGTAAATTATCATATCTATCCGGCCTGGATAGATATCACAGTCTCATATACATCTTTCTGTGTACAGTGCTTGTAACTTTACCAAGACTGGGTCAAATTTCTTATCATTTTGATGATTCCAGAACCTTGCAGTACACACCAATACTTATATGCTAGATGATCAACCTTTTCTGATCGATTCCACAACGTTTCATTCACAATGCAATCGCATGACCAGAACTGGTCTATACCTTTAAATTCATTTCAGCTTATGATTTTATTCTTGTTTTTCAAATTCAATTATTATCAGTATTTTTTTTTTTTTTTTAACTTCAGGGAAAGATGTGACCCTCAATATTATCACAGACCCTGATCTGAAAGAGGAGACAGGAAAGTCCTTTTGGGAGGCTGTCAAGTACTCAATAACCCCACGTTGGTTCTCAGGAGCCCCTTCAGAATCTTCATCTTCTCCATCTCCGTCCGAAGCACCCTCTGATTCCTCCAAGATGCCTCCATCACCTCCACCGTCGCTCTCAACATCACAGGAGCCTTCACCTCCATCATCTTTATCACAGTCCTCACCACAACCACCATCGTCTTCTTCTTCATCACCACCACCATCATCACCACCGTCATCATCATCACCATCACCACCACCATCATCTTCTTCATCACCATCATCGTCACTACCATCACCAATATCATCACTACCCTCGCCATCACCACCACCACCACCAACAACATCGCCACCATCATCATCATCACTACCATCGCCATCACTACCACCACCACCACCATCACTATCATCACTATCATCATCACCACCACAACCACCACCACCACCATCATCGCCAACCTCATCTGTGCTACCAGAGGTGATGACAGCTCCATCTGCCCTGACTGAAGAGGAAGTATTTGCAGAAGAAGAATTACTTGATGCTGACTCAAATATCCTTATCTAGAAATAGCTTTGCAGAATTCAATTCTTGCAAATGGGCCCTTTTTACGCATTGCAGCATGTGCTTTCAGCATTTTCGCTGACACGGTGACTTCTGGTTTTATATGTCTCAGTACAGTTGCAAGTGATGTTCATTTCAGATTTTGGCATAAAGATTCAGTTTTGCACAATGTTTGATGAAAGATGGTATTTCAAATATAAAAGCTCCAAAATTGATTTGACATTGACAATTTATGAGTTCAATTTATAATGTACCAAAGATTGTGTGCTGGTGGCCATCAAATTTTGGATAATCATGAATTACTGCATTGTGAAGACTTTTAGGCAGTTTTAATATTGAAACTTCTTCTTGTTCACTGGAAAAGGGAAGTCCTAAGCTCTCATTACTGTGTATAACAATATATGATTGTACAACTATAATAGCCCCAAGTTATTGTAAATTAGAAAAGCAGCCGTAGTTACGCATTAATGTGAATATCTTTCTGTAGGGATATGCAAAATTGAAAAGTGAAAGTGTTTTAGATGGCCAGGTTCCCTTAAAACTGTCAATATTGTTTCATGTTATTTTTTTGGCAATTATTGTGCTGAATATTTATGTTATTTTAAACCAATATTTCAAGCAATGCAAGAGTAGTGCGTGCAATTTATCAAGTTAATGAGTTGTTGAATTAAATGAAGAAAATCTAATTAAAAGTTGAAACATGTGTTCCTTTTTCTATCAAGTTTCGAAGTGTTACGGCGTTGCAAAATTAAGGTTATTGGATACAGAGACAGGTCGGTATGTACAAATAATATGCACACAATGCAAAATAAAGACATCTCAGAACATATGGAGTATTAATTCAAGCAATATAGTATATTGTTTGAGATTACAACAAAGACAACATTTGTATAAAAAAAGGTTCAGTGAAGGAACTGTGAAAACGTTGACTTCATACTATTGGCTATACAAGACATAACGTGAGAGGACTAAGAATACAGACAAGTGTTATTGAAGACAAAACAAAAATGGGTTTAAAAAAAATCATATTCACAGAATAATTACTATCTTACATGGATGATTGAGCACTGTTGATGCGGTAGACTTCAAAAAAAATTGTGGCCTCATGCTAGTATTTAGAGCCAGAACTTTTTGATGCTAGGCAAATCTTCCATAACTCAACATAATGGTAGGAACATCCTTTGTTCAGGTTTCAGACAAATTAAAACTTAATGGCAGACGAAAATCCATGTATGGATTGCAGAAACATTAAAACAACATTCAACTAATCATTTACAAAAGAATCTCTACATACAAACCCAAAGGGGGAAAGTATAAACTTATGAAGAAAGTCTTGGTTGTGTAACAATATCAATGCAACAGTGTTCTATAAGCCTAAGGCATACCTGTGATAATTAAATCGCCTCGTAATCCTTACTTTTCCCTCAATAAAGGCAATTATTTAACTTAATTGGCCAAGAGATCCTCATAATGTGCCTCGACAGCAAGCAAGATCTACAACTAAATGTGTTCAATATACAGAGGCATGATCTGTTGCGACCAAATGCACCCAGCAAGGTATTCCCCAAAACTGTTTACTACGTCACTGTTCCATTCAGAGTGTCACTTAGTTAATTTGTTAAGAAATCTCAAAATTGAAAAGTTAAACATGCAAAATTACAAACTGTTGTTCATATTGCATTCGTTTCATTTTCATTGAACCTACTAAAGAGACGCATTTAGAATGCATTGTTGAAATTACATTGGAAATTCAAATTTAAACAAGCATAATCACAATATGGGAGATGTTCCAATACATAAGCATTCTGACTAAATTATACACCTCATGATCATTTACATTGGCAGAGTTACTTTAAATTCACACAATCATGATTTACAACCTTAAATTTTGTTTAAATGGCAGGACATTTGAATAAAAAAACAAATCAATTAAAAAACATTTACCTAAGTATATACAAACATTTTTTTTAAAGATCAAATCAAATGCATGATTTTAAAATGTGAAAGTTTTATGTTCACATATCTGACCTAATCATGTACCAGAGAGTCTGAAATGCACTTGAAGGACTTATTACTGAAATTATGAAACATGATTTATCTACACATAAAAAGGGTTGCCAGCTAATAGGCATGTTCATCGCAGAATTCACAATGGTTTTGTTCTGTAGAGCGATAAGAGTTGTGTCAATGACTAATTGTGCTTGGGTAGAAGAGTTGCATTTCATTTTCAATACTTATAAAGTAACCATCTAGCTGACTATTTCACATGTGGTTCATATTCCAGGTTTTTTTTTCTTCAAAATGGGAGGTAAAATAGTACAGTTTAGTACAACACCAGTAGAGTTGAACATCAAAATGAAAATTTTCTCTTCACGCCGACTCGTTGCAATGATATGGAATAATGTTAAGCCTGAAACATGTACATAGTCCACTCAGAAAATTGTTCCAAGAAAAATATAACTATGTACAACCTTTTCTTCTTTCTTTAAAAAAAAAATTGACCTCCCAAAATCTGCAGTCTTCATTCTGATTTTAATGCAATTCTTCTTCCTCTAAACATGTACAAAAAGTGGATGATTCATTGGCAAAACTCAATAATCTACAACAAAACTCACTGCCTGGCTAAAAACAATACAAATTACTAAAAATTCATGCAAAGCTTATTTACATACATTATAAATCCAAATGCGAGACTCCTAAAGGCATTGAAAAATTGACCATTACATTAATTATGCCGCCTAATTTTAAAATTTCAATAAAATCCTATTGCAAAAACACTACTGCAAAAGTACTACAGCACCATACACTAAAACGCAAGCTATAAATAAGGTCACAACAAGTGAACAATGGCAATTGACTTGGGTAGTTACTTGCCCATGTCCTTGCCCACAGTAAATCTACAAGTTGAAAGCTGAAACAGATTTTTCTTCTTTTTCTTTTCTGTACCTAATACTGGAATCTACAAATTTACTCTAATAAACTTTCACATTACTGGCAAAATGTTGAAAGTTGATATATTGAACAAACCATAATTACACTGTACACGCAGTAAAAGTTACCACTGTTCCATACCTTCTACAGATCTACACGTGTCTTATTGTTTCAGATTGAGTCCTACATTTTCATTTCTTTAGAACTCTTGTCTATTTTGTTCATACTTTTGTAAAAGAAACAGAATGCGATCATTTATTTGATTCCTGTGCTGCTTCCATGTTTATTCTTTCATGTGCCTACTGATCTCCCAGCCTGGTGATTGATCAACAAAATACAATGAGATTTTTTTTTTTTTAACTCGAGGTTCCAAAAGTCCTAGCTCTGGTTTATTTCATATTTGTTCTCACCAAATAGCAGCTTGGTGTCGTCTTACAAATCTAAATATTTCAATTAATGCACATGATTCCATGTATGTTACCAAAAATATTTGTTAATACTTGTATTTCTTGAACAACCTACATTCCCTTCGTGTATGAACATGTTCCCAATTTCTACTGCAGACACAAATCAAGTCAGCTGTTTAAGGATCCTTCATTGCTACTCATCAGAAAAAACTACATTCAAAAGTATTATTTCACAAGTTTGAATACAGGCCCAGTTCAACTATGGGATCAGTTCCCCAAATCGACCTGAAGTAAAACATCCTTCGGTTGAGTAGATACAGTTCCATTGTAGCTTGGTCTAAGCCTTTATCTGGACCAGATATCGAAGACAGACCTGGTTCTCCTTGTAGACCACAAACTCGTTTAGACCCCACCCAGGGGACTTAGGGACGCGTTTTGGGGTCCCCAGAGGAAAAACGGCACCTAGGAATCAAGGTAACAATGAAATACACAAATTAAATTTATAAAAAAATATAAAATTCTACTCTCATGTGGTTTTTTGCTACTGGGATTTTTTTTCTTCATGTCAAGCGTTGGTGGTGTTGGGGGGGGGGGGGGGGGGGGGGGGGTACAGGACAATATTACTAGATTACTGGCATTTTTACCTATATTATTCTTGACAACTATGTATACTATCATGACATTTTTCGGTAAAAACATTGAACACAATAAAGCTACTCATGCAAACTCAATCACTCTCTTACATGCATACAACACTTCTTTTGAATCTTTTTCATTGTGGAAGTAGCAAACAAGAACTACCACATGTAAAATATCATGAAACTATATTAAATATCATGAAACCTTTCAGTAAAAAGATCATACACCAAAAAGCTACTTGTGCAAACACTCACTGTATTATGTGCATACAAAACTTTTTTTAAATATTTTTCATTGTGGTAGTAGCAAACAAGAACTCTGATTCAAAAGAATGTTAAAATCTTATTGGAAACATGCTTTGTGGCAATGTTGAGTGACACAAAATTGATATTCCTTCTCTTCTCCTACCTGTAGGAAGAAGAAGGTCTTGAGTCGCGTCTGGTTCTTCATTCCCAGCACTCTTGTAACTGTTAAATCCCTTCTTCAACGCAACCGTCTCCTCCTTCTGCATGTTACCCAGTGCAACCTGTAAACCACAGAGAGAGAGAGAGAGTGGGATAGAGAGAGAAGGAGTGAGAGAGAGAGAAAGAGAGAGTGTGGGATAGAGAGAGTGAGAGAGTGAGAGAAAAAAAAGGAGAGAGAGGGATAGAAAGAGAGAGAGAGGTTAAGTTTTCTCACATGTGATTTTGACTGTACTTTATATATACATATTTATGAGATTTGAATTAGAGTGGATTGATGGCCCATCAAAACAGAAATTCTCAGAAGAACTGTTCTAAGGACCATTTAACTTTCATTTTTAGAAACAACTGTAGGAGATACAAAATATATACACATTTTCAGCTTTCAGCCTTTGTCAAGTAATGACAATTTGAAAATTGACAGCACAGCAGTTGCTAAAACAGTGCAAAAAAAAACAAAGAGGAAGAGTCTGTTAGAAAAGATAACAAAAACTTTCTTTACCATACGTAAAATTTTAAATTGAATTCATTTGGCAATGTCAGTTATATTGCTATATGAAAGAGTGAGTGAACATTTGGTTCGAATCTGCAAGTATATGTTCCATTACTACCTGACATAAAGATGAACGTTCTACTAGAAACTAGATGGACCTTCTACCGCGCGCAGTAGAAAATGATGCCTCCGACATGGAGCAATTTTACAAACCAAAACAGAAGTGAGCTATTTTTGCATACTTAATGAGCCCTGTGACCTTTGACCTTGGATCTCGTGACCCCAAAATCTAATCAGTTCATTGGCTTTGCAAGATACATACATGACTCAAGTTTGGCGGGAATCCATCCATGGGTTCTTGAGATAACACGATTACGATCTATGTTTGCATACATTATGAGTCCTGTGACCTTTGACCTTGGGTCTTGCGACTCCAAAATCTACTCAGTTAATTGGCTCTGCAAGATACATACATGACCCAAGTTTGGGGGGAACCCATCCATGGGTTCTTGAGATAACGCAATCATGAGCTATTTTTGCATACATAATGAGCCCTGTGACCGTTGACCTTGGATCTCGTGACCCCAAAATCAAATCAGTTCATTGGCTCTGCAAGATACATACATGACCCAATTTTGGCGGGAATCCATCAATGGGTTCTTGAGATAACGCGAACACGAGAACGGGACATATGTACATACGGACGGACGGACAATCCGAAAACATAATGCCTCCGGCTACTTGTAGCAGAGGCATAAAAAGACAAACTTACCTCATCGACAAAGAGGAAATGACTTTTGAAGTCTTCACCATAGCCGTCACCATAATCATAATCAGCATAATCATAACTCTTGGTAAACATGTCAGCATGGTATATACCCTGAGAAGATAAGAAGAGAATGGATTCATACTCCACAGTCCAGATTAATACACACACGCACACACACATTCCACAGTCAGTACGCCGCTGCACGAAAACCGCCTGTGTTTATCGTAGTCGTATGCAAGCCCAGTGTTCAATATGAATACATAATGAGCACACAAGCTTGGGAACACAGACTTGTTTTTACCTAAGTATACAAAATGATGTCTTGTTAATCATTTTGCATTAATGACATGTCAAACTGAAGAGGAAAAAAAATGCTCTTTCATTAATCTGAATTAAAAATAAACTGGATTCATTACCTTATGAAATATTTTTCATCAAGTACAAGCTTACCTTTTCCCTATTTTCATCTAGTTTATGATGAAAGTGAATGCATACAAAAACGTATAAAACAATAAGGAAACTCATCACTCTTTATATTTTTGGAGAATTTAGACATCATTCTTTGTATGGTGTGAAGATCAGGTTATTTGGTGATTTGAACGATTTCCGATCACCTACGTAACAACCAATTGAAGGTGAACGAACTTATGACTTCAAGGTCCTGTTTTCTAGGCAAGAATAATGGCGTTATTTCAACATTTTAACCCCATTTCATGTAATTGTATTGGTATTTATCAATTAAAAAGATTGACCATGGACAGTGATATGTTTGAATTTGGAAATTTAGTGTTCGTTTCAAGAAATTACAAGTTGAAGAATAGTATGCGCCCACCAAAATCTATATGTGGGACAACACTATATGATCAGGTATGCACTACGCTGAAGCCCGCCCAAAGCTCTATCAAGGAGGAACCTTCACGTATTTTAGACCAGTGAAAACATGATTTTTATGTGAAGTTTGGAAACAGAGTTCACTAATTTCCTTTCGGGGAACCTCAAATTAGACAACTGATTCGGCAATTTCAGACATTGCTGAACACATATTGATATCAAAATATATTTTTCTTTTTTCGGGTCAGGATCACAGAAACAAAATTTAGGTGCAAAACTAGGAATGAAAACTTTTCAAAATGAGACTTCATTGCATTGTGCTGTAAAAACAAAAAAAATTGGAAATATATTGACATTTCAAATCGTTTGAAAGGGAATTTTCTAGTGATCAAATTACCCAAACATGGCTGCTCAAAAAAAGCGCGAGAAAATGAAATACATCATCCCTTGCAATATTCTCGCACGATATCCTAACTTCTCATCTGTGGATATTATTCCTCGAGCTGTTTGAGACGCACGATAACGCACTCTGGATATGCTTATTAGCGAGCATGCAGCCGTCCGACTGTTCATTCTACATTGCAAGTAGTGCAAGCACTTTGCACATTTCCAAATGGATTTAACCCAAAGTACAGTGTATAAAAAATGCTCTTTAAAAGGTTAAAGGAGAGGATAGATGAGGTTTAAAAGAGGTTACATGAGAGGGGAGTGTGAGAGAAAGAGAGTGAAATACAAGAGAGAAAGTGAGATACAGGGAGAGGATAAAGAGCTGGAAGAATCATGGAAGAGATAGCCATGGAAAGAAAGAGAGATGGATTCAAAAGGATGGGTAAAATTCACATAAAGTGATTTATTTAAAAAGAGCAATAAGGAAGAGGAGAGACGAGCAATAAGGGGAGAAGTAAGAGTGAGTGAGAGAGAAAGAGAGAGACAAACAGATAAACACAGAGAGGGGAGAGGATCAAATACATATAGTGAGATGGAAAAAGAGGCGGAGACAAGGAGAGACTCAAGTACAGATACAAGACACTGCAAATCTAAGTTGCTTACATTTCCATATCGCTGGCCTGTTATAGGTACTCCGATAGGTGTCACCAGCAAGCCTCGCCTGAGAATACTGAGGATGTTGAAGGGCTTAGTCCCATGCCATAGCAATTTATGGTTGTCAAGCTTACATGATGCTAGGGCATCTTCGTCCCCTTTCCTCCTCACTCTGTAGATCCTCTGCACATTCACATCATGATATTCCTCTGAAATAGCACAACACATTTTAAGTAAGCAAGTAAACTTCTCGTCCTTTTAAACACCCATTTTTTATATCAGAATTCTTCCTATTCTTTCTCCAGTCTTTCCTATCTTTTGACAACATGTGAACGAAAATCAGACACACCAGTACAGAATCGCTTGACCTTTCGTGACCTTGAGTCTGAAAATTGAAATTTTGCGATGTTTTGTTTTGTGTGTATGTGTGTGTGTGTGTGTGTGTATAATATGGAAACAAACAATAACATACACATAAAATATAGTAGAAATGAAGCTGATTTCAAAGATAGTTCTCTATTATATCATACTAATAATGGAACAAGTTGTACTGATCAGGAAATATTAATATTATACATACAGGCTAATGTTACTACCCAACCCTCCGATATTAAGTCTTGATGAAAATTTAATTTCAGAAGTTTTGCATAACTGGACTGGATCTCTTCAGTGATTTTTAACGTCATATTCCGAAAGGAGCTTTAATCGAATAGACTTTTATGAACAAGTAAAACAAGATCTTCAAGATGAGAACCACTCACTTGTCTTGTGAATCTGCTGTAGAATAAGCTGGGCCATGACATCATCCTCGGCCAGAGGCTCGATCTCACAGTCCAAGCAGCGATAGATGTAGTCCAATGGGTTCACATCTGTAACAATTAAGGCAACATGATTTCACTTAAATGGATAAGAAAAATATGCAGACAATGACAATTACTTGAGCTGAATCTTGGCCTTGAATTTTTACTTTCTATACATTGGATAACACAATACCCTGGAAAGAAAGACAGACAGACACAAGTAAGAGATATAACCAGTCAACCTCAATATATATGTCTCCTTAACACCCACATGGCACAGACGTATATCAATTCAGCTGATAAAAACTAGTTTTATCATGGGGTCATGAATTTGGTTCAAATGAACATATTGGAAGCATATGCAATCCTACAATATTCAGTGATCGTTGTCGAGGTTAAAATCAAGTCTAAAGTTATGAAATTGTAAATAATAAACTCTTTATGTTGTATATAGCTCCCTCTCAAGGTCAAGATATTAATTAAGCTATAAAACAACATTTCTTGATTAAAATTGACAGATTAGCTATTTCTGTTTAGAAATTATATATTAAAACTACATAATATTCTGAGATTTTCATGGTCGCAGCTACCATTGTCCAGTCGTAGGCGCTATTTAAATTTATCAAAATTAATCTCAAATACATATATATATATATATATATATATATATATAATATAAACATACACAATGCACATCAATAGTCAAACAGATTATATCAAATGAAGAAACATTAACGAGAAATATGAATCTTTAAAATGGAGTACATTTTTTACAAGAATACATCCAATGCATCCTGTATCAATTCTTTTAGTCTTCAAATGACCTTTGGCAGCAATAAACTGACCTGAGACCCTATGCTGTGCACCGAGCATGAAGTTGCCGGTCAGCTCCAAGTCTGCCATATCAGCTAGATTCTGCATCAAGGTTTGTACAGTGTCTGCATCATTGATAGGCTCCATGCCCTGGTGGGTGAAGGAGTCGTTGGGTACCAGCATGTAGAAGTCGGAACTCAATGAAGCCATCTGAAAATTAGACGAAACAAAAAGATGTAGATGATAGTAGAACCCATGGCCATCGATACAAGATCGCTAAGAAGCAAGTCTACTCAAAGCTTAGACATGGCTCCTTTTTTCAGAGATGTACCAATGAATGGAACAATATCTCCTCTGTAGTTGTGAAGAGCACATCAATTAATAGCTTTAAATCCAATTTTTCAACATTTTGGTCCTCAGGAAAAGATCAAATTGACCCAGAAGAGTCATTTGTTTGTCAATGTTCCTCAACTGCTGTACAGCACCACTAAACACATGTCCCAATATGGATTCTTCATCTTAATGTCAAACAGAGGCAAATAATTTTTTAACATTAAATATCCAAGGTAAATATATATATATATATATAGAGAGAGAGAGAGAGAGAGAGAGAGAGAGAGAGAGAGAGAGAGAGAGATAGAAAGGAGCTGACAATAATTTGAGAGGCAGATAGAAGAAGTGACATTTCCTTCCTCTCTCGAACCATCAATCTTTACAGGTAAATAGGCCAACAATCAAATTTTCAATTCATCAAATCAAGATTTGCATAGATTTATTTATTACTACTTGACCGATTCCACTCAAACATTCACAAAACAAATCCTCAAATTGTTCTGCTTGCAAACAACTCGACTTGTTTCACAAATTGAATTGCCCTTCAATGATAACTTGATCATATTTACCTTGTCATATATTTCAATCTTTTGATTAACAGCTGCAGTCTTCTCTAACTTCTTGATGAGTTCCCTAGAGATATGAACAAGAACAGACAAGAGCAAAAATTAAAGAGATAACATATAGGACAAGATTTCATCATGATTGCCAAAACATTTAATCTCCCTCCCCTTTCTCAAAAAAAAATATCTGAAAGCTCAGCTTTTACATTCATTAAATTGAATTTCCTTATCAATCTTAATTTTATGGCAATTTTTCCTTTTGCTATTTCAAGTACAAGTATATGGAATACCATGTAATTCTAATTACAGATTAAAATGTTGTAATTCTAATTACAGATTAAAATGTTGTAATTCTAATTACAGATTAAAATGTTGTAATTCTAATTACAGATTAAAATGTTGTAATTCTAATTACAGATTAAAATGTTGTGCATTTGATTTTCATGTTTTCAGTCATGGAGTTTAGAAAAGGGAGAGATTTCATATCATACATTTTCATATATTTTGTATTAATCTATTATGTATGCATTAATAAGATTTAAATTAAAATACAACTAGTCCCACTCACTGAATTGCTTGTAGTTTTTTAGATGCTTGGTCTAAGACATCCCTTTGTAAGTGGCCAAAGGGAAGGAATTTCTCTGATGCTCCGCAGTCCTTCATTGCATGTTTCAACATGCCTGGTGAAGTCTACAACACAAGAATGAAAGTACAAGGCATTAATGTTCATATCTGGTATCTGAGCTTTGCATTTCAGTATACATATTTTGCCTACTCTCTCAATGACAGCAGGGGGGCGTTTCACAAAGCCTTTTTTCAATGACAAATGACAAAAATCAGTGACAAATCTGCTGATAACCAATCAGAAGCAAGGATTTCAGTAGCTTATAACAAAACCTGTCATCTGTCACTGATGACAAGTTTTGTGAAATGCCCACCATGTGGTAGTCTGCCACGTACTCCTCCTTCAAGACAAAACCTTGGATTTTTCTAAGGATGCTGTGTAAAATGGCCTGACAAATATTCATGATATATTGTCCTATCTCACACACATGCAGTGCAAATTGGGAACACATACAAATACACAAACGTGTAAACAGAAAATGGTAATGTGCAAAACAAGCATTAATAGTAATAATAATAATTTAAGATTTGTATAGGGCACATATCTGCCTATAATGGCACTCAAGGTGCACAAAAAGATTCACTACTAACATTTCAAATACAAACAATAAACAAATTAAAGTTAACAAACTAATAATAAACCGTATAACAGATTATAATTGCTCAGATCAGATACTTGGGGGTGAATTGATATTACATCTCCTAAAGATATTCAAATTAGATTTTGGGTGATTGGTTCCTGTAAAAACCCCTCCACATAGAAAGCAGACTGTACTCACGAGTGTTTGAAGTAACTGCTGTGTCCCTGGGTGCAGTTTGGATGGTTTCTCTGACTTGAGGTTAAACTCTACATTCTTCACGGTTCTCCTATCAAAGTAGGGGTCTGTTCTGACCAGGTTGTACTTCCCAGGATGCTTGGAGAACCTGCGCACAAAGACAAAGATCTCTTGAATTATTACCACTTAGAATCATATGAAATGTAAAACAAGATACAGATTCACCATCTGTAGCACCCATGCTTATATCGAGTCTTAATTACTACCACTTTGTTACTGTAAATGGGAGTATTTCTTGTAGTGATTTTAATGCATTGCATCATTCTGACTCCAGAAATCTTTTTTTCTTCTCAGTTTACCAGAACTCTTTTCAAATTTCAAGAGCTCAATCACTCTCTGCTCCTACAAGTGTCCTATCTATGTATTTTTTGACTGCATACTACCAAACAGTCTTCAAAAGTATAGTAGTTCAGGTAATTACTGTGTCAAGTACTGTCAAAAGAATGTTGGAAATGGGAATTGTTTGAGGATCTGTGAGAGATTTGAAAAGGAATCTATGGGTAACCTCAAGATAAATTATTGAAGCCTTTTTTCCCAGTTCCAGTGCACCTATTCCAATCATTCCAGGTTCTTATCAATTGCTATCCATGACATCCGCCATCTCAATTACAAGTACCTGTGATTCTGAAACAAAATCCTGGATTTAGCTCATACTGCAATCATATTTTTTTTAGGGCTTCAATATTACACCATGTCACAGACACTGATAACACATAGGGCCATGCATCTCAGATTTAACATTTTTAAACGATGCCTTTAAAGACCAAACAGATACTCACTCTTTGACCTGGGACCATGCATTGCCACTCTTCGCCTTGAAGATCTTGCAGAACTCTGTCACGGCATCCTCTTTGGTGCCGAAGGGGGTTCGTTGGAACTGGCCCGAGTCCCCGATACGCCCCCATCTCGTCAGCAATATGTACATGTCTTTCCCTTTGGCAAAGATAACCTAGAAAAAGAAATATGGTTGATTCAGCAGTTTGTTTAATTAAATCATACAATACAGGCAATCACAGCAAATTACTTAAAGCTGCAACAATTTTGGTAAATACTGCTAGCACCACAATCCCAAATCTATCTTTCAAAGGTGCATGAAAAGGGATGCATACATTTAGAAAACTGTTACAGTGGATACACATCATGATAATCCACTCCAACTACACTACCCGTCTTTATGACCATCATAAGAACACCAACACAAGTCAAATGCACCTCTGATATCTTTGAGAAATACGGCCTTGATCATCATACACGAATATCATCAACCCTATCGGTACCAAAGATAGATACAGGAAGTAGGAAGTTAACTTTACTTTGAATTGGCATTTACAAGAGGGCGAGTAGGAGACAAACGAACCTGCATCTTGTAGAAGTTATTCATGCCGTACTGGCCGTATCGAATATCAGTTTTGGTCATCAATAGATCATATGGAATGTCTTGTTCTGTATCCATCAACACCTCACTGTAAAGAAGGAGAAAAAGCATGATTGTTATGATCATTAAATTATTATTTTATTCACCATTAAGTTAGATACTGCTTGTAAGTGTCGGCTTGCATTGTGATGTAGATATACAGTAGGCTTGCGGGTGCACCATGTGTGAGAGAGAGAGAGAGGATTGAGGAGTCCTGAAAAGGACTCTGACTCTGTAATCTTTCTTGGGGTGTGTAGTCCTGAAAAAAATAACAAACAGTCCTTTTCAGGACTACACACCCCCAAGAAAGATTACCGAGTCAGAGTCCTTTTCAGGACTCCTCAATCCTCTCTCTCTCTCTCTCTCTCTCTCTCTCTCTCACATGGTGCACCCGCAAGCCTACTGTATAAGTTAGATACATTTTAGCTTTTTCAGAAGGGATAAATATACAAAGTTTTTCATTTACTAAGTCACCAGAATATTCCAACCACACTGATTACCCAAGTTGTGCACATTAACATTACTATAATAAAGGCATCAAAAACATTCACTAGGAGGTCAAAGACATCACTGAACGAGAGAGGTATAATGTGCTAGTATAATGTATACTGGATTCTTGTACGTGCTCCATCATGTACCTGCAAACAGCAAGGGATTCCAGTACTACTGACATCGGCTACACTACCATTTCAGTGCTTATACTATTTCCAGGGGACCCCGTCCTACCAGGTACCATTTTACAATGTTCTGAATCAAGAGAGACAATGCACTTTGTCAGTATACAAATAGTGAATGGTCATGAGGGCAATGGTACAAGATTTTGCACGAGGTGAAAGATAAGAGACGCTATATTCAATGAGGCGCAGCCGAGTTGAATGGAGTGTCTCATCTTTCACCGAATGCAAAATATTGTTCCATTGCACGAATAAAGACCATTCACTATTTGTTTTATACAACACCTCGGACGTTAACGGGCTTAAAACAGTTTTCCTAGGCCTAAATCTCAGCGATTTTTGTTTGTTTTCAATTTATGAAGCAAACCATGCGCGTACCATGCGCCGCGCGTACAAACCTTTATGTTTATTGTTACGCGGAGTGCAATTTCGTTTGATCCTTTCGCACCATTGCACTCTGACGTCACTTAGCTCACCATATACTTTGTACATCGTTAGTGACGTCAGAGTGCAATGGTGCGAAAGCATCAAACGAAATTGCACTCCGCGTCAATGATGCCGTTCAATGGTACTTTTAGCGCATGTCATGTGATCAAGAATTGACGATCAAGAATTGACCAATGAGGTTGCAAGAATCTTAGTAGGCATTGTATAAAAAGGGAATATTGTATCCAAGGATTCAAGCGTTATACATGTATGTCTTGGATTGGAAAGCAGTTGCTCTGGTGATGATGCTCCAAGGTCAATCTCCTGCACTAACCACATTGCTGGCTTTAACCCTGGACCCGACACTTCACCTGACCCTAACTATAAGTCTAAATCCAACATAAAACACATTTCCAATCTTAACTCTAACCCTGTATTACTAACAAAATAAAGCCTGGAGCAATCGTCGGTAAAACAAATGTTGGATCCGTAGAAATCATCACGAGAATATATTCTTACCTCTCTACCACTTCACCTCGCATAAAATAAATCTTTTCATAAAGTTATCATGATGATCTTTTACCACAGTAAATACTAAATACAACTTACCAAGACATCTAACCATTCTACCATTCTTATGTCCTTAAGCAAGCATCTTATCTACATTGCTTCTCTCCACCCGGGTGTTAAATGGATACCCATTAGGATTCAAAATAATGCAGTAGAAAGTTCCTCAGGGAGTGGTGAATGTGCATAGAATGTATGCGGGCAAGCCTGAATCTGATGACCAGGGTAATAATATACATGCCAAGCGCTTAGAGATATCATTAATGTATTAAATGCTATATAAACCCAGAATATAATTAGGTGGTCTGTTATCAACAGACCACCTATTGTTTTCGTCAGAATTTTCTTTCTTTATTTATTATTATTATTATTATTTATTTTTATTTATTTCTCCCCCCTTTTTTGTTCAGAGGATAACTCAAGATCAGTTTAGTCAAAGTCGTTCAATTTCGGCACAGTCATAGGTCATTGTCATAAGACGTGACAGGAACATTTTCAAGGTCATCAAATCATCGTGACGTCATCCAGGCGCCATTTTGTGAAATCCCATTATCCATCATATCTTCATGATGCATAAGCAAAGGTCATTCATATTCATATCACATATACTTCAGGTCAAGGGTCAACAAGTCATTTCATCAAAGGTCACATAAAGGTCATGACGCGCACGTACGCGCGCGTCAAAATTTTAAAATGCTCAAAATCACTTAACTATTAAAGAAGAGTACGAATCAAGTCATTTTAAGCATTTCAAAATATTCCGTCCGTACGTGTCTCCGCGCGCGTTGCGCGGAAAAGGTCAAATTCAAATTTTTTACATGATTTAGATTCCTCTTACTGTAAATGACAATTTACATTAATTTCAGTCACCCTTGACCTTTCATAAGGCCGTGAGCGCGCGTCAAAGTTCAAAATCCGCGCGTACTGCTATGGGCAATATAATGCAAATTTGATCAAAAACATGCCATTTTAAAAATCGAAATAGCTCTTCAGATAGTCCATCGACCTCCAATTTTTATATCGTGGTTGGAGAAAGCATGAGTTGGAGATATGATTTCATACCACCCTGACTCGTACAAAGTGAAACAAAGTCATCATATTGGCATCTAAACTCAAACAAATGTATTTTGTTGATGACGTCATTTTTGTCTTTGTTTAATTGATATTATCTCACTTATCGATGATCGATTTTCTCCCAGATTTGGATATGTTGTAGCTGAGATAATTCTCTATTAAAATTATGCCATTTATTTTTCATTTGGATGACGTCATCATAGTTTAATATTCGATTAAAGGCGACAATGCATAATTTGTCATATGTGCGTGTTATGTCTATGGGAGGTCACTTTTTTCAAAACATGAATCTGCATGACAATGTGTTTTGACCAGTATCTCGGTTGTTATTCAACAGTTTTCTCCCAAATTTGAGTATGTTGTCGCTGACACTATATGTTATCTAAATCACCCCTCATTTTTCCGATAAGATGTCAGAATCACGCTCATGTTCATTATCATAATGATGATAATCATCCTCATCATAATCACTACTATCAAGATCATCATCATAATCATCATTGTTTACATGTCTATATAACTTCTCCCTTTTTCAATATAGTAAATATTATAATCTATTATAAGACTTGAAGACAGACCACCTTATTCGTCTTCGTGACGAATTAAATTTCTAGTTATTATTATTATTATTATCAAATTACATACCCGGCTTCCTTGACCTGACTATCTTCGTCAACCTTTGGTTTGGGGTACTTTGGCAGGTCCTCTAGGTTCTTCTCATTCTCCTCTTTGACTTTGGTGAGCAGTGCCTTGGCATCGTCCCTGAAGTAGACGGGCTCCCGTGCCCAGTTATAGCCGTCTGTCCAAGTACTCTTCTTCAAGGTAGGAGTTTGCTGTATAGAAAATGCAGTATTATTTTTTAATATCGGTATTAAAACTTTGAGAAACAATGATTGAAACTATTGCCCCAAGGTAATGTTGGAAGTATGGCATGATGAGATGAAGTCAAGGAGCTAATACAGCATCAAGATCAATTAGAGCTATAATTTCAACCATGACCTGAAGCAAGCAATCAGGATTTATTCTACATACCACATACAGTCTGTGAATCTTGAACAGGGCAATGTTGGTAAAAGTATGCCAGTCAAAATGCATTTTGTTGTACAAATATTCCTTTTCCAATCAAAGAGTTTGCACAGTGCATGTGTCTTAGCCGTGTATTTAATGCTATCTTCGCACACATTTCAACTGAAAAAGAGTGAAACAGAGAGGTGTACGGGCCTGTGAATTGGCATCCCTTGCAATACACTGAGTACATAACATGAGCATACCATCTGAGGTTTCTTGATGCCCTGCAAACTCTGTAACAGCTCTGCCATGATGTATGAGCCCGCTTCCAAAGCATAGTCCAGTGGGGACTTCCCTTCGCTGTCCTTGGTATCAAGGGGAACCCCCAACTCATGGAACAGCTTCAGCATGGCCTCGTTCTGGTAAGTGCCATAGTCACAAGTACGCATCATGTGATGGATGACAGTGCGCCCTCTAGAGTCCTTTGCTGACAGGTCGACATTACTGGTCTTGTTGAATGGCTCCACCTCTGATATGGAAAAGACGAGAATGGATGATTGTTTAAAAACATGATTTAAAACACATTTGAAACATATTGTTAAAGGTTGTTTTAAATACTGAGTATTGAGGGCTCACTTCACAACATATATTCAGCATTAAATTGAAAATTTAAGTTTGGTTTGTGTTTATTTTGAGTGTGATCGCCAGATTAACTCTGTATGGAGAAACAGTGTGCTCCTGTGTTACATTAATTAAGCAGCTGTCTCCAACCATGCAAATGGCTCAATCATCCTTACTTGCTGGTTCATCTTTCTTTGCTTTGTCATCTTTTGTGACTTCTCCATTCTCCTGGCTTCCATCATGATCCATGTCCTCCTCCTCCTCATCATCATCCTCTCCATCACCGTTCTCATCCATGTCTGCATCTTCATCCATGTCTGCATCTTCATCCTCATCTTCGTTCTCCTCATCATCTTCGTTCTCCTCATCATCCTCATCCTCGTCCCCATCCTCGTCCTCCATATCGCTGTCATCTCCATTGGTGAGAGCATTACCTCCAGCTGGGGTTAAAGGTCAAAGATGAGGTTAAGTACTGGTCACGCAATTGCATCAAGAAAGACACCATCTAAAAGCTATTCTGATCGATTGATCTTATATCAAATAGGCATCATTGGTTGCTGTGAGGTATAGGCCCCATCTTAGAAAGAGTTGATAATAATTGCAACTTATTTGCGAACGATATCAGTCACAAATATTTAAATAAGAGATGCCAGACTGCAAACTTGCGATTGTTGGGAGGACTTGCAATTAATTTGGATCAATCGCAACTCTTCAAAAGAAATGTTAAACTAGATGGAATTTTGACTGCGTGCAGTCGAAAATGATGCCTCCGCCATAGAGCAATTTAAACAAGTTTGGAGTTTAAATCTCCAGTGGTTCTTGAGATATCATGATAACAATCTCAATGTATGGAATTTCATAAGTTGACCTCTGTGACCCTTGACCTTTGACCTACGTGCTCCAAAATCTAATCAGATTGTCTTCCTATGGTGATACACACTATCATTAAGTTTGAAGTTTAAATCTCCAGTGGTTCTTGAGATATTATGATATGGTGATACATACTATCATTAAGTTTGAAGTGAAAATTCTCCAGTGGTTCTTGAGATATCGCGATAACGATCTCAATGTATGGAATTTCATAAGTTGACCTCTGTGACCCTTGACCTTTGACCTACGTGCTCCAAAATCTAATCAGATTGTCTTCCTATGGTGATGCACACTATCATTAAGTTTGAAGTTTAAATCTCCAGTGGTTCTTGAGATATTATGATAACAATCTCAATGTATGGAATTTCATAAGTTGACCTCTGTGACCCTTGACCTTTGACCTACGTGCTCCAAAATCTAATCAGATCGTCTTCCTATGGTGATACATACTATCCTTAAGTTTGAAGTTTTTACATCTCCAGTGGTTCTTGAGATATCATGATAACAATCTCAATGTATGGAATTTCATAAGTTGACCTCTATGACCCTTGACCTTTGACCTACGTGCTCCAAAATGTAATAAGATTGTTTTCCTATAGTGATACACACTATCACTAAGTTTGAAGTTTAAATCTCCAGTGGTTCTTGAGATATCATGATAACAATCTCAATGTATGGAATTTCATAAGTTGACCTCTGTGACCCTTGACCTTTGACATACGTGCTCCAAAATCTAATCAGATCGTCTTCCTATGGTGATACATACTATCCTTAAGTTTGAAGTTTAAATCTCAAATGGTTCTTGAGATATCGCGCTAACAAACTCAATACAAGGAATTTCATAAGTTGACCTCTGTGACCTGTGACCTTTGACCTACGTACTCCAAAATCTAATCAGATTGTCTTCCTATGGTGATGCACACTATCATTAAGTTTGAAGTTTAAATCTCCAGTGGTTCTTGAGATATTATGATAACAATCTCAATGTATGGAATTTCATAAGTTGACCTCTGTGACCCTTGACCTTTGACCTACGTGCTCCAAAATCTAATCAGATCGTCTTCCTATGGTGATACATACTATCCTTAAGTTTGAAGTTTTTACATCTCCAGTGGTTCTTGAGATATCATGATAACAATCTCAATGTATGGAATTTCATAAGTTGACCTCTATGACCCTTGACCTTTGACCTACGTGCTCCAAAATGTAATAAGACTGTTTTCCTATAGTGATACACACTATCACTAAGTTTGAAGTTTAAATCTCCAGTGGTTCTTGAGATATCATGATAACAATCTCAATGTATGGAATTTCATAAGTTGACCTCTGTGACCCTTGACCTTTGACATACGTGCTCCAAAATCTAATCAGATCGTCTTCCTATGGTGATACATACTATCCTTAAGTTTGAAGTTTAAATCTCAAATGGTTCTTGAGATATCGCGCTAACAAACTCAATACAAGGAATTTCATAAGTTGACCTCTGTGACCTGTGACCTTTGACCTACGTACTCCAAAATCTAATCAGATTGTCTTCCTATGGTGATGCACACTATCATTAAGTTTGAAGTTTAAATCTCCAGTGGTTCTTGAGATATTATGATAACAATCTCAATGTATGGAATTTCATAAGTTGACCTCTGTGACCCTTGACCTTTGACCTACGTGCTCCAAAATCTAATCAGATCTCCTTCCTATGGTGATACATACTATCCTTAAGTTTGAAGTTTTTACATCTCCAGTGGTTCTTGAGATATCATGATAACAATCTCAATGTATGGAATTTCATAAGTTGACCTCTATGACCCTTGACCTTTGACCTACGTGCTCCAAAATGTAATAAGATTGTTTTCCTATAGTGATACACACTATCACTAAGTTTGAAGTTTAAATCTCCAGTGGTTCTTGAGATATCATGATAACAATCTCAATGTATGGAATTTCATAAGTTGACCTATGTGACCCTTGACCTTTGACATACGTGCTCCAAAATCTAATCAGATCGTCTTCCTATGGTGATACATACTATCCTTAAGTTTGAAGTTTAAATCTCAAATGGTTCTTGAGATATCGCGCTAACAAACTCAATACAAGGAATTTCATAAGTTGACCTCTGTGACCTGTGACCTTTGACCTACGTACTCCAAAATCTAATCAGATCGTCTTCCTATGGTGATAAATACTATTCCCGAGTCTTAAGTTTAAATCTTAAATGGTTCTTGAGATATTGCGATAACGGTCAAACGGGACGTACGGACGGACGGACGTACGGACGGACGGACGGACGGACAACCCGAAAACATGATGCCTCCGGCACCACCTTTGGTGGCGGAGGCATAAAAATGACTGAAAATGACACACAATGGAAAGCACTGGACACTGATGTGGGTAAAAAGGCCCATATGAACATGTGGCATCAAAATTTTGTCCAAGGTCTAAAAACAAGTGTCTAGCCATATCTGAAATACGAGAGACACTTGTTACTGTGCTGTTCTTTCACTTGGGAAAAAAATGAGAGAGCTCACAAATAAGTAATGAACATTGATATCGGACCTTGCCCGCTTACAACACAACTTATAAATGAGACAATAATTTGATGAAAAAATAAACTGAGTACAGAGAAATTTGAATGCTTACATTTCCACTGCTTGACCCCGAAGGAACCAAGTGACTTAAAGCCAGTACCTGCGGTAGTCTTCTTAGCCGATGGGCCCGAGGTGTTATCAGTGGCAGGGTTATAGTCATAGTTCAGAAGAAGCTTCACAAGTTTGATTTTGTTCTGAAAGCAATGGAATAAATAAAATACAACAAATTGGTCAGAATGACAAATCGTCATGGAAACATGCATGAAGATGATCTATGTGTAGATGGGATTCTGAATAGATGAGGTGGAATGATGGCTCGATGATAGACCACTGTTTCATGACTTGAAAGCCCCCTATTCAAAACAAAGTTGATGTGCGACATGGATTGCCCTCGGTTGAGGTATTAATCCTCATTTCTATGTCCCTAGGATTCAAAGCACATGTGAGTGCTTATATTTGCTTTCTTTACATTCCGGGGGTGTTTCACAACGATCCTAAGTCTAACTTTACCCTAAGATGGACTTAAAACTTATGGAGAGCCATTTGTAGCCTTAACATAAATATATTCAAAAGCGAAAATTGAAATATTTTAGACTCTTTATACATTCCACGTCAAGAACATGAAATCTCCTTGATAATAGAAAATATGAATGATTTGAATCAACATTTTATGCCTTTTAAAATAAATTCTACAAAATATTTTCATGGACGTTAACAGCTTAATTGTTAAATCCAACTTAGAGATAAGTTCAACTTATCATTAATTGATCAATCAGATAAAAAAAAAAAAATTGCAAAAAGGTTGCACTAAACTTACCCTCCTGACAGCACACATGAGAGGTGTGAGCGTGTCCTTTCCAGGGAAGTTAAGGTCTGCTCCTTTGGTGAGCAGGAACTTCACCTGAACAAAGTCTCCCACTCTCAGAGCAGCCAGGAGAGGGGTGAGGTGGCCCACAGGGTGGTCGTCACGGTGATGGAACCACTCCTCTAGCTTGTCGGCATCGATGCTTTCCGCCCCCGCCCCCTCAAGCTCCCACAGGGGAACGGGGAAGGAAACGTTGAGGGAGGCCCCAATCTCCACTAGCCAGCTGTACACGGGAAGAATATAGTGTAAAAGCCACAGTTAATGCAGGCAGATAATTACTATAGTTGCGGTGATTGAGGTGTGGTTTTTCGTAACCAGGGCATCGTTTTACGATAAGTACAAGTTCAGTAACATCTCATTGAAACACGTGTTAAGTTAAATATTCTCCTTTTACTGGTATGTTGGCAAACTTGTACTTGTATCATGAACCACTGACATGAAGAACCTCTGTTCAATACCAAGTCAATGTGACACTGTGCCAGTGCCTGTTGGTAAGGCATTTTACAGACCTGCCAACCTCTGGAGTTCAAAAACTGTATTCTTTAGTGCCAAAAGTTGTATTTTACTGACAAAAGTTGTATTCTTGAAAATAAACACGGATTGTTATGCGGATCAATGCCTCTTAGCAGTTTCTACCTACAAGAATATTTTTTTTTATTGATCATTGGTTGAATATGCATTATTTCGTCACGACAGGTGTGTTTGATGAACCAATAAACATCCCCAAATTGCCGATGTGAGATGCTTGTAGGATACTTTACAGGACAGAATGGACATTTTGCCATTGAAAATGGCGGACGCACACACAAAATATTAATAGAAAAAAAAAAAAAAAAAAAAAAAAAAAAAAAAAAAAAAAAAAAATCATTTTTTTTTTTTTTGAAAATCGTATTTTATTAAGGAAAATTGTACTGTCGTATTTGCTTCTAAAAATCGTACTAAATACGACTAGATCGTACTGGTTGGCAGGTCTGATTTTATCAACCACTTATGGAATCACCTTCTGATACGATTTGAAAGCCTTAGGTCAACTACTTGCTTATCTATAGAAGATACTTGCTATCACAGTAGGGAGATAAAATAAACCATCAGTCCCAGTTTTATAGAACAAATCATTCTTACTCTAATAATCTTCAAATATGCAGAATCAAGTCTTAGAATATTTCTTGAAGCATTCATAAGAATAACCACTTCTCCATTTTGTCTTGGCGAACCTAGTAATAACGTCTCTAAGCACTTGAACAGATATTCCTAACCGAATGGTCTGGATTCATTTCTGCAGACAATGTGCATCATCTCTCCTCCCTGGAGAGTACTCCAACGACATGAGGGCACAAGGTAATAACATTATACAATAATAAGGCTTCATACATAAAACCAGGTCCCCATTCTATCCAGGATACCTATCTATGTTATCGCTGCGGAATTACTATTCCCTAACTCACCCGACTAGATCTGTGTCAAACTTATCACGCCTCCAGAAAGCTGTAGCTAGCAGGCTTCGGCCCTTCACATCAGTACTGGTCAGCGCCTGTTTGCTGTCTTGTGGCTTCATATGATCTACAAAACAAACATTGAAAGAAAAAAAAATATTCATAATTTAGCAGTTGTACTTCTACAAAAGTTTTTGCTGGTTTCTCAATGGCTTGCGATCACACAATTGGTCTACAAAAAAAATGGCAAGATTCAATTGGTATGCATCAAAGAAAGTTGCTGTTCTTGGAATAAAATATTTATTCTAAAGAAACTTACCCCACAAGAGCTTTGCAACCCCAAGGTTTTCGGAAAGGACGGCATATGTTAGAGGTGTGCATTTGAACTGGTCGTAGCTTAGACTTACTCCCTTTGAAAGGAGCTTCTCTGCAACCTGGTGTAAAGACGAATATGAATAAATTTCTGGGATTATATGACAAGATAAGGCATAGAATTGATTATAAATGAAATCATAAAGAGGGAGTTCTATTTGCAAATTAGCATATTATGTACAATCAGATTTTACATTAGTGTGAAAATATGTTTGAAATTTGTCATCAAAAAGCTGATGTCAATCTGCACTGATCATATTGTTAATATTCCTAAAGCTAATCTTCAACCTCTAGCAACAAGCCAGTTCACAGATACAATCTGCGCATGGGCAGATGAAGGTCATTTGTACCAAAATGGTAAACCCCACAGAGATGAATACTGGATATGCGCTCATGAAAGTTATGTAACATCATTCATTTATGCACCAACAGTACATTATATGATACGCAGGTGGAAGTATTCTTTTCAAGAGGTCAAACAAAAGATATTCATGAAGCACATCTAGGACTTTGGCAGTTATTATTTTAAGATGCTCAAAGTGGAACTTCTCCATGTGTAAAAGATCTGTGGATATTTGGGGTCATTTGTACCATGTGCTATCTGTAAACTCCCTTATAAGACTGAATTTCAAAAGAAAGTGCTTGTAATTAATTTTAAAGTTTTATTGTACAGTTAAATTGATGAAAATATATGGAGAAAAATTGCACAAACAAATACATATGTGGAAAACTGGGCGTAATTTAGGTAACTAATTGACTCAAATTCTTCAACTTGCTTTGCTTATTAATCAGGAAATTAGCATTCCCTATCCACGAAAGGACGAAACCAAAAGAATACCTCTCTCACTCTCTTTCTTTCTCTATCCCCTTTCAAATCCAAACTTTGGAGGACTACCAATCTGGTGAACACACCAACATGCCAACACTAACCATCAAAGATCAACTACCTTTCCATCATTACCCGAATTTCCGACCTTATCTCTTACCTTGGTACAAAGCTTATCCGTACGCTGCATGGCCAGGATGTGGAGGAGGTTCTGTTGCTTAGCAGCCAAACCATCGACTTTGTGTCCCCTAGACTTGGAGATCAGGTTCAGTGCCATCTGAAACCTGTGCTCCTCAATTGCTGCCTAAAATCAAAGAAAAACAGAAAGCATAAGCTTAATTTGCCTTAATTAATACGATGACTTGCAGTTTTCATTCAAATACTACAATGATCTGGGCACTGTCTTACAAACAACTGCGGTAAAATCAAATCAATAGAAACTCGAAACTAATTTCAACTCTGTACTAAAGAGACATGAGTTTGTAGGTTTAAAAATGATTGCGGGACTTACGAGCGATCCGGACCAATCGCAGATCTTTGTAAGACAGGACCATGGAGCCTGTCTTGCAAAAGGTTCATATCAACAGCAATATCACAATGTCTTACATATAGGTACAGTATGATGATTGATATCAATTGGAATCAATAAAAGTGCCCTGAATGGTTCCCCACTTCTTTTAACTGATTGTGTTCAACATCATAAATGCACGGTACATTTTTGTTTATATATAACAAACAATCACTGGAGATCTAACCTAGAGGTAATCAACTGAATATGAAAGTGTAAAACTCATGATGTAAACAGGGAAGGTCAGACCGACCTCGCAATGATTAGGAGGAATGGGTGTAATAATAATAATAATACTACAGCATTTGTAATGCGCCATCGATCTAGTAAACTATTCTGAGGCTCAGAGGGAGATTATTACCCTGGCTTTAGCACGGCTGCCATTACGGCGCTGTAGCATTTCAAGGAATTAATTCCTGCCAGGTACCCATTTACATCACCCGGGTTGAGTGTGGCAAATGTAGATCAATGTCTTGTACAGACATGGAGGAGTGTTGGCCTACCTTGATAGGTGTGATGTAAGGGACCTTGAACTTCTCCAGTCTGCCCATGAGCAGGAAGAGAATCCCCTGCCATCCATTCTTCACCACCCTCCTGAAGAGGGTCTCTGCGATGGTTGGCATCTCCTTCTTGCCCTTCCTCTTATCTTGGAGTGGCTTCCACACCCAGAAGTGCTCCTTCTTCTTCTCCTCCTCTTCCTCCTTCTTCTTCCTGGCCTTCTCCACCTCTTCGTCTTTGTGGGGCTCTAGGGGGGTCACGGTGGCTGAGATGTTGGCTCCTTGTTGCAGGAGGAAGATCACAACACTGCACGAGGGAAAGTGAGACAAAATCAGTAGTGTTCAAAAAGTAAAAATAATAATAAATTCTATTCCGAGGCGCACTAATTATTGCCCCGGCTTTAGCCTAGCTGCCATTACAGCGCTACTGTAACAGCATTTCAAGGAATTAATTTCTGCCAGATACCCCAATTACCTCACCTTGGTCGAGTGTGGCAAATGAATATTAATGCCTTGCCAAAGGACATTAGTGACGTGTCGGGGATCGAACCACGACCTTTGAATTTCAAGTCAAGTGCTTAAACCACTCGACTACCACACACAATGGAGCAATACATGGAGAGTTCAAGGTAATATATGTCGTTGCTATTAAAATAAGTTCATACTAAATTTAGTGCATGACACCTTTAGAAGATAATGAAATGTTCACAATAACCCATAACATAAATGGTATATATCACATTACAATACATAGAGATGTGTACTTTTTGTACTGCACGCAGCTGATCCTGCAGGCTAAAATATGTTTGGACAAAGAATGGCATTCTCTTTCTGAACAGCAAAGCAGAGTCAAGTTAGGACATAATGCAAAGTCTGAGTACATAGATATTTTTATCTAGTAACAAACAGATCATTTCAGGGCAATAAAAGATACATACAATATCAATCTCAGAATATTGACTCTGGAAAACAGTTTTGTGAGGGCTTTTGTTTTGTATTGAATTGATTGAATTGGTTAACATGACATGCGGATATTGTCTGTTTTAAAGATCAATCAGATATTTACATTATAATACAAACATCAAAATGCGAAAGCAATATAACAATGGTAACATCACACACCACTAAGAAGCAGAAAAGGAGTTAAAGAAGAGATGTATCTCACCTGATGTGCTCTCCCATACATGCCATGGAGAGTGGAGTGTTTCCGACAGAGTCTTTCATATCCGTGCTGCTTACACACTGCAAACAAACAGAGATGAGATGATCTTAGCAGCTGCCATTGCATAACAAGTGAAATCAGGTTAACATTCCAAAGTTATAATTCCACGAATGACATATCAATGCCTTCTACATTTCATGTTAGTCAGATTCTTTGATCAACAACCATTTGAAAGTTTGACAAAAGATGTTTATACCTTGAAATACAGATTTATTTACCCGTAACTAATCATAAGGATCAAGAGTGACTTTAAGGTTTCTCATGAAATACAAATGCACCACCTAAGTAACCCTTCATTCCTTGTGATCTACAATCCTTTTTTTTTTCCAAAGAAAATTTATTCAATCATTCTTTAGCAGAAACAAAACAATACATTTGAACAAAGTACATGTTGTGACATATCGGTAAAACAAACATTGTTGCAACAGTTGCACATGTCTCCATTTATCAAGTAATACAACAAATGTATTGAGTTTGATAGAAAGATCTACAATCCTACTGGCAGTATGACTTACCTCAGCAAGGTCCATGAGTGAGATGATAGCCCCTCTGAGTGCTGCAGCATGGATAGGTGTCTGACCTTGCTTGTCTGGGTGTCCTATCTTCTGTTTCCTCATTGAATCTTTCAGCAGACTCACCGCCTGAATAGGATCAATTTCTGAATTGTCGTTGGCACTGGAAAAAGAAATGATGGCTAGTAATCAATTTTTATAAACACCGATTCACACCGTTCCATATTTGAAGGGTACTTCTGATCAAAGATTGATTGTATGAATGAATGCATTGGTTGATTATTGTACATTGTATATTTACGTTTGCAGTATGGCTACTTGCCACAGATGTACGAACGAAACCTACATTTTCCACTATTAAATTACAGTACAAATATATCCAACCAATTAGTTTGCTTTGAAAGAGAGCAAAACTAAATAGAAACGAGACTGCTACTAAAAGAAAGTTTGGGTCCTGGTAAGGGTTTTAAAAAAGAGTAAAGCTCAGCGTTGTTTCAATTTTATCATATATAAGACAGACTTTCCATTTGAAGCATTTCTTGTGTTTGGCTTACCACGAGGCAATCTATATTTCACACAACAAATAATTAACATCTGTAATTCCAGAAATCAGGGTTTTAAGTTAGGAAAAGAGTAGAGATTTAGGTTACATAAAATGTTATTTCTAGGATTAAAGTTGTGAATGCAACTGGAACTATTAATTTACAGTGGAGCAATTGTTGTCTGGACCTGTGTTGTACAACCCTTTAAAGCCTCACTGTACTACTTGTAGCTACTTGCTCCCTCTATAAAGAAAACAATGCCTAAGTGGTGCCCGTTGGTCCCCCATGATCCTCTTTTTCTTATGTTAATTGAGAGCTGAGTTGACGAGATAGCCACCTGTCAGTGACCACACTGGGTGGTCTAATCCCTCCTGGCCAAATTAGTACAGACAGGCTTTAAATATACAGCTATCAATGATCAGTATACGTACTTATCCAGATTGAAGAAGAGGTAGTGTAGTGGCAGTCTTCCTTCCTTGTCTTCTGCAAAGACATCAGCCTTGTTGTCTAGGAGGAGCTCCAGGGCATCGGTGCTTGGATCCCTGTCATCGATGTAGGTCTTGCATGCATAGTGCAGGGGTGTCCTACCCTTCCAGTCTCTGGCCTGGATCTTAGCTCCCTTGTCCAGCAGCTTCTTCATGACCTGACAGATCACCAGGCTATTATCTGCACGAGGGGTAGTAGGAAGAGTGTGACAAAGTGTTCTTTTAAAGCCCCACTGCACTACTTATAGCTACTTGCGCCCTCTCTATATAGCAAACAATGCCTAATCCATACATGCCAACATTTGAAAATCAGAAATCTGTACAAATTATGCTATTTTAAAAAAAAAGAGGAACAATCCTAACTCTCCTATTCAATACTACAGACAAATTTGTACAGGAAGAGGAACACCTGCATTAAAATGATAATTATCTTCTCCCAAAAAGAGGAATGTTCCTCTTTAATCTGAACAGTTGGCATGTATGCTAATCGGTGACCATTGGTCCCCCATGGTCCCCCTTTTCCTGATGTTAATTGAGAGCTGCTTGTCGGTGACCAGTGACCATGCAGGGAGGTCTAATCCCTCCTGGCCAAACTAGTGCAGTGGTGCTTTAACACTTTTTGTTGGGGATAAGGTCTCTTATGAATGTAGTATTTGAATTAGATTCATGCCTGTAACACATCATATTTGTTTATTAGAAGGAGAAAAAATTGCATTCCGTTAATTAACTGAGAAGCAGTCATACTTGACAAGTCTGGGTAGGAGACCATATATAATTCCGCCAACCGTAAAACTTGTATCGCTGAATAATACAGTCAAACCTGTCTATAGTGACCACCCAAGGGAAACACAAAAAGTGGCCATTGTAGACAGGTGGTCTTTGTAGACAGGTTCCTTTAGTACATGTTTCAATTAAAAACCATTTTCAAGGGAAACAAAATATGTGGTCTTTGTAGGCAGGTGGTCTTTGTAGACAGGTGGTCACTAAAGAAGGTTTGACTGTAATTCAACCATGAGCAGATAAACCCACATTTTACTGATCTATTTTGTCATTCAACAAATAATTCATTTCCTTTGAGTAGTCTTCTTGAATTCATGCTTTTTAATTTCTGTTCTCCTCCCTCTCCTTTGAAAAGACAAACAATCTATAATCAGAATCATCAGATCATCTTTATCATTTACGCACAATACTAAACCAATGAGGGTGTACAAAATGGCTACTTACTGTGATGTGACATGGCAGCATAGTGAAGAGGTGTGAGCTTGTTGGGTTCATTGGGAGTATTCACAGTGGATGCGTTGGCTAGGATATCTACCAAATCAAAATGACCGTCCCTGCAAAGACAGATATAGTTTAATTGAATTTGAAATTTTTGAAACCATATAAAAGCAAAACATACAAAAGAAAAATAGATTCATAAAACATATAAAATATGAAGCAAATATATGACCAGGGCTTCGAAACAACAAATTGCCTGTAATAAAATTTAAAGTGCCTTAATGTAACAGGAATCCTAAAATCGCTTACAAAAAGACATACATTTATCGTACGCATATTCTTTAGGCATACAATATGAGAAAGCTAGATACATATAGCGGACAGGGTGTATTAGTATGAAATACTTGGTTGAAGTGTTCCTCCCTTTTCTTGTCTTTGTTTGAATGCACACGCAGTGTAAATAATATCCAATGAGAGGGGTGTAGAACCAAAATTTGATAGCTCAGCTCAAAAATTTTCGGATCACCAAGAAAAGGTCCTCAGAATTTCAAATCAGCCAGACATTTCGCTCAAATAGCTGCCAAGTTTAATTACTTTTAAATATCACTTGAAACATAAACTTCTACTTCAGTATGAAAATGCTTAAGGTCATCATGATTAGAGACCATCGGTATTATCAACACTTGTTGGCTGGCTGCACCACACACCCGTTTTTGTTCTTTTGTTTTGTTTTTTGTCTTATATATTATGTAAAAAACGTATTATGTAAAGGGAACCTTAATTACAAGCATAATGCTTCCAAGGTTTCCTCCTCATTACTGCAGATTATTGTTAGCATCATTTGTATTTAATGACTTGCCATCAAATCGTTTTTATTACTGCTGTATCTATCAAATATTATGTATATGTTTTGTTGTCTTGTATATGCCTTACTTTGTAAATTCTTTTCATATGCAGTTAATGTGGAAATGAAACCTAAATAAAAATTTAAAAATTAAAATTAAAAAAAAGAGATTCAATAGCAATAACAAATCCCATCTAAAGCCCAGACCCTGATTGGCTATGAGTATGTGAAATATCTTGATTATAACTTGTAATTAATGTCTCAAACTAATCACATGGTTGTATTTAGGCATTCTAGGTACATGTACATGCATGTATCATGGGCATGAGAAACATTCCACCTGTTAATTACATCATGTATGTATACATCCTTACCTCATGGCAAGATTCAGGGGCGTGGCCAGCTTGTCATTATCCTTCTCCTGGGATTTCAGATTAACATCAGCTCCTTCTTTCACCTGGCATAAACAAATACAACAAATATATCAACAATATTAAACAGTTAAAAAGGGGATTCACATCATATGCCAAATTAAGATTATGATGTCTATGTGCCTAGGTATAAACATCTTGTGACCTTCATAGCAGTATAAACACTTAACTTTACTGCCTTTTAGCACTTACTTAGTTGAGTGATTATGATACTATGTCATATAATTAATGCAAAATCCATCATGTGACTTTAGCACTAACTCTTAATGTTTCGGCTGACTTTGTGCAATGTTTGGTAACAACCCTTAACACATATATGTCTTAAAGTCATTTGTTGTATTGAAAGAAGATTAATTTGATTCAGTGACCATTGGAGATATAACAGGTTTCTCCTCCCTGAATAAGTGAAACATAAATATATTAATGAATAATCTAAGCAGAGCTTTCAAATTTCTTCACCATGCAAAAAACGTCCAGTCTCCAAAACAAAAATTAATTTCATCAGATGACGCTAATACAGAGATGCCAACCTTCTTCAACAAAAAAAAGTATTCTAAAGAGCAAAAGACAGTATTTTGGGACAAAAGACAGTATTTTTGAAAAAATCTCTCACCTTAACATATCGCCCAACCGAGCAGCTTAAAAAAAACGGCAGTACCACGTATATTTACCCGGATCGGAGCGCGACGTGCATATATTACATGTGCGTTGTTCGCAATGTGTGCAGTTTGGGGCCCGTATCATCATCCTGCATCATCCTCCTCATCGTTTAAAGACGTAGGTGCATAATACACTTACGACACAAAGCCCATGATCAGAGATTAAGAAAAACGTCATTTAAAAAAAAAAAAAAAAAATTAAAAAAACGTAACAAAACATACAAAAAAAACGTACTGCCGTATTCATAGCGAAAAAACAGAACAAATACAGCAAAAACGGAACAGTTGGCATCTCTGCTAATACAAGGACTTACAAGTTTCTGTACAAGCTTGATTTTGCCAGCCTTTACAGCGTGGAGGAGAGGTGTATGTCCTTCTTTATTCCGTACGTTGATGTCAGGTTTGTAGGAAAGGATAATGTCTAGGGCCGGGAATGGGGTATCACCTGGCCTCTCCTTCATTTCACACAGCAGGAGAATCACAGTCTTCTCAGCTGTATATTATTTTGTAAAAATAGAAAGCGAGCTAATTTGTGACATTGTGTGATGAATATTGCCATTGGAGACATGCGACTACAAGCCATTGGTAAGTACAAAATGCGTGTTAAGTACTCCTAGAGCCTGTAACAGCTTGCAAACGATTTGTAGTCAAGTTCATAAACCATATCCTTTCAATTAAAAAAAACCTTAATGTAAAAATTAAACAAATTTCATGAAATAGGATTTAATTCTTATAGGCATGTTTACTGTCCTGTACATTATTACATATTGGGAATTTGCATTGGCTACAACGACAATTACACACATACAGATTGAAATCTTTACTTCAACCATTAGACACTTTCAACAAAATTTGAGTATGACATTTTTTTTAATGATAAGATGGAAGATTTAAAGCAGTGGTAATCTCCAGAACTTGTAGGAAAGATCATACTAGCTGCATTTACATGTACATACCATGAACATCCTTTCTGTTCTCTTTTGTTAGTATTCTGGCATTGATGTCTGAATCAGAGAGTTCAAGCAAAAGCTGCAAGGAACAAAAATATATGAAATCATTACAACCTAACCTCGTAAAATATTTAGAAAGTAAGATTGTTATTTGTGCTAAAATAAAAATATCCCCTTATTTCTTGCTTATTAGAAAGAGGTAAGTTTTTCAGTTTAAAAAAAAGGCAATTAATTTTTTTTTAATGAAATGAATAAATTATATGTAACTACTAATTTCCATTGTTTAGTCAACACATTAACATTCATTCTTTATATCCATAATAGTTGAAGAGTTACATTTATTCATCATTCCTCTGCTTTTGTTGATATATTTTTAATTATACATAACAATGTCGAATGTATGTTAAAACATGTACATAAAATAGCACTTTGCATCCCTTAAACAATGACATGGTGTTGTCTACATGGGATTTAAACAACCATGAAAAGAGAGAGTACTGCAGTTAGGAGTTTTTTTCTTACCTTTAAGAAGGCTCTGCCTCTTTCAAGTTGATCGTTATTCTGATAAATGAAGAATGTTAATAGTAGAAAATTGATTTAGTGGCTTCTTCTAAGGTGACATACAAACGTACATACAAACGTACAGACAAAGTCCATTTCCTCCAAATGACTGAATGAACAGCACATATAGCTACTGATGATATGATGTCCATGATACAAGCCTTTTCTTTCAATCATACTATTTGAAATGTAATGTAATTTTTTTCAAATTCTATAGAACACTTCCAAAGAAATTTATTATAAAATCTGGTGAATCTAGCAACTGATATCACTTTTCAACATCACTATTACCAAAATCATATTGTTGATCATCATTATCACCATCTTCATCATCACCATTACAATCACCATCATCCCCATCCCTATCACCATCATCATCATCCCCATCGCCAACACATTCACCATCGTCATCATTTTAACCATCACCATCAACAATTATAATAATAATTACAATCATAACCAAAATCTCATCATAATCAGTATTAATCGTTATTAATATCATACCCTAAATGCGTTGTAGTAAGTAACTGCCCATCTGAGGAGTGGAGTGTAACCTGCTGAGTCTCTGGCTTTGGCAAGCTGCTTGATGAAAGCATTGGACTGGGCTGCTGCTGGGGTCTGTGCATCAGTGTCATTTGCAAGTTTGTCATCAGTAGAAGACACATTTTTCATCTGGCAAAGTTAAGGGTATGCAAGCAAATGAATGAAAATGATTTAAACATTGATGTATTTGGGATGAAAGCATTGTGGAGAAAATTATTTAATTCACCACCCAGGATGTTAACCAGTTTTCAATAAGAGCAGCAGCATAATATTACATTTCAATGAGTCAAATCAAGATGAGTGAAACATAAAAAATAGTGTACTTTTTCATAAATGTGACTCTCTATTGAAACACATACATGTAGCCTCTAATCCCTATATTGCCATAACCTGCTAATCCCACCTGAAACATCAGTGGTGTATCGTATGTTGGACTTAAAATCTTGAAATCTTTTTTTTTTTTACTAAAACGGTAACATTTACATGTATTGTAGAGATGTTGTTTCCCCAGGAAGATATTCTATGCAAACAACAAATGAAACTCAACATTTAACTCTTGATAGATGATTTTGAGGGGTCAGTGACACAAAGACGTAACTCCATTTTGGCCAATTTTAGAGAAAGCGGTCACTGAGCACTTGGGCTTTAAGGTATCAAATACTCATTTTGGCAAAATATGGAGTTACGTCTTTGGGTCACTGAACCCTCGATTTATACGTTCATAACAACAGTGGCATGGTCCAAATTAAGGTACTTACGTTGTCCACCACAATCTTTAAGAGTTCAATCTGATCACTGCCGGTGCAGCGTTGGGCCATCAGATGAAGGAGGTTCTCATTCTTTTCATTGGTGAAATTGGTCAGCTTGCTGCCTTTCTCCAGCAAGAACTTCACCATCTCAGCATTGATTTGATTCTGAATGACAAATAAAAGGAATTCCAGAAATCAAGAAAAGTTGGGATACAGAATCTTTTTTTTTTACACTCAGCTCTGGGCCCAGTCTTAAAAAGAGTTGATATCAATCGCAACTTATTTACGATTGATGTGAATCGCAACTATGTACATAAGAGATAGGAGACTGCAAACTTGCGATTGATTGGAGGACTTTTAATTGATTTGGATCTATCGCAACTCATTGTAAGACGGGGCCCTGGACATGTTAAATCTAATAATAAAAACTTGGTGGTTATTAAAGATTTTAAAATATATATATATATATATATATATATATATATGCAGTTCCTTTGCAACAGCCAGTTTATAAATCTACAGAAATGTTCTTTCATTTTATAACATGGTTCATCAAAAATTCCTAGTAAACATTGTAAGTAAACAAACAAAACTTAATGAAAAGAAAACAACCACGACAACAACAACCAGAGTAACCAAAGATATATATCTTCTAACACCCATCCACAATCTTAATTTATCTTCATGTCTTATTTGATCCCCATCTCCTCCCTCCCCCCCCCCCCCCTTCTACTTGTCATTTCAATTTACCCTTTTGATTGCAATATCAAGGGCTGTTTCTCCATCAGCCGTCTTGGCATGGATATCACATCCTTTGGAGATGAGGAAGGTTGCCATGTCGATACTGATTTTCTTCCTCTCATCCCGCTTGGCAGCATTACCCTGGATGATGATAGACAGGTGGAAGGAAAAGAGTCAAAGAAATATTAGAGATCTTGTAGTCGACAGAGAGAGAGAAAACAAACAAACAATTTTTCTTCAGTAGAAATGAAGTTCTTTAATGCTCCTATTAATTTTCTCTTTACAGTTTTACCCTTGTTATTTAATTCTTAACTCTCTTTCTCTAACCCTTCACCTTCTCTCTCTCTCTCTCTCTCTCTCTCTCTCTCTCTCTTTGTCTCTGTCTCCCTCTCTCACTTTAACTTCATAATCTTAACTTTTCTATGCTTCAGAGGTAATCATACAGAAATATTTTGTGGTCACTTTCGTTTTCATTTACACAAAATACATCTCCGTAGAAGAAAAAAAAACTCATTTCTTGTCAATTATTCAAAATACATTGTTTTATAGGTGGTAATACTGACCTCGTGGAACTGTGCAGCAGCCAGATGATGAAGCTACAGGAAAAATAAAATGAGAAAATAGAAAAAAATGAACAGACATGTATTCAAGTCCCACTACTTTGTTGATTGTTCCATTTTTTAACTTTGATGTTTTTTTGCTTATCACATATGATACAATACAATTCAATTCATGCATTCAATTATACTTCAACATTATTTATAAATGATATTCCCCAATAAGTAATAAACATTAATCCTGACAAACTGAGGGTTATTCGTTTTCAAAACAGGTGACATAAAGGACTACATCAGATGTCCATAGACATAAATAAGAGTACCGGTAGATCAAGTTTTTAGTATTTTCAAATGCATTACAACAAATAACCACTCTCATGCATTCAACAAACAGTCATACCACCTGAAAATGAAATTGGAAAGCCTGACAGTGTCATTAATAATGATAATAATAATAATAGGCATTTCTATAGCGCCATCTATCTAGAAATTATATTCCGAGGCGCATTTATTATTACCCCGGCTTTAGCCTAGCTGGCATTACAGCGCTCTAGCATTTCAAGGAATTAATTCCTGCCAGGTACCCATTTACATCACCTGGGTTGAGTGTGGCAAATGTAGATCAATGTCTTGCCAAAGGACATTAGTGCCGCGACGGGACTCGAATCGCGGACCTTGTGATCGACAGTCCGGTGACGTATCCACTCGATCACGACACCTCTACATAAAAAAAAGGGAGAACTAAAAAAAAAATGGGGGAGAACTACACATGCCTATGATCAAGAAGGCCATTCCAGGGGGAAATAAAAAAAAAAGATATTCTTACAGCTGTCCAATCATTGGCATCCTTGAGGGTCACACTTGCGTTCTTCTCCTCCACCAGGTACTTGAGCTGCTCCCACATCTCTGGGGTCAGCTGGCTCACGGTCAGCATCACGATCGTCCAGCCGTCTGCATCGCGGAAGTTCACATCGGCATTGGAGTCTTCCAAGAGAAGATCAGCACATCCAACGTGACCCTTCATGAAGGCAATGGCCAGGGGTGGTACCTTCCAACAGGACGGACAAAGCGATTGTCAGATCAGTTTGGTTCAGTTCAGTTGCGTGTGGTACAATACAGGTCAAGTCAGGTCACTTTGGTTCAGTTCAGTTGCGTGTGGTACAATACAGGTCAAGTCAGGTCACTTTGGTCAGTTCAGTTGCGTGTGGTACAATACAGGTCAAGTCAGGTCACTTTGGTTCAGTTCAGTTGCGTATGGTACAATACAGGTCAAGTCAGGTCATAGATATTTCAAAGCATGGAATAAACAATTTATGATCAGCCGGAAATATATTTACTCAAACAGTGGAATGATTTGCTGTAATGAGTCTTCTTATAATTCACTACCTTCATTATTTCATATAAAAGTACACATTTTAATATTTGAAGGAAATTTGAAGAGGCAGTATGGCCTTGTGGATGGAGCAATCATCTAGGAAACAATCTAATCCAGGTTTGAAGGCATTCACATACCTGCCAACATTTGAAAATAAGAAATCTGTACCCTTATCAGACCATAGCACGGCCTTACCATGGCCATGTACGCAGTTGCAGCGTAACTGACAATACATGGTAAATCTGTACTAAAAAGTGAATACAAATTCGCTGCTCGATAGTACAGCCATTCAACGCACGCAATACACAAATCTCAAATCTCATATCGCAGCACATGGTTAAACAAACCAAATTTGGCTTTAAAAAAAGATTTAAACAAAAATTTAAAACAAAATTGGTCATTCAGAATTTTGAAAAATCAGAATATTCCAAAATTTTAGGTCCTTAAAATTCAGAAAATCAGAATATTCTGATTAAATCGGGACAGTTGGCAGGTTCAGTGTGTCAAAGCTCAGCGTGTCAAAGCTTTGGTGTGTCAAAGCTTAAAAAGCTTATACCCTATATCCTCCCATTTCCTTGAAAGAGTTAAATCTCCTGAAGCATACTTCCAGCAAAACCCTTTTTTTTCCCCCTTCAATAACATGCTTACCATGAACAATCCATCACTCAATTAATCAAGTGAATGGCTCAAGTTTATTTGACTGAACTCACTTTCCAATCGTTGAGTGCGTTAGGGTCTGCATTGGCGGAGAGGAGCAGCCTGAGTACAAACCACCAGCCATAGGCAGAGGCGTAGTGGAGAGGGGTATTCCCAGACGAGTCACTGGCATTGGGGTCACATCCTTTACGGAGCAGGAATGCAGCGACGGGGACGTGCCCATTCATGGCAGCCAGCATCAGAGCTGTCCGCTTCAGCTTATCTGAAAAGTGTATCAGAAAGAACAAAATATTTGGTAAATAATCATATCGATCCGGCATGGATAGATGTCGCGAATGCACTTCAACATTGAACATTTGGGCATACATTTCTCCTTTATTTGCAAATTTAGGTTGAAGTATTGCCATCTAAACCTCTGAAGGAAATATTTCAACAATATTGAATGGATATTTTGCACCCAAAACTCTTGAACCGCAATTTTACCACAACCGGTATATATCTTTAATGATGGTTTTGTTAATGTTGCCCGAGCAGCGTAATTGTATTTTTACTGAAACTGTTTAAAAGTCTCGCTGAATGGTACATTGTGATGTTCAACTTGAATAATTGTGTACTGTGCGTTACGACCATCAGAATATCCCATTTTATACAAAAAAAACTACTGAAACATATACATTTTGGACTAAACAAACAAGTGACAAAGTTTCTCAGCACAAATCAACACAGGCTATTATTAGTTACATTTGAAAATATAACAGCTCTCTACTTCGATGTATTCTCACATGGAAACTCTCTGTTCTCACTGTATGTAATACTATTTTACAAGCATACTGTAGGTAAAATACATTTGCAATGTTTGCAGATTATAAATGACTTACCCCTCTGGTCAAGTATGGCCCCATGGTCAGCCATGATCTTAACGGTCTGGATGTGACCTCGTTCACACGCTACCATGAATGGGGTGAGTTTGTTCTTGCCAGCTGATAAGGGTGCTTGGAGGTTTGCGCCATGCTTGAGGAGTGCCCGTACGGCATCCTAACAACCAAACAGATGAAAGATGAAAATCAAGAGTGAACATCATGGAAGTCAAAGCCACTAATGCCCTTCTACACATTCTTTATTGCTCATAAAGATTTTGAAGGTTTCATATTTCTTTCTTTCTCTTTTTAATGATTAAAAGACAACAATCAAATGATAATAATAGAATCAAGAAAGAATGCGAGAATAAAAGTTTGTTAAATAAATAGAAAAAAATTCAGCATTAAACATGGATAAATATGAAAAGTAGGCAGTTTTAAATATCCATTAAAAGGCGTAAAAAAAATTAATGATGACACAGTAGACTGGCTTTCAACCAGCATCTCTGTAAAGTTGGCTGCCACACATACGAACGATAGCGAGCCAATAAGTGGCTCGTTTATTTTGTCACAGTTCTGCCTGAAATTTATTCAGCATTCCACAGTTTTGTATGTTGGTACCATTTTGTAGACCATGGATATATGGATTCAACATCAGCTTTTCATCTATTTTCACCAATATAGTGTATTTACATTTGTGACTCCATATCTCCTACGATTTGTTCATAGGAATAGGACCCCACCACAGAGATATTTTCTAAGCTAGCATTTGCACAATTTACCCATACATACTCACATTATGTCCCTTCTCTGCAGCATAATGAAGGGGAGTCTGACCAAATGTGTTTCTACGGAATACTCCACCCTTTTCATCTGAATAAAAAGGATAATTATATAAGTTGATAGTTCAAAGGTGAAGCTATGAATATAGTAATAACAAATCAGCTTTTAAGGCACCAAATCCACATAAAATCTTGAGGTGCACTTAAAGGAGCTACACAAAGAAAATTCACTAACAACTGATAATTAGAACAAATTACATATGGATGGAAAGATTTTCTCTTGAAAAACACGAATGATTTGCTGAGAAATCATATATATATATCATGGAAAGGCGTAAAATGCAATTTTTTCAAGACCCTTCTTAGACCCCCAAGCGCCTCCGAACGTAAGCCAAACACACAAGCGTAGTGAGCTCTGAATAGTGACGTCACACACTGGACAAACAGCTCAGTGACGGCCACATACCGGAGTCGCGCGTGTATTAGTCTGCAGCTAGCCAGCCGTGTCTCGTGTGTGAAGTCACGAATGTTGACGCTCTACAAAGGACCGCTGAAGGCAGAAAATCTGGATCTCAAAACTAACATTTTTGAGAGTTGATTACTGCGGGCCCCAAACATATTTTGAAGAGGAGAGTTGTTGTATTTGATCAGTAAGGCTTCCCCTTCGCAATGATATGAGTTTTGCATCAATTCAAAACACTTTTGATTCTTCGTGTGTTTACTTTAAGAAAAAAATAAAATGTATGCTAATCAAACAAATCAGTTTACAGCTATGAAGAGTGAGGGGAAGTATAGAGAATGGATGAGCAAATATAAAAGGGTTACAGCTTAAACCTTGGGATAATTAGTCCAAGAGTGAAAATATATCACAGGGTTGTTCATAAACGTTACATTCCAAGGCAACCAAGCATTATGAATCACAAAAGTCATTCACACTAACAGGCATATGATATGCATATGCTTGTGATAGCTAGAATTAACATCTACCTCCTTTGAGTTTCTTCATAAGGACCTCAATGTTCTGTGTTCTGTTGAGCGAAGCTGCAACCATAAGAGGTGTGTTCCCTTGGTTATCTGTATCGTCTGCAAACGCCGACCTGGTTGTGTTAGAACAAACAAAGAAGTACCAAGTGGTCTTACATTTGTAGAATAATGAGAGTGTCATTAGCAAAAGAGGTAATATTATAGCATTTGCTGTGGGAAATTTTGCCGTGGGCTTACAATGAGGGTTGCAATTGGGTTTTAGATTAGGTTTAGGGGTAAAATAAGGGCTAGGTATAGTGTTTGGTCCATGAGAGTAGTTTGGGATTCACAGTCCCTGGTTGCGTTACTCCAAAACAATGCTGGGTGTTTCAACATGTTAGTTTTAATAGATGTTAAACATCCAATCAATGAGAAAAGAACTAAAATCTTTAAATAGCCCAGTCCCTTAAGATTGAAAAGAGACACATAACAACAATGAAAAAACATGACAGCATAGAATAGGTATCAATACGCAATACATGAACTCTAAAATCGTGGAACATGATAAAACAAGTCTAATTGGGCTTTAGCAAAAAAACAGTATTTTGACAAATCTGAATATTCCAAATTTTTAGGTCCTAAATTTTTTTTCTCCAGAAAATCAGAATATTCTGGATTATTCAGAAGGGTTGGCAGGTATGATATCCCCATCCCCTAAAAACTATAAAGCGACAAAAGACTACGAATTTGTCAATATATTACTAACCTCTGAATGAGAAGTTCTAGAGGTCCAGACCCTGTACAGGCAGCAGCGTAGTGGATGATCTTCCTACCCTTGTAATCAGCAAGGTTCAACTCTGGCACAGCATTAAGCAGCTTCTCCAGCATCTTAGGGTTAGGGTTGATGGCAGCGCAATGGATTGGCATAATCTGTAGGGGCAGAGAAATATAAGAAATCATCGCATATTATTATCATGTATTTGGCATCACCTGTGCCAAAAAGTGAACTGAATCACTGTAACCCTTGGGTCTGTCCTTCCGGTATAACTGATTGGGGTGTGCAGGGGGACCACTACACCGGGGTTTCTACCTACACTTATACGAATAGTGCAGTGGGTTCTTAACATGCAAAGGTGGTGACTCTCCTCTACACGGAGTCTCCATTTAACATCCTATCCGAGGGAATTTGCTTGCTTTCCTCAAACCAAGCATATAGTAAGCTTTTGATAGACAGAAAAGTCATTACGTAGGCCATGCCACACAAACCAATATTCTAGTACACTCGTATTGTATTATTTAGCTTCATGTTTTTATGTTGTTATATGGCTTCCTAAGGCCTTTCATGTTTACATTTATAATTTGAATGAACATGAATAATTAAAAAGAAAAGAATAATGAGCTACAACTAAAGACCAAAAGAGGATCATAGTAATAATAATAGTCGTCATTTATACTGCGCTATACATTACGAAGTACCATAGTGCTTACAATCTAAATAAACATTAGAAAAAGACAAAAATAGCTCTGTGGAATCAGGGGGCCGTTTCTCGAAACCGTCATAACTACAAGATCAACGACATCTCGCCACTGTCACGCAACTTGTCAGCAAAGTGTTTCAGGAAGCCGTCTTTGCCAAGATGAGTGACAACTTCCGCGACAATGAGTTGTCACTGCTCCGAACCCGTCATATCTTTTTAATTGCTGTAAAGTGCCATCACAAGTCAGTTTGTTGCTATTCTATGGGCCGCAAAATGTACGATTAGTTTCACTATCATTTTGAGAAAAATATAGACGAGTTCGGTACGTAATTCTCTGGGATGTGAAATGCAAATGTAAAAAAGTGATAAAACAAATTATACAGAAATACAGAATTATACAGAAAAAAGCAGAATATAAACATTAAATCACAAATCATTAAACTATAATATATAAATAAGAGAGATAAGAATGTTACACACCGTTTTCCATAGTGGATCCATAGTCCTTTCTTACGATACCATCATACCTTTGGGGCCTAAGTGCATTATTATTCCCTCTCTAATTACTTCTTCCAAATTATATTTTCAATATCAAATCAATTATATAAAGAGTATTTATGAGACTCTAGAATAAAAACTGGCTGAGAAAAGGTATTTTGCCTAAAATTCCTCATCACAATAAACAAAAAAGTACGTATTGATAAACTACGGTATCCTCCAACTAACTTTTCATTCGACGATCAAAAAAAAAACACTCACTGGTTTTTCTTCAATTTAAGAATCTTTACAAAAATATGAAAATCGTTTGATGATCTACATTTGATAATGACACAATTTATTATTTATTTTAGGAGAATTTTTATGTATATATTTCTTTTTGAACAATTTTAGCCCCAAAACTTGTTTTGGGTTATTCTTGATAAATCAAATGGATCGTGACAAAGATGTTCTTTAGCTGCTAGTATCGTGATATATCGATATCATGTCTGTCATGGCTTTGTGAAACGGTTTATCCACTTCATGACATCTCCGTAGATCGCCGACAAAGATATGACTGTCATGGAGTTGGTTTCGAGAAACGGCCCCTAGGTCTTCAGTTTTCTTAATTTTAATTTGGATAGATTGTAGTCTCTTCTCCATAATCACAGCCTCCTAAATTTCTTTGGTATATTTCATTTTTCGGGTACGACATCGGTAGGGAATATCATCACATGAGCTTCAAAAATGAAGGTCAAGGGCCTTCGGTCATGGGTCAAGAGCCTTAGGCCATGGGTCAAGAGCCTAAGGTCATGGGTCAAAGGTCTGAGGTCATGGGTCAAGTTTCATTTTCATCTTACCCTGTCACAATTATGTGGTTTTTTCTTGACAGAGACTGCCTTGAATGGTGTGAGCTCTTCTGGTTTGTCACACAGCAACACCTACACATAAGAATAAAATTAAGTCAAGAAGAAAAACATGTTGAAGAAGCAGAGGAGCAGTATTAAAGGGGATGTAACATGGGAAATATTGGTTAACGCCATCTACGTCTTCTTTTGGACAACTGCACGTAAAAGAATACACTTGATTAACTGGGCCAGCGCGCTAGTGTTCACGAAACAGACCGAAGTTCTCCTCACGCTTCTGTTTCGCGTATATTGCACCCATGTGAATACTTGGCCTAGACGCATAGTCTCGTCATGCTACAGCCCCTTTAAGTTCATCATATTCATTTAGTGAGAAGAGACTAATGCATTTTAAATATCTAATCTTGATGTGTCTTACAATGAAACATATCAACACTGTATTATGTACCTACATAATTCCAATCATACACTTCTGACTTTTACATGGGTCACAATTACTTGGCATATATTGCATTACTCTGTTTTTATGAACAGAGCCTACACACCCTAGCTAAAATAAGGTCCAGGGCCTCTCTCTTGGAGAGGCCCTAAAGTTGTCACTCCTCTGGTTGCTTACTTACAAGCATTTATGCTTTCTTAGCGGTTAGGTAAAAGAACCACTACTACTACAAGAGGGGAATTGACTAAGCTTTGTGTTAGTCTTCAATATGAAGCATCATCAACCAGAATATTGTGCAACATCTTCTCACCTCTGAATGCATTCTATTGAAGCCGCATCCACCTTCTTCTTCACCTCGTTTGAAGAGTTCCCCGGCAACCTTCCTGTTTCCTCTTCCAACCAGCTTCATCAGTTGACCCGCTATAACATTCTGTGGTTTCAAAAATGAGGGTGAAATGGTTAAAAACATCACATTAATCGTAATTAACCAAATCTATAAGAAATATTTAAAAAACAAGCAAACAAACCTGCAGCTACACTTGTTTTTGCAAATGAAACCAATCAGTCAAGATATAATAATTAAGGTGATATAGTAGACACTTAAAGGGATAGTTGAGTTCTTGTTTCAGACCGCAAATGCCTTCAAATTGCATGGTTATTGCACTTATTCTTATTTATGACATTTCAAGTGCCCTTTTAAAACCTAAAATTGCTATAAAGGTCATTTTAGACCCCAAAATGTGTGAAATTTAGCCATTACGATCATACCAATTCAGCTCTACTTTGCAAAAATATGGTGACCGTTAATTGATTAATATTAACAATACATGGGCCGGCTGGTTGTGCGTATTATAACCAACACAAAAAAGCCAACAAAAAGCCAATATCGGCATTGGCTCGAATAAAAACGTGTAAGGAGATATTTCGTTTTTTCAATCGCTGGTTCAAATTATCTAATATTTGTGGTGGTACACAAATATTAGAAATGGTTATATTTATAGATATTTCACTGATTTTGATCAAACATAGATGACTTTGTCATATAAATTGTATGTTCTTTCAAGTTGGACACCCCGTTTTTCATTATCTCACAAAAAAAATTATTTTGTGTAGCGCCCTCTGTAACAGAACTCAACTATCCCTTTAAAGATATAGTTGAGTTCTGGTCATGCAATTGCATCGTGCAAAAGATGTAATACGTACATGATACATTTATACAAAGTGTAATAGGAAAGGTACAGACACGAAAGGTTATGGCAATCAATTATAAGCTAAATTAAACAGATATATAGACATAATACAGAAATATATAGTGCTGTAAAAATAAAATGAAGATCTCCATGACTACTTACCTTCACACCCCGCCTCTCTTTACATATAAGATCCATTGTGGCGAGAGTGACATCGCAATCAACCAGTTTATGAGCAATGCTTGAATCGCTTTCATTTCTGGCTAAGCTGTCCTGTAATGTATAAGAGCAAGTGACAGAGAGAGAGAGAGAGAGGGGGAGAGAGAGAGGGGGAGAGAGAGAGGGAGAGAGAGAGAGGAGGGAAAGATAGTGACAGAGAAAGAGAGAGAGAGAGAGAGGGAGAAAGAGAATCAGAATAATGATAATGATTAAGTAGGAACAATATCATGTTCAGTAAATGTTATTGTTTGCCTGGTGGAGTAAAAATGGATGTACACTGCAATAGAAATGCATTCCATTCAAAGCTTTGTTATTTTTCTACCTTAATTTAACCCAACTAAATTTAGTCGTACATCATTCAATTCATTAAGAGCAGCATTCAAAACAAAACAGTTACAAAATCTGAAGAAAAAAAAATGTGTTCTTTTGCAGCCTGCTGCTGGTCACACTGACATTTCAGTGTTTGAAATATGAGATCACTACAACTATGTGAATTTTCAAATTGCAATTTTGTCAGTGAATTGTGACTCAGTGACGGACAACTCTCCTATTTATCGTGTAAAAATTATCACTTATACCTCTTTTTCCCCCCAGTTCTTTCACCCCTGCAGCACTACTCAAACTATATCATTACAGGTCCACTAAAACAAAAAACCATCCTGAGACATGCATATTTTTGTTAAATATGACATGTTAGTCATTTAGTATGTTGGAACAAATACGAAAATTTTTCCAACACTCACCACAGTGACATTACCGATTCGACCAATTTGAAGTTCCCATACGCAAAGTGATTACAACTTTCAAATGTCATAACTTTCATACTTTTGTCAGATTTCAGTCAAGCTTTCATGGTCTGCTTCTCTTGCTTTTTTAGAGTTGCTGTTTGCTATCAAGGTTACATTTCCCTTTAAAGCCCCACTGCACTACTTATAGCTACTTGCGCCCTCTATATAGCAAACAATGCCTAATCGGTGCATGTCGGTCCCCCATGATCCTCTTTTTCTGATGTTAATTGACAGCTGATTTGATGAGATAACCACCTGCCAATGACCTTGCAGGGAGGTCTAATCCCCCTGACCAAACTAGTGCAGGCAGGCTTTAAGGGTCAAATGAAGATTAGATGATAGTATATTTGGAGTATTTACCTTGAGGAATGCATCCTGTCCCTCTCGTCCTCCTCGTGATACATTGATGGCCCGTACGGCATGCCCAAGACTCATGTAGTTGTAACTAGTAGAGAGAAAAAAGGGGGAGAGAGAGGACAAAATTCAGAATATCTGATATGCTGCAACAATAAATGAAACTATATCTTGCATATATCCTGTGCATCAATATATAGATGTGAAAATGAGCAATTGACTTCCTTCCAATTAAAGCAGGAACAAATGATAATACAATTTTAATAAGAAGGTAAACTTACAAACCTAGATGAAGAATGAATTGTAACTAAGATGCTTTGGCCTTCTTGTGTATTTACATGAATGGCTTCGAATGGAAATGGGAAGGAGTTCTCCACCACAGTATATTCAAAGAATTCATTGCATGATGTAAATGTTTATGATGTAAACGTTTAAGTCAGTTGCACATTTTCAAATCTACAGAATCTTAAGGTGATCTAACATCTGCAATTGTGTTGGTATACAGCTGAATTTAGAAATTAAGTTAACGTAGGAAACTGAACCAGAGAAATTGTGACCAAAACATGTGTAACACAACCATTGTAAATGGACATTTACCTTTTATCACTTTATTCAGGTCCAAACAGATAATCAAACTTTTATTTCATTTATCCTGATCTTTGACTGCTCTATCTACAAACTCACCTGCCAGTGTTTTCCTTTCGAAGACTGTGAACAGGCATCTCACAACGGCTTGGATTATTCTTCAGCTCAGTCAGGAATGCCCGAATGAATGGATGACTGTTAGCCTGCAGAGGAATGACAATTTTTTTATTTTAAACAATAAGCGGGATAGTTGTTCCATAAAAGGCATTACAATCTTAGAATATATTTTCAAAAGTAAAATTGGCACGGCTATGTTTCTTTAAATCTGCACAGGATATTGATAAATCTCAAAACATGACACAGCTAATGCAATACACTACGTAATGAACTTTACATGGAATAGAGCACTTGAATATTCTTTAAAATTCAATCAATGGAAATTACAAAATAATCAGAAATCTAAACTAAGAGCTGCATCAAAGATGTTTGGGACTGATCCTCACAAGACCGTGTCCTTGGCAGAATTCAGTCGTGCCTTTTAATTACCTGAAGCTGCAACAATAACCACATACAAGAAAATGCTACATGATAGACAATTAAATGAATTCTACAGCAGCTTGGGGACATAGAAAAGCAGCAGACACAAGAAGAACTAACAACCAGGGGCCCGTTTCATGAAACTTGTTATCTCTAACAAATGCTAAATTTCTATGACAAATTTGCTCTCAGCCAATCAGACGCCATGATTTCAGTAGCTTATAACAGTAGCTTGTAACTTTATTGATATCAAGTTTTATGAAACAGGGTCCATTACCTTGATGGCATATCCTAGAGCAGTCTCCTGCACAGCAACACTTCTCTGAAGGAAGACCGAAGGCACTCGCTTGGTGTCTGTCAGGAGCTGTTTGAGGAGTTGCATGTCGTTGGTGATGACAGCTCGGATGGCTCGCTTGCACTGGACCACCTTGGACACTTCAGGCATGCTGTTCTCATTTCTGTGCAAAATAAACGAGTGTTAAGAATGTCAAGGATTACATGAAACTTAAGACTTTGCACACGTTTGACTTTATTTTTATGTTCTAAAGTCTGAATTGATGCATGTTGATCAAGGTCATGGATATAGTCCAAATAAAGGATTCTAGTTGTCATTACATAAGTCCTGCACCAAAAAAATAATTTTGATTCTTTTAAATTCAGACTAGACTTCTAATGTATACTTACTTGACCTCAAACATGGGATCTTTGTTGACCAGTTCTATCTTTGTGTTAGGGACAAGTTTCCTGTTGGGGTCTAACTTGACCCGTCCTTTGCTGACCTTTTCCTCCTTTTTCTTCGCAGCTCTGCCCTTGGGGACGGCTTTTTTCTTTGCTGCTGGAGGATGAATAGTTTAAAAGAGAAATCATTAACAAAATCACAAACATTTGAAAGTTTTTAAAAATTTGAATAATAACCATGATAAAAACGATGCTTATAAAGCAGTTACCACCAAATTCTCTATGTGCTAAAACAAACAAAATACAATGATACATAATTACATATCAAACAAAACAAAAAGAAATGCAAATAAAACTACAAATTACAATGCATATGAAATATACATCAATGTGAACAGAGCAAGTTAATCCAATCAACAAACACTTGTAAATCATTAATGCAAACTCTGTAGCTATAATACCTCAGTCATACTGCCAAACTGACTCTGCATCAAAATTTTCATGGCCATTTGGGGGAATGTAAATTTTGATGTGACTGGGGTATTACACAATACATTTTTGTCAATCATCAAATATTGTATGTATCTATGTAACATTGTAAAGCATCAAGAGTATGATATTAATGATAATTTTTTTTTTACATCAATGTTGTTCTTCCTGAGAGCTGGGCAATTATTATTAACCCAGCGACTGCCAGATATCCATTTACACCTGGGTGGAAAGTGGCAATTCAGGATTAAAGCCTCGCCAAAAGACGTTAGTGTCGGGCTGGTGTTCAAACCCACGACTCTTGGACTGAGAGTCAAGTGCACAAACCACTATACCACAACCCCTCCATAATCATCCATAAAGAAAACGTTACCTTTTGTAGCAGCCTTCTTCCTCCCAGAAGATCTATCCCTGGCACTCTTGAGAATCTTGGAAGCAATTGTTCTTGTCTTGGTTGGAACCTTCCTCCTGCGGTTGGGGGTCTGTTTGGGTCTGGTTGGGGTGGTGGTCACATCTTTTTTCTTCCTCCCTTTAGAGTTAGCAATCTGCTCCGAGAGTTCATCTAGAGAGGCACGACCTGAAAGGGTGCAATGGTTTCATATTAGTGTTAGCATATCTGGGCTATCATGTCTCATTTGTTGTTAAATTTGATCAATAAAGGGACATTAGAAAATATTTACAAAAATTATAAAAGAATCACTAGTAATCCTACATTTAAATGTAGCAGTTTTTATTCATATAATCATATGCAAGCAAAAATGCCTACCACAAGGAGTTTATAGAGAAAATAATCAGCAACATATCTAATCTATAATAATATCTAGTAAAAACTAGGAGAAAAAAAATCAAAAGATGACCTACCGTCGGCTTCAGTGAGTTGTCCTTTTTCTTTCTTGACCGAGATATTGACGATCTCATCGATCCTGGTGATCTCAGCGTCTGGCAGCTTCTTGAGTCCCTTCTCTCCGGCCGGCCTGAGCTGGACCTGGGTCAGGACGCTGTCTCGGTCCACAAAGTCAAGGAAGGACATCTTGTAGATGCCCGGCTTGGTCTCCTCAAGCCATTGGATGGCCAGCTTGCGGCTGACATCGTAGACAATCTTCAAGGATTGGCACAAGAAGTAACCACCTGTGTGTGGACATGGAGATGTCATATTAAGGGCATTTATAATGTAGTTTAACATTTTCTAAATTTGTTCATTTCTTTAGTACATGACCATTATATTACTGCATGATTTTAGGAAACAATGGAGGCATGACCCTCGACCTTCTTATCCCAAAATCTAATCATATCATCTCACTATGGTCATGCTTGCAATACTAAGTTTGAAGTTAATGGCTTGAAAATTTCTTGAGATATCGCAATAATAGGGCTGTAATCCTGAAATTTCATGGAAATCAATCTTTACGACCTCTGACCTTTGACCTACTAACCCCAAAATATACTCAGACTGTCTTCTTATGGTGATACATACTTGCCCAAAGTTTAAAGTTCATATCTCAAGTAGTTCCTGACATATCGCAATAACAAGGCTACAAACCTATAATTTCAGAAAGAGAAATCTATGACCTTTGACCTACTAACTCCAAAATCTACTCAGATCATCTTCCTATGGTGATGTATACTATCACCAAGTTTGAAGTTTATACCTCAAATGTTCTTGAGATAACGAGAAGGTGGGACAGATGTATGGACAGACGGGACAACCCGATACATAATGACTCTCGCTCCACCTTCTGTGAGCGGAGGCATAAAAAACATGTTTTCTTTATTTCATCAGATTCTACCCCCATTCTTTTAATTCCTTCACCATTTGTTCTACATCAAACTTCAGCTATCCTGTCAAGCAAAATACTTTTTACATGTATGCATATTAATGTAATTGAAATGCCTTTGTAACGATTCCTGAAAGGTAAAAACTTGTTCTCTGACTGTTGACATACATACCTTCACTTCTGACAGCCAGATAGGCGCCCTTTCCAAAGTAGACCTCCTTCTTGGCCGATGCAGGGGTCCTCGTCTTGATGGGCTTGGAGAAGGCCTCCACCACATCGGACTGGTAGCGGTCCGCTTGCGTGCGCTTACGCTTCACATTGGGGCTGCTGCGCTGCGGACTATCGGACTTGGCCGGGGAGGAGCGCTTCTGGTGATCACAAAAGAAGAATTGAGAAAAAGATGTGAGAAATGTAAGGATACTCAAAAAGTTACATGCACACTGCACATGTCTTGAAGCCCGTCTGTATTAGTTTGGCCAGGGGGGATTACATGTAGCTCTCCCTGCATGGTAACTGACAGGTGGTTATCTCATCAAATCAGCTCTCGATTAACATAAGAAAAAGAGGATCATGGGGGACCAACAGGCACCGATTAGGCATTGTTTGCTATATAAGTAGTGCAGTGGGGCTTTAAGTCTTTGAATTTGACCTTTGATAATAGTGTACATGTAATTGAAAATGGCCCAATAAAAACAAGCAACTCTGAGAAGTGCAGCCATAATTAATGTATTTGAATAGATTGAAACTGATCCTTCAATATTCTACTTCTGATTTATCTTCTTTTATAATAAATCTGTTTTAAAAAAGTCAATGTCCACATTCACCAATAGCACAAAGTGCAATATTTAGCTTTGTGAACAAATATACACTACAGGTAGAAACATACAAAACTTCGGACTCAAAGTCTTTGTAGAAACAGACCTTAAGTGAATAACATAAATAGCTCATGTAGAACTGAATCCAAATTTCTTTACTTTGATGCAAATTGTATACAGGACATAATTTATTTATTAGCATTATAAATCCAACATGATCATCATCATTTTGAGCTCCATGAAGTCTTAATTTTAATGATAGTCGACCCTGGCATGATGACATTGTGCAAACATGATCATGCATGGAACCCTTCTGTCCTGCTAGTAGACATGAGTGTTCTAAGTGCTCCATGCAGACTAATTAAAGTGCATACCAAATCAGATGAACATCAGCCACTCACTACATGATGGGTTAAGAAGACAAGGTCTCTCTAATTAGCCCCTTATCTTCTCTCCTCTTCTCTCAAACACTGCTTTTATACCTCTTTTTTCTTTTCTTTTCTTTTGTTTTTTTGGTCGAAAATAGAGTTGGAGGCACTAAGGTCTATTCATTACATGGACTTTTCTTCTGGGTTAGAATCGAGTTCAATTTGAAATGAAAAAAAGATGTAGACACATTTTTCTTCTTCAAATGTGTCAAACTCTCTTTATCATACTGTGGCATATAAATACACTTTTTTATATGGCAAATCAATTCAACATTTTGTGACTATTGCTCTTTTAACCAATATCAATATAAACATCAGGAAAAGTTCACGATGTGAAATTGGACAAAAATATAGAGTCTACTGAAAGCTATTGCAGCACATGGGCCTAAGTCCCAAACTTGTCATCTTTTCTGTTATTGATTGATGGGTAATTTAATTAACTAAATATGACATCAAAATCATTCTGACTTTGATGCTGATGACAAGAGACAAAAAGGTGTTAATTACAGCAAGCTCGGTCTCATAGATTCCTCATGGCATCTCCATACATGCCAACATTTGAAAATCAGAAATCTGTACAAATTATGCTTTTTTCAAAAAAAAGAGGAACAATCCTAACTCTCCTATTCAATACTACAGACAAATTTGTACAGGAAGAGGAACACCTGCATTAAAATGATAATTATCTTCTCCCAAAAAGAGGAATGTTCCTCTTTAATCTGAGCAGTTGGCATGTATGCATCTCTTGTTTCCTACATGAAAGTGTTGTCCTCTCTATACAAATGTACACCATCTGTTTCATGACCTTGTCAAATTTCCCATAGGTATGGATACAAAATATCATGGCTCAAACAATTTATACATGAACTTGTTTATTTTTTTTTAAAAAGCAAAAGATTGAAGATCTATATATTAAAAAGAAAATACCTTTGGAGGAGCAGCACTGCTAGTACTTGCTTCTTGGTCGTCAGCCATCTTCCTCCTCTTCTGCAAAAAGAAAGATATTTTTACTAGATTGATTTTTCTTTGAAGTGTAAGTTTGCAGCTCTATTTTTATACAGGTACATGTACACGCATGATAATAAAAGAGTTTACTTTGTACATGTACAATACCCACTCTCAGCTTTAAGCGAAACCAAAACCTGACATTTAAAAATCATGTTATTGTCCAACATCTCATATCTTCTATAAATACATTTATGATCAGCTGTGAATATTGATGTGGTTTCTACTTTCTAATCAATGATGACATAAATTATGGATCATAAAACGTCTTTCAGAATTTGCAGATTACACGTACATGTACGAACAACACAAGCAACTATAATAATAATAATAATGATTCAAGATTTTCAAGATTTCAAATTTATTCATGTTTCCAACAAAACATTACAAATCAATTATAAGCATTTAAAACAAATTTAAGAAATACATGTTGGAAACAGAGGGGTCCACTAAAAAGCAATGCTTGTACAAGTGTGAACACCTCAAATGAAACTTAGGAATAATGAGTAATTAAATTAAATAATCTGTAACAATAATAATGATAATAATACATGTAATAATAATACAAATATTAATAATCATAATGTATCATCATCGTTTATTATTACAACAATTGTAACAATTTCAAGGATAAATTAACGAATCGTAAAACAGCAGTTACACAAGCCTAAGATCATCGTTACTGAAAAAAACTTCAGCACAAATAAATAATCATAGTGAATATATATGTACATGTAGTTGTACTAGACGGATTATAACATGAACTTTTATGGCAAAGGTAAACATGTATAAATTTTGCAATGTCCAAATAGTAAACTGAGCATGTATCAATGTCTAGAATATGTTTACCCAGTATATCACGGTTAAACAGACTTTGCATACCCTTAGATATAATGCAATCATTAATTTGATAAAAAGATAAGTACCCTTGCATATAAGTACCTGTATAGTGTAAATGATCGTACGTGGTCTTAAACATGAGCAATGTACAATGTTTACGTACATAACATGTATACATACGTGCACCTAGAAAATTCCTTTTTTTTAAATAAATCTAACAGCGGAAACCTTTAATTCTATTTTTATAAACCTAGCATCAAACATGCAATGGATGTACATGTGTAAGTAACAAAGGGGATATAATTTTCCTTTCTTTTCTTTTCAATTGTGATGATCGAGCAAACACAAACAATCACACCTAAAATTGCATCGTATCCATACACTTGAATGATTTTTCACAAAGCACATACGGGGTATGCATCGTACTGACGGAAGTACTGCAATGTAAATATTGTATGCCCCTGAAAACTCTGTTCACGTGCACATTCCGTTTACATTTACAAATGCATTAGATATACAGTATCTCTAAAAACACTTGCTCAATTTTAGTGTAACATATTTGATTGTAACTATACATTCCTATGGGCTTTGTGCAGACCATTAAAGATTCAATCACAAAAAAAAAGTATTTGAAAATCCACGTCACAACTCGTGAAGAAGAAAAAAGTGAGAAAAAACACAAAGGTACCCTCCCACCTTAATTTATGAACATGAAACTGCAAATCCAGGCATAAAAACAAAAAGGACCCGACATACACAGACATGTATGAATCCTTTCTCTCTCCCTCTCTCTCTCTCTCTCTCTCTTTTGTGCTGAATTATTGGGGCATACTGTGTTTCCTGCTATTCTAATTTAACCAAAAAAATAATAATAACATATTGGAAGATTAAAGTAAATAACAAAATTGTACACTGGTAAAAAAAAAAATAGTTGTAATGTGGTATACATGTATGTAATTTTTCAAAGTGATATCTAGACCAAAGGTACCCACAACAAAAATGGTCAATTAAAACCACAAAAACATTTATTATCATATTAGACTAAATAAATGTACATCATCATCACATACCGGTACCCTGGCTCTGCTTGTAGAGCGGCGTAACCACATACCGCGAGTCATGGCGTATCAAATGTGGAAACTAATCTCACTGGGCATTGACAGAAACAATCCACGAATACAATCACTGAATCCCTTCTCCGTTCCTTCCAGAAAAGAGACAGAGAAATACCCCCAAAGCAAGAATTTTTCCTTCTGCGAATTGAAAGCTGTGAGCAGCCACAGAGACGAGCTCAAAGTCTGCTGCAGTGCATCTACGCCGCTAACAGCTTATGTTTAGAGTCCAACAACCCACCCGCTTTTATACACACATGCCCACATTGGAAATAACAAAGTTCAATATTTCAGAGGAGTCTCTCTCTTTCTCTCTCTCTGTGCCTGTCTGAACCTGACCGTCTGACGTAATGACTGGGTATAGTCTAACTACATGCATTGGCCTGGTGCCAATTTCAAGGCTGATGATTCTGTGTAGTGATTGAATGTTTGTTCCTCCATCGGAACTGACAAACATACATGCAATCATGTGAATAATATTGGAAAGTTGAGGAAGGTATCACACGTTACCGACAAAATATACGCAATAATGTAACTAAAAACAGAGACAGGGTATACAAGTCTGTAAAGGTTACAAAGATATTACAGAAATAAATCCCATTATTCTTAATCCAAAGTACAATCAAGTGATCCTTATTTATCAATCATAGATCATCAAATTGGACTCTATACTCCCAGGCACTTGCACGAACATGTCCTCAAACTGTTTGCACTGTGTAAGGCTTGCTGATATTACATGACACTTAATATTCTCACTTCTTCTCACTGGAACTTCCATTTTCATTCAGAAATTAAGAATGCTGGTACTACTACATGTACTAACATGTACATGTATACCAAACAAAAATTGTTTAATGTAACCATGATCTTTGATCTTTTTTTTCTTCTCTAATTAAATTCATTAAAGGTAGTAGTTTTTCAAGGCATTTGTGTTAATCATACAATGTATATAAAATGAGTAAATAATGACAATACCTGGCCTAAACATATGCCTCAGTATAATCAAAATCATTTGAATTGATAAATTGAATGACGTGTGTCAGTGGTGTATGGGTTCGCTCAAAATATGTATAAACTTTAAGCAAATATAATACACTTTAAAAAAAAATATAAGAACATTTAAATATATGCAAAGCCCTGCCCCTTTCTTAAATTAGACCATCTCCATATGTGTTTATCAAATAATAAAGCGACTTTATCGTTTAAAAAATCTTTCTTATTTAAGAGGTAATCATATGAAAGTACAAAGTAAAGTCAGTATCAGATGCTACTGTACTGTATATACCGTGCAGAGTGGAAAGAGAAAGTACAGACTACAGTGTACACAAAAATGTACATGTACTTATGATTAAATATAAATGTTCATGTTACATGCCCGAAAGCCCACAATGAACTGATCATACATGTACATGTATTTAAACCCCCTTGGAGGTGGCATGACTTGATTTGGGGTCAAAGGGGTCAAAAGTTACCTCAGTTATGTTTTCCCCCTGCTTAAAGTCACGAAGGAAAAGGGGACCATGGGGGACCAACGGGTACCGCTTAGGCATTGTTTGCTATACAGTGCATCCCAGAATAAACGAAACCGAGAATTGTCTATATTAATTATAATTAATTATAATTAATTATAATTAATAAATGACATATATTTGTAAAGCTTATATCCTCCTCTTTCATTTGATGCAACTCATATGATGCATATTTCATGCATGAGTGATTAAAACAATTTGAAGAGAGGGTACCAAAAAGTCATTTGGCGGGCGGTTTCTGAATTTCAAAGAGAACATCACATTTCCAGACAGTTCATTTTCTGCCCCTCCATATGATACCTCAATCAGAAAAATAAGCCAGGAATAACAAAGTTCTGTTTGTAAATTGTATGAAAATTAGGTTGCGCAGGAATTAGCCTTCTAATTTGTGAGAGGTAAATTTCTTTGGAGCTTACAAAATTGAGGGTGATATGATACATTCATGATTTGCTGAGTGAATTTCATGGTTTATTAAACCAAACTTGTATGCATGAGTGAACAGGAATTGCATTTTTTATTGTAGCATTGTAACTTTCCCGGGTAGACTCAGTGGTGTGTTCATCAGGTTGGGGGTGATGGGGTACATATTGTAATTTCCATGTTACAAACTGTTATTTTTAATTTCTGAGCCTTTGAATAAAAACCTTCACCCACATTTCAGTTATTGTAAGATTAGTTGAACATCTCATTGATTAACTTAATAACCAGATGGGGATTATGTAAATTGATATTCAAATACAGTTTTGTTGAAAACAGGAATTATATATTTTTTATTCGGCAGCCATTTCAAAAGTGTATAGTTTTTTGGGGGGAAGCACAGTATATCTAAATTTTTCACCTACATGCATCTTTCTCTACCATTTCTGCTTCCTTCTTGATTTGGCAAGAAAGGATAATGTCAATAATTCACAAAAATAGATAGAATAATGTACACACACTTGACAACGGTCATTGTCAGAAACAAACACCCTACGATTCCTAAATCAAATTCATCTAAATCAAATTCATCTAGAGCACAGACGTCCGTATTCTACTCGACTTGACATTGGATCTTGGCTTTTGTCCAAAATCAGGTTTAACAAAGTTAGTTAGTCTGAGGTCTTAGTTTCCCTTTACTTACATTTTTCAATGTAATTTTAGACCTAGGGTCAGATTTAACTGAATTAGTAAGGGAAAAAATCAGAAATTCTAGACCTAGCATCATTATGATCACTGATAAGGCTTGTTCCTGTATCATGGCAGCAAATTTTTTTTTTTAAATCCTGCCTGGTAATCTTTGTTTTGGAATTGCACTAGAGACACATTTTGCAGATCTTACCCCAAAGCCAGGTTCAAGATAACAATTAGCAAACATGCCAACCTTTGGAATTCAAAAATTGTATTCTTTCATCCCAAAAGTTGTATTTTACTGAACAAAATTGTATTAAAAAAGAAAAAACACAGGACTGCTATGCGGATCAATACCTCTTACAGAGGAGCCAGCCCAAACTGAACAAAAATCCTATTCCTTTCCCCCAAAAATCCTCTTTTCAGAATAAAAATCCCATTTTTGATTGATAAGAAATTTCTCACCTCTAACCGTCATTTTTTTTTTTGGGGGGGGGGGGGATTTTTGTCAATTTGCATAAGTTCCTACATGCAGGAAGAACATTTTTTATGGATCATTGGTAAAATATGCATGATTTTGTCATGACTGATGTGTTCTATGAACCAATGAACATCCCCAAATTGCTGATGTGAGATGCTTGTAGGATACTTTACAGAAGAGAATGGGCTATAAAATCGTACTGATTGGCAGCTCTGCAAAGTGCAAGTAGCCCTCATTGAACATTTTCAAAAAATCCTATACATCCACTCCTACTCCTAGTATACATGTTATAAGGATCTTATTTTTTAAAAGATTTACCAGAGATCATAACTAGACCGTATTTAGCCTGGTAAATGTTGAACTCTACCGATCCAAAACAAAAATCAAAATATTGTTTTCCTTTATCTTCTAAAGCTTTTGTATGAATGAAGAGTTCAGATAAAATTGTTTGTTTTCTTTGATGATTCTTACACATCAGTCACATATATTGTTTAAAAAAAATTGTTATATATAAATGCAACATCGTCTGTTTGGATCCACAATGGCATTGATCTACATGTATATTACGTCAACATCGTGATAGCGCCCTTGTGACCCCCTAAGCAGACTTGTCCATTAATATTGTTGTACATTTGTGTATCACATATTCTATCATGAATGATGTGACATGTACTAGCCTTGCATTGTTAATCTTTTGTATTTTCATATCTTTGTTTTGTATTTATAGAATTGTATAATATTCCATTACTTCCTGTGTTAATAAATTTGCATTTAAATAAACATCAGTATTACTGCATCATATATAATGACATTGCTTGATCTTGCCTGTAAAAATTGCATAAAGCCACACTTTTTTTTTTTGTTGAGGAAAATGGATTATTCTGCCATCTTTGGTTTTTAAAACAGCATTGTTTACTCTTATTATTCTTATTAAAACGGCGCCTTCAACTGCAACTCAAAGTAAAATTGCATGCGTTTTCGGCGAGGGACCTGGGAAACTGCGGAGTGGTATGGTAGTGACAAAAAAAGAAAAAAAAGAAGAAAAAAATCAAAAAATCAAAAAATTAAAAAAAAATCAAAAAAATTCAAAAAAATTATTAAAAAACATGGCGTCCAAATATTCGAGTATTCACTTGTGAGCCTGGGAGTGTACTCGGGTACCTCATTACACTGTTGTGCACAGCCCTATCATAAGTATTTGAATCCCCTGCAACTCCACCATATTTTCACAGCACCCATGCTAATTCATTGATAGGCCTACATGTAAGTCAGTGTTTTACTCAAGTTCGACTACACTTTCATCGGCATGTTTACTCGTAAAATTACAAAGTCCAAACCGTCGATGCTTCAGATGTCAGACCATACACACACCAATCCAGCGTAATCAGAACTGCACGGACAGTATAACCGTACGTGGGGCTACAACTCTCCTTCACGTACCCCTATAGATGGTACTACACTTACGCTTCCGCGAACGTTTCAACACGGGTTCGTTGATGAAATTGACTTTGATTTTTTTTCTTCAGAGATAACCGTGGGATTAACAATTACAAAAAGATATTTTGAGGAGAGCTTTGATATATTTTGACTCATCATTTATGAAAGTATCGATCTGGCGTAATGACGGAAAATATGAAAAATACTTTTCAGACAGAAAAAAAAGGCGCTTCAGTTTTTGCACATTAAAACAGGGTTTTACAACCAATTGCAATGATTATGATTCAGAACAACTCCTCTTCTTCAATTTGACATTAAAATCATTTCATTTTGGTGTTTTTTTAAAGCGAGATATAACAGTTAAGCTGAGACTCTATCATAGCGGTTTAGCATAAACATGTTGTTTACTTTATGCAAATTAGGCTTCCAAGAAAAAATCTGTCACACAGGCATGGGGCTAGGGTACAATTAAAGGTAAAGACCAGTATTGGAAACGCCTCAATTTCAAAAAATGAAATAGAAGCTCTCATTACCAATCATGTGATCATGCAATCGCATGACCAGTTATGGTCATGCGATTGCATTGTGAAAGAAACATTGTGGAATCGATCAGAAAAGGTTGATCATCTAGCATCTAGCATCTGCAAGGTTCTGGAATCATCAAAATGATAAGAAATTCGGCCCATTCTTCATAAAGTTACAAGCACTATACACAGAAAGATGTATATGGGACTACCCTATATCTCTCACAGACCATGAGAGAAACAAATTTACCGAATATATGAATTAATAGGTGGTTTCCCGGCAAATTTGTTATCATCATGTATTAGTCAAAACATATTCTTTCACATGATTGGTAATGAGAGCTTCTATTTCATTTTTTGAAATTGGGGCGTTTCCAATACTGGTCTTTACCTTTAATTGTACCCTTGCCCCATGCCTGATAAGATACATCTAAAGATATCTGTATCCGACTCTATACAGCACTTGTCTAAAGCTTACTAGTTGAGCGTGTGGTTGGGTAGAATAGGGGAACAGGGAAGGGTGGGGGGGGGGTTAATTCTATGGCAAGATGGTTAAGGCCTTTCTTAAACTTTATATTGTCAGGGAATAATTTTCTTCAAATTTTTTGATTAGCAATTTCAGGCGATGGATAAATATTTCAAATGAAATTCTGTACATTTCTATGGAAGAAAACTGCTACATAAAAGATATTTTGTATAGCAGTCATGCAAAAATGCATAGCAAATTGCGATGCGATACCAGGAAAATTATTCCCTGATTGTTGTAATTTAGCATGTAGAAAAAGGGGTTTGCTCTTTCCTTGTGCTTGAAACCTTCCACTATATTTAGCATGTCATGAATGCTTGTGTGAAATTACACCACTTTCACAACTGAAAATGTAATAAAGTTTTAAGGTATGCGAATACAGTGTATGACGAACATTACTTTACTCTGGGGGAGATTCACTTAATTTGAATACAAAGAATTCTTCTTTTCTGACTAAAAGTCCATGTACAGTACATGTAGTATCAAAACTACAACCAATCACAAGCACTTGAAAAAAGAAGCTCATAACATCTGCTTGGAGCCAGAAGCATGTTAACTCATATATTTTAAAACAATTAACACATTTCTAACCTGCAGTAAGAGTGCAAGAAAAGAAATTTATATTTAGAATAGCTACCCTGGATAGCTCGAGTAGGTCCACATGCCATAATACACCAAATGTTCACATAAAAATTGCACTTGTAGAGAAATGGCCAAGTGAGGGAGCTGTTTCAGAATCTCAAGCTATCATCATAGTCATGGGTAAATTTATGTGTTTTTTTCCAACAAATTTATATGCAGAAAGAAACCTGAAGTGTATTTACTTTAAAAATCTTTAAAATCTGCAATGTGATACTTTCGGCTTGATTAGCAATGTTCATCAAATATTAGAGAAAATATTAGAGAAAATTAGGGCAAGTCTCAGGAAAACATGTACATAGAGAATTACCTTTTAAATTGGTAATTGTTGTGGTTGTGGTTATTTTACCTGACTGCTAAGAAAGCATAAATGCTTGTAAGTAAGCTTTTTAAGTTTGATAGCTGATTTTGTATGGAGAAATCTCCCAATAATGGGGGGGGGGGGGGAATTTTTTCTGAAAATAAAAATTAGGGAAGTCGGTCAGTAAGGAAGGTTGAGGAAAATCAGAGAATGGAAAAGAAAGTGATGGATTTTTAAACTTTCATTTGATCAAATGCAACTGTGAACTTTACCATTTTAGCACAACTCACATTTGTTTTTACTCAAAATTTCATACATATAGATATCATTTTCTTTTCATAAGAACAAATTTTATGTGTCCTTGATACCCTCTCTATGAAAAACATTCACTGAAATGGAATGTATACAATTTTCAGTACAAAGCAAACAGGATCAGGAGTGGTGCTCAATAGATATTTCACAAGGATGTCTCATGCTCTTTATTTGATTACGATTTTGAAAATCGATAACCTTCTTATTTTTCATTAGATTTTTTTCTTAAACTTTCACTGATCAATTTAACCATTTTTTCTGCTTTTAGTACAACCCAATTATTTCCTTTCTTAAAAATGAGAACAAATAAATTGTGATCTGTTTGTTGGAATGTGCAAAATTGCAAGATTTCTTTTTCTTAAACACTATCAATATGCCTAAAAAGATAAATAATTATCTTATACAAATATTTCACTGCTTTTCTTGCTTTCATCAACAATGGGAAATGTTCTTAATTAGTCATACTCAAACTCAAAGCACTTAAATTTTTAACAAGTCTACAGACTACAGTACACACATTACACATATTTATTTTTAAGTCGCAAACTGTCAATTAAACTTATATGTTGGAAGACTATCGGGACATCTACAGCCAGGATTACCTCACTCCGATGATGACGATGATGATGATGAAGATTAAGGCGTTACTCCCCCATTAGTATTATTATTTTTTAATTAATCACTCTTAATGCTACAACACCTTTTCTTAATAATTTTACATCATAGAGTCTACATCTACATGGATGATGATAAATCCATTTTGTACATCCAGACATCTCAGACTCGGGGCCCATCAACCAACACACTTTTATTGTCACGTTTGTGTTTCTTTGTTCATCATTCATCATGCATGTAGTCGCAGAGGACACTCTCACATAGACAAAAATATTCTGTTTAATGTTACCCACTAATAAATCTATAGTATATAAATCATATCAACTACAGTGGCCTGGCTCTCGGGAGCAAGCTAGCGCTACACAAGCCACTGCACAGTGCAGTGGCGATGCACTCAACCCCCACGCTCACACAACAAACAGAAGCACAGACAGTGCAATTATTGCATTGGTTCTGTACACTCAGACAGCATCGCGTCCTCACTGAGCACTTCAGCTAGGGACCTCCCCATCAATAATACACATGTGGAACAGATGAAGGTCGCAAACACAACACTTACCGAGCCTAAACATGAAATACTGACAATAGAAAGCTTTCAAATTCATCAAGAGCATTTCAAATGTAATCATACACACTTGGATATCATGCGATCTCCTTAATATTGTTTGATTATGGTAAAAAGATTAAATTAACGTACCTTTAAGTCCTCTATCCGGTAATTTATTGATACCGCTCGCTTCTCGATCAACAACGCTAATGTCAATGCTTGAACGTAGATGGCGACAATCCAGGATAGCTTACGGCGAGTTGGAAAGTGGTCGTAGACCAAACGCGGCAATATTTAGATTTCTTCTCCAGAGTTGATGTCAGCTCCACCATTGAAAAAACTCGAATTATCTATTTCAAATTCTTGTGAGACTGTTGAGTTGGAGGGAAAGCTGGAAGACGAGGTATGAATGTAAACAAAAATGGGAAGGCCTCCAGCGTATGATCATAATAGATCTACTTAAATTGCTCAGGCCCACATCATGAAGTTTGTGTAGGGTCTACCTGGCAAGGATAATTGGTGAAGGCAGTAAACTTGAGTAGACTAAGTTTAAGTCCCTTTTGCAGACCTGTAAAAACTCCATTTAACTTGGCGAGTGTTTAAAATATATCATTCAGATACCGTGTGTTAATTTTTAAAGTCATGGCCATATGACTTGAATGGTTTAAAACTTGTAAGAAATGAAAGTCCCCCCAAATTACTTTGTTGAACAATAATAATTTTGGATAGATATTGCTGCAGGAGCATCTATTCTCCTCTGATCAGCTGATAAAACGGTTTAATTTCTTTTGGATTACATACAAATATCTTCATCAAGCTCAGGATGTAGGTGTTGGCCTGTAATTCCCAAATATTCCAGAAGCTTTGTGTACATTTCTTTCAAGAAACTAAATGAATTTACATTTTTCACTTTTCACTCTCTCATTTTCTTTTTTTTAATTATTAAAACCAAGTTGTTTTCAGGGTGAACTTTACCTTTACCTTTACCCGAGATTCTGGAAGAATGCTGTGTTCTCAGCAGTCGGGCTTCCAGTTCAATTTCATTTTCTTCCTTTTGTAGTTGGGTGTCTTCTTGGTAAGTTTGTCTGGCTCAGTTCTGCATCAGGTATCCTATTCCTATGGGGAGCAGAAACGCTTGTTCTTCCATACTCTATCCAGTCTGGCTTCACCATTAACATTTCCATGCATATTTTCTCCTCGCCTAGGTCATGATAGCGGCCAGTGAGCCTCGTGCCTACGTTCCGTTTGGTCGCTCCATCTCCAGCCATCATCCTGGCCAAGACAGCTTGCCTCAGCAGAAGGACATTGTCTCTGACCATGACGTCCCCCTGGCTGCATTCAAGGATGTCTCCATTAGAGAGGGTCCAGAGGTAAAGCACCTATCCATAAGGACTGCTATCCATAACGCGCGACATAATGAATAGCGATCCTTTATGAATAGCGGCCCTTAATAAATAGCGAGCAGACCCCAGGACCATGATGTGAATACAATGAGGAGAGGGATAATACTAGGATAGGGCCAAAATAATATGCTTTTCACCCAAATTGGCAATATTTACATTTCTTACACTGTGTTTCATTTCCACTAGTATTGGGAAAGAATGATCCATGATTTTCAATTAATTGCATTATTTCAAGGGCATCTCAATTGGGGGCCCTTAGGTAAAGTGTCTGTCCATGATACATAGACATTACACTGAAAGAACATTGATTTTATGGGAGCAGAGGGAGTCTTAGAAAGTCATTTCAATACTGACAATCCTCTTTTTGTTTTGTTTTTCATTTCAGAAAGAATTTTGGCAGATAAGAGAGTGTGCCGATGCCGAGGATTGTGATGAAGAGCTTTATTTCAAAGATCGGGTTGTAGTGTGGAGCAAGGGATGTGGATACTCAACAAGCTCTGTTAAAAAAACCTTCACTCTCCAAGAATCAGTACAGCAGGTTTGTTTGCTTACAGGCTTACTGAATATTATTTAAGGTTGTAATTGTATGCACATAATAATCAGTTTAAAAAATTATGTATCCCCCTAATTATATTTTGTTACTCAAACTTATTTTCAGCAGCAATCTTGAAGATTTGAAATCATATGTTTAGGGTTACATTTTGGTGCATATGGTTGCATTAGATCGATTTCTTGACCATTGGCATCAGGCTGTTTTTCCTCTAAATTTCACTGACCTTTTATTTTTCTTCATTGATTTTGCCTTTAATGAAACCAATTATTTTCTTTGTAATCAAATCTCTAGTAGTACGGGTGTCTACCGGTAATGAGTTTCTGAATTTGATTTGTTTGATACCAATGTAGTTAAATTGAGGATTGAAAAGATTTCAAGACAAAATATTACTTTTTGTCATAGGTTGAATGGAGTCGGTTTCGAATGCAAAGACTTGAGCCGACAGATGTAGGCAAATCTACCCTGGGTGAGAATGAACAAGGTAAGATAAAGAAGAAGACAAAAAAGAATATGCATATTGATATATGTCTGTTTTCCTATTTTAATTTCTTTCTATTTTCATTTCCTTTGTGTGTTTTGTATGCACAAAGTCGCGCATCAATTATCAAGAAATCAAGGAATAGCTCTATTTGCAGCTAGTCTGTGAGGATAGACCCTGTTTGTCATACAACTTTAAAATGGCCATGTGTGTCAAATTGAACTGTTATAATAGGGGATATGTAGAGTCAAACCTGTCTATAATGACCAGCTATGGGAAACAGAAAGATGGACACTTATATTGGTTCCTATCTTAAAGGGGAGCATTTTATATGACCCCCTACAGAACAGTGGCCTTTACAGAGAGATGACCTCTATGGCAGGTTGGACTGTAATACACCCCTTCATTTGACCCACTTTTATGTTGTTTTCAACACTAATAATAGAATTCTGTTGCTTTAAAAAAAAAAAATCTTTAACAAACCAGAAGAGGATGTTCTTGGTATCAGCATCACACATCCCACTAGCATCACCGTCTTCACAGAAGCTGGGGAGAAGTTTGTTGCCTCACTCCCATTCCAAGTAAGTTCCTTTCATACATCATAACACAATCATCTAACCTACTCTGCTCCGTGTTGTTGTTGATGAGTTTAGAATAAATCGGAAGCGAAGTTCAGAATGTAACAACAGGAAAAGGAAGGAGAGTTATGGAATCTACATCTACAAAGTCCTCAAGCAGGTTCATCCAGATACCGGCATCTCCAGTCGGGCCATGGTCATCATGAACAGCTTCGTCAACGACATCTTCGAGCGAATTGCCGGCGAATCTTCCCGCCTCGCTCAGTACACTCTGTGATCTCCTTGATTCTATTACACATGTTTCACAGTGACACTTAAAGTTGAAATAGGAATTTCTGATCAACTAGAACAAATGTGACTTTTCATTTTGTTGGAATCCTTTTCTATTTTCAAGAAATAGATAGTGTTGAAGATTCGTTCCCAAACAGTTTTCATGATATCAAGTCATCTTTAAGTGTTTTGGTAAATTCTTGATTGCCAAATTTTTTAGCCTTGTAACCAGTTGTAGCTGTGTATTTATAGCAAGGGATCTTCAGTGAAGCTAGGCTGTTGGTCATTCATAATCCCACTGCCATTCTGTTGCTACATGTACAGTTTATAAAAGTATATTATTCATACCTTTACCAAGTTTTGTAATTTGTTTTAAGTATGTGAAAAATGTATTTGTCCCAAATTCATGTTTCTTGAGGATGTGACATATTAAAGCTTACATCTAAAAATATCCAACAAAGGCCTTTAATCAACCAGTCCTCCTTTTATTCTTGACTTATTCTTCAGTTGTTAGCTGTATATTTCTTGTGATATTAGCTGATAATTAATTTTCTTAAATTTGCATGATCTTGTTTGTTGACTAGGTCTCAAGAACATGGATAGTAGATGGAGGTATGTTACTGGAACAAGCTGTATCTCAAACAGAACTATCCTCAGTCTATAGTAAACGGTATGTTGTTATATCAGTTTCCTTTTCTGTAGTTGGCTGGAAATAATTGCTCTTGTTAATTGATTCAACACTTAATCATGTCCACCCAAAAAGATAACATGTAATTTCATCACCATATTTCATAATACCTCTCACCCCCCCCCCCCCCCACCAAAAAAAAGAGAAATATAGATAACCAAAAAAAAACCTAAAAGAAACCTGTTTAAACCCTATTCAATTTATCTATGAAAGGAGATGACTATTGAAGAATGATTCTTGAATTCTCTCTGAATAGTTATAATACTGTACGTTTTCTCGTTGATTTAATTATTTGCCTTTTTTGTTAATGGGGAAAAGTATTCTACTTGGTATAATTATTTTTACATTGATTCTTCATTAGTTTTATTGATTAGAGCTAGAAAGGCTTTAACTAGTTACACTTTACCTACAGTTAATGGCTTAGTGTGTTTCAATAGACATAATGTGATTATGGATTATTATTCCATTTTGATTTGTCATGGTTTTATTTTCTTTACATTTTCAGGGAGAAAGAGAAGCTACCAACTTTGTTCAGTCTGTTACATCCCTTAGATGAACCTACCCCAGTGCTGTGCAGAAATGGAAGTAAGTTATGCTTCCAGTTTTGTGTAATTTCTTATCATCAAATTCCTTAATTCAAGAACATTTTGATGAAAAGTATAGATGTGTACATGCTACCTTTAGTTGCTGCACAGGATTTGTTAATGTCATGATGCCTACTGTAAACTTTGTCAAGAAAATGTTATGTTTTCAGAAAAATGAGACTGGAAAATATTCTAAAATTCAATATGTATTTCATTCTTTTTTTCTCTTTCTACCTTAGGCAGTGGAAACACAAGAGTCAGTTTTGTCACAGACCCTATGCAACAGATTGTCTTCACTAGTCAGAAACCCTCCCTGGTCATGACCTTTGACCGGTCAATCGGAGTTCACTCGGTCTGGGCATTGAGAAAAGTGAAAGAAGAGGTCTGAACGTTTTGCAACTTTTTTCTCACACTATTATCATGTTACTTTCTTTCATGTTCACATATATCTTGGTAAGAAGTTACAAAAATACACCAAATTCTCTTATATTAAAATTCATGCTGCATGTTTCTGGTACACTTCGATAGTTGACTTAAAAAGATCTAATGTTTTCATTAAATCCGTCATCGTCAACTTATGATATATCTGGCAATTGCTTATATTTGAATTCTGAGATATGTAATATTTCACAATTCATCCAGTCGCTGTGACGAAACTATAATAAAACCTCCAATTTAATTTAAGAAATAAAAAAAAGTAAAGTGATGTGTATGCTGTTCTATTTGGTGTTAGGATGTCTGTAGATATAAATGGATTATTGTCATGAATACCATTGTCTGCCTATTAAATTCAGGAGGCAAACACAGCAGTCAAGCTGCTGGACGTCCTCAGTGGATCTCTCTCTCTCCACTCCTCCATGGCCAACACCACTGGTCTGGGTGCCACGCCCAAGCACCACAGCACCAGCTCCACAGCCAGCCTCCTGGCTGGTCTCAGCATGAGTGCCCAGTCACGCCTCAGCATGTGCAGCGTTTCGCCGGCCATGTCACCCGCACCGGGGTTCAGAGGTTACGCCCGTACCCTGGCCTCGCCTCACCTGGCCTCCAGAGGGCAGAGTCCCGCTCTGTCTCATTCAGGAGTGAAGTGAGTGTAATGAAGACAATTTTGAATGTTCAAAAATCAGCTTTGTAGGGTTTACAACCGAGTCTTTTGTGGAATGTACTGAAAGGTAGTTTGTGTAGTGTTAAGATATATGTCTGCTGGTTTAATATGCAGATATGGTCAGACTTTTTGTGTTTTGAAGTAGAAGCATCTTCCAAAACTAATCTTATCAGAATTCATTGTTTAAGCTACTTTTGTCCTGAATGTATTCTTCATTCAATCTGAGAAAATGTGTATTTGCATTGCTGCATACATTTCAAGAATTTGCCTCAAATTCATTTGGAGTAATGGATAACTCGAAAGGGTTGACATTTGTAGTATTGAATGTGATCTCATCTTTTTCATATTTTTCATTTTCTCTTTCTCCTTCTTTCTCTAACAGTCGATCCTACTCTCCTGGACACAGTCTGCCTTTCTCGTCACCAGGAGTCAGCCAGACCCCCAGATCATCTTACCCCTGGACACCGGTCACAGGTAACACCACCAACATGACCACTATGTGTGAGGACATTGATGAACCATTGCTTCCTGAGCTGTGTCTTGAACATTGCTGGACAGAGCCTTTCACATCTAACAGGTAAATTAGATAACCCCCTCTCTACTTTTCAAGGAGGTGGGGGAAGGGTAGACAATTTTACATGCATTTGAACCCTTCTCTTTTGGCATGATGGTCTAAGTAGCCATGGCTTGTCTTATCCTGATTTTATTTGATCTGTAATATAAGGAGTAACAATTGATTTTATCTCCTTCAATCACTCGCACCTTTACAATAAACAATAAACTTACAACATATTCTATGATTATATACAGACTAGCAGGACCCGCGGAAATCCGCGGGATTCTAGAGGGGGGCGGGGGGTGTAAATAGATATATAGAGACTGCCTAAATTAAAACCACCAAGAACTTTATTTGCCATTCAGGCCATTAAAAAAATAAACATGTTTGGCGTCCCCGCCCGCTTCCTTTTTGGGGGCCGCCTCCTATTTTTTTTTTTTTGAAATTTTTTTGAATTTTTTTTTTTTTTTTTGAAAGAAAAAAAAAACAGCGTCCCCGTCTGCTTCCTTTTTGGGGGCCGCCTCCTATTTTTTTTTATTTTTTTTATTTATTTATTTATTTTTTTAAATTTTTTTGTAATTGTTTAATATTTTTTTTAAGAAAAAAAACAGCGTCCCCGCCTGCTTCCTTTTTGGGGGCCGCCTCCTATTTTTATTTATTTATTTTTTTATTTTTTATTTTTATTTTTTTATTTTTTGAAAGAAAAAAAACATGAAAAGCACTGCTAAAATGTATTTCTGATTTTAAAAAAGAAAAGAAAAAATTGTCGGCCGCCATCTTGAAAAATAGCCAGAATGTCAGGGAAAATGTACGGAGCGGCCATTTTGAAAGAAAAAAAAAAGAAAAAAGGGCCTCCTCCTTCCCATTTTTCGAAAAAACAGGACGCTAAACATGTTTTTTTTTTAATTTGGCCTTATATAAAAAAAAAAAAAAACGATCCAACTGTACTTGTAGTTATTCTTTAAGCCACTGGAACTGCGTAGAGTTCCGTAGTGTGGCGTACCGACTACGCAGAAATTAGACTGCGTATTAATGGGAAAATAGTCCCTGCGTAGATTATGCGTAGGCTGGCGTACAGGTTTGCTTATGGTTGCTTACTGTGTAGAAAGCTTTTACTGCTTTGACGATCTGGCGTAGGGTAGCGTACTGTTGCGTAGTCATGCGTAGTGTTCCGTAAAAAGGCGTACTTTCTGCGTCAAGTTTCTACGCCGAAACTACGCGAAAAAAATTAAACATGTTGAATTTTTTTCGTTCATCTTGCGTACCTCTTTCCGTCCCTCAGCATATAGTAACGTAGGCCAGCGTAGGTGGTACGCAACACTACGCAACTCTACGTATTGACCCCATGCCAATTAGTGACCCGCAAGTGTCACAAATAAAGTATTAAAAATATGCTCATCTGACCCAGTGACCCTAATTAAACGCCTAAACCCTCTGATCTGATCTCTCCCCCCCCCCCAACTTTGAAGAACGTAACCCCCGAGCTTTTGGGGGTTTATGGCCCCTTGAAACCCGTGGACCCCACGCCTATATTATACATACACTCCACTCAGGACCCGCAGAAATCCGCCTGATTCTAGAGGGGGGGGGGGGGGGCGCAGGCAAAAAATTATTTTTTTTCATTTCGGGGGCTCCATTTCAAATTTTTGGGAAATTTCTGGGGGCTACGTTTTCATTAATTCATAAAAGGATAGGCCTACACTTTGTTGGGATTTGTTTAGTAGGCTAAGGTTTCAGGCTTCCTACTTCATAATTGCCTAGGCCTATTTAAAAAAAAAAAAAAAAATTCTAGTTCAATAACTAAGTTTTCATGCATTGATTTGATGCAAGAACTGTAACATAATTAATAGACCCTAGATTGTGATTATTTCTGACCATGAATTTCGATAATCATTTTCAAAGTAAAATATTCACAAGAAAATCAGACAGTCGTTTAAAAACGTAGACATTAGTAATACTTTTACTAATTCGAAGCTCAGGTTTCGTACATCTATTCACGAAACTATATTGAAATCGCGGCAATAATGATGCAAACCAACAGATAACAATTTCAAAGTGTCAAATCTCTTCGACTCGAGCTCAGCTCAGCTGAACTCACACACATTCCAGCGAAACTCCAGGATCGAAGCTCGAACACCGACGCCGCAGGCCTCGGACGCCTGCGGTGCGCGGTGCCGGTGTTACACTGCACTGTGTGTAGTGTACGTGTGAGGAGTGAAGGCAGCTTTGCGACTGAACTGTCAGTCCAATGGTTTTCTTGTGAAAACTTTCCTTTAGAAAATGATAATCAAAATTTAGTAGCATGGCCGTAATAATCACGAAATAAGCTTTCATTTCATACCTCCATTCACGACACCTATATAAAAATCGCGGCAATAATGATGGAAATAGGTCCCTAAGTTTGGACGTGGACGGGAAGCTTCGTGTGTATCTCTGTGGCTCGTGCAGCTACTATACAATGGATATCCTATAGAAAGATGCTTTACTCGGGTAAGCCCGACCCTGTGCGTCGTGCATTTAATACGCAACTTAATGTGAGTGGACGGTCATCGGTCGTGTGTCTACGGATGTCATGTTGAATATCCATGAGGTATCTCTGTCGTCACGCATATCATGCGTTATGCATGTCGCGTCTGTTTTTGCCCTGGACGTCGACACGGAGGAGGACCTCGGGCGGAGTATAGCCAATTCGCTAGAGTAGACTCTCCCGCGGACGATGGCACCGGGCACCGGGACCCCGAGGGGAGGGTTCAGGAGGAGATAGCCGCACCAACTTGGGTCGGCGATCTCATTAAAAAACAATAGAATACAAAGGCTGGCGGAGATGTCGCGCCCCCCGCGGAGCCTTAGCGTATTATTATTATAGATACATTCGGTTCATGGTAAGATACCATTAACTGCAGCAAGATTGGAGATACAAAAGATTTTTCTAATTGATTGTAAAAGTCATGTATTTTATGTCACAGAGCCAGTGGTATAAAACCGTGAATATGAGTGAAGGTGTGCAGCTCTAGAGACACTTGGTGAATGATTTTTAAGGGATTTCTTCAGGGGATTAAAAACACACACTATAGCATGCTTTAACCTTTGTTACTTCAGTGATTAGTTGAGATTTGCAAAACTTTCATGCCATAGATTGATTGGAAACATGACCCACAAATGTTTGCTGTGACTGAAAAGCAGTCCATCAATTATGAAAGTTTTATTTTGTGAAAGTTTTTTGTTTTACAGTAGTACAGATATGATCTTATCCTTACATCAGGAATGGAATGGTAGTGACTCCAGAGCCTTTTTGAATTAGTCGCTTGTGATTTCTCTTCTTCTCATTCAGGGACGGCATTCTAGGTCAGGCTACCAAGGCCTTCCTGACCTCTGACCTGTCAGGTCAGGACTTCCTCTGCTTCCTGCTGCCTCGTACCCGTCAGCTCAGGTGCCTCAAGTTCAGCTCCAGCAATGACTGCACGCAGCTCATCTTCGGTAGCCTCACCACACTCCATGTTAGGGATGCAATCCAGCTAGAGGTAGGCCTACTGACTGTCCATTTGGTTCTGCAGTTACTGCTTGAGTGGACTGTCTTTGATTTGAATTCCAAGATTCCAAGAGTTATTATGACTGCATGCCTTTTTTTAGCCTTATTGATTGCCTTGCATCAAATCAACAATATGCTTTTCCGTTGTAAACCCATTGCCGACAGGACCCAGACGATTCCTTTCATTAAGCCTCAGGAAATGGGAGAAATAAGTTGTGAATCCAAAGTTTTTCAAACCCATACAAACACAAAATAGCACTTAGGCGCAGGTCGATGTAAAGTAATGTCCTAAATAAAATCCTGCACTGTCTTCTTCTAAACGAACTCATGAAATAAAACACATTGATTCTTTTTCTCCCATGTATTGTGATGTAACCCAAGGATCTGAAGATGATGGTCGTGGTGGAAGCCAATGGAAGCCTGGCCCTCTATACCGGTATCAACAAGGTCGGTAACATCCTGATCCCAGGGGTCGCTCCTACCATCATGAGCAGCAGTGTGGGACCAGGGGGTGTCATGCCACGCCCTAGTACACCCCTGGATAGCCCCTACTTGACTTCATCTCAACGTGCAGGTGTCTCACTCTCCCTAACCGATCAGGTAATTGGATCATGTCAGGGGTCAACGTAGAATCTCAATTGATTTTCTCAAATCATCCTTGTTAAAAATAAATGAATAATTAGAACATATTTCAACAAGGATATGCCAAGGACGCATAGGCAAGCAGGAAAGAGGTTTATTTTTAGTAGGTGAAACCTTAAGTGATGTTTGCATGCTGTCTCATGTCTAATAGGGAAGAAATATATACACTTGGTTTAGTCCAATGTTGAGGCTTTAAACCATGGTTAAAATTATGATGTGATTTAAACTTCTTTCATAGATTTGGGACATTGTATAGAAATTCCAATGAAATTTGAGATTTTCTTCAACGTCATGTGTTTGTGTACCATCAAAGGATGACTATTTCATATTCATATGAGCTTTTATTTCATAGTGCTCAAGTGTTAAGTAGACAATCAGTTAAACAATTTGACTTTGCAAATGGAGACCAGGCCCCGTTGCATAAAACTTTTTCTAACCATAATTGAAACTATAGTAGCTACCATAATTGGCTGGCGAATTAATGGTAAGCTACTGTTGATTGCTTGCATTTAACTCTGTTACATTCAAGAGGATAATGCAGTTACAATGCATCCAAATCAAGCTCTTACCCTCTTTCTGACAACCTGTTTAACGACTTTAGGTGGTCCTGCTGTCCCCTGTACCTGGTGAGGTTGGTCACACCAAGCTTCAAGATTCCACCTGCAGTGAAGACTTGACGCTGTCTCACAGCGCCACCAGTGGTCAGCATGTCATTCGTCTTCAGGATTCGGTCAAGAACAGATTCACTGTGGTACCTTAATTTTCTTAAAGACTTTATGTGCAGAGATGTCACACATTGCACTGGTTTGCTGTTAAATTCTGAAGATCCTCCTTCGTCTCTTATGAGGAAGAAGGCATTTGTCTTTTATCACCTACTTTTTGTACCGCTAGGCACTTTCTTCCAAATGCAGTGCTGTTGATTGATGTAGCATGTTATGATAGCATGTTGATTCAGTTCATACATGGGTATGTTAAATCTAAGAATCTTTAATTTCATTAAGCCAACCAGGTATTTATATTTTTCAAAAACTCCCTCTCAGTAGGCTATATTTCAAGGAACTTGTGTTAGTTACAACTACTGGTATGTAGAATTATTATTATTTAAAGTATGTATAGTAGCATTTAAACAGAATTTATGATGGTATTACAAGTTGTCCTATCCGAATGTTTCTTTAAGAAACTTTGACATATTTTGTCTACTTTCTCACACCGTTATCAATCTGCAGGTCCTATCAAATGACACCATGATACGAACATCGCTGCCCAAAATATCAGTGTCTAATACAGGTTTGTTAAAGAGTTTCAGTTTCTTTTGATAGGGATCTGTTCTAGTAACTTCAGGGCCCATTGCATAAAACTTACCATTGATGGTAACTTTGCCATCAATGGTAGCTACCATGGAAACCTTGATTTCGATTGGCTGTTGAGCCCTGTTACCATGGTAGTTGCCATTGATGGCAAAGTTACCATCGATGGTAAGTTTTATGCAACGGGCCCAGGTCAATTGTTATTATGATGAAGACATAGAGAAGTACTATTGATCCGTCATTCACTATGAATGAAACTAAATGTGGGTATATTGTTGGTATCAAATAGTTATTACCATTTATTTATATATTGAATGAATCAAAATGACTTGAATTAGGTGCCATGAATTACATCATATTTGCAAATTATGCAAGTTTCTTCTTTGCTATTCCTTAAGGTTAATTCATTTCAATAAAAGTGATTTGACAAAGTCCTTTAACTTGTTTGTGGAGCATGAAGACCTCTTCTCTGATTCTCTGCCCAGGTGCTAAAAGGGTAGCGGGATACAAAAGGAATTCCTTGAATTCTATAAACACCCAAATCAGTACCATGGCTAGAGTAGAGTTGATATTAGATCACCTCGAGCACTCTGCTTGGTTGGTCCGTGCTGTGGTCGATGCATCGTTGGGTAGTTTTTTTCTGAGTGTAATTTGTAAATAGCTTTATATATTCCATATATTATTTGTTGTTGTATTCACAAATCAGGCATCTTTGTCACATCATCTGAGGGGCCTTTACTTAACAAGCTGTGCTTCAACCAAGGTCTCCTTGTCTTTCTTTATTCTACATTGTACTGTTATGATTATACTCTATTATATTTTGTTACATGTGATTTCTGGAAGACAAATAAACTTGATACTTGATTATAGAAGTATCTAATATTAGTCTCATTACAATTAATTCAACCAATTCTGACATCTTTTTGTACAATTGTATTGTATAGTTAATCTCTGTCTTGAGGCCATCAAGTACGTGTTACCGCGCGATACAGCCATCCAGTTTCAGGCCAGGTGGTACGCAACCAATCATGCACCTGGAGAGCTTCGTGACCAATCAGAGCTCATGACTTTTGCTTCCTGTTTGTTGGGTATGATGGGATACAACACTGCACAGCTCAACTTATTTAGTCAGGTGGGTTAAGTACATTTAATATACAATAATTTAGAAAATGAGAGTTAGAATATTGTTATATAGCTGTATTGAAATGTTTCAAGAAAATAAGATATAGAAAAAATTCTAATAAAGTTATTATTATTTAATTTATTAAAAATCCTATGATTATTCCTTGGTTTACTTGCTGTCTGTGAATTTGGATTGGTAAGCCATCATAACCCCTCCCAGTCCGTATTAGATATTTCTCAAGAGAGAGAGAAAAATATATAAGCTATTTGTATATTAGGACGTTATTATTATATAGATCTTAGATCTTGTACTGTAAAACTATTATTCCAATTATTTTTCAGGACACTGAATCAGCAGGTTCTCCTGTGGTAGCAGCCAAGAAACACAAGCCATCGGGCTGGGATGAGGTGAGCTAACAACAGAACAAAATGAGAAATAGCTCATCAAAAGCATGGTCATTCTATGTGTTTTTGTCGTTGAGCAATGTTAACTTTTAATATGTATACAGTAGGTTTACAGTTGCATTATGTGAGTGAGAGAGGGGGGGAGGATTGGGGAGTCCTGAAAAGGACTGTCGGTAATCTGTCTTTCTTGAGTGGGTGTGTAGTCCTGAAAAGGACTGTTGGTATAGTCTTGAAAAAAACTGTTTCTCGAGCTTATAGTTCTTGATACTATGTTTTTTCCTCCAGGTTCGCTCAGACTGATTTTGGAGTTGTTTCATTTTCTATATTTAGAAAATGTTCTCTGTGTTAATTTCCTCAAAAAAGTAGGTCGATGGCATCAAGTGTGCAATATGCATGGCAGAAATAGTGCTTTTATTATAGCCATTTTATATTTTCCCCCTTACCTTATCAGGACTGGGAGTATCTCTTCTCCTCGGACTATCACAATAAGGTGAAGGATACTCTACCAGTGTTCAACCACCCCGATACGGCGCCCTCTACCAGTTCAATGAATCCAGGCTCTTCTAATGACGATTCAACCAAACGTAAACCCCTGGAAACCTCGGCACTTCTCTTCCCCCACATACCTGGGCTGGCATTTGTCCTTCATCTGGTATACGAGGTAAACTGCTAATACTCTTATCATCATCTCCAGAAAAAGAAACATGTTTCTGATTTTAGTCATTAATGAGCTACTTTGGCTTATTTAAACAATTTGTTGACTGGGATGTCAAAGTTTATGAATGTATTATTTGTCCATTCCATTCAAGGTGAACTTAATTTCTTCATATTTCACAAGATATTTCTACATATCTCTTATTATCTGGTATGATGTAAAAGTAATCAATGTCCCTTCTTAATGATTATCATCAACAACAACATCTAAGATTGACGATGATAAAATGTTTGATTTTGTGAATTGTCCATGTACATGTATGTATTGTACACTATTACCATCACTTTAGCCTCATCATTTGACATTTCCCAATACTCTTGCTTTTTGTGAATTAAAAATGATTTTATAAACCAGCAGGCATAGGTACCGAAGTGATGTATCCTATGTCGGTGATGTTTAGAAAAAATATGTGTTGATACATTTTTTTTCTTTTTCTTTTCTAGGAGCTGATGTTGAACAAGTATCTCAGACAAGATGTGAGAGAATTGGTAGTGGTTCTCAATCATCTAGCATGGTAAATATTTCTCAATACCATTCCAAGTTTATTCAAAGTCGTCTCTTACTACAAACACTTTGATGGCTTTACATGCAGCCTGTGACTTGTAAATGCAAAAGACAGCCATGATATTGGCAGGAACCAATTAGCCATTAGCCATTGCTTTTTGACATTTGAGTTTAAACTTGTATTGATGTATTGGAATGAACTTAATTATATACCGGTATGTAGTATTTTGTAATTTGTTCTTCGAGTATGCCATCTGAGTATAGAGTACAGAAGCTGTGACGTCATAAAAATCTATTTTTAGAATTTCTCAATTTTTTCTTCATTTTCCGAAAGAGCATAAAAAATAATGTCCAAATGTCGAAAACCAATTGAATATGTTAAGTATTGGCTGAGATATGATCATCTGAATAAATATATGTCCTATGGGAACTCAGTGTTATATGCTCTGGCTCCTAATGGTTAGGAGCCAGAGCATATAACACTGAGCTCCTATGGGGGGTATATTTAATCAGATGGTCATATCTCAGCCAATACTTAACATATTCAATTGGTTTTCGACATTTAGACATTATTTTTTATGCTCTTTCGGAAAATGAAGAAAAAATTGAGAAATTCTAAAAATAGACTTTTGATGACGTCACACTTCACCACTCTATGAGTGATCTTGACATGTTTTACCAAGCGTTTGTAATGGCAAATTGAATCAACCAGGGTCTGACATGCAGCTGCATGGTGTGGTTATTACTATAAATGTCTTTCATTTAATGGCCCCCACCTTTCCACCTTCCATATTTTTTTGTTCGCAGTGAATTGGACTGGTCCCAGTACAAGGATTACTACCTCAGGAACCACCCCGCCCTGTTCAGTTCAACTCCAGAGAAAAGCTTGACACCAGGTATATGGTTCTTCTGCCTCTTCTTAAAGCCCCACTGCACTAGCTACTTGTACCCTCTATATAGCAAACAATGCCTTATGGGTGCCTGTTGGTCCCCCATGATCCCCTTTTTCTTATGTTATTTGAGAGCTGGCTTGATGAGATAACCACCTGTCAGTGACCTTGCAGGGAGGTCTAATCCCCCTGGCCAAACTATTACAGACAGACTTTAAGCTCTCAATATCACTATCATCACCAACATCTTCATTTTTGCTCATTTATTATCTTCACGAAGATCATCATTATTGTCATCAGAATTATCATTGTACCTTATGTTGCAATCATCATCATAATTAGTATCATTGTTCACTAAGTTATCTTTATAAAATGTTGATCATCATCATCATTACTGTCATAGCCAGCATCATCATTGACAGAATTAGTTTTTTCTTATTAAATATAAGGTCAATATATCATAAAATATTTTAATATTATCATAGCACTAAAGTTTTAAACACTTTTATCAAAAAGTTACCATTGTGTATAAAGAGTACCATAAAGTACAAATTATGAAGTTATTTCATTTTTATCTAACCATTTTAAAAACATATAAAATATAAAAAATGATATAGTATATACAATGCCGTTGAATAATTCTTAAACAATTTATCAAGTTCATGATATATTTTTTATAAATATTTCTCTCTTGTCTGTAATACAGAAATGAAGAAAGATCTTCAAGTACCAGCCTTCTGGACTCCTCTACCACCCAGCATTGATCGCTACCTCTACAACTACATCAGGGGGGCAAAACAGGACCCCTTCCCAGTCTTGTCTGGTCTCTGCTCCAAAACTAGTGAGATGGTTTCTGTAAGTATGATAGCAATCTCACATTCTGAGCAGTCTTTCCTGTTCATTATTTTGCTGAATTTTTGTATGAATGATGTCTTTTCTTTTACTTACTAATAGCAGCTGTCTTTAGAATGTGTAGGCTGCATGATTAGATTGGAGAAGATCTTCAAATTGGCAACAAATAACCATTCACATGCAAAAGCAAGTAACTGTTTCTACTTGACATTTTTTTTAAATCACTTTTTGTGCAACCTATCCTGTTGGAGCGTACCTTCATGTTATGATTAAGAGGAATTTATGTTGCTATCATGTCCTTGCAGCTTTACATGCTTTGCATGACTGAAGGTATACCTGACCTAGCAGGCACACATCGACTCAGGAGGAGACAGTCTGTCAGTGGTAAGAAATTTATCCAGCTTTCATGAATTTGAAAAGGAATAGTTGATGTGTGATGTACTGTGATGTAGTAGGTATAGTATGGTACAAGTTTCAACAGAATATTTATTTTTGTTTGTTAAGGTTTTGAAATGTTTCTAGTACTAATTATAGCTACATTATATGTGGTACATGGAGTAGAAGTATTATTAGTTACAGCAGCAGCAGCAACAGCAGTAGTAGTAGTAGAGATAGCAGAAGAAGCAGGAGTAGTAGTAGTAGTAGTAGTAGTAGTAGAATAGTAGTAGCATTTTCAGTAGTACACATATAGTAACAGTAGCAGAGAATTGGACCTTGTGTTAATTTATCCAGTTAAGGCTATAGTACTGCAGTAGCTAAAGACATTGATGTAACAGTTAAGTCATACAGTGCTAAAACTTTCATTCCTTCTCTTCCGGCCATGCCAGCTTTCCCGTCAGACTTCAGCTCCATGGACAGCCTGAACACCTTCCTGCTGCGATACCCTGACCTCCCCTCCTCCCACCGGACAGTCCTCTACATGGCTCATCTCGGCTACACCCTGGCCACCCTTGCCTCCCTGCCAGTGGGCGTGGCTCTCCCTCTGATGGAGGCCATCTCACAGTGTCAGGACGCCCCGCACTCTGGCTGGCCCAAGGGGGCGTATGACCTCCTGGGCAGGCAGGACCTGTCCAACCAGGTCCAGTGGCTTTCATCGTCCAGTAAGAAGCATCGGAGGTCAAAGGTGAGATGTGTGAGGCATTGGTTAAAGCCCGACTGCACTACTTATAGCTACTTGCGCCCTCTATTTAGTAAACATTGCCTAATCGGTAACCATTGGTCCCCCATGATCCTCTTTTTCTTATGTTAAGAGAGAGCTGATTTGATGAGATAACCACCTGTCAGTGACCTTACAGGGTGGTCTAATCCCTCCTCTAAACTAGTACAAATGGGCTTTAAGAAAGCATTCATTCTAAATGAACATGTGATACACTACTCAGAGTGTGTTCAGAGATGTCAGCACATGGAATGGCTTATGACAGTTTTAATATTTTGTTTCCAGTTTGTTTTAATCGCTCCATGATATTGCTTAAGTTGTTATTCAATGAATTCAGGTACAATTATCTGTTAATGTCCATTTCTTCGAGTGAAACCGGAGCCTTGTGTATCCTTTCAACACTGTCTTCTCATCAAGCACTTCTTTATTCTGCTCTACTAATTATCACAAGTAGACATTTTTGTTGGTTTCAAACTTGAACATCACTTAAATTCTTTGCTCTGCGGAGTGTTGGGGTGGGGGGAAGGGGGGGTCTAGAGCTGTTGAAACGAGAAGGTAACTCCAAGATGAAGGGGAGGGGCAGAAAGGAAGAGAGAGAGGGAGAGAGAGGAAGGAAGTAGTTAGCTTTGGCTGTAATGGACTATCTATCAGCATCCAATTTGCACGTCTATTGTATTGGCATGTATGAGATTCCAATGTAACTTCTGAGATGATTTCTCCCCCCCCCCCCCTTCCTCAGACCCACTGTGGTTCACCAGGGAGTGGCCCTAGCACCATGGCAACCAAACAAGATGAACGTGATGGGATGGAGCATCTAGACCAGGAGCTCCTTCGGCTCCGGTTCCCTGATGATCTCCGCGTCCAGGAGGTCCGGCGTCTCCTCCAGTCCTCTAAGCCTGTCACCATCGCTCTCACTCAGAAACCAGAAACAAGGTCAGCAAAGGTTGCATTATAATTATATTTAAAATACATGAACATCTAAAGGAAGGCAGACAGGTTTAAAACAAGAGTAAAATGATTTGTTGTAGGATATTGAATTCAATGTATTTTTTTATAAAGGTTTTATCAATTACATATGATAATTTTTAGAGAAAAAATATTTTGTATCTAGACTTCATCCTGTTATGAACTAGGATTTTTTTTATATGTAAATTTTCATTTCACATGTCTCCCTCTCTCTCTCTCTCTTTCTTTGACCTTGTCTTTCTGTTTCTACACTGTTTCTACACTGCTTCTCTCTTCTCATTCTCTCGCTCTCTCTCTCTCTCTCTCTCTCTCTCTCTCTCTCTTTCTTGAGTTTGTCTCTGTATCTATTGCTCTGTCTGCCTCCCTTTCTCTTTACCTAACTCTTATTTCTCTCACTCTTTCTTTATTTTTCTCTTTCAGTGACCATGAGTTCATTGAAGAACAGGAACTACATCTGTTACTTGTCTCTCAGCGTACAATGGCTCTCCCAGTTGGCAGGTAAGGGCAAAACTCTTCTTCAATAAACATGACATATCTCATTTTTATTTTTTAAAGATGCCACTGAAAAAAATTACATTCATACCTTTCTCTAATTTTCAATACAACATGTGGTTTAAGCTTCTACCGACCTTAATATGTAGCAGGCAAGCTTTCATTCACTAATTCATTAATTTCTCAAGCCAAGTGAATCTTCACACAGTGTCTCTGTATCTGCTGCCTTGAGACCACTGCAGTGAAGAGAGGTGATAGAGCGTAACCAGAGTCACTATTCAGTGAAGGAATGTGTATTTTTTAAATGTACTTCTCTAGGGCATCTTGGTACTATTTTTTTTACCAGGTTTTTCAGTACTAACTTATTGACATTTTCTTGCAGAGGAATCTTCACACTCGGCACTTCCAACGCTGTCATCACAGAACCACTTCACGTTCCAAAGTTAAACCTCACCGGCAAGGCCCCACCAAGGTAAGCTGTCATGATCCATATAAAGTTGATGTTTGAATGTGATCTAAATCTGCTCTACTGATTATATTAATCAACTATGCAATTAGATAATCATTAAGAATGAAGGAATTACAGGCCAACTGTCATGAAAGTTGCATTCAAGTGCAGATTGAAATCAAATGGCTCGTACTGGAGATATTTACATTTTTTGCATGTCTTTGTTTTGGTATTTTTTGGGGAGATGATTTTTTTTCTTTCTTTCTTTCTTGATTTTTGTTGTTGCTGACATAGCAGATTTATTATTGAAGGTGTGAAAGTAGCCAGGGGTCCTCATCACCAAAAATGTCTTATATTCTTTATTGATATCTATTATTTCACTGTATGCATGGCTCTGCTCCGCAGTACAACATCGGCTTGATTAAGCATTACTTTCCCTCTAGACAGCTACGTTCTCAAAACTCTGGCTTACTTGTTACTCCTAGGGTTAAAACAAAGTGGGGGGAGCGAACCTTCGCTCGTGCTGGGCCTTCATTATGGAATACTCTCCCTCAATGGATTAAGAATAGCAGCTCTGCTGAAGTGTTAAAAAACAATCTTAAGAAATATCTGTTTAATTTAGCTTATAATTGATTACCATAACCTTTCATGTCTGTACCTTTCCTATTGCATTCTTTATAAATGTATCATGTACATGTTTCATCTTTTGCACAAGCTGCACCTTGAGCATTTGACTGTCAAGTGGATTTGGCGCCTTATAAATTTTATGTATTATTATTATTAATATTATTATATCTCTCTTCAGGAACAACACCATCAACTTTGTGAACATAGACGTACCAACCAACATGAACTCCTGGCCTCTCTTTCACAACGGTGTCGCTGCAGGCCTCAAGATCACCAGGGGAGACAACCAGGTAAATCATTCCTTGTCACTACACCATTCATACATACACACTTAATGTATGAAGAGTTGCCTCTTTCCTTCATTTTGGGGAAGTTGTAACTTGTGTCATGTTTAAACAAAAATCTTGATGCCACCTGCTTTTTTTTTCTTTTTTAATGAAAAAACATGAATGACATATTGCTAAAATGATCTTTTTCTGAATTTTAAAAAGAAAAAAACATGAATGCTGGCAGCCATTTTGAAAAATAGCCCAACTGGCTGGACGTCAGGGAAAATTTACAGAGCGGCCATTTTGAAGGAAAAAAAGGCGTACTCCTTCCTATTTTTCAAAAAGGCAGGACCTTGAACATTTTTGTTTAAATGGCCTATTTTTTGATCTGTTCATATATGCTGACAAGAGTGTAAGTAGATAAATGGAAATACATATGTACACTGTGTGTACCAAATACTCGAACAACTGAATCGTTCTCTCCTTTGATATACAAGATAGTGGTTACAAAATTAAGGGTGTAAAAGGCTACCTATTTTATGCTTTGCAGTGAATGTGACTTCTAGTAAAGTTCAGTATTTTTTTCCTATTTGCTTGTCCAAACAACACATGCAGTGCATGATAAATGAGCAATATTTTGTCTATAAATGCAAATCTATTAGGAGAACCCAAGATAAGCTGAAAGTCATTTGCAAACCGAGTGCTCATATATACCACATTTCTCTTTGCATTCATTCATTCATTCCTGTACAGATTGACTCTGCATGGATTGTGTACAACAGACCTCAGACGACCGAGTTACACAATGAACATGCAGGATTCCTGATGGCCCTAGGTCTCAATGGCCATCTATCCAATCTTGATAAACTCAATATACACAATTATCTCTGCTCTGTAAGTTGGATGAAATAGATAGATGAAATAAGATCAAATATGTTTTAATTTTTTCACTAGTTTGTTTTGTCTTTTCATTTTTTACATTTGTTGCCATTTGTTATCTTTTATACATCATGTTTATGTGAAGATATGAGTATGATTTGATAAAGAGGTTTCCTTTTAAGAAAAAATAATGAAGGTTGAATTTGGTTAAAGTAGAACATCATATGGATAATTTTATTGATTTTTAATGAATTTTGTGTTCTTAAATCAGATAACATTAGTTTGTATTCATTAGAATTTGTTGCATTTTATTAGATTGGATTTTAATTTAATTCAACTAGTTTGAAATTTATTAGAATGATATCATTGAATAAGAAATGTGTTTGACAAGTGCAATATGTTGCTTGATTCCTTCCTTTGCAATATTCAATGTTTGTTTGAAATTATAAGCTATGGTATAGAATTGTTGCAATTTTGCTTCAAATTTCCTTCAGTTCAATGCAATGCAGTGAAATGATTCTTTTCTTGCCTCTAACAGGGACATGAGATGACTAGTGTGGGATTACTTCTTGGACTTGCGGCTGCAAAGTAAGCTTTTATTAAACTTTTTCCCTTTGGGAGGGGCGGGGGCACTGTGACCAAAATATCAGTCAAAATTGTCATAATAACTTGTGAGACTCAGCGCAAAGGGATTCGTTTATGGAAAATTAAATTTATGAATAATTATGTCTATTTTTTGTTTTCTATATTTTATAAATGCCTTTAGAATACAAGGAAGTACATACGGTGTAAATTTTTCTTACAACTCTTTAACTAATAATAATTTGTCTTGAACTTTCCAGTTTGAATTTTCACACATTGTAGGGTAGATTTATGCACCATTCAAACATGTATTTTTATTAGAAAATTATTAATAGTCCCTTGAATGATGGTAAATACTGTTGCTTGCAGGCGAGGTACCATGGATGTTACTACCACCAAGATCCTGTGTATCCACATCAGTTCCTTGCTGCCACCCACATCCACTGAGCTGGACGTACCACACAGCGTCCAGGTGGCGGCCATCTTGGGAACAGGTCTTGTCTACCAGAAGACTGCCCACAGACACGTAGCTGAAGTACTGCTCGGGGAAATAGGTGCGTAGCTGGGCTACTCTAGTCTCTGATATTCTTACATTCTTGATCCAATCATGGATGATCTCATCAGAGATCAAACATCACAAATTTCATCTCTCTGAAAATGTTTTGTGCAGCAAATGTTCCTCAATAAAAAACATGATACAATATTTTGATATAATCATGGGCTGATAGGTTGCCATTTCTGAAGAATTTTTTTAAGTTGAGAGACAAAGCCACTTCTATGAATTCCACAGCTTGAATCAATGTATGGGAATCCCTCTCCAAAAGGCAATCTACACTGCAATACTGCATAAGAAGAGAATCTATTCTTTCCAATAGTGCTTGCATGTCTTGAATGTTCAATTTATAAATATATATTCGTTGAATCATTTATAAGCTTATAGTACTATCACTCTGTGGGTATTGTAACTGTATGCTTTTATACGATACTGATATTGCAGTTGCTACTTTGGATATAAGATTTTTTGGGTTGATCTGAGTAACTATATGTGAAATTGAATGTTAACATTGTATTGATTATCTTGTGTGATATAACAGGCCGCCCTCCAGGACCAGAGCTCAATAACTGTACCAACCGTGAGTCATACTCCCTAGCAGCAGGGTTAGCTCTTGGTATGGTCACACTAGGGGTAAGGACGATCTCTCTCTCTCTCTCTCTCTCTCTCTCTATCTCTTTCTCTATCTCTCTCTCTCTCTCTCTTTCTCTCTCTCTCAATAACTGTACCAACCGTGAGTCATACTCCCTAGCAGCAGGGTTAGCTCTTGGTATGGTCACACTAGGGGTAAGGAGGATATGTTGTTTACCCCTCTCTGTGTCTCTCCCTCCCCTCCCTCCCCCTCCCTTCCTTTCTCTTACTCTCTCTCCCTCCCTTTCTTCTTCCTGTGTTCCATACCTCTCTCTCTCTCACTCCACATCATTTTCCTCTCATCATCACCACTATATTTCTTTGTCTGTATGCCTCTCTCCATATTGCTTACTTCTCCCGATCTCTGTCTCTTCCTCCTAAACAAATTATGCATAAAATATTAAAAGCTTAAAAAAGAGAAAAAAGAAATATGAAAAATGCTCATGATAGTTTCAATGTTTGGAATTGGTATCTCTTGGTATCTGTGTATATAAGGGAATGGAGAAAGGACCTGAGTAGGCAAGAACCAAGTCACATAACACACAGGAACATGAGGGAGAAGCTCAGCGAGGAAAGAAAAAAATTTATGAAAGGGAGATAATTCATCTAGCAATTACGAGGTCTTTACCAACATGTTATTGATGTTCACTTGTAAATTGGCTTTTTTTGACATTTCTTTTCTCACAGCGTGGTAGCGGAGCTGTGGGACTTTCAGACCTGAATATCCCAGACCAGCTGTATCACTACATGGCAGGAGGACACAAGAAACATGTGGTAAGAAGAACTAAAACCACTAGACAGTGATAAAATATGCACATTGCTCTCTTATGTTCCATTTGATATGTATATAACAAATGAATTTGCTAAGTTGAACTTATCTCTAAGTTGGACTTAAACGTTATGGAAAGCCATTAGCATCTTTGAAAATATTTTGTAAAAGTAATTTAAAAACGCATAAAATGTTGATTCAAATCATTCATATTTGTATATTATCAAGGAGATTTCATGTTCTTGATGTAGAATTTATGAAAAGTTATGAAAATTTATGAAAATACTTGAGTTTTTGCTTTTGAATATACTTTTTCCTATGGCTACAAATGGCTCTCCATAATATTTAAGTCCAACTTAGAGTTAAGTACGACTTAGAATCTTTGTAAAACACCCCCCTGGTCAATGTGGATGTACCTCACCGGAGGAGGGGGGATGACCTGGCTACTTTGAAAGATTTTATACTTAAAACTGATTTGTTTTCAATATTGTCTTTTTGTTATGTTTAGAGTGGAAGCAGCAGAGAGAAGAAATCACCTTGTTATCAGATAAGAGAAGGTGACCAGGTCAATCTTGATGTGACCTCACCAGGAGCGACCCTTGCCCTTGGTCTAATGTTCCTTCAGACAGGCAATAGGTAAGTCAGAAGATTAAGTAGATTGAAAATTGGTTGATTGACAGAGTTGCAATGTTAGTCTCATGTATACAGTGAACCCTGTCTGTAAAGACCACCCAAGGTAAACAAGAAAAATGGTCTTTAAAGGCAGGTGGTCTTTATTTACAGGTTCCTTTAGTACATGTTACAGTGAGAAACCATTTTCAAGGGAAACAAAAAATGTGGTCTTTGTAGACAGGTGGTCACTAAAGCAGGTTTGACTGTTCATATATATCTACATATCCATTGATTGTTAACCTTTCATCATATTCTAGTTTTGCATGTACCAGAGGCTGGCAAGAAGAATGAAAATGACCTTGCGTTTCTAAATTTAAAAACAATAGTAATCGGATTGAAATATTTGTCCAATGTACTTTGGTTATTTTGCTAGGATTCACTTAGCCGTTTTATGAAATAAATTTGTACTTGTTGTTATTTGTTTGTAGAGCTGTAGCCGATTGGTTAGCTGCTCCCGATACCCAATCACTGCTAGACATGGTCAAACCAGACTTCTTACTACTCAGGGTAAGAATATCTATTCTACTTCCCCCACCTCTTTCTGCCTTTCTCTGTCTCTGTCTCTCTCTGTATCTCTACCTTTCTCTGTCACTGTCGCCACCAGCACCCCGCAAAATGTTTCTCTGACTCTCTACATGCTTTTTAGCTCTTTCTCTTATTACCTGACTAAAAAGATACAGGGTTCATTAAACTCAATATATTAAACCTAAACAAAAATGAAAGTTTGCCAAGCATGGCAACATGTAATGCATACATGCAGAGTGCCAACTTAAATGCTCTGTCACTAAAATTTACTGAGATATTATTGAAACTGATTATTGAGCTCTTCAAGAAGAAACGTCATTAACTGACAATTTCAAGCAAGTGCTTGTTTATTTACATTTGTTTGTTTCCTTTCTATTATGTCTATTCTGTTACTAGGCTCTCAGCAGAGGACTAGTGTTGTGGGATGACATCAGACCTACATCTGAATGGATTGATAGCAACATTCCTCCTGTAAGCATAACATGTAGCCCTATCATTTTAAATGATAATTAATTAGATAATACGTATTTTCAATTATAAGGGAATGAAGTTAATGTAAATGTTCTCAAGCCTGACTTAATATTAGCTACTTTGTAACCTTGATTTTTACAGCTGTTATCCTTTTCTGTTTTGTTCTTCTTCTTTTTTTATATATTAATGTATTTGGGGGAAATAAGAGGCTAAGTTGTGAAAGACATTCTAGACATTTTCCCCTTATAATGTACAAATAATGGCAAGACTCGATTCATGTTTTTTTTTCAAATGTATTATGAAAATTCAAGTAAAATCTGTTTCAAATCTTACATTTCTTTTATTCATATCAAATCTTGAAAAGAAAAGAAGAAGCTGAAGATGAAGTCAGAACAGAATAAACCGGCTATGTAAATTATATTCCGCTGCTCCAAGCATATTTAATAGAATTTTTAAAAAATATGGGTTATACCACCAAAGAATATCAAGAAATAAGTCATTAATTTATGTGTCTCTATTGTTTATAGATTGTGAAGAAGTATGCTTTCAAGGCAAACACAGCAGAGAACAATGGTGATGAGGAGATAGACTACCAGACAATGAGGTAAGTAATAGTCTTTCAATTCAATTTCAATTTCAATTTATTTTACAATTTGTTTTGCTCACATTTTACAAACATACAAAGAATCAAAATAAGTTTACATACATATTATATATCATATACTTTGACATAGAAATCCTTGATGATTATTGCCATAAGGCAGAAGTTTTCTTTAGTTATTATAAACAAAATAAGTGAATTATCTTAAGTGTTCGAGTGAACGGTTACAAAAAATAACATTACATGTTCTTATCTATGCTCTCTACTTGATTCCCTTCATCATTGGTTTGGTAACATAAGGTAGCTGGAGGAAAGGGCAAAGAATCTGACCCTATCTTGTAGACTTAACCTTTTTCCTTTGTGTGAAAACTTTGGGCAGGATTTCATTACATTGTAAAAGTGCATACCGGTAATACAGATATCTGGTATATAATGAGGTCTCTTATTAAAACAATATGAAGTTGGTTTTAAAAATGCGGGGACACAAGATGCAGGTCATGATCAATTGTATTAAATGATCATTTCATAGTTGTAACAGACTCATTTTTAATATGTGAACTATTCTGCATAATTACAATTATTATTAGGGTATTTCACAATGAAGCCAGGTTATTGGATAAGAAATGTATGATTAAAAGTAAACTTTAGCATGATCTTCTTTTTCTCTTACCAGTCAAGCTATCTGTAACATAGGAGCAGGAGCTTGCTTTGTCTTGGGGTTAAGATTTGCTGGTACTGCCAACAAGTGTGCCTATGACTGTCTGGTGAGTAGACTACTTTATACACCGTGCAGATATAGTTAGCCAGTTTATTTTTATTTTTTATTTTTGGTAATACTTTAGAAGTGGTGATGATTCTTGAAACTGTTGAAATATTTCTCTCTTCTCTCTTTTTTTTTTTATGGAGAAAAGTATTCACACTAGGATAACAAAAAGAAAATATAAATACCAGAAATTCTCTATTTTTTAAAAATATTTTTTTGAATACTTAAGAAGTGGTGATGATTGTTGAAATATTCTCTCCTTTTCTTTATTTTTAGGAGAAAAGTATTCACACTAGGATAACAACATGAAAATATAACTACCAGAAATTCTCCAATATTGGATCTGTATCTTAAATATGAAATATTGCTGAATATGTTGATTTTTTTTTTCTTCCCCCAGTTAAGAATTTTAGTTTCATTTTCTGTTTTTTTCCAGCTCTCCTACTTGAAGAAACTGATGAACAGAGCTTCTCAGCCTCTAGTGGATGTTGTGAGTAGGCTGACCAATTCTCAAATGATATCAGTATTTCTAATAGATTTTTTATACATGGGAAAATGTTGTCACTAAACCAAGGAGTATTACAAGGTCGATCACAACGTCCGCGGTTCGAGTCCCGCCGCCGCACTAATGTCCTTTGTCTAAACATTGATCTACATTTGCCACAGTCCACCCAGGTGAAGTAAATGGGTACCTGGTAGGAATTTATTCCTTGGAGTGCTAGAGCGCCGTATGGCAGCCGTGCTAAAGCCAGGGTAATAATCAGGAGCGCCAGGAGGGTCAAATCTGACTGACATGAGCGCTATACTAGAACCCACTATAAATATTATTATTAATAATGAAATTGTGCATATTAAAGCATTATTTGTCTTCTCTATACATCTGTGTTCTCTCTGCTCATGAGCTTATTGATTTCTGTTGTCATATTTATTCATTTTCTTTCGTTCAAGTTATGTTGCTTTCCATTTCAAGAGTGAAGTCGATTGAGAGAGATGAAAAACAGTTGTACATATCAGACTTGTAGATTTACACAAACTTATCCAAGATATGTTAGCAAGAAAATAAGTAGTTTTTAAAGGATTATGAAAATCATCTTTATAAACTATATAATTAAAATATTTTTCATTCATTTCATTGTTTGCCCAAACTTATGTTGGATCTACAATCTCTCATTTTCCTTTCTTCTCCTCTCTTTTCTTTCAGGCTGGAAGGACAACCTTCAAGACATGCCTCTATACAATCCTGCTTGCTCTGGCCATGGTAAGGCTCTCATCTTATTATCTGTTTTTTAATAGATTTCCTAGACGATATTATAACCTCTTTCTTCAAACAAATATTTTTAGTTTGTTTCTTTTTAAGCTTCCATCACATGTCTCTGTAGAATATCACTTATTAAAATGCATAAATAAAGGATAATTAAATAAAATTGTTTGTAAAAGACTTGGATTCTGTAATCATTACGATAGGATATTGTTAATGACTGAATATGTTTCCTCATAAAAGTTTACATTTGTGATATTTTAGAATTATATTTGAAGACAGAAAAGGAAATTGTACTCTCACATAATTTCTAATTTTAGTATGGTTTATCGCTTTAACTGCGCATTTAGTTTAGTAATCCAAGAGAAAATATTGAATTAAAAATAAATATATATAGAAATAGAAATTTAGAAGCCATAGATGTACCCCAACAACCTCGCCACACCCAGTGATATGGCTGTGCATTCGTTGGTTCCAGGTAATGGCTGGCACAGGTGATGTTGAGCTGCTGCGTGTTGCCCGTGGTCTCCGTAGCCGGGTGCACAACGACATCTCGTACGGCAACCACATGGCGTGCTCCATGGCCATCGGACTCCTCTTCATGGGGGGAGGGCGCTATACACTCAGCACATCCCAGGAGTCCGTGGCTGCTCTCATTACAAGTCTCTTCCCATGCTTCCCAGGAAACAGCAAAGGCAACAGGTCAGGGTTTATTTACTATAGTTTGAGGGGTCAGTGACACAAAAACTCCATTTTTGGCCATTTTGAGAAAAAGTGGTTTATGTGTCACTGAGCACTTGGGCATGGGGTGTTGGGTGGAGTTAAGTCTTTGTGTTTCTTGGAAAGCCCACATTTTTCTGAACATTTCGAAATCAAATACTCATTTTGTTAAAATATGGAGTTATGTCTTTGTGTTACTGAACCCTCCAGTTGTCCTTCAATGGTGGCCTATGAACCTAGTTCTGCCTGTTTGATCTGGCCCATCAAAAAAAAATAGTTGAAACATATATATATAACCAGATGGAGTAGAGGAAGGATATTTTACAGATACCCATTTCAAAGAGGCCACACGTATAGTAAACTTACTGTTGTGAAAAAAAGCTTTATAAATTGGTTCCCCTCAGTTGTCATTCTTTTATGTTGGAAAAAGTAACTTCCCTTACTTCACAATTGTGTTGTGGACAACTCGAAGCTCAAGTAGGTTATTCTAGCTACACAAGAGATTCATCAAGAGATATTTTGAGATCAAAGTATAGTCAAACTTTCAGATGTTGACATTCCAGGTTTGAATAGTGAGACTCTTCTGCCAGATTCCTTTTAGCCATTTAATACATTAAATGCTCCAAGATGAATCTGTAACCTGTGCTACCCATAGTTATACATACATGTAGGTAAACATCACCTGTATAGATGAGAGAATTGTTCTGATTTAGTTACCATAGTTACCAACATACATGTAGGTAAATATCACCTGTATAGATGAAAGAATTGTTCTGCCTTAGTTACCATAGTTACCAACATACATGTAGGTAAAGATGACCTGTAGAGATCTGAGAATTGTTGTGCTTTATTCCCAGGTACCATCTACAAGCTCTGAGGCACCTGTACGTGTTAGCAGCAGAACCCAGATTGATCCTTCCTAAAGATGTAGAGACTGGGAAACCTTGCTACGTGCCTCTTGAAGTCACCCTCAAGGTAAGCTCATGTCCCCTGTATACCCCAAACTCTTAACCCATTTACTACTGAATTCTCTCAGTCCCATAGACTTAATGTAGGATCCACCCAGTTCCTGCTGGCAATGGGTTAAGATGCAGTAAGGGCCAAGGGGAAGAAGTGGGAACTCTGGATTGTATCGATTCAGTGCGCAATTTCTCTTAAAAAAGGCATTTATCCTCAGCTACGAAATCTTCGGGGTAGGACTAAAAACATCTCCAGAAGTTTGCTTCCTTATTCTTTAAGTAATTTTTCTTTATATTAAAGATCAAATAGTTTTACACTGAATCTCTGTTAGTTTGATTTAATTGCAAATGTTCCTGGACGTGGCTTTCTTAAAAGCACATGTTAGATAACCAAAGAAACAACTTCTCTTTCTCCCATATGAAATGATGGTTGTGTTGTTCCCTTCATCATGTTTCTATTTCTAGGAATCCGAGTGGCATGATGAGACGATACTGAAGCTGATGGCACCGTGCATCATTGGTGAACTCCGTAGCCTCAAGAGTGTAAGTTTAAAACCACTTCTAAAACTAAGTTGAACTTATCTCTAATTATGGCAATCCATTGGAATCTATGAAAATATTTTGTAGTTTTTTTTAAAAGGCATAAAATGTAGATTCAAATCCTTCATGTTTTCTTTTATGAAGGAGATGTCATGTTCTTGATGTGGAATTTATAAAAAGTCCAAAGTACTTCAATTTTCGATTTGAATAGACTTTATTTTAAGGCTACAAATGGCTCTCCATAATTTTTAAGTCCAACTTAGAGTTAAGTTAGACTTAGGATCTTTGTGAATCACCCCCTGGTATAGCTGATAATGATCGCACCTCATTTATCATTGTATAATGTTAATTTCATAGTGCATTTTGTAGCAATCCAATACGTGACAGGTTAAGATAAAAGAATTCTTCAAATGTTTCTTGCAGGACATGCATGATGTTGTTGGTACTCATACTTAATGTGCTGCGTGATATACTCAACTGAAGGAAGTACAATGTCCTTTATTTCATTCTTTTTACTTTGAGAATTAATTCTTGTTTGAAAACCAATCCATATTATTGGTTGATTAGAACACAGAAGTTTAGTAATTATCCATATATGGCCTCCATTAATTACTCCTTCATTTTTATGCTGTCTCTTTAATAACAGGTACGGATCCTTGGTCCAAGGTACCTTGGTGTGACCCTTAACCTAGAGCGTGACCTTGATACTCTGAAGGGACTCCTAACGTCTGGAGGAACCCTGTTTGTCAAGCCGAGAGCTGGACACCTCTCTTATGCCGAGGATCCAAAGGTAGAAAGTCTATATATGTCTTGTTTAAATGTTATTCACCAGAAATACGTATGTGTGTGTTGTTTGCACCTCTTCCACATTCAGGATAGTGAAGTCACTGTGTGCTTAGCAATTAATTGAAAGACAGATTGTGACTATATTGATTGTCCATTTAACAAAACTAAACATAAGTGGTCCTCTTCATTCTGGCAAAAACAATTATGAGAAGAAAACAAACATAATTGCATACCTGCCAACCCTTACAAATAATCCAGAATATTCTAATTTTCTGGATTTCTAGGACCTGAAAATCCGGGACATTCTGATTTTTGTGTGTGTGTGTGTGTGTGTGTGTGTGTGTGATAAAAGTCAAAAGCGAATTTGTATTTTTTGGTACAGATTTATTGCATATTGCCAGTTACACTGCCGCTGCAAGTGCAACTTCTTATTTTCGAAGGCATACCGTGCTAAAAATTCCTAATTCTTATTTTCAAATGTTGGCAGGTATGTTATTGAGATTAATTTACTTTTTTCTTCTTGATCCAGGGTTACCGCAGCCTCCTCGCTCAGCTCCTTACCCATGAGACCTCTAGCCATTCGACCTCTGACCTCAAGCTCATTGAGTCTTTCACCTCTGACCCTCGCATCCTCAACTTTGTGAAGCAGTTCTGCTGGTGGAACTCTGACAAGCCTAAAAACGTAAAAACATGTCTTCTTCTTTTAAACACACTTCTGTATGGCATCTCTCATTATCTGAATAGAACACCGTTTAATTTTCTCTATGTGAAATACGAAATAACAATAATAATACTCAGTTTTTATATAGCGCTCATTAGAATCACTAAGCGCTTCATTAATTATCACAAACAGAATCAACACCCCTGTGCACAACATTTTCTTCACCATTTTGCTAGTATCCGCTTAAAGAAATTTGTGTAGAGTTCAGACATTAACCTCAAAAGCTGATAAACAAGTATGAATATTTTGTTTAAACGTAGAAATTATATTTTTTTTTATAGTTTTTAATGTGTTTATTTTGTATTTTTGTGTTTTTGTATGTTTTTTTGTTGTTGCACTGAATATTTTCCATACTTTTTGCTTTCTGATTTCATTTTTAGGAAGATGAGAAGTCCTTGATGATGGGTAGCTTGCTCTTTGAGAGTGTTACCAAGGAAAAATTGGCTGTACTCCCAGTGCTTCTTGAAGTCCACCAGGTATTAAACAGAATGTCACTTAACAATATCTTTCATCTCATACTGTTTGTTGTGGGTCTTTTGCTTGTTCATCTTTTTTTAAAGTCTGCCCCCCCCCCCCTCCCCCACATAAAGAAAACCCTGACTTTGAAGGTATCTGTAACTCTTTATTATAAAATTGTCAAAAAATATAATATTCAGCATATGACAACAACATGTCAGTTTTAATTACTGATTTCAGATACTTGTCAAATGGACTTGTAAATGCAGTGTGATGCTTTCGATTTCTTATTGAATGAAAGAGGTGTCACTTAAGGCAGCATTGTGTTGGCAGAAATGGATGGGTATGCAACTTGGACTGATATTGATAAGAAAACGGCAATTTCCTTTCTTCTACATTCTCTACTCTATAGTCTTTGGACCAGCCACTTGAGAGCTTAAATGCTTCCGATCTATGGCAACTCAAGCTAGTACTAGCATACTACAGCCATCATCCTGCAGTGAAAACTCCTATGGATGAGTCTACCCAGGCACCTATGCAGAGAAGGAGGTTAGTCCATGCTGAGGCCTGTGCACACTTCAAGTCGAGACTGGACTCAATTCTTGACACCTGGCTGCAAGGTGAGCTCTTGTTTGTTTAACCTAGCAGTTGTTACAAGAACTAGTCTTTTCCAACTTTTTGATGATGTGAGAACCACATTGGTTTCATGAAAGAAGTCAGGGCTGTCAACTTTGGGAAACTGCTTCGAGGGAGGTTGTATGCAAATTTTTGTTTTGCTGAACGGTATGGCGTACACAAGATTTTTTTTCAAGGGGCCAGTGTTTTAAAATTTGAAAAGTCGCGCTGAAAATTTTGCAACGGCTCAGCCAGCCGCTGAATAAGCAGGGGGGGGGGGGTCTCCCGCTATGAGAAAACGAGCGTTGTGGCGTGAGACTTCCTCCAAATGCGGGAGGGTTGACAGTCCTGAAGAAATTATTCATTCCATTACATCTTTTCATGTGAAACTTCTCTAAAACCCTCTTTCATTAGCTAGCGTCCCAGACGCTCTATAAAAGGCCACTTTATGTTTAGGAAGTACAGTGTATTAATGTATTAATGTCTTGCCAAAGGACATTAATGCAGACCTCGTGATCCACAGTCCAGTGACATATCCACTTGACCACGAGAACAAACAAACAAGCAAGAAAAGAGAATCCTTCCAATCTTGAAAATTAATAAACCCTCCAGAAGAATTCATATCTATCTTCATATATCTTTTGTGTGTGTGTAGCCCATAGCAGTGATGTCATGGGTTACCTCCAGTCAGGAGCGTTCCCAAGCAACGACCAGGACAGGGCTGTTCTCTTCGTCTTCCTCCATGTCTATGACATCACACATTCTAGTATGACCAGTCAGACAACCCTTCAAGGTTTGTAACTCACAGAGCTAGTAAAGATCAACATTAATTAACCCCTCCTCTTCCCCATCCCATGATAAAACACAGAATAATGAACTTATGGAACAGATAGCCCTTAATTTCTGTTTTTTGAGGCAACATGATGTTGTTGTATTTTGTTGGGGATGGGGGGGGGGGTTACTCTATGTTCCACAGCAGATGTTCACATTTTCACCAAATTCATTACCATGACTAACATAATGGTTTACTCTAATAACCTTAAAGAATACAGCATGTGAGTAAAACCAGTGCAACAGTTGTTTGCATGAGCATCGGTCCTTGGACAGAGTTCAGGGAAAGTAATGGAGATTCTTATAAATTGCAGAGTAGAAATTATTGAATGTTTGTCATGATGACCAATTTTATGTTATACTTGTCATTCATACACTGTATATGTGACCATTAGTTTCCCTCAATATCTTACACTTGCATTTTTTAATTGTAGTTACAGGTGACAGCTCACTCCCAGAGGTCTTTGCAGCTCTCCAAGATTACCATCTCCCAGTGTCAGCTGTTCTTAGGATATACCAGTGTTTGCAGAGGACCAGATAGCAGAAGGATCCATGTGGAACTTGACATTGATAGGGATTCCTAACTGATCACGGCGACTACCATACTACTAATGTTTGCAAGGAGCAGGATACAGGGTGTTGCCCATGAGGGATCTTCTAGGCTGTCAAAGACTTTCACCTTCCAGTGTTAGCTGTTCTTAGAAGAAAACAATATTTGCAGGGGATCAGGTAGCAGTTGAATCTATGTGGAACCATGTCATGTTCAAGGGCCTTCTTGGCTCTGCAAGACTACCATACCAAGGAGTCAGCTTTTCATACCAGTGTATACCAGAGTACGTACCAGTGTTTGGTGGGACCAGATAGCAGTGGAATCCACATGAAACCTTAAAATGTTGAAGGGCCCCTGTCAAATTGAACAGTGATCAGTGGATATCTGGCTCTCCAGGATAACCACCTTCCGACATCTGCCACACTCAGGATATAGTGTTGAAGGACCTAGGGAACAGATAATAGTTTAGTACATATGAAACCAGACAACCAGGGATCTTCTCTGCTTTTTAAAGAAGTACCATCTACGAGTATTAGGTCATGATATATCAGTGTTTGCAGGTGACCAGCTAGCAGTAGACTCTTGTGTACGACCTGACCTGACAGTGCTTTAGTTACTTCTCTGCTCTCAAAGACCACTATCTTTCAGTGTCCGCTGTTTCAGAGTAAATCAGCATTAGAGTCCCTGTAGGACCTGACAGACCTTGAGGATCCTCTAGGCCCTCCAGGACTACCGTCTTTCGATTTCAGCTGCTTTCAGAATACAGTAGTGTTTACAGGGGGACCAGGTAGCATTGCAGTCTGTGGGACCTAACTAAGATCAGGGGTCTTCTGGGCTCCCATAGACTACTACCTACCAGTGTTGGCTGTTCCCAGTCTTTAAAGGGACCAGGGGGGGGGGGGGGGTGTTTCACAAAGATCTTAAGTTGAACTTATCTCTAAGTTGGACTTAACAATTATGGAAAGCTGTTAGCACTTATGAAAATATTTTGCAACAGTTATTAGAAAAGGCATAAAATGTTGATTCAAATCATTCATATTTTCCATTATCAAGGAGATTTCACGTTCTTGATGTGGAATGTATAAAAAGTCTAAAATACTTGATTTTTCGCTTTTGAATATATTTTATTTTAAGGCTACAAATGGCTCTCCATAATTTTTAAGTCCAACTTAGAGTTAAGTTTGACTTAGGATCTTTGTGAAACACCCCCTGGATAGTGGTGGACTCCATTTTGGTTGCTGCTAATCGGGGATATCCTGGGCTCTCCAAGACTACCCTTTGCCTCTGTGAGCTGTTATCAGGATGCACTGGTGTTCGCAGTGGGGCAGGCACTGGAATCTTTTTAGGACTTGATAATGATCAGGGTTCTTTGGGTGCTCCAAGATTTGGCAAGCATAGGCAGGTGACCAAAGAGTTATACAGTCATGTGGAGTTTGCCTAACATCAGTTTCCACTTAGCATAGGGAGACCATTTTGAGTTAGTAAAATCATTATTTGGTTGGTCTCATCTTTCTCGAGCAGGGATTGCTTTAATTTGAAAAAGGAGCCTTTCATAATCACAATATGTCAAGTTTTTTTTACGAGTGGGGGGTGGCAACTGCTTTCATTGATCATCTATTATTGTGCAGTGTCAGGATGATATTCCAATGCCATTTTTCAATAATATCGACTATTGGCAATTCCTGAAATCAATGCCCTAATTAATTGCATTCAAGCGAATGAATAATAGTGTTGATATGCCTTACAGTTTGTTTTTCCTGATAAAACTGTATAATCATCTCCCCCCCCCCAAAAAAAAAAAAGAAGACTTATGACTGCTCCAAAATGAAAAATGATCTCTAATTTTTTCTCCATGTTGGTCACATTTTAAAAAATTTCAAATCAGTTCTAAACTATTACACTTTGCAAAACCACAGACCACGTACTATTTTGCAATTTTGTATTACATATTCTTGCAGAAAATCTTGTATGGGCAAGTCCAAGAAGATTGTATTAGTGAAAAATAGACATATCAAAATATGATTTTGATATATTTTTTTGAATTACCCGATTGAACTCTTACGTACGGGACATGAAGCTGTATGCAGAAATGTTAAATGTAACTATGGGTGATCACCTCATGATGATTGTTTGGTCATCATGTGCTCTGTAATTTGCCAATAGAGACAAGAGTCAATATTAAATATGTATGTTAAATATTCCTTCTTGCTTACTCTGTTTGTATGCAATCGTACAAAGAAGTTATTACATATTTTGCAAATAAATCTTGAATATAATGTGTCTTCCTTTGTTTTATTTTGCTTGTTTTTCTTTGAGTGCTTCTTTCCAAATTTATTGGGTATTCAAGTATTTATTTTATTTGAAATTAGTTGCAATTTGATTTTTTTTTCTTCCTGTGGAGTAATGAATGTTGACCCCTACCATGTTACACACACACATACTTATAGAAAATATATATGGTCATTCACACACACAAGTGATATTCAGCTTTCTAAATTGTGATTAGAAATTGTGTGTGTGTGTGTGTGTGTGTGAAATTATGTCCATGATCCAAATATCACTATTTGCGCGCCTTGCTGTTCGCTCAGTGTCGCAATGAATGTCAGTGGAGTAATCGATGCAATAACTAAGGTCGGCGAACAGTGTATATGATTTAACAAGCAAAAACTGCAAGAAAAAGAAAGACACAAAGAGAGCTCAGATCAAGTGTGATTTTAAAAACAGTAATTTTTATTCATGTGAAAAAATACCTTTATAATGATACAGCATATTCCTTATGATATTGCCACCAATGTATATATAAATTATAACATAATAATGAGCAATAAAATCTTTTTTTTCCAAGTAAAGCTCCAAACAGCTGTGATTAGGCCCAAGGACAAATATATATTTTTTCTTTAAAAAAAAAGAAAAAATTATGACCGACCCTTTAACAATGTCACCACATCTGCTTCTAGTATAGATCGTGACAAATATAGTTGGGTGCAAAACATACATAATAAATTGGCAGTACTAAAAAGTTAATTATTTAATATTGAATATGAAAACCTTTGAAATGTAATTTCATATTGCTATCTTCTGCAAATAGAACCATTAAAAACATAACCCTACAACCAAAGGTTAAATTCCATGTCATATGTCAGTAAAATATATATTTTTGAGTCAAACTACAAATGGGCCTTTAAAACTGGACAACTTACATGCACCTTTTTAAAAAAGAATTAAAGAAATAAACATATTCCAATGAAAAATTAATATCAGCTAATTCAATCCACATTTCAAAATATTTCATATCAAAGATACACGTTATCCTCAATTTTATCTTATGATGAACATTTATAACATGGAATTATGTACCGTATATAGACATCCCTTCCCTATCTATGTAAATGCCATAACATGTATACAATGTTCCATAGAAACCTTATCCATTGTTTTTACTAAATGCCATCTTTTCACCATGTCCTGTGTAAATGAAAGTGCAAGCCTGTTTTTGTGCAGCTGACCAATACTCTGCAATATTATTCATAAATTTCAAAAATCTAGTGATTCCATAAACATTGTATTGCACAGAATACATGTAGTAAATCTTTGTATGAATTATTTTTTTAATTAGACAGAAAATGCTGTCTAGTTTGGAGGAGTATTTGACACTTGTTTGTTGTCATAAATTTCCTCTAACACATGTTGGGGAGGGATTCAGCGAAGCCAGACAGTCTCAGCGGAGCATAGTCTAAACATAATTTAATTCGATCCATGCTCAAACATGTATGAGCATAATGTGCAAATAAACACACTGCATGAATGCTTGGCTGCTCTAAAAGGTGCTAGGTATGGTAAGCATGCATGACTGCCTCTTGAATACAGACATAAAACACATCTTTTGTGCTGCCCTGGGAAATTTATGAGCTGAACATACAGGTAATGAATTGATAAACACGCTGCAGGTGCTCTTTAAAGGTACAGTCATGATACATATTGGTATTGCATTACTTGATACAACTGTAAAGCAGTATGGATGGGCTCTTGTGAATGTGTAATCTACCTCTGATCATTCATCATACATGTATTTCAGGACCCCCCCCCCCCCCCCCCCAAAAAAAAAGAAAAAAAGATGCAAATTCATAATGCATAGATCTCCTCAAAAAAAATAGCGAAGTGTGCAAAAGAAAAATTTCTAATCTGCCAAATATTATTCATATTCAATCACATTTTAAAGTGGAAGGAGACACGATTTCAATGCACTTCCTGCAAACAATATATAGCCAAGTGGGCAAAACTATTGTTCTTCTTAATTAATATCATTCATGATATAATTCAGTCCAATTCTTAAGTAGAATAAAATGCTAATTTATAATGTATTTACTGCCAAAATTACAGCAAAAATCTGCCAAGCCAAAATTATTACTGAAATTTGGTTCTTTTAGCAAAATTCTGTATTTGCAAAGCAAACCATGCTATGCAGTTAAAGAGAAAATATTTTGTTAGTCTTATCGCACAATAGTGCTAGCCGTTCTTGGCTTCACTTTGCTACATGTAATGTTCTGTAAGGAATTTCAGTGCCATTCTGTCAATATTTGATTGAGAGATAATGCTACCCAAGATAAACATCAATATGTGCACACGTTGGTAGACTTCAAACTCAATAAATCCTACCTCGAAACAACCACTAGAATGTATATCTCAAAGTTGCAGGTACAACAAAGTCAATTTTTTATTTTTCCTTAGCAAATATATGCATTTTCTCCATATCATTATTCGAATGCAGCCCTTCTCATGCAGTCATGCATAACGTAAATTGAAGGCTTGTATACACAATGACGTACCATCATATTCCCCTATTCCTAAGTTCTGCTTGTGCGACCTAGCAAAAGCAAGCAATATGGGCCTTGTTTGTTCTGTCTCACAATTCATTTTCTTTATTATGAATTTCACATCATACCCCTGAGGCATATATTGATAAAATGCATCAGTGCAGAAAGCATTTTGATTTATGTCAAAGTAGCAGGCTACTATAGTCTTTACACTAGTCTTTACAGATGGTATGAATGCATTTATATATACCTGCTTATTTTGCAACCCACCTTTAAATAAACATCATTCAACTCTGATATACTATACATTTTTATCTCCCAAGTGAATAATCAGATGGTACATATTATACTGATTTTCTTTAATGTAGAAAAGCTTTTAATTTTAAAACCCATTAATCCCCCAAAACCAGTCTATATTGGATATATTTAAAAAGCACTATATCACTATAGACTATATTTAAACATGGCACAAATCCAATAATCTTTCAAAGAAAAAGATACATTAATTTTTTTTTTCAATAATAAAGTTGGTGCAAAATTAAAATAATGTAACTCAAAAGACTTCATTCTGTTCCCTTGGAGCAGATATTGATCAAAGTACATCAGTGCAGAGAGCTGTTTGATCAGTAGCATTTCTACAGGGAAGCCTGGTGCATGGGCTCAAGCCTCCTAATGTTTCTGCTTGTAAACAAATTAATGCGAGGCACATGTAGGAAATGACAGCAAGAGCCCCAAAGCCACCACCTCCGACCATGTAAAAAAAAATCCCTCTTCGTCTACAACTGCACCCGATTTTGATTTATGTCGAAGTGGCAGGCCACTGTAACATTACACGTATATGAAAGCATATACCTCCTTTCCCTGCAAACCAGGTTTAATTTACACATAGAATACCCGACCCAGCTATATCTTTCAAGAGACAACATATGATGATGACACCTGATGATGGAAACTTGATATTGATTTTTATCAACATATGGTGCATTGTCACCTTGTTTACAGATCCATCATTGACAGTTCCAATTAATTTTTTCAGCTTTAATAAAAATGCGTTGTTTTTAAAAAACAGGGAATGAAGGTGAGGTTTTAACAATAAGGGGATGAATCCAATTTTACTTGCTTTTACAAAACAAAATGGGAAAGCCGTTTAGGGTTTTTAAGTAGACATTCAATTTTGGTTGAAGAAATTCATAGATGAAAGAAAAAATCTGCACTCAGAGAAGTTTCTAGATGACTCTTTCTCAGCTTTATGATACATGATATATTGAAGGGAGCCGCAATATGAATACATATCATTATTATTACTCCCAAATTTGTGAAATACCTTTTAAAGAGAAAAGCAAATTCAGAATAATTGTTACTTTCACTGATATGTCTAATACATTAACATAGATGTGTACCGGTATGTAGAAACCTACATGTATGGTGATCATTTAAAAAATTAAAAAATTGAACGATGAACACATGTGTAAGATATACCGGTATTTCTAAATTAGGCTTGTAAACAGCTTCATACACAAAGCACATGTTATGACAACAAATTGAAATAAGTGTGATAATAAACTTAAGAAGCACTTTCGTATACATGCACATACCAAGTTTCCTTGAATATGCTAAACAGCATGACAAGAGCATTATAAAAATCATTTACATTTCAAGATAAAATAATCCCCATCACGGACCAAAGGAAGTTTGTCGTAATCTAAAGCCTTGTTCCCTTTCTTAATCTTTTTCTCCTTATGGTTGACATTATCTATAATGCAGAAGGAAAACAAAGTCAGGCACACAATTTATTCACATCAAAACTTATTTTAAAACTTAACACATTCCCCTTCCTAAATATAATTATGAGAAAACATGGTAGTCTACATCTCGCTAAATGCACAGAGCAATAACTGGTGTAATCTGATTTTATCGACATGATAAAGGAATCGACCTTTAACCATTAGGTAGTTGAGCTGTGCTAACTAACTGATGTTCTAAGAGTATTAATGTCGTAATTGCACTTCATGTAAAACTTCATTTAGAATATACTCGACATCATAAATAAAAGACCATTACCGGTAATGGAAAATCTTAATATTGCTCACACTGTTATATGTGTAAGACTATTAGTACTTTTCATATGCAATTTTTTTTTTTTAGAATGTGGTCTCGATTGTCTGCATCTGAGATTTTGGCATGATGAAGAAATTTAATGATTACTCTTTCTTGAAAAAACTTCACCATAAATAACTGCATAACGCTTCATATTTCATAGATTTCAGTACATGTAGATTTTTTTACTACGTAATTTTGCTCTTTGAAAAAAAAATCAGAAATGCCTACCAATTAGTTAGGCAAATTGGGGAAAACTCAATAAAAAAAATATATGATGAAAATCCAAACATATTTTTAAAAACAAATCACATGAACTTTAAGTACTTTGAATATAAAAAAAGTTTTCAATAATGATTCAACTTGGTCCAAATCTCAGATTAGATATTTTATTTTGAATGCACAAGATTAAGGCAATTTACAAAGATAAAGTTCATAAATTAAAATATTTTGACTAATCATAGGCGTACCATTCTTCCACAGGCTTTCACATGTAAAATAAGCACACACAAAAATATGATGATTAATGATTACATAGAAACAACTTTGTTGTGCATGCAAATATCATCAAGTACTGATTTAATGAAGATTTTGACAGACGAAAAGAAAAAATGCAGTTTAGGAAAAATAGAAGATATTAAATGTACGGTATGCATATACTCAGGCAGCAAACCAGGATCTTATAGCTGTTCTGTTTATGTCTGCTTTTAAACTTTGAAAATATGATACATCCTTCATTTCCAGTGTACTACAGCTTGAATGTAATACATGTATAATTGGACATTATTACTGCTCAAGCCCAAAACTGTATCATAAACATAGTACAATGATCCTTGGCATAATATTTCCTAAAGCTTCAGCAACTGAGTTGTCAACATATCTTTGAGAGTACATTTCCAACAACCAACAACAGCAGGGGACATTCATTACCCATCACTGGTAGTTTAATTTTTTAATGTGCACCTTTTGTATCTGTTATACCTTCATTCACCTACATATATGTTTGTAGAAGTATTGAATGTGTCTCTTGTGACCAATTTGTACACAGCGGAACATGTATTAAGACATTCCTTGGAAAAGAGTTCCGATGAATCAATGCACTCAGTGTCTATTTACTATCTCCTCATATCTGAACAGACAGACCGGCTGATGAAATATTGTCTCCACCTCCTGCAGTCTTGTGGACCTGCGTACAGACCAAGACAGGCGCAACGCAAATCTCGTAATCGTCCTCTTTCCAACATGAAACCGGTTTATCCACGTCTAATGGGATCTTGCGACTACCGTCTTCCATCGAAACCGAAAAAGAGTCATCCATGATGAGCCGTGACTTGGCCATGTCGACTTCGGAGCTGGCGCAGACGTGCCTGTGTGCCGTCAATGATGCCTTTGCCGTTGCTGACATGGTGTTCTTCCATGCTGAGCCTTCGGTTGTCAGGATCGCCTGGAAGGCTAGGGTGTGGATGTGGAGCCGTGTGACCCTCCGCAGTCCTTCCCTCTGCGGTATATTCTTGAGGATGCTGTAGACAGACCGTATCTGGTCCAGGACTGTGGCTACTCTAGGATAGGCATCTGAAGCCAGACTGACATTGCCATAGTTGAGGAGACTGTAGAGGTTGGGTAGCTCCTGTTCGTTCATGCCCAAGGAGTCGCTGTAAGGAATGACGTACTCCAGGAGCTGGTGGAGCAGAGCCTCCTCGGCAAATGAGGCCAGCTCCAGGTGAACTGGGGTGGAGCTAGGGAGACCCAGGATCATGGTTCTCTGCTTCTCAAGTCTGGCCTCCCTCTCACCTGTAAAAACAATCAAATAATTAATTTATATGTCATCTACTTGAATCCTGTGTGAAGCAATTTAATAAAGATTATTTTTATACTTTATATTCTAATGCAATTATGCAATATCATTTTATACAATTTACATGTACTCATTCACGTTCAGTTCATTAATTTTGATGTCATTTACTATGAAAGTTTATATTATATAATATTTTACATTTGTAAAACATTGCCCAATTCAGCCGTTTAGGCTTCGATGCATTGTTATTCTTTTATTCTCAATAAAACAATTATCAATTCAATTCAATATTACCTGCATGTCAACCAATTGGAATATGATACAAATTTGTACAATCCATTCAAAGTCAAATTATGACCTTCAAAGACAGCTGGTAATCGTGTTTGTGACTACAGATGGGTATGTAATGTTATGCACTGTTCTGACCTGTAGTATGTGATTACAGGAGAAGGACATTCATGTCACATCAGTCAGTTGAAACATAATAGGCCAATTAGCCTTGCACTGGATCAATTAGAATCAATTCATTACAATAAAAATAACGTACATCCCGTACAATCAACTGTAACTGTAAGTAAGGTCAATTTGAAAGAGAAATATTACTAGTGACTTCTTGTACATTGCTCATGTCCGTCACATGGTAATGCTCCTGCTACTCTAAAAGTATTACTAAGTACTACAATTACAGAAGAATCTGTAACTGATCGTATCAAGACAGATGAAATATGGCTACCTGCTGCGAAAGGAAAGTTATCCATCATTTGAAGACCACCCAGGACTACAACCTGAGGCTTGAAAACTTTCAGCTCCTCCTGAAATTCCTCTAATCCACTCAAGTAAGGGTTGTGTATATCACTGTGTATGATAAACCTGAGGGAAAAGAGTCAAGGAGAAAATAAAATCACAAGAGGTTAATTTTTCCTTCAACAATGAATTCAAACTTTTTGTTTTTTTTGTTAATACATTTGTCATGTAATGGAATAAATGTGCAATTAAATAATATGACTACAGAATCCTCATTTTGTCAATGTCTCTTGTCTGTGTGAAGAAAAAAAAGTGTTGTTTTCTGAATAGCCCTAGCAATGTGTTTTCTTCATAATCAAAATCCACCTTACCGTAAATCTGTCATAAAGTACAATGAAATCTACTTGACAATACATTGCACAAAATATCTCATTTGTCTGTATAGTGTTGTGTGTATGTTTGACATGAAAAGCCGTTATTAGCCCAAAGAAGAGTTGAATACTTCCTCCTTATTGGTTCATGTGAGAAAATAGTTTTCTTGATGAAATTCATAACTGTAATGATAATTATTGAAAAGATTGTAGGCTGATGAGTAATTGCATTTTGTTTACCTGTTTGCCCTAGGTGACGTATATTTGCCAAACTTCTCTCCTGTTTTATACTCCAAAATAACATGTACATCATCTTCTTCTACAGGCTCACCGACAACTGCAATTAAAGAAGAGAAAGAGTGAGAAAAAAATTGTAATACATTTTAACAAGAGTAAAAAAGGTTGCATAGATTTGAAATGGAAATAATGGAAAAAATGATAATAAGAAAAAAAAGGAATAATAATATGTTAGATGTAGCACAGGAACATGTGTGTGTACAAGATGTCATCACAAACAGTATTATTGTAATTGGTGAAGAAAGTCATTAAAGTAATTAAGCAAAGCTGTAAATAGGTTCTTGTACATAAACAATTTAAAATCTTATTAACAAGATTTAACCACGTAAATATGTGAAATATGGAATAAAATATTTGACAGAGAGCTTTAACAAATTAAGTAAAACAAGAAAGTGGACCAAAAGACATCGGGATTGAGAATGGACTTAAGAATAGGAAAATGATAAATTGTATCATCCAGGAAAGAGAGTATTAAGGATACCATCACAAATAGCATCTTTTATCAATGGTCATATGGATGGGAAAATTATATCTAAATATGTATGCCATCTGAGCAGGCTTAAATGGCTTTCAGCATTCATTAGGTTTAGCTATAATGAGATGATCAGTCATTATGCATTGCATAACATGTCATAAAATGGATGATGAGAAAGATGCATTCTGGCAGAGGCTCAAGGAGTCATCATTTCATTTGGGATAGTTTTGGAGGTCCACTAGGATTCAAAATGTCATTGAACTGAAGTATGATTCGATTGATCTCTCATGAGATAACGCCTATAATTATTTGATTTTATTTGATTTTTGATTTATTTTTTTCTGTTTGATTTTCTTTTTCTTTTGCATTTTTACAAATATATAACAAACAAATATTACAAATTTACACATGACAAAAGAATATATGTAGAATAAAGTAAGGCTGGGTGTAACTAATTGAGAACATCAAACAGGAGGGTTGACAAAATAAGCAAAGCTTGATAGTACCTTCAAAGGATACATAACCCTAACCCTAACCCTAACCCTAACCCTACCTTCAAAGGATACATAATAATACAAATATGGAGGAACAAAATATTGGTAAAAGGGGGAAAAGACAGAAAAAAAGAAGAGAAAAGAAAGATGGGATGCACATCAATATTCACAGACTTATGTGGTAGTTGGATTTCAAATTGTTACATAAAGATTTTAAATAAGAAAAGAAATGCAAATTTGAATACTGAGTGGCCAACTTGCTGTTTGATAGAACCAAAATAATGACCACATTCAGACTAAACAGCTTAAAATGGAAAATAAAAAAGACTACAACCATTAGGATGCTAAATAATGCAGAAGTGATCTAATAATAAGTTTTTTTCAATCTGCATATTTTCTAACTGACAATATGAGAAGAAATGTAACATCAAGCCAAAAATATTGAGTGAAAGTGACAAAACAACATGGATGTAAAATGAGTTCTGAAAAAACATTACAATCAAAGAAATCAAGTAGATCAATTACATCAATGAAATAAATAGAAAGTTTTTCCTTTAAGCACATTATCAGGGAATGTGATGGGTGAGAGGGGATTATGCATTCTGAGAGGAACTCTTCAAAATCATCAATTATGTTCTACAGTTAGAGGAGTTTCCTCCAAACTCCAAATGTCAGGAAATAAAGTAGCATCTCTCAAACGACTGAAGCCTGGGTGTCTGCTTGTTAGTACCAAAATAAAGACCGCAATCACAACAAAATGTTCAAATAAAAAAACAGAAGGGACATTATCGATAAGGAATGCCACAGACAAAAGGATATAAAGGCTCACCGATGGGAGCCATTAAAGTCATCATTCATTCTCTCTCCTATCGGTCCCCCTCCCCTCCCTCGCTCAAATACCAGGGAGCAAATGCTCTCAAGAGACAAGAGCTTTAATGGCTGCTGGGACTTTTCAGGATTGCATAAATATTTAAATGGTTTGGGGGCATTTCACTGCTCTCACAAGGGAAACGAGGGATGGTGATTGATGTCGTGTTACATCTGCTTTAATCACCCCCCAAATCCCATTCTGACAGGCAAAAACAGAGTTTACGCTTTTACTCTTTAGGAAAGGGGTCCAGACTTAGATCTTGGGCATCCATGTGTCCCGGGCAACTGTAAGTAGTTGAATTTTTCTTGTCTGAAATTCAAAAACTGAAAGAATTTACAATGAAAAGTAGAGCAAAACGAGGGTCTTATCATCTTATCATCACATTAAAAGTTGAAAGAGAACAATGGTCCATTGTCAATGTGAACATCATAACGGCATATTAAAATATTTTTAAAAATGCATACATAACAGGTCAGACTAATCGTGAGTGTGAACTGATGTGGCTGGCTAGCAATATCTTGTATGCTCTAGCAATGCCCTCTTTAATTTTTTTTCTTCTTAAAATAATACATTTTGTATCCCAAGTGTATGCCCCTTTTGCTTTTCAGTGATGTGTTGTGGTTCTTTATCCAAGTTCATGTAATGTTCATCTTGTGTGAAAGAGCTGTCCATCTCCTATCCCTAGAGGTAATCATGGCTTAACCCAGATAGAAACCCACTCTCTGGTATTCATGAAAGGGGTGCTTTTTGATTGGCTTAATTGCACATTCTGCTCCAGGGATAAGAAACAGTGAAGAAGAAGCTCCATTATGCATTGGCATGTAAGGCGTAGCCCCAAACTTGATATCGCGCTCCCAGCAGATGCTCAAAACATTCTCTTATAATGGAATGGTTTGAATCATCTGTTTGAAGACAAAAGAGCATTAACTCATATGCTTTAACACCGGATTAATGCCTTTCTGGCACTGCATAGATAAAATGTACTTGTAGAATGAGGAAAAGGAAACTTTTTTGGGGGTCCATTTGTGTGATTTGTCTGCCTCTATTGATTGAAGGCAAGTACTCTTGGGCTTACCGGTAAATAACAGATTGATAATTAAAGTTACAAAAAAGTATTGAGAATCAAATCAGTGGACTTTGCCAAGTACCAACTCTGCCATTAGACCTGTCAAAGTGACTGTAAGATAATGATGATGAAATGCAATGCTATCTTCTCTGTCCTACTTGCTCAAGTGATTTGACATTTCGAGCCTCCTCAGGTACGGAAGTATTCTTCCTTCTTAATATTACATACGATGCGCCATTCAAATCAGGTTTTTATCTCTGTCTGACCAACAAAACAATACAAAGCAGCTCTAGGAAACTTCTGATCTGACAATTTAAGTCTACTCAATCACTGATGCCTTTTTCCTCATGAATATTTTGTCTGTTTAGAGCCAGAAGGGCAGTAGATGTTAAAGTGTATAATGGAATAATGCCTTTCTGGCTCATTCAAATCATGTTATGCATGAATGAAGTACATATGTCTGACCAACAGAGCAGTACGATTCGGCTCTAGGGCATCTTTCAATCTGTAAGATCTCCTAGATTAATCCAGTATTGTGGCATTCAAAGCCTACTCAAGCACTGATGCATTCTTCCTCAGTAATATCAAATTTCATGCTTAAATCCAATCATGCCCTACATGTATCTCATTCTGACCAACAGAACATAGTACAAAGAAGTTACAGGGTATTCCTTTGATTTGAAGAATAAAATCTCCTAGATTAACCTAGTTACTTGACATTTAAAGCAATGTCAAATTGTCAATCACCATTTTCTTCTTCCTTATGAATATTTCATCTGCAGCCTCATTCCAGTCATATTCTTTCTGTACGATCACTAGAACAGTTTAAATAAAAAGAAGAGCTCCAGGGAACCTTTCAATCTGGAAAATCTCTTAGTTCAATCCCCTTATTTGACATTTAAATCCTTCTGATATCATTTCCTTATTCATTCATATTTTATCTCCTTCCTATTCAAATCATATATCTCTGACCAAGAGAATGGTCACATTCTGCTCCAGGGTAGCTTTTTATCAGACAAATCTCTAGATTAATCCAGTTATGTGACTTTTAAAGCCTCCTTAATCTCTGATGTATTCTCCCTTGTCACATATTATATTTTATTTGATGCCCCCCATTCAAATCAAGCTTTACAATGAATCCTTGTCCAATATTTCAGCAATAGAAAAGATGCAAGCGGCATCAGGCATCTTGGAAAGTTTAGATCGAAGAGAACTTTACCTTGATACCACATCAAAGCATCAGAGCAAAGGTGTATGGTTCCACCAGTAGAGTCCATACTAGGAATCTGGCCATTGACACCACTGCTGCCATAATGTGGTTTTGGACTTTTGATCAAATGACAGAGTTAAATTAAATTCTTTGCATACATGTACATGTACAATTGTGTGAAGTTTTCCTATCATTCATTTCATCTGCTTTATATTTCTACTGGCTTTACTAGATTCTAGAACAGAATCATTTTCAGAAAGAGAGCCACGTGGGTGAGCTTTCTATGCTGGAAATCATCAAAACTATTGCTCACAAAATTCAACACTTTTGATTCCTTTCATGTCTCTTCTCCCATATGATCGCACTTTTGTAAGCGATCAAGGCATTCAATTTGCCACTCATTTCCTTTGTGTCAGGGAATGAAACACAGTGTGACAAACAATCAAGCTAACAAATGTGCTGCCAAATCCAGTAATCCACCATTCGTGATCAATCAAAGCAACCAATTTGGCAGCCTAAATTCTCGGTGTCAACACGCCACAGGTCAAGGTTACTTGTTTCTCAATCTTTTGTCCTAGATTGAAATAAAGTTTACCAAATCAATTCAAGTCCAATCAACTCATATTGACCTCACTGGTTTAGCAAATCATATACAATGAAAGAGCCTGAGACCAAAAAACAACAAACAAAGAGAGACACAAAAGATAAACAACAGATAATTAAAAGATAGAAAAACAAAGCCTCTATAGGACACTCTGTATTCATGTACAACATGTAATAGACTATAGGGCATGGGGTCAAAAGAGCTTCCTAAAATGATTTTTGTAGTCTCCTCCTTGTGACTACCTAAACTATGGCTTAAATTGTGGGTATTGTGTTCCTTATCAATATTCTGATAGTTCCCACATCCAGAAGTGGAGCACTTCCGAAAAAATGGCGCCCAAAACAAAAGATCTAAAAACAAGCATTCCTTCATAAAAGGACTGCATCCGGTGCAAGTGATTTTCACTAATACAGGTGGTAATTGGTTTTAATCGGTGAATGTGATACCGCTGTGGTGGTCTAACTTCATATTTATTGTACAAAATATTTATAGGGAAGATGTAATATTTCACAAAACACTGTATAGTTGAGGAAATTTGCATGAAAATGACATTTTAAGCCAAAATACGTAAGATTGACATTTTTCTGCAACAAAGCCTGTAATAATTTAACAATTATTCTGAATGAGGAAGTTCATTTACAAACAATAAATATTACAGTAAAAAACAAACTACTTTGCTTTGTGCTGCTTCTTTAGTTTGATGAACAATACATACAGCATTCATTTCACTTATGGCAGAGCCATGCTGCTGAGAGCTGTTAGGACTTGGTTCTCATAGCTGTTGGGTTCTACTACTCAATAATAACCAGAGACACAATCGTTTGTGGTGGTATCTTCATTGTTTTAATGCAGAGCACGTTATACACGTGTAACACGCAGCTAGCACAAAGTAGCAGCAATAGCGGCAAACTATGAAACGCCATTTGTCAATACACAACAACTCTCCCCCACCAAATCTTAAGTACCTTTAACCTAAATTTGGCAAACGGAATCAGCCTTCATTTTAAACTGCATATACTGACAACTATGTTACCAGCACACCAACCTTTGTGATAAACAATTACTTCTTATAATATCCAAAGTTTTTATAATTCACATGTATCAAGTTAAACTCCACTTGTAATGTAATATGTAATATTATCAATCCTGTTGTATTTCTATTCCTAACTTTGTGAGATATGTTTCCAAAAACCTAAATATTCACTTTTTTGATATTCTTCCATATATGTTCGAATACAATATATAGTTTAAACCAATCTGTTTCAATACTTGTTTTCTGTTACAATGAAATATATAGTTTAATACTGAGAACCCATATCCTGAGCTATGTTCTCATATGTTGAGTACATTGATTGTGTTTTGGTTCAAGCATGATATCTTTGTTTCTTCATGCAAATAACAAAGCATTACATTTAGCAATGTTAGACCATGTTTAACCCATGCTAGAAAATTGTACAGCTTGGATACTATTGTGCGTGCAGAATCCAATGTTAAATCAGATGATGTTGGAGGCCATGGTAGACTGGTCCTGGTCTGCATGACATCGTCCTTTAGGTCCAGTGCAGAGGTGTAGCGATCTCGAAGTGAGGCCATTGGAGGTTTGGATCGTCTACCATTCCCGCCCTTTTGTCGCTTCGTTGGAGGTTCTATGCTTTCATCAACATCTGTGATGTCTGTGTCAGTATCAGATAGGGCGTCTGTATCAGTGGTGGTGTCTGTTTCTTCTCCTTCAGAACCAACTGCTCCTGGCACAAGGTCTTCAGTTGATAGCGTCTCGACATACACCATTTCACTTGCATACCTCTTCTTAGGCTGAAGAAAGCAGAGTTGTGGATACTTTCGTTTCAGGCGTTGTTTTAGGCTGTAGGTCTTGTAATTTGATGCATCTTTAGACTCAACATCTTTAACAGCTTTTAAAAACAATCTTCTCAGTGCTGTCATTCTTTATATTTGCTTCTCTTGTATGATCTTCTTGTCTACAACATAACTGCAAAATGTAAGGAATGCCTTTCCATACTTCTGCTCCTTGATGGGCTCAACACTTTTCCTTGATTGGTAGACAGTATAGCTCCTGAAACAACTGCGATGATACCTGACCTCTATTGCTACACAGTCTCTGTCCTGGATCTGAAGAAGAATGTGGTCGTCCTTCTTGTCTTTAGCAGCTGTTGCTACTTTTCCACCATCTGGCTGTTGACACAGCATTAATGGTTCCTTCTTTTTCTTCCCCTCAGAGTCCTTATGAGTTTTATTTTGTCGACAGATGATGCAAATCTTTGGTAGAATGTGGGCAGAATAAGAGGGCTGCTTTGAAGCACCAGCAACACTGGAGTTTGACCGTAAGTGTCTTATTGCTGAGGCTGAGGACGGACCTGGAGCTTGACCGCCTGCACTTGACGTAGAAGGCTCCAATTCTGTACAAATAAATGAAAATTGAGAGAAATGGGTGATTTTCACAATTCAAATAATGTTTAAACAATTATGCAAGCAGGTTAAATAAAAATTCATAGTCATAACAGTAACAATATAATTTATTGATTTAACAAATATCAGCTGTTTTCAAAACTGTACTTGTAAAGTTAAAAAAACAGGCTGTATTGGACAGAGTTAAGCACAAGGAGAAAGAAATTAGACACTAAGACATTAAATTATAATGCATTTGTATGTGAACATCCCATTTAAATTTAAGCACAATTAAAATTGTAATGTGTTCAAAGTAATCAAAGGTTAAAATTGCCACAAAAAAAAAATTGGCCATAGCTTCGCTGTCTGACGGCTTTTTGGACAAAAGCCGTCAGAAAACTAAGAAATTATATTTATAATGCATTTGCATGTGAACATCCCATTTAAATTTAATCACAAATAAAATGTTAAGGTGTTCAAAGTATTCAGTGCTAAAGACCTAGACTAATAACAAATCAATCGAAAGTTAAAATTGCCCCCCCCCCCAAAAAAAAAAAAAAATATTAAAAAAAATGGCCAAGCCCAGTTATAGCTGAAAACCAAGTCTAGATTTCTAGGCTATTGAACACTTTTTGTTATAGGCCTAGGTCTAGAATCGATTTATTTTTAGCTGCAAATTAAGTGCAAGACTAAATTAGACCTAGCTCTGTGCTTGTTTACAACTGTGAACATTTTTGACCCGTAACTCCGGCGTGGAGATACTCTAAAATCTAGACCGTCTTCTTGTTCAAACCAGTGGCAGTGACTGTGAAAAAGACTAGAGGTCTAGCCTAGGCCTGAGCCTCGGAAATATAGTCTACTATTAAAAAAAAAAAGATTTAAAATTGACACGAAACAGATAAGAAAGATAACGACTTTTAAATCATGACCGTTATTTGAGCAACTGTGGAAGTTTTAGATGAATTTTGATGTGTTAGTCTGTAGAGTAGGGTTTCTCCACGCCGGAGTCACGGGTCAAAAATGGTCACACTCACACTCACAGTTGTGAACAAAATTTTGAATGAAAAGAATTCGCGCAAGTTAAGTTAAATGTTGTATGGCTTACCTAAAGTTTGACATGATGCAGCGTCTGTTTTTTGTTTGTCTTTGTTGAGTTTCCCTCTCTCTTGCTTGGATGAATCTGTGAAATAGCGATAGCACGTCGGGTGATATCCACCACTTTCTGGTACTGGTATTGGTATTAAGCCTACAGCAGTATCGACCAGTGCATCAGGTCCAACTTCGCGTAAAAAGGCTCTCGCTATATCAGCCTGATACCCCACTAAATCTTTCCAAATATTCACACTGCTTACAAATGTGTTCCACCGTGTGGTCGTAAAAGGTTTGAGATCTTCGGAAACACTAGAGCAATGAGCAAAACATCTATTTTTTGACGAATTTCGATAAGATTTTGCACCGACAGACATGATTACGGCAAACAAAGCGCCTGTATGTACACGTGACTCGCAAAAACGCAGTACCAAAGCCGGTTAATACAACTTTTCTGATTGGCGGACTAGCGATAATCTGTCATTTTGTCAATCTGATGGGCCAATCAGATGAGTTTATAGTCTAAACAACGTAAGTGGATTAATTACGCGATTTAATTGGACGATTTTATTGCAATAATATTAACCCTTTTTCATCAAAATATTAAACAATGACCCAACTCCCAGTGTGGGAACTAACAAATTTATTTCCTAAAAATATAATGCTTATTTCTTAGATAAGTTTCAGGTAGTCACAACATGTGGAGTACAAGACAAGCGTTAAAATCGGCTCGCCCTATGGTCTATAAACGTTATACCGGTATTCCATCATCATGACAACATGAACAAAAACTATTTTGACTTTCGATTCTTGTATTTTAACCCACTATGAGACACTGTGATTGTTTCATCATACTGTAGCTATAAAATTGTGTCACAATTAATAGAAAACAAAAAAACAGAAAAAGAGCAGGGCTAAGTATATAAGTACAGGTAATTTGTTGGGAAATATTTAAAGCATTTAAAACAACTGTACACAAATTCATGAAAAAGTCATATACCACATGAGTGGAAACATCAACAGCTTTTGAATTTTTGTTAAAAAACTTATGAGAGTTGACATAGTGTTCTTCCGAAAAGGCTCCATGCATTTTATGAGTCAAGGACAATCTAAAGTTGCCTTTATTGAATCCAAGGTTTAATCATGAAACTATCTCTAAGAGTATATTCACCCATCAGTTCAGAATAAGTAAGAGTTCCAACTAAATTGGCAACCCTGCGTCAAGATCACATGCTCATCAGTGTTCATTTCCTACTTTAGATAGAGACAGGAAAGGGAAGCTACCAACATGCATTGTGGCCTGTCCTAAAAACGATCCACCTCCCCTTCCAATAATCAGTCAAGTATAAATACCATTCTGAAGCGGATGGAACCCTAATGACATATATTAGGAGAAGGGCGCATCATCGTAATGGTCAGCATGTTGATGAAAAGAGTTTCGATCAAGGCTTCTTTCATCGAAGTCGATCAATCAGTGGTAAACAAATGGGTCCCTGGGGCATGATGATGTTCCATTTGTCGCTTGAGTTGGTCATCTTTTTTTTAATCACTTAGGCAACAAATGATAATATGAATTTTACATGATCATCAGCGGTAATACCATGTAATTAAATCAATCATGGCTGTATAAATAACCTATTACAAATTTCTAAGCAAACTAACACAAAATAAAACAGTATCCTAGAATAGATTGTTTTGGTTTAACTTATATATTATTCACTCATGCAGACTGAAAACAGAATGTCGACTTCAATAAGTTTATAAATAAATTTGTTTTCCATATCTATAAAATAAGTCTTATAAAATCAAATAAGCAATATGAGATAGGAAAATCCTTTACAATCCTTGCAACAGCGTTCAGCAATACTCACAGAATAAATTCAGATGCCTCCAACTTAAAGTTTACACCTTAAAGAATTTGCATGATTATAATGCACTATAATCATATATTGGTCTCAGGAAATATTATAATTATCATTTTTTTTTAACCACTAAATAATTGCACCAATTTCATCTGTTTTTACAGGTTGAATCAATTCACACATCCTCTAAATATATTTTCAAAGAAACGATCTTGTTCAATCATCATAAGATATTAACACATTATCTTGGATCAGTATTCATCACTCAGACAGATCCAATTTTGACATTGATTTTGAATGCCGCCAACAGCAATCCTCAATCAATGAAATCATTCATGAGATACATTATCACCATGAGATGCGAGAACTTTCAAATTCTTGCATGACCCTCTATCAATGCTTACAAATAAATTCAATTCAGAAAGCCTCCACCTCTCAAATTTGTATACTAAATATGTCCCTAAAATCAAAAAAATGTATATCATCATTAGATATGAAGACATTGCACAACATTTGCAACAATATTCATCAAATCTCTCATCTACTCATTCAATTCAAAATACCAAAAATGAAATCAAGATAATGAAAAATAGTATTCTTGATCAAATGAAATTTATTACTAAAACTCAATTTTGAAAGAAAGTGGGAATACCAATATACAGAACTGCAGTACTTCAAAATGCAACTTCTTTAATATGTTGTTCCCAAATGTTCATATGAATCAAAATTGCAGAGTGTGTTGTGAAAAGGTCTGGTGGTCTGCAGCTCACAGTGACATCAATCATCAATCTAGAAGCTAATTTTGTTTCCACTATGAGACTTAAAACTATCAGGCAATTTCAATATCAATAATCATATGACCATCCAAGAACTCTGTTATATACAAGTTCTACCTTTTATTAAGTATTTAATTGTATCTAATCCTATTGCAATTCTTTCAAAAACAATCAAAGTCAAATTGGAAGATGAGTGTTGGCATTTAAAAAACCATTATCATCATCAGAAGATGTGAAAACATTATACAGCCTCAGCCCAAAGAGTAATAATTCTCTTACTCTTATCTCACAGATTTAATTTAGAATACCTCAAATATCAGTATTTTTTTGTTCTGATGAAGGAAAAAAAAATCAAATATCATTCATGGACCCACCGGATTACAACAAAATATAAAGGAATCCCTGCATAAAGCCCTACATCCACTCAAGGAATGATCAAGAGTAATAATTCTCTCACAGATTTAATTTAGAATACCTCAAATAACAGCATTTTTTTTCTTCAGATGAAAAATCAAATATCCTTCGTGGACCCACAAGATTACAACCAAATCTAAAGGAATCCCTGCATGAAGCCTGGTACATCCACAAAAGGAATGACCAATAAATTCTTTTATGAGATTCATGGGAATAAACAGACTTGAGAGATTCCAATAACACTGCGGTCTGGGAGTTTCCTCGGATTAATAATAAATCTCTCTCGAATCTTCTTCTCATCATTTTGCAATTAATTTCCAATTGGGTGTCATAAAAAGCTGGCCCAAACACTCCTTGGTATATACAAACTCAGATGATGGCAAGATAAGGATAAATCACTCAGTGGCCTAGCCATCAGTGTTGGATAATAGGAAGAACAAGGAACAAAGAGATGGAATTCAAGAAGAAATAGTAATATGAAAAGAAAACTAAAGCAAAGCAATACAGCATGAGCACCTCTCCTATCGCCTCCCCAACCATTTTTCTTTTAACTAATACTTCTTGATCCTCAGGGTTACTAACTCTTTTATCACAGTGATATTATACCTCCAACCCCAAAAGTAGTCCAGGAATATGTTAGTGGGAAAAGAAGACTCATTCCAAATGCACTGGAATTTGATCATAGGAGAAAACCAATAAGCTACATGTACATCCATACAAAAATACTGATTTGAAATTCATTGCTATAATCTAGGTGTACCTCTAAAATAATAGACATAGTTTGGAAAATAAAAACAAATATCATAACAAATACCATACAGTATGTACTATTGAAAATCATGGCAATACTTATATAATTCACTACAATTGTTGTCTAGACAAATTGGGATGTCGATTTGAATTTCAAAATATTTGCCATTTTGAATGAACATTACACCTTTCCCAGTTTCCTTTAAATCTGTTACCTACTTGTATCATGCTTATTTGGTCTAATTTTCAAGGACCCTTTAAAATTTATCAAGTATTCAAACTATACGAGTATATCCAAGAAACCCAGAAGGATCCATGCTAATCTGTACACGTTCCACATAAAACCAGGTTAATGATGCAATCTCAAATTCCCTAGATGCAAATATTCATGGTTTATTAAGGGAAGAGTGCTCAGAATCATGAATTAGAATTACAGAGAGCTCCACTAGAACCCAATCTGCATGATCTAGTTACAAACTAATGAGATGGACTCCAATATCTTCAACACCTTGCTGAAATGGCATCCCAATTTGATACCTATACATGACAATTTTCTACAAGATTTTACCTTCTTAAAGGGAAACCATATATTGATGGTTTTACGCAAGTGGCCTACAAAAAGAGTAGACCCAGGCATACAGTATATGGGGACATTTATATTTTGCCTAAGAAAGATAAATGTCAAGGGGGTCTGAAATCAGCCAAAAACTGACATGCCTGACATACAGAACATGAAGCTTACACAAAATTCAGACAATGACTATACTGTAAGTTCCTATTTCAAGCTCCTATCTATATTTGAAAAGTTCCTTTTTTTTAAAGCAGTAGTTTTTAAAGCGACACCCTAACTGGCTGAATCATGACTGACCCCCTATGCACTGTTGGCTTATCTTATCAAAATACAACACTGTAAATGTAGGGGAAATCATTACAGCTGAACAGAAGAAACAAAAAATAAAATAGAAATGTTCTGCTAGTTAGTTCCTTTTGGCTATCAAAATCTTCGCTCTTTTTTGTGCAAAAATTACCTTTGACACGTTCATGAAACTGCTGAAGTGTACTGGGAGTAGCCCTTCCACCAAGCAGTACATCACACCCTTCTATTGCCAGCCTGTTAGCGATGACCGCTGCATTGCCACCAACGACACTCCAATGTCCAGTCTGCTGTTGGGAAAGCCTCACAATCTCCCGAAACAACTCCCTGCCATGAACGTATCTCCTGCAGGGGATAACAGAAGAAGAAATTAAAAGAAAAAAGAACCAGTCCAGATTTTTAAAATCTTGTTAAAAAGGTCCAAGTACAGTCATGGAGATAGTTAATTACATTTATTTTCATGATAAAATCATAAATGATCTTCACAAAACACATGCAATAGGTTATAACTTTTTAAATCCTGTTGCTATAATACACCATATAATTCTATCCATGAAGTTAAGCTACTATCTTTAGGTTTACAAAAGAAAAGTCATTCATTTCTATTATATTACAATAACTACTCTGTATGTAGGTTTATCCTTTATTCACCATAAACAATTAACAGTCTGGAAAATCAATGTGGTAAAAAACATCACATGCTGTTAAAGAAAGTAGTCAATCTTCCTTTTTGTTTTAACTTAAAATTTGAAAAATACCATAAGGTGTGTCTGTGCGTCTGCCTATGGGACTGACAGGATTAATTCAAGCCAACCAGAAACTTGGGAGGTTGCCACCAGCTCCCTCCATCTCGCTTCTCGTTAAATCAGCCAGCAGACTGATGCAATAATCATTGTAAATCAAAACAGTAATATAAACCAGCCGGTATTGTTAACATGGACAACCGACACCGAAAGATGCTCAATTTCCATTCCCTAAGCCATTACAAGTCTTGACACATTCTAAGGGAGTATACAAGGCTGTGGAAGGTCCATTTCATACAGGAAAAATAAGGAAGATGATAGGATATTCACACTAGCAAACTCGTGCCAAAAGATGCACAATTCTAAATTGTTGACACATTGTAAGGAAGCATTGAATGCTCTGCACAGAAGGTCAATTATTTACAGCAAAATAAGGGAAAAGGTACTTTGGACCCATTCACACTCAGTATAATTATGAACAAGTCATGCCCACGATAGCACAATATACATCCTTACAAGAAAATCATATCTTGTCACATTCTAGGCAACAAATCAAAGCACATAACACTGTACATTGTACATTTCCAACAAAATGAAAATAACAATCCCAAAAGAAATTAGCGTATACTATTTATCCAAAAAAAATAAAGAAAAATCTGAATTTCAACCGAACCGCGTTCTAAAAGAAACTGTCCTTTAATAATTTAAATTCAATTGAACGCTTAAGAGGAGTCGAATACTACTGTATCACATGAAAACAGAGCATTTTCATGAAATGCATATCTCTTGGAAATGTGGGGGGGGGGGGTCAAGAAAAAGTTGTCTGCTGTGAATCTAATGGAGTAAGTGGCAAAAACAACTTCAATCTTCATGGTGATATTAATCATGTGAATGGAAACAAGACATCTACAAATGTAGTTCTTGATTCAATTGGATCGTTATCAATACAGGCATTCTGAGTGTGTGTGAAAGAGGTCACACTCAGAGTTGTGCCTTTGCATCTCAAATTGGTGTCATTTATCTATTCTTGGAAAGTATTTACACCCTTGGGAGGTACCAAGAGTAATGACCAGAGAGAGAAACACATCCTAGTTATCAGTATAAGATTACACTGCTCTTCTTCTTGTTGTTTTCTTGTGCAACAGGCAGGTCACAGGCTAGTTTACATTCTGAAGGACGAGGATTCCTTCAAAAAGAGTTTTATAAATATATTAAAACAAAATCTACAATGTATATGTGTTAATCCCCAATATGATTGCAAGTAGCATTAAATAACAGAAGAGAATCGCATTGATGTTGCCTCTATAAAAGTTTTTTTCCAATTCCTTTTTCTTCAAGATTACCAAAACAACACATCTTCTTCCTTTTTTTTTTTTTTTTTTTACTGCTAGTGCCATCTAAAGATTAGCTCTAAAGCTTTGATAGATTTTCTATCTATCTTTTAGATAGAATTACAAAATAACAGACTGAAGGCTTCTGCAGGCTCACCAATTATGCAAGATAAATCTAATTTCTTCTTCTACTAAGACAGGATATTGCCAGCAAATGTCACTAACAAGCTCATGATTTAATAACCTTGGATCTGGTTTAGGGATATTAACTGCAGCTGATTTTTCTTAGCTGCGCTGCTTTCACAAATTCATATATTCATGGGTATACGAGACTGATCAGCAGCACAGGCGGAAAGGATGAGGTGAAACAAAGACTATGAGGATACATAAGAACATTAGTTCAAATATTAATATAATTTTGCAATTATAGTATAGTATTATAGTTTAGCAAAGCTGAAAAGGGAAAGGAAAAACAACAAAAAGAGATCAAGATTATGGCAGAAAGAAAAGGAGAAAGCATGATGGGTATTACAATGAGGGAGGCTGGTGATAGATGAGAAGTAAGTTACACATATTACTAAAGATAAGAAGATCTGTATAGTATGTACAAAAGGAAATGATTTGAATTCCTCACAGTATTCTAGCTAAATATGAGATTGTTTTTTACTATAAACATATAATTTGTCTCTTCTCATAAAACATCTGAAAGACAGACTGCACTACATGTATAGCAGTCTGTCTTTTCATGCAGTAAAACAAATCCTAACAAAACTTAAAATAAAATCTAATGCACTACACATGATTTTGCCAAACTACAAAAATATTGTATTCTCTCAAGAGTCGACCCCACAATAAAAGACACGCCCTATTTGCTGAACATTGTGAACAACCCTTTGGTCTCATCAAGAGATTGTACCTTGCCCTCAAGCATTTTTGTCACCAAGTTCTAACATTTATCACATCTGTGATGACATAGAGATTGTAGAAGATCACCCCCATGTGAATATATTAGCACATCATCCATCAAGGTGACAGGGCATTTTCTCTTGGATGATCACTTTGATGAGTGTGATCAGTCAAAATAACAGAAGAGAGAAGTGCCCTCCTGAATTCTGCTTCTCCATACACTGCATTTGCAAATTTGTTCTTGTTATTTTCAATCAAATACAGCATATTTTTATAATCTTGACTGGATTTGTCTGACTCTGTATAGAGTGGTGAAGTGTGACATCATAAAAAAATCTATTTTTAAAATTTCTCAATTTTTTTCTTCATTTTCCGAAAGAGCATCAAAAATAATGTCCAAATGTCGATAACTGGTTAAGGAGCCAGAGCATATACAGTGTATAACACTATATAGAAATATATTCATTCAGATGGTCATATCTCAGCCAATACTTAACATATTCAATAGGTTTTCGACATTTGGACATTATTTTTGATGCTGTTTCGGAAAATGAAGAAAAAAATTGAGAAATTCTAAAAATAGATTTTTAATATAATAGCTGGACAATTGGCTTGTGGTACCAGAAACCATCCAGACTCTACATTCTCTCACTCTCTTTCTGTGACTCCCTCACTCTCTCTTCCCTTCTCTTCTCCTTCTCTTTCTCTCTTCTCCATTAGTCTCTTCCCTTATTGTCTTCCTCTTCTACTTTCTTTTTCTTAATTTATTTCTTTTTTATTTTGAGATTAATAAGTAGATTTTTCTAACGTAAACTCTATTCCTTCTATCTGATACTCAGTTGACAGTTACACATTAATTCCTTCACTGCCTTTAGGTTTGTGAACACAATTTTGTGTACCTGCTTGATTCTGTTTTTAAGGAAGGAAAGACTAAAGAAATAACTCTTTTGGGTCAAAATATACATATTTTTTTTTTTGCACAGGATATATACCAGAAATTAATCAATGTTTACCATACATGTACATGTACATAACAGGTTCAATCAAGAAATAAAGAACTCCCGGCTAAGAGAAAAATCAGCTCAGTTCACTTGACTTCAAAAATTGATCATGCATCTTTCATAAAATCTAGATGGAACCACATACCATAAAGTCCTTTTCCAATATGAAGATGATCGCATTTGGCCGGCTATTTTTTTTTCTTAATTTCTCAATCATTTCAAGCCATCTCTTCCTCCGCTCTGCCCCCCGTCCTCCACCCCCTACCTCACCCCCTACCATGAAGTCCTTTTCCAATATGAAGATGATCGCATTTGGCCGGCTATTTTTTTTTCTTAATTTCTCAATCATTTCAAGCCATCTCTTCCTCCGCTCTGCCCCCCGTCCTCCACCCCCTACCATGAAGTCCTTTTCCAATATGAAGATGATCGCATTTGGCCGGCTATTTTTTTTTCTTAATTTCTCAATCATTTCAAGCCATCTCTTCCTCCGCTCTGCCCCCCGTCCTCCACCCCCTACCTCACCCCCTACCATGAAGTCCTTTTCCAATATGAAGATGATCGCATTTGGCCGGCTATTTTTTTTTTCTTAATTTCTCAATCATTTCAAGCCATCTCTTCCTCCGCTCTGCCCCCCGTCCTCCACCCCCTACCTCACCCCCTACCTCCGCCCCCTCCCCCCCCCCCCCTCCTCCTCCCTGTCAAGGCCCAAGTTTCACTCCTCAAGTTGAACAATATCACATTTCAAGTCTTAAGATTAATAGAATCTTACAAACTGTCACTTGCTGACTTGGCAAGAAACTGACAAATTGTTACCATGGTTACTTAGGACAGCCATTCTCTGTTCAGTCAAATGTGGTTCAGCTAGTTTGCATCTGAAACAACCAGCAAGATTCATGAAAATTTTTCGTACATGAAAGTTCCTAAATTTAAGTTGTAAAGTAAATAAGTTTTTACAAGCAGTCGGCCTTGCTTCACCTAAAAATATGTGATGACTTTGCACTTTTTTTACTTTTACGTTTTAGTCACAGTTGAACAGATACTGAAATAAACAACTCACGACATCTTTGTTGAACTTTAGAGTGGACATAAACTTACTCTGCTGCTGCTCCAGTAGAAAAGAAATAGGCAAAGATCTCGGCCAAATCTTGAGAGGTTCGAATTTCATCAATATGTCGTTTTTGTTCCGGCCCTTCTTGCTCCAGTTGTCGAAACAACTCCACGCCATCGGCGAAGGTATCGCTACACAAGCTGAAGCCGACAGCTACCCGTGTGCGAGGATGGACGCTGACCTTACTCTCTGCTCGAAGAAGACTGTCTAAAACATCCTGCAATCTCGAATCCAGCTCATTACCCAAACGCTTTTTGTAGATAATAGCCAAGATAATGATTGCAATTGAAAATATACCACCTAATGTTAGGATATTACGAGCCATTTTGGCGACATCAAGCAAGAGAAGATTCCAGCCGAACTGATAGTTTCACGGTAACGCAAGCAGCATATTAAAGTGTATCCGAACGCTATCCGCGCGCAAGTCTTCGTGTTCGATCCGTAGTACCGTGCAGGCCCTGCGCTTACCCGTCACTAACGTGCCAACTCTCGTAAGGCCGCTGTGATATTTCTGACGTGGCACATTCAACAGCTGATGCAATGCCATTGCCAATGGTTGTTTACATCCGAAACTAGGCACGTTTGTACGATAGCGATGCTGTATAGAATCAATGGAGCTAAAGAAAAAGACTTGAAGATCAAGATCGGAATGGTACCGGTCCGAATCCGGGGGGGGGGGGGGGGGGGGGTCACATAAGACATTCGGGGGGTGCCGCTGTAATGGGTCACTATTTCACCCCAAAATCCCTAAACATGGGTCCCATATTAACAACAATATCCCTAAGCAGTGGGTCCATGCCGGGCTTTTAAAAAAATTCTGAAATTTCTGAAATTGTGAGAAATGGGCCTTTATTTCGAGAAAAAATCCCTCAAAATGACCCTTAAAAATGGGTAGAGGTTCAATTCAATTCAATTTAATTTTTTCAATTTCATTTATTTGTTCAACGATCAAAATACAATCAAAATAAGTTACATCAATTACAATTTAGAGTAACACAATGATGGTTTGGTGACCCGGCGGAGAAAGCAGAGCTTATAAAAAGGAGCCACCAAATTGGAATACATAAAAAGATCAACAATACTTATGAAAAAATCAACATCGAACATTATTATAAACAAAGAAAAAAAAGAGAAGTACACTTCTTGCAGCAGCAGCAAAAAACTATATCGACATGTATATAAGAGGGCAGCCTACAAAAGAAAGCGAACAAGAAGTTAAAATTTCCCTGCTTAGCTTTTTAAATCTGGAAAGAGTTGAACTGTTTTTAATATTGTTGGGGAGTTTGTTCCATAACTTAGGAAAATGAACTATAAATGAATTTGAGGCGACGGAAGAACGAACCTGAGGTAAATGTATTACTCTGGCGAGTTTGGTAATAATGAATTGAGGAATTCAAAACAAAGATATCGTTAAGGAGAGGAGGCAAAATTTTGGAATGAATTTTATACATAAACACAAGGGAATGCAAGGCTATCAATTCCTTTAACGGTAATATATTTGACTGTGAAAATAAAGGTTTTGTATGACTATTGAAGAGAGCATTAAAGATAATTCGTATTGCTTTCTTTTGTAAAATGCATAATTTATCTAAATGAGTTTTAAAGGTGTGACCCCAGACACAGTAATTGAAATGAGGGAGTATATATGCTATTGTAGAGAGTCATCAGAATGGACTGGGGCACAAAAAGACTTAATTTGGAGAGAACACCAATAGATTTGATATTTTTGTACAAATTGAGCTAAGATGTAGCTTCCAAGAAAGATATTCATTCAAAATTACACCTAAAACTGCATATTATCGACCTTTTCTATGACATTTCCACCAATAATGAGGTTTGACAGATTTGACGGAACCCTCCTTCCTCTCTCACGAAAAATAATATACCTAGTTTTATCAAAATTTAAAAACAATTATTTATTGCAAGCATACCATTTATTTAATTTGTCTAGTTCATTGTTTGATGATGATGATATAAGATTGTCAATTTTGTTATGTGATAATGAAACGGTGGTATCATCAGCAAATAAAGAGAAGTTTAGAATTGAAGAACATTTAACAATATCATTTTATGTAGACGACAAAAAGGAAGGGCCCTAACACAGATCCATGAGGAATTCCACAGGATATTTGAAAATAGGCAAATAAAGAGGTAAAGGGTCACTTATCAGATATGGTAAGGGGCTTTTCTTGTATACCTGAAAAAGGGGCACTCACCTGAGAAGAATAAAAACACTTGTAAAGAATGATTACAAAGGAAAATGGGCACTTGTCGAAAGAAAAGGGGCACCTATAATTATGAGACGGTTTTGAGAGAAGTTCTGAATTAGTATTATCTTTCAAATGCTGTTGGAATTTAACCTTTTCATTTTTTGGCCTGCAAATGGGACATAGTACCTTTAAACGTGTGAAAAAGGGGCATTTATGAGAAGGAAAGTGGCTCTTATTTTTGAAAGGGGTGCATTATTTTATCAGAAGGAAAAGGGGCATTTATTAGAAAGACGAGGAGGCGCGTGTCAAATAAAAGCGGGTACTTATGAGAGGTGAGAAGGGGCAATCATCAAAAATGATAAGGGGCACTTATTACAAAAGAAAAGGGCATTCGTTAAAGTAAAATGGGTACCTCTTAGATTTGAATAGGGGCAATTATCATCGGTGAAGGGGTCACTTAATTATCAGAAGTGGTAAGAGGTCGTAAGTTTTCTCATCATGAATTTTCCAATATGCCCTCAGATTTATATAGATCCCCGCCTGTTCCCAAAAAGGATGTTAGGGCAAATATTTGAATATTCGAAAATCGCCTAAAATTGCCGGAAAATGAAAATTGTCAATCCTCTCCGTTTTTTCATCATGAAAGGCCCAAATTGTCCTCAGAGTTAATATATTGATCCCCGTTTGTTGGGGCAAATATTAAGATATTCAAAAATTGCCACTATTTGCCAAAAATGGCAAGAGGTTAGTTTATCATTTTTGCTAAAAAAAAAACGAAAAATTCAATGTTCTTTGTTTTCTCATCATGAAATTCCCAAATTGTCCTCAGAATTGTATTGATCCCCGTTTGTTCCCAAAAGGGGCGTTTAGGCAAATTTGGGATAAATAAAATCGCCACTCTTTGGCAAAAATGGCCTGGGGTTTAGTTTATCATTTGAGCCGAAAAAAAAAAAAAAAATCAATCGGCCTCTCTGTTTTCTCATCAAGAAATTGTCTGTTGATCCCTGATTATTTCCAAATGGGGCTTTAAGGCAAATTTGGGGAGGGAAAAAACAAAAAATCGAAAATCGCCACTCTTTGTTAGAAATGGAATTTATCCAACAAAATTGCCCAAAATGAACATTTTCAATCTTCTTTGTTTCCTCGCCATGAAAGTCCCAAATTTCCCTCACAACTTTATTGATCCCCTTTGTTTACAAAAGGGGGCTCTGAAAGCAGTTTTTGGAAAAACTTGAAAATACAGTATTGTTGCTACGTTTTATAGCAAAAATGGCAAGTGATTAGTTCATCATTTTTGTCAAAAAAGAACATGGATATTCATTAAATTCTTTGAATATACATCGAGGAGTAATCTAGCCTAACTAAAAGAGAGAGGGGGAAAAGTCAAATAATGCATGGAAACTATATTTGTTTTTCAATAACATATACCTGGGGCCCTTGGTCAAAGCTTTCAGAAAAGACATACATGCAGACAGGTAATGATCAATTTTTTTTTACAACAGTTTGTAATAACTGTAAATCACAATCTGGGCCACAAGTGAGCCAATATTACCAATATTATCTGTATTATCCACAAAATATTTGAAATAAAAACGATTGTAGTACACAGACCTTAATGGGTGGAATGTCATATTAATGTATTTGAATGTATATACCCCCCCCCCCCCCCGCGCCTTTCCTCAGTATGGAGCTAGCTGGCGCTTTTTATGTCTAGCACCATCTAGAGTTGATATAGGAGATAAAATAAAGTAATTAATGGAATGGTGTATGTATATTTTTTTTTCCTGGGAACAATCAACTGAAGTTAATATTTTGTGTCGAACTTCACGCCCATTCATCATCAATGAATTGTTCTGACAAGTAATAATTGCTTGATTTGAAAAATTGCCATTCATTTTTAATGAAATTTGGAGCAGAAAGCTAGAAAGCTGAGGTTTAGTTTTGGTACTGAAAGGGCTATGAACCAACACTTATGAGTTGTGCAAGTTTTATGAATTACAATTCTTTTCTTTTTTTTGGCATAACTAGCAGGGAATTAGAGGAGGCCGTACCTTTGATATAGAGTATAATTATAGTGAATTATAGTGTAGTTGGAATACTAGTGTCGTGACTTTCCGAGAAAAAAAAGGGGTTGTCAGGCAAAATCTTACTATTAATTGAATAGTTATTTAAATAGCTTACACGAAAATATCACAGTTTTCTAGTATTTAGCATAAAACTTGTCAAAATACGTTGATTGATTATGATTGTGTTTGCTCAATGGGGAGCTGAGCGAGACTCGACAGCCAACACCCACATTGTGCATCCAAGATCCGCCGTGTGTGAAATGCATGTTATGCATTGATGACCGGTACATAATCCTGCTGCTGTGAACTGAAAAGTGCCGTATCACTGCACTATCAACTTAATACATTTGCAATTGTCTTGTTTTCCGGATGTAGTGAATCCATTCTGACTAAAATGGCACAAGCATCGGTGAGTATTCTAAGAAAAACAATCATTCCCATCTTGCGGTATTATACAAAATGAAAGAGGGAGTGACCGTCTGATTTTGTTATTATTTTGTGCTCGGTCCCATCCCATGATTTTCATGCTGTATCTGAATAAGGAAGAACATCATGATATTCCCATCTATTCTTAATCTTGGTCGTCATCGCAATGATAGAATTGTTTTAACAGACTTTTAGAGACGTTAACAGATAAGAAAGCTTGTACATTTTCTAGTTTATGATAAAAAATATTTTGTAAAATGAAGGAAAAAATCAGTCTCTTTGATAAATACAACTTTTATCTTTCTTGAAAAAGTTGAATTAAAAGTGGAAATAAAAAGTAAACTATAAAAAATTGTCTTCCTCTCATACTTTACTTTACTTTAATACACGATGTTGTAGGTCTAAGCCTGTTCATCGATCCAGGATTCTTCCATGGTTACTGCTATTTGTGGAGGGAGGAGGTTGTGTAATTAACATGAGACAATAGACAACACCTAGACCGGCTCATACAAAAGGCTTACATTCTTTGATAGGCAAATTCATGTAAAAAAATATATTCAAAAAATTGACTTGAAAACACATCACACAATTAGTCTGAACCGAGTCAGGAGCAAATTTGAAGAAATTATATTTTTAAATGTTGTAAAACCAAAGATATAAGAAGAAAACTGACCAAGTATCTGTACTAAAAATCGTACATGTAAAATTGGTCGTATACATTCGACAGCTGAAAATGACGCGCGCGGTTGCATTACGTGCGTTCTCGAATCCAAAATCATACCTCACACACACACTCTCGCCATACCGCGAATGGTCCGTCGTGGGGAGCTGGCCGGCTGAGAGTTTGCAGCGATACCAACGCAGCTTCGGAGCTCCGCAGAGCGCCATTTTAGCGGGATTCGGAAAGGTTCGAGGTGGGAAGGCAGCGGCCTAGCTTTTTGCCCAAACAACGCTAGATCGGCTGCTGGCAAAATGAAAATAACTACGATCGAGAACATCGTCGGTTTCTTAACTTTTCAGTGAGATAATTCTGAATTCTAATTGAGACTATATAATAAATTAAATCAACAAAGAAACCTCGGTAGAACTCTTATAACTATACAAAAGCTTGTTTATTTCTTCATTTGACATTTTGTTTTCGACCATTTTTCGTGCGCGAGTCAATGTAAACTATGTATTACCAAACTTTCAACACGCAAGGAACGGGGAACACTCGCGGACCTCTAACAAATTCGTTGCAAAAAAAAAAATTCAAGGGTGATTTTGAAGCAGTGAAGAACATTGGCGCTGCAATGCGCAGAAATATACTTGAAAGAAACTTAAAAAATAATACCTGAATTTTCAGAAAATCGTATTTGTATTAGTGTACCTAGATGTGACTTGTTTATAAATCAGATTTTATGAAGATTTGTCGGGAAAAAATGTCAATTTTTTCCGTTTGGTGGTCATTTCTAGGCTAATATTTTAAAAGTTGCATCAGTAATGGGCCCGATGTTTCTCTTATCGTACTCGCATGTTATTTCTACATAGATTAAACATAGGATGGTTAAGGGTAAGACCAGATAACATTATAAAAAAGATATATCCTTCCACCCTCCCATATCCAAGTTTTGGGCTGATTATTGCCGACCCACCGCAGCAAGGCCATTCAGATTTTCGTACGCGCGCAAAGCGCCCTCTAGTGCCCCATGAATGTGCCTATCTTTGACCACTGACTATCAAGTCTATTCTTAAATGAGTTTACCAACCCAGCTGCCACAACGTTTTCTGGGAGACCATTACACAGTTACACAACTCTATTGCTAAAAAAGTATTTTCTTATATCTAGCCTTGAATATTTCTTTTCAAGTTTTCTGGAGTGACCTCGAGTTCTCTTGCACAGTGTACAAGCCATTCACGTACTTATACACATCGATCATGTCCCCCCTTCTACGCCTATGAACGAGAGTTGGTAGTTTGAGTTTGGTCAAGTGCTCCTGGTATGACAAATTTCTAAGGCCAGGAATAATCTTTGTTGCACGTCTTTGTACGCTTTCCAACATCTGTTCTCCTAATCTGTATGGGGACCATGCAGCCTGTCCGTATTCTAAAATGGGCCTAACAAGGCCTTTAAACAAAAACAGCATAGTATCAGTATTGAGGTACATAAATGTCCTACGGATAACTCCAAGTACTCGATTTGCCTTGAGAACTGTTTGGGAAACGTGATCTTTAAATGATAGTTGTGAATCTACAAGGACACCGAGGTCCTTTTCTACTTTTGTAACAGATAGTGTTACAGAGTCTGTCCCCTTTTTCATACAATAGCCTGTAGAGGCTTCTGCTGGTAACTTTCCAAGCCTTAAAACAGTACACTTATCAGGATGAAAGCAAAGCTGCCATTTCTCAGCCCATTCTTCCATCCATGACAGATCCTCTGAAGTTGCTTTCTTAAATCTGCAGTATCAGCACGGACATACAATTTTGTACGTCTGCAAACATTGAAATATTTGAGTTGACAACTTTTGGAAGGTCATTTACAAATAGCAAAAAAATAAACACGGACCCAACACACTGCCCTGCGGCACTCCACTCAGGACTTTGCCCCACTTAGACTGCTTGCCTCTTAATTTCTACTCTTTGCTGCCGTCCACTCAGAAAAGACTCTAACCATGCAAGTTCATTCCCATGAACTCCATACGATTCTAATTTGAGAAGCAGCCGGTGGTGAGGCACCGTATCGAAGTCTAAATTTATCGCATCTTCTGTGCCTCCATCATCCAAAATCTGTGTCCACTGGTCCAACACCTCTAAAAGATTTGTGATGCAAGAACGATTAACTACAAACCCTTGCTGGTGAACTGAAATCAAGTCATTCATCATGAGATGGTCAAGCAATTGCTTACGCACCAGATTCTCCATCATTTTACAAATAATGCTTGTTAGACTTAACTTGCCTATAATTTTTACTATCACCTTTGTTACCTTTCTTGAAAATCGGGGTAACATTTGCAGATTTCCAGTCCTGGGGTAACTGTTTACTTTCAAGACTCTTTTGGAACAGCAAAGAAATTGGTAGAGCTAACACATCTGCTAGTTCTTTAAGTAGATGGGGATGTATATTGTCAGGCCCCGGAGATTTATTAGGCTTAAGTCTAGTAGTCTACGCAGTAGATCAAACACATCTCCTGACGTAATCTGTATGTCGTCTAGTGGAGTGTCATATTCAACATCTGAAGGGAAAGGGATATCTTGTAAATCTTCCTTCGTGAAAACTGAAGAGAAGAAATCTTGCAAAACCTCAGCCTTTTCCTGATCCGTTTCTGTTTTATGCCCATCAGGTTTGGTTAAATTACAGACACTTTCCTGAGTTGCTATTTTTTAGTTTACATATGACCAGAAGACTCTTGCATTCTTCTCAACTCCTGAGGCTATATATTTCTCATATGAACTCACCACCTTCCTACACTGCCACCTTGCTTGGTTGCTGGATCTACTATAACAACGTCTTTGCTGTTCAATTTCTGCACTAGAATACTTTTCCCGATTTATTTCGCTTTTCATCTCTTGCCACTATATTTTGATTTGTGTGATAAATAGACAATATTATAATGTTGTTTTTTACTTGCATGCCCAGATTAAAGGTACTATGTCCCATTTGCAGGCCCAAAAAATGAAAAGGTTAAATTCATCATAAATGAGAATGAATGTTTTTTTCCCTTAAGTAACAGTTGATTATTTTTATCTTCTCGACTTCCGTGGACAGAGGGGAAAGGATATGACTGATGAAATGGATGATGATTACTGGAATGAAAAACCTGGAAAAAGGAGAAATTTCTTTGACGATAAACCATTGTCTCCACCAACTGTAAGTACTGTGCAAATCCTGTGATTGCTCTCACTTGAACTTTGCCTTGCAGATCATGCTATGTCCTAGTATTAGATCTATTGAAGTAGTACCAATGATACCACTTATTGTGGTAGATATGATTGTATCTAGTGCTTAATATTAACAAGGTTTTCACATGTGATAATGATGACATAGGTCATTGAATTTACTATTCTGTGTGTGTATACTTTGTACATTGTACCCTCTCAACTCCTCCATCTTTGTCTTTCTGTTTCTGTCTATCTATCTCTCTCTCTCTCTCTCTTTTTCTCTCTTTCCTCTCTCTTTTCTCTCTCTTTTCTCTCTCTCTTTTTTTCTCTCTCTCTTGCTATCTGTCTCTGTCTCTCTCTCTCTCTGTATACATGAATCTACTTATGTATTCTGTCTCTAATTTTCATTTCTTCACCTCTCTTTCTAATTATCTCTTTCCTCATTCCTTCCGTTTCTCTAAACATGTATATATTAACTATACACTTTCTCTCTTCTTTGTAACCTGACATTTGTCACTTCATAAGGTACAGCACCTTCAACGTAACACTAATTTTCACTTTGTGTATTGCATTAAACCTTGCTTGCTGTCTTCATTTTATGACAATTTTACTGTTCTCTTGTAGGACTCAACTGATGGAGGCAAAAAAGAGCCCCTCTCCTTTGAGCAATCTATGAAGGATGCTGGCTTGGACATTGACAATGAGAGGACAAACTCTCTCAGCATGGATGGAGGAATAACAAGTTAGTACATCAGGGTAGTGTTTCACAAAGACTAAGATCGACTTTAAGTTGGACTTAACTATGGCAGGCTGTTCATGCCACTGTATGCTCTCACCATTGATCTCTCAATTATAATCATAATTTTTTCTCTTGCAATAAAGAACTATCAAAAAAGAAATTATGTAGATTTGTGACCATGATTTGTATGTCCCTTGAGAAACCAATGCCAGGAATGGTTTAGAGGAACTAGTGGTATGAACGTCCTGCAATAGTTAATTCCAAGTTAAGTTAAGGTAAAACTTAGTCTTTGTGAAACTATCCCCTGGTGTCTGGCAGAAAAGGCTATTTATTGTAATGTGGTGACAGTTTATACTCTTCTCCATTCTGCAGTCTCATCCATCTTTCTAAAATGGGGGTGTTTAGAAGGTGATGTAGGAAGCAGATATAATTGAATTATACTTACAATGAGAGTATGAGACATTACATACTTTTACAATTTGGGGTTTAAAGAAAGGCAGTGGCATTGTCATCCTAGTCCACTGCTGGTTCAATACAGACAAGAATAGATGCATACATACAGGGCTCGAATTACCCACCGGCAATCGGCAATTTGCCGCCATGCCCCTCTCATTGGCCGGAATGCCCTTTTCAAAATCAAACCGTTTACGGCCACAATATTTAATCCACAAAAGTTTTGCCGACATTATAGTCATCGTAAGCCAACCCGACTTGTAATGTTCAAAAAGGTTTTGTTGCCCATACAGAGCTCTAAAAACAATGATAGTCGGCAAGGTTTTGTTGCCCCTCCGGAGCTCTAAAAACAATGGTAGTCGGCAAGGTTTTGTTGCCCCTCCGGAGCTCTAAAAACAATAATTACCGGAAGGTTTTGTTGCCCCTCCGGAGCTCTAAAAACAATGATAGTCGGCAAGGTTTTGTTGCCCCTCCGTAGCTCTAAAAACAATAATAGTCGGCAAGGTTTTGTTGCCCCTCCGGAGCTCTAAAAACAATATTTATCGGCAAGGTTTTGTTGCCCCTCCGGAGCTCTAAACACAATGATAGTCGGCAAGGTTTTGTTGCCCCTCCGGAGCTCTAAAAACAATAATTACCGGAAGGTTTTGTTGCCCCTACGGAGCTCTAAAAACAATAATTACCGGAAGGTTTTGTTGCCCCTCCGGAACTCTAGAAACAATGATAGTCGGCAAGGTTTTGTTGCCCCTCCGAGGCTCTAAAAACAGTAATTATCGGAAGGTTTTGTTGCCCCTCCGGAGCTCTGAAAACAATAATTACTGGAAGGTTTTGTTGCCCGTACGGAGCTCTGAAAACAATAATTACCGGAAGGTTTTGTTGCCCCTACGGAGCTCTAAAAACAATAATTACCGGAAGGTTTTGTTGCCCCTCCGGAGCTCTAAAAACAATAATAGTCGGCAAGGTTTTGTTGCCCCTCCGGAGCTCTGAAAACAATAATTACTGGAAGGTTTTGTTGCCCCTACGGAGCTCTAAAAACAATAATTATCAGCAAGGCTTTGTTGCCCCTACGGAGATCTAAAACAATGATAATCGGCAAGACTTTGTTGCCCCTACGGAGATCTAAAACAATAATTATTGGCGAGACTTAATTTCCACTATGGAACTTCTAAATTAATTGGCGTGACTTAATTGCCGATACGGAGATATGAAAGAATGTCTTCATCCAAATGACTGAAACGTTTGGCACAAAAACCGTAATGACTTAGGCTTAATTTTTCAATCCATCCTTTTTATTTGAACCAATCAATATCGGGAAGTTTTGTTTACCCATCGTTGGTTCAACATCTTTACTTCGCGTTGTGACCTTTTTTGGTGCGTTTTCACAGTTTTTTAATCAGTGAAAAACTTGGATTTTTCTCGGGAGGAGGGTCTGGAATTAAATCAGAAAAGGATTAAGAGTCGAGATAATGGTACAAAGAATCGTCTTCTTTCCCATACGTTTTAATTAAAACGTCATAGCTTCCGCCCATCGCGCGGGAGGGGTGTGAATTGAGTTCAGAAAAGGATAATACCTGTAGTCGAGATCGAGACGAATCGTCTTCTTTCCCTAATAATTTATTAAAAACGTCTAAGCTTCCGCGCTTCCCTTGGAATTCAGAAAAGGATAAAGAGTCAAGAACGGTACAACGAATCATCTTCTTTCTCTAATAATTCAATGAAACGTCAAAGGGAGAAACTCCCCCCCCCCTCCAGCTCCCCCCCCCCCCCAATTTTTTTTTGAAAAGCATTTTAAAGAGAAATAGAAAGAAAGAGAGCAAGAAAGAAAAAATAGTTAACTACCAGTTTCTCAACAAAATAAGGTATCAAAAATTGCTCATCTGATCGTAATTAAACGCCTAAGACCCCTGAGCTTCCGAGGGCTCTGCCCCTGGGACCCAACCAAGGGCCCTTTGGCAGGCCTCTTGATACTCATCTGACTGCAATTTAGTGCCTAAAACCCTTGATCTTCTGGGGGCTCCGCCCGCTGGACCAATCAGTGTCCTGCCAGTGTCACAAATAAGTATAAAAATATGTTCATCTGACTGTAATCAAATGCTTAAACCCCTGAGCTTCCGGGGGCTCTGCCCCTGGACCCCACTGGATGCTAATCTGACGGTAATGTAATGCTTTAAACCCATGGGCTTCTGGGGGCTCCGCCCGCTGGACCTCAGGCCAATCAGTATCCTGCCAGTTTCACAAATAAGGTATAAAAATATGTTCATCTGACCGTAATCAAATGCCTGAAACCCCTGAAATTCAGGGGTTTCCGCACCCTCGACTCCACCAGGGCCCTGAGGCGGGCCCCTGAATGCTTATCTGACCGTAATTTGCCTTCAACCCATGAGTTTCCGGGGACGAACAAGGTATCAAAAGATGTTCATCTGACCGCAGGCACGTAGCCGGGGGGGGGGGGGGGGGGGGGGGGGGGGGGGGGGGGGGGGGGGGGGGGGGGGGGGTGGGGGGGGGGGCAGTGGGGGCGCCCCCCAAAAAAAAAGCCAAAAAAATAGAGGAGAGTAAAGGAAGAGGACGTATGAAGAAAAAGGAGCAGACAAAAAACTGTATTCATGCAGGCGAGGATTATTTTCGAGAACGGTACAACGAATCGTCTTCTTTCTCTAATGATTTAATGAAACGTAAAAGCTTCCGAGCTTTGCGGGGGAGGGGGGGGGCGATGAATGATTTAGACGAGGATTAAGAGTAAAAAACGGTACAACGAATCCTCTTCTTTCTCTAATGATTTAATGAAACGTAAAAGCTTCCACGCTTTGCGCGGAGGGAGGGGAACTGTATTCAGACGAGCAGGCACGTACGCAGGGGGGGGGGGGGAGGGGTTGGGGCGTTAAAACCCCCCCCTTCGTTTTTTTTATGTCTGTATTTTGAAGCAAACCCCCCCTTTTTTTTTCAAATGAAACACACAAAAAAAATTATGCCAATGGCTGATCTAAAAAGGTGACCTCACCCCCTCCCCCCCCACCCTCCCAAAGGGAACAAAATGTCAAATTTTTCAAATTTCGAGACCGAAAAACATTTATGTCTGTATTTTGAAGCAAACCCCCCCCCCTTTTTTTTTTTAAATGAAACACACACACACACACAAAAATTATGCCAATGGCTGATCTAAAAAGGTGACCTCACCCCCCCACCCCCACCCCTCCCCAAAGGGAACAAAATGTCAAATTTTCAAATTTCGAGACCAAAAACAAAAAAAAATGTCCTCTTACCCCCCCCCCCCCCCCCCCCCCCCCCCCCCCCCCCCCCCCCCCCCCCCGCTTATTCAGCGGCTGGCTGAGCCGTTGCAATTTTTTGGGGGGACAAAAAAAAAAAGTGGCCCCCCCCCCCCCCCTAAGGAAGAAATCCTGGATCCGCCCCTGGGTGCACATATCCCCCCCCCCCCCCCCCCACCTTGAAAACAACGGCGTGAGGTGATCTTACGCGCACTTTCCACGTTGGCCTTAGTGCCCCTTAGGATAGATTTGTGCCCGTTTCAGTGGATTTGTGCCCTCTCAAAAAAGTGGCCTTGACCCAAATTTGATGTAATTCGAGGCCTGATACATATACAAGATTAACCCTTTTTAATCAAAATAGTCCAATGGATGATATGAATTTGTATCCATAAATGCAGAATGATGAATCACTCAAATTTTTCCTTTCTTTCTGGCGGAGAACTAGCATGTGATTAATACGGACTGTAGCTCTCGTAAACTCTAGTGATATGACTTGACTAAATATATATATGACTTGTAAGCACCCTGTTCTGAAGACATATCTTTCATTCAAATTTTTCTTGTATTTCTTCAGAATTCAGCACAGGGAGAAGCCACGCAGCCAGCTTCAGCAGTGGATCATCCAATACCAGCCGTCCAAACACCCTCCAGTCAGCCGAGGCACATCATCAACACCCAAGTACTCATTAGGATCCAACTCTGTTCCTGTGGTGTTAAAGACTTCAAGGAGCAGTAGTGTGGTGATGGAGGGGAGTGGAAAGAGTTCCAGTGCCACGTCATCAACCACCAGTAGCCCAGCAGCTACGGGTCCAGGGACTGAGGGGCTGTATGTCCATCGCAGATCAGCCAGTGCAACGCTAGGTAACTGGGGAACTTGTTATCGTGTCAATTTTTTTAATTTTTTAATTTTTTAAAACTTTTGATGAAGAGTGAGGTGGGAAGAGCAATTCACATATGAGATTTTAGGTGTGTTCAGCATGGACAGTTTTGAGATGTTGTAGTGAGTTTTAGCTTCCTTGGGTAGAAAGCCGCATTATTATTTTTCATGTTCATTTGTCATACCTAGGGTATCATATTCAAGTGGAATCGCTATAATTGTCAAACATCATTAAAAGTATTTAGGTGTGACAATAAAGTTTAAAGATAAAGACCAGCTATGGTCATGCGATTGCATTGTGAAAGAAACGTTGTGGAATCAATCAGAAAGGTTGATCATCTAGCATTAAGTATTGGTGTGTACTGCAAGGTTCTGGGATCATCAAAATGATAAGATATTTGGCCCAGTCTTGGTAAAGTTACAAGCACTGTACACAGAAAGATGTATATGGGACTACGCACACGTGTGTGACACGTGCGTTTATCTCTCACAGTCCAATAGATAAACTAATTTACCAAATATATAAATTAGTAGGCAGTTTCCCTGCAAAATTTGTATGATCACGTATTAGCTAAAACATATTCTTTCACATGATTGGTAATAAGAGCTTCCATTTCATTTTTAAGAAGGGCGTTTCCAAAACTGGTCTTTACCTTTAATCTGATTACTAAACAATTAATTAAATAAACAACTTGATTAAGTCATTTGGTGAAAGGTGTAGGCTAGTTGGAAAATGGATGTACAAATGGGATGGAAATACCTAATTTCCTTGTTTGTACCTGCACCCTCAGTACCACTTTAGCCCAGGAAGTGTTTGATAAGAAAGGAGAGGGTTGCCATCCTATATGCATACCCTGGCTGATACACATCAGTAGGGATACTGATAGTAAATGGTTCATGTTTATAGTGAGGAGCTAACCTTTGTTGGAAATAATGCCGATTTCACATGCGTTACTCGTTGCTCGCTTGAAAGGTAGAGTCGTATTTATATGTTGTGTTGTACATGGAAGTAGTTTAATATTGCACGATTCTTTGTCATTGAGTAGGAGAAAGACCAATAATAGCTCCTATGATGTCTCTAGACCTTTCGGTCATTCTTGAAATCCTTCTTTTAGCCATTTGCCATGTTGACTAATTTGTTTCAGTTATTTGTATTGGAATGTTGAACAACTTGTCAAGAAAACTCTCATCACTAAGACGTAAACAACTGATGCAAATAAGCATTTCAGTCTCTATCGAATAAACCATGGTAAACCTGACTCAGTTTAATATGTACAGTATATGTAAATCTTGCTGTATCTTATTGATGCTTCAACACATGTCTTATTGATGCTTCAATACATGACTTATTGATGCTTTAATACATGTCTTATTTCTTTTTGGTAGGTGATAAGAAGAATACATCTCAGTCTTCTTCTCCTGGCTCATCGCATGGGAGTCACCATGGTAGCACTGCATCAATTGATGAAGGTAAGGAGCAGTAAATACCTGGGGGTGTTTCACAAAACTTGTCATCAGTGACAAATGGCAGTTTTTGTTATAAGCTACTGAAATCCTTGCTTCTGATTGGTTATCAGCAGACTTGTCACTGATTTTTGTCATTTGTCATTGAAAAAAAGCTTTGTGAAACGGGTTCCTGATGTAGTGACTAGACTGTACTATTGGAAGAGTGAGAAGGAAAAAATGAGAGAATTGGTATACTTAAACTAATTGTATATGTATTAAAGAATGTTTGTCATTCATTTTCCATCATCTTCTCCATTTAATCTTCTGTATTAGTTGTCTTTAACCAGCCAATGCATTTTTAAACAGTGATTAGACATAACTTTGTGACAGGAAATGTATGTAATACTTGTCATGGTCTCCTGCTGTGTTATCGATTCATTTACACACTCACAGAATATTCTGTTATTCAATATTCATGTTCCTTTAAAAGTTGAATAAACAAAAATGTTACTTTGTTTTGATTGTAGCTACCAAGAAAGATAATAGACCATCTGTGACAGAGGTTGCTAAGCTTCAAGCTGAGATTATTGCCCTGCATAGAAAAATCAAGGTAAAGTATTCATGCAGTATCTTTGGTCCATATCACCCTTCCATGCCTTGGGCAAGGAATTCCATTGATTTTGTTTTCACTTGGGAAAACGTAGTTGTAGTTTGAGATATAGCATTCATCCAAAGCATATTTAGGAATGAAGATCTACATGTACCATGCAGTAAGAGGACGTGTTTTGAAGTCAGCACTTTATACAGTGGTGTACGCTATTACATTTATTGTGCTTGTTTATTTTGCATCTAGAGTCTTGAGAAATCGCGCTGGTCAGCTCTTCCAGTAGCGGACACTGTCAGTCGGATCATCACCGGTGAGAGATACTCACTGGAACCTTACAAGTCACTCAAGGACAAGATGTCTTTGCTCGATGCTGCCATCGGTTACCATGACGGAAATGCTATCGTTGCAGTGAGTCATTCTTGGCATGATGTTTGTGGTATTGTGTGGAGATAATTATGCAGATAGAATGATGAAGAGGAGCAGGTTGATGATAATGAGGAGGACGAAAATGGTGATAGGGAAGATTATGGTTGAGCTATATAAAGACAGAATGATCATGGGAAAGTGATGATGATAATGTGATAGTAATAATGTAATATATCATATATTTATGATGATGAAGATAATCTTGAAAGGAGCAATGATGATGATGATTGTGATGATGACGATGATATTAGTATTCATCCTTGTGTCTTTAATTACCATCAATGCACAATATCATGCTAGAAGATGATCATTGATGTGCTGGACTGCTGTTCCTTCTATACTTTCCTCATGATGACGATGTTCATGATGGTAAAGGTGATAATGATGGTGATGGCAGTTGTTGATGTGATGTTGTTGTTATAATTATTGTTATTAAGATTGGTGGTGATGGTGATGATGATGATGATGATGATGCTGATAATAGTGAGGATAATGATGATAATGATGATGATGGTGATGATGATGATGATGATGATGATGATAATGACGATGATGATAATGATGGTGATGATGATGATGATGATGATGATTATAATGATGATTATAATGATGATGATGATGATGATGATGATGATGATGATGATGATGATGATAACATTGTTCATGAATAGCTGTCTTTTTCTGTACATTTAAATACTGGTCCTCGTCTCGTCTACTCTCTTCACAGGTAGTGATGTTCGTGAAGAAGACCCTTAGTAAAACTTTATTTTACAAGGAGCTAAGCAAAAGACCAGCGGCTGTCAACCAATACATAGCATTCCTCAAGTCTTACCATACTAAGGAGGAATCAGTTGCAGCGGAATTAGGGTGAGTAGTCAGTATGTTCACACTGTTGATGCTGATATATCTCAATCATGTAACATATTTTTAACATATATGTAAAGATTAGTTGATGTGCAGTTATGCAGTGCTGCGGGGTAGACATAAACAAGTATTATAAAACAGTCGGAACTAACATTTATGAAGAAAAAAAGAAGAAGACTAAAACAGAAATTTACATGCAAAAACTCATTAGTGAAATATTTGAATGTTGAGAAATGTTCATGTTTCGTCTAATTTTGTTACAGAGCACTGGGGAGAGTTGAAGAAGCTGCGGTGAGTTATTCTTGTTTTTTATTTAATCAATGTTGTTATTACTTGCAAAATAGGAAATTTGCCTCCTTTTTAACTGGTTTCTTGTAGACATGCAGTGAGGAAAGACAAATTATGAATTCTTTATATACATATATTAAATTATATTTGGTTATGTTTTGATTCATTTCCACACATCAAACATGTATAATATTAGCATGTGGTTTAGAAACTGTACATTATAGGGCAAGAATGTAAACAAACAAAAGTTTGATTTGCAAGATTCTCTTGGTAACTTCATCGTGATTGAGGCAGTTTACTCCAAGTTAACAACTTTGTTCTTTTCCTAACAGTATACTGTACATGCTGTTATGACATGGTTTTACCTTTCTAATGTATAATATTAGCATGTGGTTTAGAAACTGTACATTATAGGGCAAGAATGTAAACAAACAAAAGTTTAATTTGCAAGATTCTCTGGGTAACTTCATTGTGATTGAGGCAGTTTACTCCAAGTTAACAACTTTGTTCTTTTCCTGAACAGTATACTGTACATGCTGTTATGACATGGTTTTACCTTTCTGTCAATAACACACGAGCTGTGTGATTATTCATATATCTTTTACTTTTTGTTTTTAGCTGTGGAGGTACAAATTAGCCAACCAGTCTGATGTCCCACAACAAAGGCTCACCAGAATAATGGATTGCAATTCGTAAGTAGCCATGTATGACATGAGAGAACAAAATTGTTGTTCATTCTCAAAGAAAAGTGCTTAATAACATTTTTATCATGGTCTCTGGGAATTATAACGAAAAATATAGGTTCTTTTTTAGTGCGATAGTGCAGGATGATATTAGTAAGTGCCTTGAACATGTTTTATAGGTGGATGGCAATATACAAAAGATATGTGTCATAGTAGTATTACTATCATCTTCATCATCATCACACTTTCAACATCATTGTAATCAACTTGACCATGACCCTTACCATCATCATTTCCATCACTGCCACAATCATCACCTCCACCACTACAACCAGCACCAGCACCAGCATCATCACCAGGCCCACACCAACACCACCACTACCACTACCACGACCACTCATCTCATCAATGTCCTCATCACTGTACCAGTCCAGTACCGGTAGTCTAAGATGAATGAATTATGCAGAATATATTACGCTACATTTTGGTGATATTTGTATTTTTACCCTGTACAGGAAGTGGTTCCAGCGATCAGAATCTTTGACTGCAGAACATGACATAATCAAAGAACAGGTTCTACTTCTCAACAAACAACTCCAGATTGAGGTAAGTCACCTGATTTATTGTAGCAACCCATGATGTAGTTGAGAACAATCTTGCTCACTAACTCTTATGGGGCGTTGCAAGAAAGTTGCAAGAAATCGCAAATCCCCCAAATCAAGCGTAAGTCTAGCAATTTATCGCAACTCAACTTTCTTGCAATAAAAGCTAGATCTAATTAACTTAATTTGATTTTTAAAACTTTAATCCTAACAAAATCGTAGGAAATTTAGGAGACTAGTGAGGCGTTGCAAGAAAGTTGAGTTGCAATAAATTGCAAATATCAGGCAATCAATCGCAACTTTCTTGCAATGCCCCATAGTGTCATGGAATTGACCCTGCAAGATATTCCATCTTATTTAGGAATTTGAGTTTGTCAGTACACTGAATTACCGGATGGACTGTGAATGGATTTGAAGTGAATTCTACAACAGGGGTTACGCTGATGTTTGGAAGCACATTGATCAATCCTATGAAGTAGAAATTGCTTTTTATTAGGGGCAACTCATATCAAAACCATCCCATTATCCTCTCTTGATTATGCAGCCCAGAGATCAGAGGTATCAACTGGAGGGGAAGTTTCCATTCCGAGAGTTCCCCAGGAAGACATCGTTATACTTTCAACCAGTCATCACAACTCTCTTCTATTGCTGCCTCTATCATTACGCTAGTTCTGAGGTAAGATGGGATGAAAAGGGGTTTAATTGTCTATCAAGGTATCTTCCCTCAGCTCAGAGGTTGATTGCAACATTTTTTCCACACATCTCTGTTTTCTGCTATCATAGTACACTTTTGCAGTGTCTTTCCAAGCCATTTATTAATATACCCCTCCAAGTTAGTTCTTGGTTTCCATCTTGGTCTGTTGCCTTGTCAATGTGTAAATTATATGTGGATTAACATAATGTAAGTATTTGAATAACCTTTAGTATGCTGTTTGTTCTATCCCTGAACATTCAGATAGGAGTAATGGATTGGAAATTAAGAATGACTTAATGGTTTTGAAATAATAAAATGCATTATTTGTTGCCATGAACCAAAAGAGTAATAAATTCACATAGAGTTAATACTCTTCTTGAGTTTTGATCTGACTGTGTGTGAAGTGATTGATAAACCTATTGGACATCAAAAGAGAATGTAGTGGTTTGCGATAGAATTGCACTATTTATAGTCAGTAGGAATATAAGTCACTGAGTACCTCAATGAATATCAAAGGGGTATGTTTTACCATTATGAATACGGAAATTGATAAACATGAAGAAGAAACCAAGTAGTTTCAATTTGATGTACAGTTAAGAACTAAGTTATTCATACCCTTACCAAGTTTTTTTTGTATAAGTATGTAAACAAAATTGAATTGTCCGTATTTATGTTTCTTAAGAATGTGACATATCAAAGCTTACATCCTAAAGTGTTCTCCCAGTCCACCTTTCATTCTTGAATTACTAAAAACACAAAAAACATAACGTTTGCAAGGTGAATTAATAATTTAGTTGTTAACTGTGTTTTAATTCATTGTGTGCTTCGTCCCTCTACAGGCCGACATGAGTAATCCACAGACCCTGAAGAGAGAATTCAACCTCTCTGATAAACAGTACTTATTCCAAGCGCTGCTGGCAAGGTCAAAACTCAAGGATTGGAATCAGGTGGAATCGTTATTAACATCCAAAGTAAGTGGAATTATTTTCAACATTTACACAATTAAGTGAACAAATTTGAAAGTATTTCAAATATGATCGATGCATTAGGATGAAGAAGTACCGGTAATGGGAAGAAAGAAAAGATACATTATGAGCAAGGTACATATACAAGATTTTACCAAATTTCTGCTGTATTATTGCACGAGCTTGTTAAGAGTTGAAACAATGTCTTATTGCCAATGCCATATTGTAAATAGAACAAAAGGAAAACAGAAATTTAAATGCATCAAATGATTTCAAAGAAATAAGGAGTGAGAGATAAAGACATATTTCTGTTGCAATGTGTCACAATAATAATACACAAACACATGTCAAATTAATCAATATTACTGAATTTAAAATGCTATGTAATAGCCAAGTGTTAAAAACAACTACTGGACAGTTACACCGTTTGCATGTAGTCCTATGCTGCTGTGCCATGATCTGGGTTGCCGATTACTTTTTCATTTTTTTTCTTCTATAGAACTGGCTAGGTAAAGCCAGGATAAAAGCAGCAGTTAATTTTAGCCAGGTTGTCTACATCCTTATAACTGTCAAGGCACCTACAGAGGTAAGTCTATTTGTTGTTATTTTTTGTTGTTGGGGGGGGGGTGTTTATTTTATATTTTTTATATTTTACTTTTGTGTCTTGTTAAATTGTGATATCTTTCTTTGAAAACTAAGGTTAGGATTAACTCATGTTTAGTATTTTTCAGAGCCAGATTAATTTTATTTGTCTGACTTCTCAATTCTAACACCCATATCACAGAAAACTTAATCCCAAATGTGATGCATTCCAGATCAAATTTTCTGCCTCATCTGAGGTAGTTTAAAGTCAATATAATTTTCTTACAAACACCTGTAACCCTTGTACCGGTACATTTTAATTAAGACTGGTTGTTGCATGCCAAATTCAGAATATGTTGTTACTTTTTTACAAAGATTTGTTCATAAGATTTTAGGCTTAGAGAAATGCCTTTGTTTGTCTTCCAGATCATTGCCAAGTACATGATGTTCATTGAAGATAAAGAGTCAAGAATTGCCTTGGCATCCAAATTCAAGATCCATGCAGTCGTGATAGATACATGTGCTCAGCTCAAAGATCGTCAGCGTCTTCTGTCATACAGGCCTCAAGTCATCAACACACCAGCAGATACTCACTTTGAAATTGTCCTAAGAAACACGGTGAGTCAACTTCCTCTTGGAAGATTATAACACGTAGATTGAAGTATATTTACGATATTGGATGGTATGGTCCATGGTTAGATAAGTCTCGGAATACATTCCGTTACATAAAAGCCCCTATGAATCATAAGAAATGTAACATTACATAATACTGTACCTGTAACATACCGTAATAAAGGTTATATGTCTTCTCATCAAAATATTACTGTTAATTACGGAACCCTGTGATTAAATATGTAGTTGAAGAAAGGTAGGAAACTAATTTTGTTTTAATATTTTGTATATTCTAACCAAATTTAAATTATCATCTCATTTTATATTTATTTTAAAGTGTGAATGATCCCTTCTGGGACTGGATTTGTGTAAGTGTATATTATTTGGATTACATTCAACCATAAACATGCAACACTGAAGTGAGATGATTTTACTCTTTATAATGCTATAAAATCAGGTTTTTGTACATGTCGTAAACTCTGTGTAATTTCTGTTTCAACAGGATCACAAATGGAAGAATTGATCTTGGAGTGGACGTATTATGATCTTCAACAAAGCCAACCCTTTTCCATGAAAGGAAGTATGCTGCATGACTTGTCATCAATTTTTATGAGAAGGTACTATTTAAAATAGAAATTTAAATTAACTATAATTATAAAGAATGTAAGACATCTCATGAAACATTTCTAAAATCTTGCAATTTGTTGATAATTCATGCATGTATTGTGCTTTCGTTTAGGAAATCACATGTAAAGCTTAGACATGTTTGGAATAGGGGACATCTTTGTAGAATTTCAAAGGTTATCAAATGCAAGAAAATTTCTTCTGAAACACACCAAACACACCAAAGAATAATAATTTTTGTACATGAATTTTCAATTGTATTCTTATATATTTTAGAAGATTTATGCACTATTCCCCCACAGAATATTCTTTTTTTTTAACAAGGAAATGTTAAATAGTTTATTTCTGCATTTTACTCAAAGAAATTATCAATATGATTTTCAGACTGATGTGATGGCATGTATATGGAATAGAAAATTCCTGTTAGAAAAGTTTACAGTATACAATACATTCCCATAGATGTATGATTGTGTCCAGACTCTGAACATTTACTGTGTGTGAAATGGAAAAGAGTACAATTTATTCAACAAAAATAGAGATACATGTCTATAATGCATAGTACACAAAAAATGAATGAAGATCACATGGCAACCTGATCAAATTTTTCACTAAATATCAAATACAACGTTATAGAATGAGAGGGTTGACTCAAATCTTTTTTTGTTGTTTAGTGTTGCAAATAAGTTGAAGATACATAGAAGTATAACATTATAGAAGTGGTGTAGAGCCTAATAATTGCATTTATTGGAGGGCATTCAAATGTCTATTTCTGTTTACCAAACAGAATTTTTGGAGCAGAGTGCTTTGTTAGCCTGTCTAGGGACTTTGTCTACATCATGTATTGTTTGAAGGGTGGTTAGTGGGAAGAGGGAATGGTATGCCATTTTGTGTGTATTGATATTGATATGATCATAGTTTCAAAATTGTCTTTCAGTACTGTGTTGTCTGTGAGTGCTCGGATTCCAATGAAGGAGCTGAAAAGTGTATAAAATTTGTGGATGTAGACATATGGACTATGTTATTTGGAGTCCAGGGAATAATTTTCCTCAAATTTTTTGATTAGCAATTTCAGCCGATGGATAAATATTTCAAATGAAATTCTGTACATTTCTATGGAAGAAAACTGCTACACAAAAGATATTTTGTATAGCAGTCATGCAAAAATGCATAGCAAATTGCGATGCGATACCAGGAAAATTATTCCCTGGAGTCATATAGAGGATATAGCTACTTAATACAAAGTTTTGGGAAATTTTGGAAAATGGGTGGATAGTGATTCTTTACAATTTTTATATATTTGGATGCCCCTGTGGATGTAGAAAAAACACCAAAAATTTTAGCCCCTAAAACACTTCTGCTTTCGAGAAAAATTGAATATAAAGATTTACTGGTGCTCCCGGTAAATTTTGATAAATTTCAAATAGTTCCTACGGTCGAACAATGGTAGCTACGACTATGAAAATCTCAGAGTATGTAGTTGTGGTATATAATTTGCGAACGAGAATAACTAATCGGTCGATTTTAGTCAATAAACATTGTTTTATAACTTAATTAATATCTTGACATTGAGAGGGAGCTATTTAACATAAAGTGTTCATTATTTACTATTTCATAACTTTAGAGTCGATTTCGACCACGACAACGACCACTTAATATTGTAGGATCGTAGATGCTTCCAATATGTTCATTTGAACCAAATTCATGACCCTATACCAAAACTTTGCATTACCTTTAAATTCCATGCTGTTTTATAGAGAGTTGATATTTTGTTAGCTAGCTGTGTGAAAAATTCACAATGAATTAATGTAGTACATGTAAGATGAAAGATAATCATGTATGATTAAAATTCCCGGCATTGTCAGCTGCGCTTGAAATTTAATGTTGTGTTTTATTCCGTTTACCAGCCCTTGGTGACATTATGAAAACCTATATAAATTGAACAATGCTTGCTTCTCGAGATATACATGCAAGTCAAGAGTGACATTGAAGATAGTAAGCTTCTTGCAGGAGAGACCTGTATGGTGTTTTTGTAAGAACTCAAGAAACTACCGTAAAGTAGTTTGTTGCCTTCTATATTCATCAAGATAGGTCAATTTTACAAGGAGTTTGAGCGTTTCTAGAACTGACTTGATGTAGTTATGTAAAAGATTAAGCAGAGTATATTTTCCCCTGTTGAATATTCATCATAATAGGTAGACTATTAATATCTTATAGAAAACTGAAATAACCTACAATTATACTCAAATGTTCATAGAATCGATGCATTAAAAACTTTGCAATATTTTCTGAAGCTGCTCACCAGAAAAGATGTTACCCCCCCCCCCCCCTGCTTTCATGCTAATAAAAAATAATAATGCAGTATTGTTTCTTTAGACTTCAAATCATGTTTCGCAAGATCAAAGTACATGTAGGTGATCATTTGAAATCTCTGCATTATTATCTTACGTATTTAGATGGCACCTGAAATTGATGTAACCTTACGGATCTCTATGTCGTACACAAACAGTAAAGATATTTGTTAACTCTTAGTGAAGTAACACTTATATCCATCAATTGGTTGGTTGGTTTTCCTCCAGCTCGTAAATCATGTGCTTTTGACCTTCTTGTTATCCCCTATCCTCAAAAAGTAGACTCAATTGAACTTTGCTTTCAATAACATAGTCCACTGATTTTACCAAGTGCCAGATGGCAACCACTGCTAGATTACTGTAAGTCTGTAACAATATTAATGAAATAGATCATGCAAGGAATTGATTTCATGTCGGCATGATTTTTATTTATTCATCTATAAAATAATGGTACTTCAATGGGATGAAAAAAGTCAATATAAATAATGCATTTCATCCATAAAGTAGAGGTTTTAAATTGGCAAAACAAGTCTGTTTGTACCAATACCGGAAATCAATATCATACGTGTAGACATTTTGTACCTGCCTTCTGTTACAAACAAGTTTTAGGTATAGTTTGATGCAGAACCCTAGCATGGTTATGTTATCCAATATTCACATGTAAAACAATCTCATTCCAATATGCATGTGTTATGTATGTGGTGTGTATGGCTGTGTCAAATTTTGCTTGTTTTTTATTGTTTACCCAAAGTGCTATATTGTGATGAATTGATTATCCAATGCATTAATGTTTTCAGCTCAAAGTGATTATCCTGTATGAATTTAAATACACATATATGGTTATGTGAAAATTAATATGAAATAATAAAGATTTTATATGATCCAAACCAAAGTTGTATTGTTTACTGCCATTTTTATGATAGCTTTAAATAAGTGAGACAAGTTTTATTTAATCCTGAAATAGAAAATGCCTGTAGTTCAAGACGCAAGAAGGTCTTCTAAGATTATAGTCGTTAGTTTGTTCTTGAAGTGATATTAACTATAGTAAATGTAGAATCTTGATCACTTTATGCTGGGGTTTATTTAAATCTTTTACAGACAAGGTCCTGTTCTCAATTTGACACAACTGAGAGGCATAATCGCTTTCATTGGAACCAAATACCTAAAACATTCTGAATTTCAAAAAAAAATTGTGAATAAGATAACTTGTAACTTCTTACTCTTCTACTTTATGAGATGTTTTGCAGGTCTATCTGTTCTTAGACAATATTACTATTACTATTTTTACTAATAATGTTATTTTAGATATAAAATAAGTTACCTGAGCAAGCATATGATGACTGTTTACATGTGTCATTAATCACAATGGCTCATGAACAAAAATGAAAGCTAGATGTCTTATTACGTTAGTTGTAATACAAGTATGCATACACAAAAAAAGAATGAAATGACTCTTCTAAATAAAAGTTAACAATTTTAAATCTTTATTCTCAAACAAGAAATATGCTATAAGCTATCTTTAGGCAAACACCTGAAATAAATAAATAACACTTTAGTTGATGCCAGGCACCATGGTAAACAGCTGCTAATTTTTACAATAGCACATTTGATAATATGCATTTCAAAGTACCTTGTTTCTTATTCTTTCTCTTCATAAAGATGAGTTTGCACATATAAGAGGATATTACACTGAACAAAACATTGAAAGGCAATTATACACCAATATAAACATGAACATGTTGAGCATTTAACACTACTCAATAGTGAAAATAATATAAGTTAAGGCCTCGTGACCACTGAAAAACAAATGACTTTAAATACAGAGATCAAATTGCAATCACTTCCCATCTCTTTCCTACATTTCCATTTTCTAGAAATATATTAACTACCAGAAAATAAAATACCGGTAGAATTGATTGGTTCTTTATCAAAATGACATAAATACATGTATCATCATGTACCCATCGTAACAACCAGAAAACAAAATAGTATTGGGCGAGTTTATCAAAATGACATAAAACATGTGTACCACTCATAATTACAAGAAAACAAAATAGTATTGCGCGAGTTCTTTATCAGAATGACATAAATACATGTACAGCACAAGATAATTCCTGAAATGATCAAGGTGGCGTCATTTAGCTCAAATTTCACAGTACCAGAAAACAACAAAGATGGCCTCAGAGACAACTATACACTATTTATAAGAATGATATATATGTAAATCCATGTAGATACAGCAAAAGATATTTTCTGAATCTAGATATGTTCTTGTAATTAAACTTTTCAAGCACAACAAGACTAGCATGATAGCTTTGTTGCAGCATTATCTGGACAATTTTAGACTATAAAATGATGAAGTGCATTATTGCATTGTTCCTTTGCAATCAAAAATCCAGTTTCCTTCATATTCAATACATCACCTGATGGAAACACCTTAGTTTCCTGGTTTCCAAATCTCTTTGAAAGACAACATTTTACAAGAAAGAATTATTTGTTTCTATTCATGATAGAGTCCAAGGTTTCATTGAGATTGTATAAATTAACAGACACTTTTTGAAATTCCTGAGTGTAACAAGGGTACAAGCTGAATGATGAAAGACTAACATTGTGTATATATAGTCAGTCACAGTTAGAATGGTCAATGAATAACTTATGCTCAGGTCACACCAATGCGTTGAGCCAATGCATTTCCATTTTGATGTGAAAATCACCCATTTTAGCACAATCTTTAAGTTGACAACTGAGTCCAATTTTTACTCAGACATAAATGGTATTGAAAAACCTCTCCAAGAGTACTGTTGTAAACGATGTTATCCCTGAAAATTGTTGTCTAAATCTTTCCCCAAAGTTCATCAACATAAACTTTCTATGTTCACAAATATGCTTACTAGCATAATTTTTTCATAATCATATATTTATATATATACATACACAAAACACTAACAACATTTTCTTTCAGAAAAATACTTAATTTCTTCTGACTATCATGGCAAGATATATTTGTTTTAATGCTTTTCTTGATATTAGGCAAATGTTGATTCAATATTGTTGTTTTTCATTTCAATCACACTAGCTTCAATATCTGATATTTTACCAAATTTAACAATTGGCTAATATATCAGAAAGAACATGTGAACATCACCCACCAAGACCACCCTCATATAATATATCGGTAGGTAATGTATAGTGTTGTCTATGTAGAGGCACTTGTTGACAACACCCTGGCCTAAGCAATCTTTAGCTTAGATAATGTGCCTGTAGGCACATAAAGCACTCAATTAATTCATCCTACTTAGCCAAATCATTTTAGACACAAACCTAAACCCCATCTTATAAAGACATGCAACTAATTCAAATCAGTATTCCAATCAATTACATACAAAGTTATAATTGTTAATCTTTGATGAAGACATTTGATGTCTAACTAAAGTTAATTGCAATCACTTTGGATCCCTACAATCACTAAACAATACCATGGGGCTCTAGGTCTAAAGAAATGCTTTAAGAAAAAATACTTTTGAACTAAAAGGGTATACATGTAGGAACTGAGTCAGGTTCTGAAACGCATATCTCCTGATTTGAAATAAACAGTACAAACCACTATGCTACAGGGCTTTCTATAACAAGTCACACAAGCAAGTTGTCTCAGGAACCGAGCAGAAATCAGGTGCCCCTAGGGTGCTCTTTCTGTATTCCTTTCATGACCTCTTCAGCATGGGCGTGGCTCACCCCATGTACCTCCATGTAGATCTTACTCATAGCCTCTGGTAGAAGAACTTTAGACAGGTAATCCATGTACTGTATGGCAAAACAATGAAAGACATCATTTCAAACGGTGAGCCTTCTATCAATATAAGGTCCATATTCTACTATTTCCATTAAGCCCTACTCTAGTGGGTCTAAGATCATGTTTGGCAAAGAAAAGCTTGGACCTCGGACTTACTTCCTTTTTTAAGCCCTATTTTTATTCAAAGTGTCAGGTTTATATTCAATACAACAGGGCTTTAATTCAATTCAATACACCCATGTTTTAATCAGTGCTTGGCGCTTGGTTGGAGGAAGTCAAGGGAATAATTCTGATTTGCAGTATTTGTAATACTACTTTTCACTTCTCCTCAACTTAAATCTGTTCAAATTTTTGTTCGTTCTGAATGAAATCTCAAGATTAATTTTTAAAGTAAAACTTTGATCTACATGTACCGAGTCAGTGATACAGCCCAACTGATTTCTACATAAAGCTGTTATCACAGGCTCATTAATCAATGAAACTTTAAAGTCAAAGTCGTAACATCAAATGGCAAACACTGGAGGCCTATAGAGTAAGAAAAATTTGGATCTTTGAATGTATTTACTTTAAAGTGTCTGGCGCAGTAGGTTTTGACCAATTCCCCCATCACTGCATCCATCTGCTCCTCATTGAATGGTCCTAACCTCACATTGCCAGCCATGGCAACTGAAAAAAATATAAACATAACTTTATACACATGCCTGATGAATACAAAACCTAGTGATAGATCACTTTTGATTCAAGGGCTATGCAATTAACAATGATAGCAATTGAATAAACAACGACTTCAATCATGGTAAAAGTGACTTCAAATGTTAAAATATTAAAATTTTTACAGTAATTAAGCAGTATAAATGTTGAGTGCTTAACTTAAATACAGAATCCTGTTGTTCAAATAAGCACCCATCATTTTTAATTCTCCCTTAAATAAATGAGCAACATAGACATTCATTTTACCAGAAGCATTATTTAGCTAACTTGCATAAATTCACATCTGAACTACAATACCATGTGACAAGATTTTACAAAATGACGTTCTCACTTACTTCTATGAGGTCCTTTTTTCTTGTAGCACTGGTGTCTTTCACAGGCCCTCTGATTAAACATAAACAATAATAAATAAATATCACGTAAAAATAAATTCATAGTTACAAGTTGGAATGTCACTGTCGACCGCTTTCCCATTGGACCCACATCCTATGCAGGTTTTCACTGGGACCAATATCATGTAGGATTATATAGAGCCTTACCTTATCAAAATCTACAAATGTATGAATTTATTTTTCCCAACTTATATTAAATACTACATGGAAGTGGCTAGACCACTGTGCACCAGTTAATCGACTGTACACATGGTGTATTAGTATGACATGGTCTAGCTTGGTCATAATTACCCAACATTGAATACAAATGAACCTCTTAGAATTTCAACAAAATGAAACAAAGGACATTCTCTTTGAACCTATTTGTCAGCAAAGTAGTACGTAATACATATATGTACCAACAACTTTCAAACCATTCTAAAAGGCAGTGGGCTAGTTATGAAGCCAGCTTGAAAGAGGGAAGAACAATCGTGCCAATCAAAAGGTAATTACATAAAATTCTATATCAAAAGAGTTGCCCACTGACCAATTTAACTGACCCCAACCCTAGTTCCCTAAAAGTGATATCTACCTTTCCTTGGAAGATATTGTGTAGGTATCTCTTGTTCCTTTGTGTCAGATACACAATATCTGCCATTTTCAACTCGGTCACCAATCTACAGAGAAGTAGAAATATTATGCTTTACAGAAATTTCTGATTAGCTGAATAGTGATCTAAATTACATAATAACCTGTTATCATCTTGTTTTAAACCAAGTCATATTGTAGGTCTCTCTTTCTTTCTCTTTCTCTCTCCTACCATTAATGAACCCAAAAGAAGAGAAAAAATTGTCAAACACAGTGGCAACCCTGATGTTGTTTATGTGGCTACTTTAACAATTTCCTTCCCAGACAAACAAACAAACATGAGAATTTAGTAAGATGTGTACTTAAGCTGTCAGATATATACTATTGAACTTATACTCATGAATATAATTTAATATTTACAAGGCAATACTTCTGTGGAAATGCCTTTTCTGTATCGATGGTGTTATTTGAAAAGTGTAATTATTGATGTGACCAGGAAGAAAATAATAAATGACAGGGGCATGATCATCAAACTAAATGGCTATTAGTATTAGTTCAATTACTTCAAGAAAATTTAAGGCAAGAAAAATATGTAATTATGGGTATAAATCTTTTTAAAAATATACAAGTAAAGAAAGGTTCAAGAACAAATTTTTCTAACATATCTATAACATGATTGGAGAAGGGAAACACAAAAGAAACAAAAACATTGATGTTATGAACAAAACAACAAAAAAGAAAAGAAAAAGAAAAAGAAAGGTTTTCAAATTGATAATTTATTGAGTGCTGAAAAATAATAATCAAGTGGAAAAATAATAATCAAGTGGAAAAATAAGTCATTGAAATAAGTCATGTATTAGATGCTGCTTGTAAGTGTCGGCTTACATGGTGATATACAGTAGGCTTGCTGGTGCACCATGTGAGAGAAAGGGAGGATTGACTTCAAACCCTCAAGAAAGATTACAGAGAGTCCTTTTTAGGACTCCTCAATCCTCCCTCTCTCTCACATGGTGCACCTGCAAGCCTACTGTATATAAGTCATGTATTGCAAATGTTTGTTTTTTTATTTTTATTTTTTAAATGAGATGAGTTATCATTCAATAATTTTTGTTTAAATAACTTGATGTGATATAAATTTATATCATTATCAACTACATGTATATAGCCTGTTGTATTAAATCTAATAATCTGAAGTTGTAAAATCTCATTTGAGAATTTACACAATTTCAAATAAATGTAAGATGGGTTAAATTATCCCTTACTTTTTAAAAATGTGACAAATATGTACTTCCTTTTTTCTCAAAGATATTTATTTTAATGTATAGATTTCTATTTGCTTTACCAAATTCCTGCTACTGTTATATTCATTTGACAAATACGTCTTTACAATTTTTTATGATTCTATAAAAGAAGACAATAATTCAAGCATTGTTTCCAGTGATTTATATTAAGCTGGGATTATATTCTTTTAGAATTGTAAGAATCTTATGAAAATACTGTAAAAAATTCATTCACCTTTATAGACCTTAATGCAATATGAATATATAATAGGCCTTACTAAGTATATACATATAAAAAGATTTCCATTATTAAATCACATTCCATTAAAATAAATATATGTTTTGTGGAAAACCTTTTAATCAGAATACATTATGCAAATCAGGGAATACCTTGATTATGTATGAAAAAATACCCCAAAATATATTTTGATATACAAAGATCTCCATTATTAATTTTTCTGATTTGTCACTGTTTGATGTTACTTTGCTTTTAACATTCACACGTGTGTTGTAAAATGATCAATAACTTTATAACCTTGCTCATACAAAAAATTAAGCATTGGATGATATTGGAAATAAAATAAATATGAATATGAATATGAATATGATCAACGTTATTCAGAGGTGAAATTTTTAATTTTACACGACTTGAAAGAGATACAATGTAAATGTTACATCACAAATGGGTTGAAAGAGTTTACCTGACATTCCCAAAGATGTTGTCAAACCAGCTGTCGCTTTCATCATCATCATCTTTCCCCTGGCTGAGGTCAATGACCTCATCTTCAAGGTCACCAAGTTTTCCTTCTCGACTTGCACCCATTGGTGCGTTCTCCTCCTCTTCTTCTACTTTTATATCATCCATGACATCCCCGCCACAGCTATCATCCGAGATGTGCACAGGATCGTCCCGTTTCAGCTCTGGTGGACTTGTGCCTTGATCAAGATCATCAAGATTGTGATGGTCTGATGGCAATGCCTCCACCTCATCAAAGGCACACCCTACATCCTCTATAGGAGTGAGCTTTGGCAATGCATCATCGACATCCATGGGTTCATCTTCTTCACTACGTCTTAGTTTGTCCTCAATCTTGGGCCTGTGAATCGCTTCAGATGCTCTTTTATCTTCTTTTGTCTCTTGGCTGTCACTATCCCACTCAAGATCCTCCATCAATTGCCCAAGATTTGTTTTCTGTTTTCTCTTCTTTTCACCATGTAATGCTTTAGGTATATTATGGAGGCTGTCTTTGTTTCTATTGTTTTGCCTCGTGAACAAAGCTAGTCTACTTGGTTTTGGCCTCTTATGTTTTGTATTCTCATTGTCTTCTACATTTTGCACAGATTTATTTGTAGTTGAATGAAAGCTATCCCTCTGCTCACAGCCACTTGAAGCAGTATCCAATTCTCTCACACCATTCACTTTTCTGTCTTCATACTGTGTTGTCTGTAAAGGTGGTTGTTGCCTTGACTCTTTCACCTCCTTGGCTGGATTTAGAGGTCTGTTCTCAGCATGCAGGAAGCTTGCCGACATCAGCTCATCGTCAGAGGATGAATTTGGAGTGGTTTCCTTTTCAGGAGATGGTGAGATATCTTGCTGATTTTTCATGGGTCTCTTCAGGAAAGACGTTGTTGACCTCAGAGGTTCATCCAAGCTTTTATCATGTTTAAGCTTGATGTCTGTTAGAAATACAGAACAATTACCAGCAGGATGTCTATTAACAGATTCTGAAATATTATTGCTTCTCTTGTTTACTGATACTCTATCTTTCTCTGGAACTGTATCATTGTGAAGTTTTTGCTTCTTTGTTCCATGCACTTCATGACCCATTAATGCCTCTTCAACAGATTCCTTTTTCACATCTTCATGGAGAACTTTTTCCTTGGAAGACCCAACTTTACTTGCACTTCCCCTTTTAGCCTCATTTCTTTTCAGTGATAACTTGTTCCTGCTTCTTGTATTCTCTCTCCTCCTTATTCTATGATCAAATTCTCCTGATGATGATGGTGAGCTTCCCGTCACCTCTGAGGAACATGTCAGCCTAGTTACTCCCGATTCTTGCTCTACTGATGAGGATTGCAGAGTTGCCTCCGATTTTATTGACTTCAGAGAATCTTTCAATCGGCTCTCATATGTAGATGGTGAAGAAGTTCTTTCTGACGATGAAACATTCGCCTTTTGGGGTAAATCTACCGAAGCATCCTCTATTTTCTCAAGTTTACATGTAAAAGGTTTGCTGACATCAGAAAATTGAGGATGTTCGTTTCCCTCCACTTTGATAGGATCTTCATCAGGTTTCACACTTGAAGTGACTGTAGTCTTCCTGGATCTTTCTTCCTGAGGCGATAGGGGAAGACCTCTTCTTGAATGCTCACCAGGTCTCAATGACAAACCATCCTTGCACTCAGCAGGGGATCTGTGATGACCATCAAGTCTCTCATTCTGCTCTTCTTGATCAGGCATCCCATCTGAGCCGCAGTCCATGTCAGAGACGGAAGGGAATGGCAAGACTTCTGGCTTGATTTCATCTTGAGTCTCTGTATCCATGTTTCCTGATGCCTTCTCAAAGAACCCACCTCCCTTCAATCCACATCCAACATCGATACTCTCTTTCGTTCCAGCAGCAGCTGCGGCTGTGTTCATTCCTTTGACTCTGTGAGGGGTGTAAAAACGAAAGCTCATTAGCTCTATTGGTATAGAAAATCCACATTAGAATTGTGATAACTTCACTGCAAACAAATAATCCATATATCTACAGTAGGCTTGCGGGTGCACCATGTGAGAGAGAGAGAGAGAGAGTGAGGAGTGTTAGGTGTAAATCATCACATATTTCTTGCAAACCCTCAATATACTACCGGTACTCTGCTTGAAGTGTATACATGTAGGCAAGCTTTATTCAGGTGGCCCTAAGTTATACATACCAAATTTAACACAAGAATTAACAAGCCAACTTACATTTTCTTTAACTTATTCCTTTTCCTGTGGGCTGACTGGATTACAGGTGGGCCAACGAAGTCAGCATCCGCTTTGGGAGCGAAGTAGCTGCTGATAGCTATGTGTTTTGAAGGAGGTGTAGCACACAAGGACTTCATCAGCTGGGAGGTAGTCTGTCCAATGGTTGCTGTGTGGTACTTGCAGACATACACCACAAGCTTCTTGGCAAAGAGTCTGACAGGACTGAATCCTCCACCTGTCACAGATCAAACCAACAATATTTATATTAATTGTCAACCCTACATTGTCAAATCAATCTATATACATTCAACTCCGGTGAGGATAATAGGTACCTTGTAGGATTATTCCTTAAATGCACTGTATAAATACTGATAGCAGCTGTCAGAGCTAAAGCTGGGGTAATAATATCTCAAGCTCTTTGGAAGCACATAGTGTTGGTATATCATAATGTCATATGCGCAACACAAAAACAGAATCCAATCATCATTTTATTAACCCTAAGAGCACAATAAAGTAAAATTATCAGGAATACCAGTATGTTTTACCATGACAACTTAGACCTAGGACTAACTTTTTAACAAAAGTGTCGGGTTTAAATTTGATACAACAAGGCCAGTATGTGACATGATGAGAAGAGATTACAAAATATTGGAGCCCTATAAATATGTTATGTACAAAGAAAGCCTAAAAGAGCCTGAAAATGAGATTAAACAGGTCCTGCAATGACTCTAAATGGCATCAAGGTGATTGATTTTACTGTCCTCTTCAACAGGATGGAACGTAGAATTATTGATTTATAAATCTAAGGACAATAGCTATCTTGATGACCAGAAACCAATTATGATATGGTAAATGATTTATCAAAAGACAGCAACTATCAATTGCAAGTCAGTTGAAAAAGAAAGAGAATATCAAAGAAATTCTTACAATTTCAATTGCTGTAAAAAGAGACAAAATCTTTACCTGCGTGTCTAGAGTTATCATCCTTCCAGACTGGTGTTCCCATCTCAGTTGGCATCAAACATGAGGGGTGATGCATGTTAGAATCCACAAACTTATAACCAATCTTTACTGACTGACCTGAAAAAGGAAAGCATTATTTTGTATCAAAATACATATATAAATATATTTTAAAGACGCATAGTAGTGGGCTCTCATGGGGCATTCAACACCATACAGGTGTTTATCCAAGAACAGGTGCTGTCCAGTACCAGGATTAGCCTTCAGTTTCATGATTTATGTAATGCTTTGCTTTTTCCACTAATCGCCCCATATTTCAAAGTCATTATTTTACATTTCCCTCACCCAAAGACTCTCTGAGAGACTTGAGGGGACCACTGATTTGCTGCGTGCGAGACTTGTCCACCAAGCCTGGTGTTGGTGAATTATGACCTACTTGACATGAAAACTGACTTCCACCTCCCTTTAAGACTATATGTTACAAACAGCTTTATAATTTCCCATTTAATCTGCCTGCAAAAGATTAAAGTTATGTATTCCAATACTGCAACTACAGAAGGTGATTATATAACAAAACGAGCAGAAATGAGTAGAAACTATTAGTAATTGTTTGGGCAGTCAGAATGAATACATGAAAACATAAATGGGTAAAGACATAATTTAATATGCCTTTCTTATATAGTGCATATCACATTATGATTTAACATCTCTATGCACTTCCAAAGGGCTTTTGATATTATTCACCCCACTAAAGGTAGACATAGACAGAGGAAAAATCATACCTTATTTATAAATTGATAAATTGCTTGAATAAATTTGGGGCTAAATTAATGGCAATTTCGTCTGAGAATGCTCTCCCAATTATTAAAAACAAATAGTATAGCAATGCCCCTCTTCAAAGAATAAAATGTTGTTTTTTCTGTTTGCAGCTAAACTTCATACCTGTTTTTATCTGATGTTCATCTTGGATTGGTTTCTTCTTGGAGTCGTTTCCTTCTTTGATTCCGGACCATTTCTTCCTCCTATATTGCTCATAATAAGACAACACCTTGGATTTGATAGGGTCCCGAAGAAGAATGATGATCTCCTAAAAACCAAGACCAATCAAAGAGAGAGAAAAAAAATCAAAACAGTTCTGGGCCCCATCTTATAAAAGAGTTGCGATTGATTACAAATAATGTCCAACTGATATCAATCGTATCTCCTATCTCATTAGTAATGAGTTGGGATTGATATTACTTGCAAGTCATTTGTATTCAATCGCAATTCTTTTATATGAATTCTGGTAACTGAATTCTGATTTAAGAGAATTTGGCTTAAAGATTAAAGTAATCCCAAATTTGCTATCATAGTATGCGATTCAGATCAATTTTGGATCATAAATTACAAATAAAACAATTCAAATCTGATTGGAAATCATATTCACTGAAAAGCACAACTCATATGTGTATGTATATTGTACACGGCACAAAGTATCTTAAACCATCTTGAGACATAAAAATAATTCATGAATTTACAAGTGGTCCAATGTCACAAAGTTATCTTGTTCCAAAAATGCTAGCCAAACAGCTTTTTCAATAATAATACACTATGAAATCAAAACACATGTGAACTTTTTCTTTTAGAAAGCATCAAAATAAAGTCATCTCACCTGTAAATGTCTGTCCTCAAACCAGCTCTGTTGGTGATTGACTTCATCCGGAACAACATAGAGCTCAGTCAAGAGTTTACAGTTCTCACTCACCTGTATTCAATTTAAAAACACACTGTGCATGTTTTATCAGAGTAAAGGTACTAAGAGAGGACATTGCCTCACATTGCCTGGTGAAAATCATCCAATGACGATGGAAACGCCATTTACCTCAACAACAACTTTATCTTAAGATTTAATAGAACATCCATTTATACAGCCAAGACGCCTGTCTACCCTAAGGAGTAAACAAAAATTGCTAAAAATTTATTGGGGTAGCCAACAATTAAGAACAAAAGGGAGGAAAAAGAAAAAAAAACATAACAGGTGGACCAAATGTGAACAGTTGCATGTAACCAAGGAGTGATGGGTCACAAAAGGGGATGGTGGCCTAAACTGATATATTCATAAATTGTCTCCATCTCTCCATGTGCCCCCCCCCCCTCCCATGTATTTCTCACAAGTGGCTTGTTTACAAGTTTACAATCCGATTTGATTTGACAAATTTAATAAAAGAATGTTAAACTAGACTTTAATTCGTCACAAAGACGAATAAGGTGGTCTGTCTAAGTCTTATGATAGATTTGAGAATGGGAGAAGTTATATAGACATGTAAACAATGATGATGATGATGATGATCTTGATAGTAATGGTGATGACGATGATGACGATGATAATGATAATGTTGATGATGACGATGATGATGTTGATGATGATGATGATGATGTTGATGATTATCATCAACAGACCACGATGACAGACTGAAAAAAATGAGAGAACATTTAGATAGTATATAGTCTTAGCTACAACATACTCAAAAATCAACAAAAAACAAGCGGAAATAACGGCGATATTGCTCGCAAAAGACAGGAATGTAGAATCCAGATTTGAGAAAAAGTCATCTCCCATAAGGATTACACGCAAAAAGTAATGGATCTAGTGATAATAGGGTAATAATAAAGTAAATATGGTTGTTTATTACATTATTTGCGATTGTACGTGTTTTAATATTCAAAGGAGATGGTAGAGTGAAAGGTCAAAAAGATAAAAAAGTGAAGAAAAAAAATTGTTGGAGACGCCCGGACTCGAACCAGGGACCTCGAGGTCGGAAGTCAAGTGCGTTACCGATATACCAAAACATTTCCCATAGAGATTACACGTAAACGGAAAATTGAATTCTCAAATCCCACTTTGTAAGTGAAATATGAGCATGATCCCGGCATCTGATCGAAAAATGAAGGGCACACTAGTGATAGCTTATTGTCTCAGCTACAACATACTCAAAGCTCAACGTAAACAAAGATAAAACGACGGAGATATTGCTCGCGAAAGACGAGAATGTAGAATCCAGTTTTGAGAAAAAGTCATATCCCATAGAGAATACACGCAAAATGTGAAAAATTGACATGCCTCCTTTAATCGCAAAAATACGCCATGATGCCTTTGTCAAAATGAAATATCGTGTTGACTGCATTTGTAGAGAATATTCTCAGGTAGAACATATCAAAATTTAAAAGAAAATTGATCAATATTTACAGAGATACAATCAATTTTCCAAAAATCTGCTGACGTCATAAAATGCAAATTAAAATTATGAGTTCGGAGGCCATTATGATGACGTCATGAGTTAATTGAGGGTCAAATGACACATGAAATCATATCTCCAACTCATGCTTTTTCTAACCATGATATAAAAAATCTGAAGAGGTATTTTGATTTTTGAAATGGGATGTTTTTGATCAAATTTGCATTATATTGCCCATAGCAGCACGCGCAGATTTTAAACTTTGACGCGCACTCACGGCCTTATTAAAGGTCAAGAGTGACTGAAATTAATGTAAATTGTCATTTACGGTAAGAGGAATCTAAATCATGTAAAAAATTTGAATTTGACTTTTTCCGCGCGTTCTGAGCGCGCACACCGCACGCGGGGACAAGTACGGACGGAAATTTTTGAAATGCTTAAAATGACCTGATTCGTACTCTCCTTTAATAGTTAAGTGATTTTGAGCATTTTAAAATTTTGACGCGCGCGTACGTGCGCGTCATGACCTTTATGTGACCTTTGATGACATGACTTGTTGACCCTTGACCTGAAGTATATGTGATATAAATATGAATGACCTTTGCTTATGCATCATGAAGATATGATGGATAATGTGATTTCACAAAATGGCGCCTGCATGACGTCACAATGATTTGATGACCTTGAAAATGTTACTGAAACGTCTTATGGCAATGATTTATGACTGTGCCAAAATTGAAGGAAATTGACTAAACTGATCTTGAGTTATTCTGTTCACAAAAAACGGGAAGAAATAAAAATAAATAATAAATAAATAAATAAAGAAAGAAAATTCTGACGAAAACAATAGGTGATCTGTTTTCAACAGACCACCTAAAAAACACAACACACACGCAACTAGAGTGAAATGAAAGAGTTGAAAGAGGAGATAGATTGAGAAAGGGAGGAGAATTAAGCAATAGAAATTAAAAGGGGAATTTTTTTTTGAAAAGCGAGACTTTCAGATCGGGGGGGGGGGGGCAGTACTCAGATTTTGTTTGTAAAAGGGAGTTGGCAAATGTTAGCAAAAGTTTTTGTGAAGATTAGCAACTATTTGCCAATCCTTTTCCACTATTTGTGAATGTTTGGGACCTTTTGCTAACTCCTGGTACTTAATGGGTTAAGTTTATATAAGAAAAATATATGGTCAAGTAGTCGCTAGCGTTGGTGAATTAAAAAGAATTTCAGCGACATCATCTTGCAACCGTTTGCAAAGTCTTATGACTGTTTTGCAAATGCTTGGAACTGTTTGTGGAAAAATAAATTCGCAAAGAAATTTTGAACATGTTCAAAAATCAAAATTTCTTGGCGACAATACAAACTGTTAGTGTTAGCGACAACGAAAACCGTTTGCGAACTTTCTTCAGTTTCTTGCAACCTTTTATGAATCTTTGACTAACAATTGCGAAACCGCAAATTTGCCGCGCCATTCAGTGACGCGAGTCTACCCCCTTTGGCTTTTGCCTAGCCCCACATTTCCTCATAAAATATAGGAAGTAGATTCTAGGACTAGAAAGAATGAGGAGCTAGGAGTAGTTCTAGGACTAGAGTAGGAGAAGGGGAAGGAGAAGGTACATGTAGGAGAAAGAGAAGCTAGAAGAAAGAGGAGGAGGAGTAGGAGGAAGAGGAAGAGGAGGAGGCCGAGGAGGAGGTGGAGGAGGAGGAGGAAGAGGATCGAGGAAGAGGAGGAGGAAGAGGAGGAAGAGGAGAAGGCCGAGGAGGAGGGGGAGGAGGAGAAGGAGAAGGAGAAGGAGAAGGAGAAGCTAGAAGAAAGGGGAGGAAGAGGAAGAGGAATAGGAGGAGGAGGCCGAGGAGGAGGCCGAGGAGGAGGCGGAGGAGGTGGAGGTGGAGGAGGAAGAGGAAGAGGAAGAGGAGGAGGAAGAGGAAGAGGAGGAGGCCAAGGAGGAGGCCAATGAGGAGGAGGAGGAGGAGGAGGAGGAGGAGGAGGAGAAGGAGAAGGAGAAGAAAAAAGAAGAAAGAGAAGATGAACCTGATGATGATGAAGAAGAAGAAAGAAAGAAAAAGATAAATATTTCCTTAGCCTAGCCCTAGCCCTAGGCCTAGGCTTAACTCCAGGGAGCTCCGCTCGCTCCGACGCCGCGCCGACTCCGAGCGTGGCTCCCTGGAGTTAGCCTAGACTAGATCTAGTCTCCTGCCGGCTGCCTAGGCTAGGCTTAGAGTTAGTGTAGACGTAAACCTCGACCTTACCCTCATAAAATACAAGTGCCTCTGTTTGCCAGTCTTTTCCATGGTTTAGGCCTTTAGGATCTCATTCTTGATTTGATCTCTTCAGCGGTTTGTTGTCAGATTCGGATGCCAGCATAGCTCAAAGCAATCACTGCACCAATCAGCTGTCCATTTAAAATAAAGCGCGCGTCGCGTTGCATTTAAGTCGTAACACGATCCCAACAATATCATCCGATCAGTGCTGCATGCTGTATATACACGTAATACGGTCAGACTGAGTTTCCTTATTTTTGGCATAAACAATCAGCAGCTTGTATTTAAAATGAGAAAAATATAGTTAAATAAAAATTAAAAATACAATATTACATTAAAATAAGTAAATTCAAAGAATAATAACAAATCAATTCGACAAAAGTTATTTTTAAGTCATTGTTAAGTGCTCATTTAACAGATTGGCAACAATATATACCCGTCACTTACATGTTATGGTCGACATCTTCAAAGTGCTTACATTTATCACGTGATAGCTTATGTTTACTTCTCGATCATATCACTTATGTAATTCGGGAGCAGGAAGTTTAGGGGGGACTTTTTTAAAAAAGTAGCGCGGGTGGGAAGGGCATTGGAACAGTTTGGAGAAGTTCAGAGCGCACACTACGCCAATCGACAAAATTACCCTTTTTTTATATACGAAAGGAGAATTTGAAATATCATTTTTATATAGGCTACTCAAGGGGAATATAGGCCTACAATAATATTAAAGTGAGAAGGTTTTAATTTTCTTAAATAATTTTCCCCCTTGATTTGTGTGTCCCATGCTTCCAGCAAAAGTACCCTGGATCCGCCACTCCGAACATATATCATGGTCTAGCCATATAAAAAAAAAAATTTTTGTTTGCATGCATAAACTGACATTTAATTCATTACTCAGAAGTGTTCGATCCATGCAGTTCACATTTTAAATTGGAACTGAGTCAAACACTTCTGAATTATCTTGGTCAGAATGTAAAAAAGCTAGGGCTTTTTCTTAACCCACCCCGTTCGGGGGCAACAAAGCTTGGTTTATATAAAAGGGCACTTTAATTTAATTTTCCAGGAGAGTGATACACGTAGACCTCTTCCCGATTTACGGTTTTGTCAGGTTAAAGTAATCAAATATTTTATAATATACAGCCATAGCTCTTCCCTCGATCTGACCAAGAAGTTACTAGTTTTTCATGTATCTGGCACATCCATCTATAACCCACTAATTGTCTTTTTCTAGTCTTTTTCTTCTTTCTTTCTCCCCCTCCCCCTTCTTGATCTGACAAAATGTGGTCTATCGGAGGGTAAAAAAATAAGTTACCCAAATTACGAGTATAGGAAACATGGAAGTGATTGGTGTGGGCTCGTCTATAGTACACTGTACACTGTCCATACTGAAGTTGAGTTATTTTTTTCCTCATTTTTTCTTGATATGTAAGGCCCTGTAAAATAGGGCCCCTCAAAATGTTGTATACATAATTGTCTTGTTATCATCGTCACATATTTTACACCAGTATCTATAAAATGTATACTCTTCAGTTCACTGCTTGCTGCTATATGGTGCAGAAACCCAACTCCTGTTTCCAAGAAGAGGTGACTCGAATTGTGCCCTCTTCCAAAAAAGAGACTATAAACACGAAGGCCTTGGTCAGTGGTTCCTGCCTGATCGCATCAGTTCTACACAATGATGATTTACAGTGAACACACATTCTGACCAGCCTCTTCATTTCATTTCATTTCAAGTAAAAAAAAATACAACTTTTAATCTCTTTTGTTTCTGTATGTTATTAAGTTAATTATTATTATTCCATTGATATATTACATTGTTGTGCTCATGAAGTGAATTCCATTCGTGATATTAGAAACAATTTATGTGTATCTATAAAACCAGATTTACCATAATAGGATGAGGCTTAGCATATTTATCTATACGTGACATGAACATATGGTGTTAGTTATGTTTATGAAGCATTTATATGATATTATGGCCGTATCAATCTGTAGAGTAGAAGTATTAAATCTTTATATTCATATCAGGTCAGGTCAGACCAACCATTGTATAACCCATAATGTTTTATGCTTAATGTAAGGTGTATATGTCTAGTTCATAAGCCTACCCCACTATACACCAGCGGCCGGCCGGAGCAAAAAAAGGGTAGAAGTAAAGTTAATCCTGATACCACAGTTCAATGACCCGTATTCTGTTTTATCAGATGTTTGTAAAGGATCACCTAAACAATTCAATAGTCTCTGCATTGGGAGAAGTTTTTCTGTTTTTTATATCTGAGATAACTGGTGACATGGCTTTTCAGCAGTAGTCCACCAACACTTACTGTATGAGATAATATTGAGAAAAAGGTAGAATTTGGTTTTGTATTACAAGGTCTAATTTACATGAGTTTGTTATGAATTTGTAGTTTCTCTCTCTCTCTCTCTCTCTCTCTCTCTCTCTCTATCTCTTTCTCTGTATCCGAATCTCTTTTACTCCCTTTCATTTCTGCTTTCCCTCTTTGACTGGTTAATAATATATTTGATTTTGTTAGGGTATATTCATTGTATCTTTCATTATACTTTTTTCACTGCATAATTATAGAGAAGAGGTTTTCTAGAACTTAGAAAATAATTTTGTATTATGTCATAATAGGATTTAAAGGTTACTCCGACTATAAACAGGTCGGAAAATTAGAGAAAGTTGGGTAATTGTGTAAAAAAGGGGGCGGATCTAGCTTTTTGCTAAGGGGGGGGGGGGTTGACCCAGTGGCGGATCCAGGATTTTCCAAGAGGAGGGGGCCGAAATCTGAAAATCGCGCCGACCAAAATTTCGCTCAGTGGGGGGGGGGGGGGGGGGGGTTGAGCACTATTTTGTTTTCTTCTTCATTTTGCCCCCTGAAATTGACAAAAGTGCCGACCAATATTTCGGGGGGGGGGGTGTAGAAAGCACTACAAAAAAAATATCATTTTGCCCGGCCCGACATTAAAAAAAAAAAAAAAGTTTTCCTTTTTGTTGGGGGGGGGGGCAGCCCAAGAGGGGTGGGGGTTAAACCCCCTAACCCCCCCCGTAGCCCCCCCCCCCCCCGTTAAATGGCACAAAACGACTTTTATTTAGCTAGTGAAGGAGAGCTAGTCCACCTTGGTCTATATCTTGTTCAGACTAGTTACAGGTCAGATGCCTATATGCCAATGTTGTTTTTTAATTTAGAGTTTGACGGTGTTCAGTCTCATTATTTAGTCTCATTATTGGGTTTATCGTTTATGTTATTAAAGATCAGTCTGCACATTGATGCTTCACAGTGAACACATATTCTGACCAGCCTCTTCTTTTCGTAAACCATATACCCCAGGACGCATATGGAAAACTTTTAGCCCTAAACGCGCATAAAAGAATACAGCACTAACGAAGAGAGCGCGCTCAAGTGCGCGCGTGAAAGTACACTGATCGGACTAGTTCAATGCGACAAAGCAGGGGTGCGAGCGCTTGCTCTCGTTGACTACTTACTAACACTAACAAACTAGAATTAGAAATGAAACTCACCTATAGTTAAATAAATGCAAAATTATGGTAGACTACACCAGCAGAGGCTTGCCATTACACCGTAGACGAAATCGAACTCATTCCCTTTGCCAATGATTATACTGACTTCCCTCTAGTTGGAGTGCAATGACCCATTCGGGTGCGCATATAGACATGATGCGCGTAATGCGGTCTCCGAGATTTTGAGCGCAACGCACACACTCTGTACGCACTGCGTTAAATACACACACTGATGACCTCTACAGCGATTGCACGGAAGCTATAACTGTGCATTGTTTGTACGGTACGGGCGCACTCGTTGTGAGTAGCTATAGCGCTACACTATCCCAGTCACCTTGGTTTACTATGAAAAGCTACCTTTTATTTGTTGGAAAAGTGCCACCGTTTCCCCTCCACAAATGAAAACAATCGTTATACCAACGTAAAGGTGGGATGTCAAGGTTTCTGAATCCGTCCGAAGATTTTTTATACGTCACTCGTGTAAGATTTGCCGACTGGTTGACTGAGCGAAACCCGACAAAAAAAGGGAAAAACAGTGCAATCTCCATAGGCAGGCTGAAAAAGTCAAAACTTTTAGGGGAAAAGTGCAACCGTTTCCCCTGAAAGAATAATCCCAAATTTAGTATCATTTTTAAGACGACATTTCAAATTATAAGACACCGTCCGAAGATTTTTTTTTAAAAATTCGATTTTCCCGTAATACCAGCAATTATATCAAAACATGGCTTTTTTGGTGTACGTTCCCCGTGCTTAACAGGATAAGCGACGAGGCGCAGAGCAGATGCGCGTAAGTTTTCCATATGGTTAATATCTTTAAATAACTTTAATGATCTACTTGAAGAATCATAGAGATTTATTAAAGTTTTGAGAAGAACAAACCCTAATATTCTCACAAGCACTGTGGCAATTGAGGTTCCAGGTTTTGGCGCGATACTTGAAAAAGTCCTATCCCCTAAGCCCCGAGTTGACAATGATGCTCCGCCCATGCATGGGCCCAAAGAATTAAACAAACCGACAGAAAATAATATTAATAAAAAAATAATTAAACAAAACCATATAAAGTTATTGCCACCCGAGAATGCAAACTAAGTTCAACGGGGCTATTGGACCATTATGAAAGTTGATTTACAATTATCTAAAAGAAAAATGAGTAGGCCTATAGGGCCTATACGGAGCCAGTTACAATTTGGGGGAAATGCGTGCCTGAGACTTTTGAATAAGCTAATTCAATCCTACTTGGGTGTGGAGAAGAAGTACTTTAATTTAAAGAAGACTTCCGTACCCCCCCCCCCCCCCACCCAGGGCTCTCTCGATTTCAGTCTGTATTCTAAATGGGCAAAACTATAGCAGGCTCTTTGGCCGGTAAAACAAAAGGAATATTTAATTGTTTATTGTTGTCTTTGTTATTATTGTTGTTGAAGTTCGAAACGTTCGACTTGATTGAGTTTATTCTGCACAAAACCGGCTTGAATTATATGATAGTATTATGTCAACTTTATCTTAAATTATTCTGCATGTCTTCGCGGGGTTCGAAGCAGCCAATCTTTAAAAGTAATTAAGTTATTATTTTTTTTGTAAAATGTGTAAGGCAATTGGCTATCTTCTTTTTATTCTTAGAAATACGATCGAGTGAAAATAGAACGAATTTAAACTTGCCGCAGCTATACTTTTTGGAGTATAGTGTTGACCTTTGACCAAGTGCTGAGATTAGAGCGGGAAACCCGTCAGGCTATGTAAAAAGCCTATCAAGATGGCTGCCGTATGAAGTGTTTACTGTCATTTGTACGCTGTACAACGACATGAAAAAGTCCCCTGTTGAATCAAAAATTTTGTCGGATCTGTGATGTATTTGTCGTCCAAAATGTCAGATACCCGAAGGAGAGTTAAGCTTTATGTTCTAAATGATGAGCGACAATGGGATGACAGGGGGACTGGCCATGTATCATCATGTTTGGTGGAACGACTGAATGGGATGTGTTTGCTGGTTTGTTCGGAAACGGATGGTACGTAAACGTCCCAATCGCGTATCGCAGACCCAGAGCGATAGCACTGCCCTGCCACTCGCGCTGGGTCATTACTGCGAAGCTTGAGGTCGAGGGTCGGGTGGAGGCTGGCAACCACCAAAATTTGTCGAATTATTTTTTTCTTTGAATAATCTTGTCCTTTTCCCTAAAGTATGCATGATGCTATAATTAATCAAGTTGATGCTATGATTATGAATGACTGTTTTTGACAAAGTTTGATTTTGACTGACTGAAAAATTTGAGAATGTAAAAATTGCAAATGGGACGTCTGCACACCTAACATTTCACCTGAAATTTACAAGAATTTTCTATCGTATTCCCCTAATGTCTAATCTCATCTTAATCCTTACATTCAAGAGAAAAAATTGCCAAAAACCATCAAAATCTGTGTAACTGTCTGTAAGAACAATGTTTCATATTAATTTCACAAGACACGAAACAAATGCGTTTGTGTCAATTTGACATTGTAAAATAAAGGTTCTGCTGTGCACTCATTCATTTCACAACCGAATGGCATTTCGATTTTGAGACTTATGGAAACTATTATTTAAATTAAATTAGACTTTCCTCACCAGTTTTTACTTCTTGTTTGCATGAATTTGTATCACTTAAAAAGTTAAATGAATGTCCGTTGCTTGTTTTGTAATGCTAGTAGAATTTAGAAATGCGCAGTTACGCCTAGACTATGCACAGACAAGGTCAAGTCAAGTGCCCTTTGGCCATAAAACCAGGCAAGAGTTTTTATTAGTTTTAAACATGTTGATGACTGTTATTTTAACAAAAATCAGAATTCATTTAAAAACTTGATCAGAAAGCATCTTGTTTGTTTTCATCCTGCCAATAATAGTGTAAGTAAACCTGTAGGCCAGGGTCGGTAAACGGGAGCCAAAAGTCTGAAAATATGAGGTTTTGTGCGGGTGTCTTTTGTTTGAAAATCGCAAGGCACGGTACTGATGCAGGCACTGAACAAGTTCGGTGACACATATCGCATGACATACATGTAGGTATGTGTCAAGTGTCCTTCCAATTTTTTTTCTTCATGGTATGCTTGTCAATGCACAGGCTTTTTGTCCCGATCTATCACCTCTCGGTGTAGAGATGTTGCATGTTTAGTTTTCTGGGTTGCTGAATTCAGCCAACACCCTACTAATCGCTATTGTATTACTCAGCATCATATTAGCAACACAAAATCAGCCTTGTTTGTGCATCTGAAAGTAATTAACATTTTCAGCCATTTTTAACATCGTGATCTCTTGGCACAGGTGGACATTTTTGCCATGTGAATCGCAAGCGCGGCCGGGTCGTATCAATATCATATTTTATAGATCATCAAGCCTGTTTGGATGGAATTTTGAGGGTGACAAGATTAGATGAAAAATTGTGAACGCCCTACATGTTTGTACATGTACTGTTAGACAGGATTATCACTTTAGTCTTATAGACCCTATCACCCAAAATGACAGGCGTGCTTGCGCTTGAATTATATTCATGCTGTACTGCAGCTATTGCAGAATGCTCGTTGGTTCATTGAAACGATTACATAATTTTCAAATGTTACCACACTCGCCCTCTCTGCAGAAGTGAACGATATAGACCTATCAAATCCATGTATGATCAAAAGGTGAGAAGCCCACAGAATGCATGTGTTACAGATCATTATAGATTGAAAACGGTAGTAAATATTTACATAACGATCTGTGATACCATGTCATATACATGTGTGCACTTTATATACAGTATGTACATGTACAGTACATACAAACATGCAGTACACAAAAAGAAACTTTGAACACGGTCTGACCATGACACTATTTCATAAATTTCCGGGACAGATACATTAACTTACCAAAAACAGCATATATGTGTGGTTTCGTTAATAGATGGAACTTTCAAATATTTCTTTTGTAATTCATGCCAAAGTGAAAAACTAAGATGATATATGGGTTAAAGGTCATAGATAATCGCTAGCCTGTTTTGGTGCAATGCAGTTGAAAGCAGCGAGAGGTTCCACATGTGCATGATCAGGGATTCATTCATAAATATATGATGTCATTTAATTAGAGGTCCTCCTGCGTAGCTTGTACATGTAGGTATTTAATATAGAATGACTTAAATTCACAAGAACACATGTTGTTAGCTGTTCTGATCAACTGTTCCCCTGTTATATTTTTTTTCACCAAATATTATTTTTACCCCTACTTCTCAGCTATGATTTTCCTTCATTGAAAAGGGCATAAGCATGTATTTTAGTAATGTCCGGACATACGGTCAGATACACGTGAACACGGTTTTGCAGATCATCATGACAAAAAAATTATATGTAAGAAAGAATGAAACACCCCTTTTCAATCACCTTTCAGGCTTTATTATAACATACTGTACGTCATTACGTAGAGAATATTTTAACTCACATTTTCATACCAAAATCATGTTCATAGGATGTGTAAATGCACTAAAAAATTCAAAATAGAAAGATGGTTATCGTACGTTTGGGGAGCCGTACAAAGTGACGTAGTTGCTCTGAGCTCTATAGCTTTAGCTCTGCAGCTGGCATATACCGTATTTGCCGGTGTAAAGGACGCAGTATTTTTGGAAGAGAAAATATCAAAAAGTCGGAGTGCGGCCTTTACGGCGAAAGAGTAAAAAAACTAATTTTAAAATCAAGTCAAAACCAGTACGAATCTGCACGTATGGGACTATGAACGGTACAATAACTATACCACTATGGTACAGGACATTTCAACACATCTTACCGACAATTTTATCTTGCATTGTTGACATGAATACGAAAATAAATTGCTAAACCAACATTTGCTGATAGATCTTCATCTAAGTTTATGCCAATGCATTGTAAAGGTAAAGGAAGGGACCATTTAACAGAGCTGCCGCGAAGCATCCAACCCAAGTCACCATTTTGTTTTCCATTTCATGCAGTTTCGCATTACACCGTACATTGTGGTAAGGGTATATATCGAACACCAAATCTGCCCGCGATCACTTTTTGAGCTAAACTTCCGGTAAATTATAAGAATATTGATGAATTTGGTATCAGTTTGTAAAAAAAAAAATAGTGTTTTACAAGAAAATTATGATTATTTTATTTTGTCCGTTGTTTTTTTTTCCTTTTTTTGTTTTTTTTTTTTTTTGTTTTTTTTTGTTTTTTTTTTTGTCTTTGAAATGTCGAAGTTGGGGTGCGGCCTATGCTAATAGACTAATATCATTAATTCAAAAGTCATGAAAAGACACTTAATATTAACAAACATGGTCTACAACAACTCCAAATGACAAAATAATCCCAGCTATGCATTTTTTCAGTATTCTAAAGTCCAATACTTAAAAAGTGGCATTTAAACAACAAAAATTGAACAGATACTGTTTGCTGTTACCGATCAAAGGTGCGAGGGTATGCGCTTATCTTCCGATCCGATCAAAGCCCCAACTTAAAGGGTATCGACTTGCTTCAAGTATCTTTGTAAACTTTGTAGGTAAAGACTAACATTCACATCCTTTTTCTCATACATGTACACAAGTCACTGCGTGTGTGAGAAATAGCACACGTTTAGGTGTTGAATGGACGAGTACCGGTACACGAAACGGCTGTGTACACTTCGCAGCCTTAGTAATTTTATGTCAAATCTCATGGAGAATGGGAAAATTCACTTTGCAAATTAGATCAATTGCATGTTCAAACCCTGGCACCTTGTATGCTAAGTAGTGTGTGTAGGTCTGTGATTTTTCAACTGTATTCACAGTTTTCAGTGTTCTGAGCCGTATTCAATTTAGTACATGGATCTTCTTCTTCTCGAGCCACTTACGCCACAATGTTTCCTGTCTGCCAATCAAAGAGAGTAGTGCTGTAGTCAAACGTTTAACCGTCCGGTATCCGACCGCCCATGGCGGATTCCGTTTTCAATTGGACGGTTTCGTTTTCCCGATTTTTTTATTTATTTTTTTTTTTAATATTTTTTTTTTTTTATTTATTTTTTTTTATAATTTTTTTTTTTTTTTTTTTTTTTTTTAAAGTTTCGATTTATGCCCCTCCACCTGGCACTATGCCTGGCAATGTCTCCCAGCTCAGTAATCTGTGTGTTGACTCACCACTCCAAAACTAGAACAACACTCCAATTTGTCTGTCATCTTGGTTTGAAAGTAATCTTTGTAATAGATCTCATCATCTCAATATGTAGTTTATAATAATAATTCATCCAACTTTTACACAAGGTTCTGTCCTAGGTCCTCTACTGTTTTTAATTTACATTAATGATCTTACACATTCTTCTAAAAACAACATTGTTACTATTATTTGTGACAAGTTCACAAGCACAAATCGGCCCCTTTAAATGCACCTCGCAGTTAAATGAAAGTTGCCGACAGAGTCGGTTAAAAAAAAAAAAAAAAAAAAAAAAAAAAAAAGATTTTTTTTTTTTTTTTTTTTTTTTTTTAAAATCGTTTAACCGAAAACCGTCCGGTTTTGACTGGCGGTTAAACGGAATTGGAGATATCCGTGATGTTACAGCACTAAAAGAGAGCTGTTGCTAAAATTTTCAACAAAATCCCCAAGTAGGCTAAGTACTTTATCTTTTAATATAATATAATACCGGTCCATGTCTCTAACGCTCTCAAATTCCCAGGAAAAATGAGATTGAATCCTACTTTCGCATCCATTGTGTGTTTGTTTTTGTGTTATAACGAGTAGCCCCACCATTCTGCCAGTATGTTATTGAACAATTGATATTTTTCCGACACACACAAATTCTATGAGATCAATTTCAATACAAATTTTCATATGAACATTTTTGGGGCTCGTGCAGTCCAAAGGTTTAAAACAACGTGACATTGCACAATTCATTTAATTTTGTTTACGGCTGTATAAATTCATTTTCTAATAAAAGCTGACTTTTATGTTTAAAAAAATAAACATGGAGGCATAGTACACTGAGTACATGTACTGTAGGTGTGCAGATGCATGTAAGGTAAACATGTATAGATGTTAAATGACAGTTAAAATTTCCACATTATCCAGACAAAGAGTTGTCAAGATGAATTAACTACAAGCTCTACATTTGAGCTAAATGTTTCACTTTTGTTCTTGCACACCCATATGAACGTTTTGGGCAATATGTATTGTGTGCTGCTGGAGAAATAAGTACATGAGCGAGCGCAATTCGCCTCCAATAAGAAAATTATCATTCACTCTAATTCACTCAAGTAAAATAGCTGTAAAGTGCTGCTCTCTTGTTCATCAATATAATTTTTTTTTACTGAATCTTGTTATTTCTTGCAATAATACTAAACTATTGTTGATATTGACTTATACTATTTTGTTCTATTGTGTAGGTTCTATCCTGTTGGAATCCAAAATTCAGCCAGACACTGCATACCAGAAGCAACAGGTAAGCCATCGATGATTCCACTATACCTTCATCATTCACAAATTTCTTGGTCGTAAAATATAAATTTCTGCCATGCACAATCATAGTACACATTGGGTTGTAAATTGCTTCACCCTTTATTGTTTGGAGAGGGGAACCGTGGACTTTGGACTCGTGTAGCTCTGTGAATGAAGCCATTTCATAAATATTTGTTTGTCGTAGCCAGGGTTCGTCATGTCCTTACTTGCTTTATCAACAGCTCCAAGAACAGCTTTAACCTGCTGAGCATGCCCAGGCCAGGTGAATGTTTATTTATGCTCTGGCATCATATAGCAAACATGTACATGTTATTAGCTTCTCAGTTTTTATACCCTGTGTTGTTCAGTACTTGAACATTAATGTAGGGAATATGATTCACAGCAGTTTGTTATGATTATAGAAGAACCATGTTGTTATTTATTACAATGTATATGAAAAAATTGTAAAAGGATTCGGATTATAAAATAGAAGGGTATTTTCATTGGAATTTTACATTTAAAAAAAGAAAGAAAACTACAAATGTCCTAGTTTTGTTTATTGACTTAGCTTTTTCTTCTTATTTGTGTATGTTTGACTGCTTTATTAAAATATTATCTGTTGCCATTTGCTATTACAAATTGCAGGAGACTCTGATTGTTTGGTCTGAAAATGACAATTATGACTTGGCTCTTAGTTTCCAAGAGAGAGCAGGCTGTGACGACATCTGGGAGATCATATGCCAGGTAAATATTTCAGGGCTAGAAATTAGAAAATCAATGTATTTACATCTCTTTTGTTTGAAATTGGGAATACTTTGTTTGTTGATTTCCTCCTTTGACATTTGTGTGGGGAACATTACTTCTACTAAAAATGCACGTCATGAACATCTAGGGAAATATATTCCAAGCCTTCCTTCAGGCAGTTGATGATCTTTTGCTTACCGGTCCTTGATTTGTTCTATCATTGTCACTCTTACTCTTACATTGTAAACCTACAAGATGGTCAGAAGATATAACTATTGAGTCTTTCAAGGAAATGATGTGCAATAGTTACTATGGTAATGTTAGGAGTATATGAGTATTGTCATCTTGACAGCAGACATATTGTGAAAGACCTGCAAGATGTAAACCAAGTTGATTTTTAATCATCAGGTTGTTTTTTTAATCATCAAAAAGTGTTCTTCTGTAGGCCGTTTTCATAATGTAATCAAATTTAATGCATAAATATTTGTTAGCAATAAGTGCCATTTTACAAAGTAATTCATTCACCTGTTACAAATAATTATATTTCAATAGTCAAAATGCAGATTACATATATTAATTGTTGCTAGGTAGAACAAATATTATGGCTTGTCCTATCTAACAACAAAGGAACATATGCAATTCACATTCTGACTATTAAAATATGATTATTTGTAACAGGTGAATGAATAATTGTAACGGCACTTAACACATATTTATGCATTAAATTTGATTACATGACTAAAATGGTCTACATGTATTAACACTTGATATTCATGCAATAGTTTTGTACATGTATGTACATTTACATGTACTGATAGGCATACATTTGTGCTTGACTACATGTAATGCAACAATTATGCAAGCACAAAGGTTTAACAACCAACAAATCATGCACATTTAGAAAGACATCTGCTAGGATGTGCTTCCACAGTGAAACTTAAAGGGAGTGTAGCTTGGCAAATACTGGCTAACGCCATGTAAACGAATGGACTTGATTAACGGTAGTCAGCGACTTAATCTCTACATGGTCAGCGCGCTAGCATTCACGAAACAGACTGAAGATCTCCTCACGCTTCTGTTTTGCATATATTGCAAGCAGATGATTGCTGTAGTCGCGTCGTCCGTATTCGTATTAGGGACTTTTCGATTTGCATGTTCACTAGTGGACTGCGACGTATGCGGTCACTTTTGAAGCAGTGTGCATGCGCATCGACGAGCTCATCGTTCGTAGCAGAATTCTCAAACATGTTCGCCCTTGTTTTGCCGTCGTTCACAAACTGTGACGATACGTGTTTGTAAGCAATCTTTTGTAGGCACAAAACCCCTTACGAAACATCACATTGAAGTCACAAAATGGACCCAATTGACCTAATTCTAGAACCGGAGAGTGGTGGAAGCGTGAATTCTCTTAGGTTAACACATTTTCGTGTCTGTAATTTCCCTTAAATCAAAATTGTTGCAGAATAATTCATGAAATGAACACATTTTATTTGTGCATCGCCAATCTGTTGCAGCATAATTTTCGAGATCAGTCCCATGCACCGAATTTGGTGTGTTGAATCTTAAGCTTTTCGATCGAATTTTGTGCTCACTAAGCAGAATAATTCATTAAATGAACACATTTTATTTATGCAACGCTAATCTGTTGCAGCATAATTCTTGAGAACAGTGCCATGCACCGAATTTGGGGTTATATCTTTAGCTATTCGATCGAGTTTTGCACTCACTAAGCGAGTGTCGTAGTTGTATAAAATCGAAAAGGTAACGAACAACAGTCAGCGTGCCTCGTCAACCCTGCTTAAAATTGACCGCATACGTCGCAGTCCACTTATGAACGTGCAAATCGAAAAGTCCCTATTATAACGGATTGGCCCCCGGTCAGGCTACAGGAAAGACACGTAGCATGTTTGAGACAACTTCTCTCTCTACTTTTATATTAGAATCTTGATGTCTTGCTTGTGTTACATGTTTAGGACAGACTATGCAAATGCAGTTTTATGATAACAACGGGAGTATAGAAGTCTGACAGCAGCTGCAAGCAAGTCATTGCAGTTGGAGTAAACAAAGTAGAAAGATGGGAAAAGAGCAAAGAATAGTACATTGAAAAATAATTGAATGCAACTTAGAGTAAACAGGAGGCAATAAATAGGCAAACTTAATTTAGATGATTGGAAAAGGCAAAACCAATTTAGGTAATTGAAAAGGTAAACTTGAATTAAAATTACATAGGCATATTAAATTTTGAATACAAAATTGATTTTTTTTCTTCTTTTTTCTTCAGTTGATTGACCTTTGCATACAGTGATATATTTTAATTTCTTAAGCCTACATTGGACTTGAGTGACATTTTTAATGGGGAAGTATTGGAAATGGAGATGAAACTTGTTTTAGATGAAGACAACAATGTAAGAGTATAAATTGTTACCCCAGTTTTTTAAGTTAAAAGGTTCAAACTGTATTTTCTTGTTGAGGTACATGTATCGGTAGGTCTGTTATGTTGTTAGATATACCAAGATGTTTTAAAATGCAGATTTTTTGCACTCATTTTCTGCAGGTTCAAGGCAAAGATCCGTCGGTTGATATCACCCAAGATGTTGTGGATGAATCCGAAGAAGACCGCTTTGAGGAACTCCCTGAAGCAGCCACACCTATCGAACTACCTCCTTGTGAAATTAGCAAACTGGAGGAAATAACAGAGCTCTTCTGCAGTGCATTGCAGTCCCCCATCAAACGGGAAAAGCTTGCCATAGCAATAGAGAAGGAGAATTACATTCGGAAACTCATTGAACTATTTTGTATTTGTGAGGACCTTGAGAACACAGAAAGCTTACATTACTTGTACGAGATCATGAAGAACACCATCCTTCTCAATAAGACCTCACTTCTTGAGATTCTGTTTTCAGATGAACTCATCTACGATGTGGTGGGCTGTCTAGAGCACGATCCCAGTGCCACGGACTGTCGGCGGCACCGGGAGTATTTGAACTCAAAGGCGAACTTCCATGAAGTGATCCCTATCACAAACACAAACCTTTTGAATAAAATCCACCAGACTTATAGAGTTCAGTACATTCAGGATGTCATTCTGCCCACACCTTCTGTCTTTGAAGAGAACATGTTGTCAACACTTAGCTCATTTGTCTTCTTCAACAAGGTGGACATTGTAGATATGATTCAGGTAAGGTTTTCCCTTTTATTTTATGTTATTTCGTTAGTGTACTGTTTGGCATGTCTTCTGCTGTAGTTACATTTCTTTTCAATTTATTGTTGAGTATTTTGTTTTGTTGAAGAGATAAAACCATCAGTCAGAAACAAACTAAATGTAGATATGCATTGATGTCTTTTGATGACATAACATTTTATTAAATATTGATGTATATTCTGGGCAAATTATTTGCCAAGAGTATACTTTGTGTGGGAGGTAAGTCAATTATCTGTTATTGTTGCACCAGCAATAATGGCTGCCTTGGAATTGAAAGATTAACTGCTAAAATACAATCACAGAAATATTAACGATAAACAATAGAAGTAATACACATCATATTGAAATATATTATGATTATTCACCCTTGTCAGATTTATTTAAATTTACATTCTGTGGATAAATTTCTAAAATTTGCAAATTAAATGATAGTGAGATTATTTAGTAAAGTGTTATTTATTCTAAAGTGGTACTTTAATAAGGTTGATTATAGACACAGTATTCTTTTATTTTGCATAAACACTGTAGAAAGAAAAAAAATATGCTTGAGTGAAAAATTATTCCCAAAAGGTTTTCGGAGACATTGCTAAGTTACAAACATGTACATGTAGCACAAATATTGCTAAATCTTAATTTCAACGAAAGTAGAGGTGAAAAAAAAAGAAAACATAATTGAAACCTTAAAGATATAAGATTATAAGATTATAAGATATAAGATTATAGCAAATAAAGAATAACAAGCACAGAATGTGGGGCAAATAAGTTACTTTGTGATATACATGTACATGCAAACTGTGGTGTGCAGGCCTGGTAGTGTGTGCTCAGTATAATCTACACCTGTAGAGGGTTGTTTTCATTCATATTTAAAGAATTAATTCTGTAGAACATTTGCAAGGGGCCATGCTTTCTGTAATCATTTGGTAACCTGTATCGTTATTGACTTTACAGTGATCATCATCAGTATCATAAGGGTGGAAGAATATGAGTCAAAAATTACTTCCTTGTACCAAGTATTTTTATAACCTTATAATTTCTTTTCATCTCTTCAAAAAATGAAATGCCTCACGGAAATTAGGAAAAAGATTTTTATACATGTCTTGTGTTTTGAAGGTTAATTTGAAAGGCTGTTTCCAGTTGAATTGTAGAAATTATGACAGAAAGTGCATTGCTTTTAATAATGGCTGTCTTCTTTGCTATGATCGGTTGGCTATTTTCATTTGCGGTTCTTCATTGAATTTTTTAACCACTTCTGGGTATGGGCAGGGGATTGTGCAATCCTGTGCAGATTGTGAAGGAAGTGTGTTACTGGAGGTACCATTCTACCTAGCCTAGTTCTCCAAAGGAACCTGGCAAAGAGCGCCTTAATTTCCATGCCTTTCCTGAATTGATTGCAAAGAGAAGAAAGGCAGTAATATCCTGACCAGAAAGCAGTTATTAATGGGAGCATATTTTTGTCAGTGCATGATGCCCAATTATCATCATGTTTTCTAAATGTAATAATATGTGTACATGTACATGTAGCAGAAGTTGCAGAACAATATGGTATTGCATCTTGAGCGTACATGCAGGTGTCTGAACATTTGAACGTTTGATATGCAGATTTTAAAGATGTGCGGGTTAGCAATGTTTAAGTTGCTGTTATTTCTTTTAATAATTTGGTTAATAATAATAAACTACTAGAGTTTTGTAGCTGAAAAATAATTAAAAAACCTTTTCATCAAACACAATGTCAGCATGAACAACTTGTTGCCATCCAGGTATTACATGTACTATGCGGTCACTATTACAATGCTAATGATTTTTCTTTGTTTTTCTTGTATATTAGATTAAGAAACAGTAACATGTAGTTTCAGGGCGAAAAAGAGTATATTATGTGGGGGGTGTGTATACCGGTACATGTAGATATTTATTTCTTTATCTACCTTTGTGTAATCATGATATTAGAAACAGAATAGAAATGAAGTGACTTGAAAACTACAGTAAAATCTTTCAAAGTTTATATTGCTACATGTAGGTTTATTATGCCAAAGGGTGTACCGGATTCTTTCTCTTAGTACATGTAGTCATGTATGTTTTTAATGGAGTGTGGAAAATAAAACTTGAAGTTGATGTACATAAAGTTTGATGTGTAAGTGCATATACATGGCAGTTTGTGATTTTGTGCCAGCATTGTAAAGGGCATCTTAATGACAAGGGCTGTTGACACAAAAATGTACATAAACTGTTGCATGAACAAAAACTTGTGAAGAGCCTCATCAAAATTCCATATAACTGCCTCTTCATGAAAGTACCTTTCAACCAAATCAATACCATTGCTTTTGCCACTTTAACAGGACGATGAGAAATTCCTACCGGAGCTCTTTGCACAACTCATCAGTGAGAGTACAGAGAACCAGAGGCGGAGAGACCTTGTCCTATTCCTCAAAGAATTCTGCTGTTTTGCTCAGAATAGTCAGAACAGAGAAGGCTTCTTCAAGGTGAGAGCTTCCTCTTACATGTATCTCATTCGCTTGATAGATGATCAGAAATGTGTTGTTATCAAAACTAAAAAAACCTAAGAGAAAACTGAAGTTCAAAGAAACAAGTATACTATCTTTTTTAAAAGATGAAGTCTAATTATTGTCTTCTACAATTTTAATATTAATTTATTTTTATAAGGAGTCCTACAGTCTTAAAGGTACTATGTCCCATTTGCAGGCCAAAAAAATGAAAAGGTTAAATTTCAATGGCATTTGAAAGATAATACTAATTTAGAACTCCCCTAAAAAAGGTTGGGCTTGAAAATGTCTTCAAGTGGGAAAATAACGACTATTAGTTGTCAAATTGACTTAGGAGCTATAGAGCCAATAAGTAATAGTCTTGATTTTGAGACCATTGTACTGAGTGGTCATACGTTTTATGCTACACAAAGATTCATTTAGTTTAATTTTGGCCATCACAAGAAGTGGGTTATTGATGTAGACAAATGCTCATGTACCCTTTACAGCTCATTTTATGTATGTTTTTACCAAGGAAGAAAAAAAAATCCAGTCAGTCACTCAATAGTGTCTGACAGTGAAGTCTACCAAGTAAATGGGTTTCCCTGTATAATTTGAATATTAGGACAGTGCTAACGTTTAAATTTCACAGATAGAACATTCATGACATATTTATAATTCCTGCAAAGTTCTACAGAATATGAGGTTGGCTGCAAAAGGGACATAGTACCTTTAAGTTGAAGCTGCAGGCAAGTTCGTCCATCTGTCCTCTTTCCACTGAGGATTAAATTCCCATTTATAATTCAATTTTCTATTAACTGTTATTTCTGTTATAGTACTCCAGGTTGTTATATTTATTTATGAATTTATGTATGGTATTTCTTATGCTCATGATTTGAAACACTCTTTGCTTTACTCTTTTTTTTCACAGACATTATCAAGCTTAGGTATTCTCCCTGCCCTAGAAGTAGTCTTGGTGAGTTCAAATATATCTGTTATTAACAGCATAAGTTTAATTGTAAAATCAATCAGGTTCCATTCATAATATTACAATGGTTTTCTTTTTATGCCTCCGTTACGAAGTAGCCGGAGGCATTATGTTTTCGGGTTGTCCGTCCGTCCGTCCGTCCGTACGTCCCGTTCTCGTGATCGCGTTATCTGAAGAACCGATTGATGGATTCCTGCCAAACTTTGGTCATGTATGTTACTTGCAGAGCCGATGAACTGATTAGATTTTGGGGTCACGAGGTCAAAGGTCAAAGGTCACAGGGCTCATTATGTATGCAAAAACAGCTCGTGATCGCATTATCTCAAGAACCGATCGATGGATTCCTGCCAAACTTTGGTCTTGTATGTATCTTGCAGAGCCGATGAACTGATTAGATTTTGGGGTCACAAGGTCAAAGGTCACAGGTCACAGGGCTCATTAGGTATGCAAAAAGAGCTCGTGATCGCATTATCTCAAGAACCGATCGATGGATTCCTGCCAAACTTTGGTCATGTATGTATCTTGCAGAGCCGATGAACTGAATAGATTTTGGGGTCACGAGGTCAAAGATCAAAGGGTCATATATGTATATGAGAAATTGCTTGTAATCACGATATTCTGAGAACCTCTTAATGGATTACAATTGAACTTGAATTTGAAAAATTTCTTCTGTTTTGGTTTGTAAAATTGCTCTATGACGGAGGCATCATTTTCGACTGCGCGCAGTCGAAGTTCCATCTAGTTTTAAACTAAATAGTTTATATTCTTATTTTAGTCTCCTACATCAAAACATACATGATACACCTACATGTACATCATTTTCTTTCAAGTACCTAATTAGTGTTAAAATTGTTAAATATTTGATTTTTATAATATATCACAATTTTTCAACCGCAATCATTTATTCATTAAAACAGATTTCCATTCTCTTCATAGTAATTTTCTATTTTTTATTTCAGGGTATGGACGATTCAGAGGTGAGGCAAGCAGCGATAGACATCTTCTCCTTGGTCGTAGGATTCAATGCCTCCATGGTGAGGGAGTTCATCATGCATGAAGGCTCAGCATCGGAAGACGTAAGTCTACTTCTATCCAAATCCTCCATGTATTTGTATACCCCCCCCCCACCCAGGCCTAACTTGAGCTGTTGAGCTGTACTCACTATGAACATGACTGACAAAGAAAGCGGACAAAATATACAGTTCCTCAGGTAGACAAAGGAACATCCCTTCACTGCTATTATGTAAACATGTGTAGAACAGGTGTCACATGCATATTCACCTTTTTACATAATAGCAGTGAAGGGATGTTCCTTTGTCTACCTGAGGAACTGTATATTTTGTCCGCTTTCTTTGTCTGTCATGTTCATAGTGACTAGAGATACTCTGTGTGCCAGGATGTTTGATTATATTGTTTTGTTGATGATCTTGAACAAACAATTATTGAGTACAAGGTCTTTTTCCGAAATTTGTTAATGCTCATCTTGTAAGATCTGCTTCAGATTCGTGCATGTATTCTGTATGCAAATAAGAATGGAAAGAACCAAGAATAGACAAGCTTTTGATGTTTCAATTCAGCGAGAATTCATGGTGAAATACTATTCTGTTTTTAACTGCATCTTGCTTTCTCAGTTCAAGCCAGGGTTATATACACTATGAACATGACTGACAAAGAAAGCGGACAAAATATACAGTTTCTCGGGTAGACAAAGGAACATTCCTTCGCTGCTATTATGTAAAAAGGTGAATATGCATGTGACACCTGTTCTAGACATTTTTACATAATAGCAGTGAAGGGATGTTCCTTTGTCTACCTGAGGAACTGTATATTTTGTCCGCTTTCTTTGTCAGTTATGTTCATAGTGATATAATCTCTTTTTATCATTCTTGTCAGATGCATATTAAAACATTGTTGAACATCTTGTAGAGTATTGACGAGCTTAAGTCACAACTGTTTCCTTCAATCAAGTCTAGACCACACCAATTACTCATTAATAGTAATGAAAAGGAAATGCTTATTTATGGCAGTGATAGAACAGAACATATACGTGTTGCATTGTCAGATATTCCGTTATAAATGTCACCTGTTGAAAAAAGTGTTTGTATAAGCTGCATTGTTTGAATCTAACATATTTCTAAAGCAGACATTGCAAAATGCTAGCAGTATCTTTCTGTAATAGAATTGTTATGCTTTCAAATTATTAGATGCTTGTATTCTGCAATTATACTGTAGCAAGTTGCCATTTTACATATTGTATTCAACTAATTTTTTCTTGTCAGTTGATATTTTGCATATAATTAACTACATTGTACCATTAGCTTCTGATGATAACATGAGGGACTTTTGTCAAAAAGACATGCAAATCTATCCTTTTAGTACTTAAAAAAATGATGTAATTTTGAATTTGCCTCAATCTTTTACTTTGAAGTGTACATTTTACTTTAATATTGCAACCAGTCTCTACTTTGGAATGTGGATGCAATTGAACCACTAATGTTCATATTGCCTCTTTAAATATTGACATTAGATAGATTCATTAATCCCTTTTTATCGGGGTTCTTGAAATACCCCCTTATGTGAAGTGTGAGTTACACCTTGATTTTGGGCTGAAAATATTGAAAATGGAATTTATGTTGTTCATGTTCAGAGTTGACAATAATGTTGAGAATGACATTCATGAACGAGGTGTAACGTTGTCTACCTTGTATCCATACACCCATGCAGGATGTGCTACTAATCAACCTTGTCATTGAGCAGATGATTTGTGACACAGATCCAGGTAAGTCTAGTTATTAATAACTCTCCCATGTCTCTTCATTTCAAGGCTGAACAACGGCTCCCAGTGCTACCATGTATAAATATAGTATACATAATTTATTTTTAGAAAGTCATTCCCACCCTATTCCTAAAGGTTAATCTAATTTTAGATATATTACAATTCTTTCATTACTATCTACTGAAAAAGATGTTAGCTGTTGTATTATTAGTATTCCTGGCAGTAACAGCATTGTGAGATTCCAGAATACTATTAGAAATAAAAATCACTTGTTTAGTTGTATACTGAATTGATATTATTATAAGCTTTGTAGGAATGGGCTGTACTTTTCAGAGGTATTAATAGATTATTTCTAGTAAGCAAATCTATATTTTGTGGTTCATTTAGATCTTGGCAGTGCGCTTCAGCTGATGAACATCCTCAAGATGCTTCTAGATCCTGAAAATATGATGGCAACTGGAGTTGTAAGTTTTATCCCAGCTTTCGGTGTGAAGGGTGGTTATCATGGTTGTGTGTGAGTTTGGGTGACATTTATCTTCAAGATTGTGAGAAAGAAATTCCACTTCTTCCTAAGTGTGTACATTATATTTTCTCCAAATTATTGTTAAACTTGATAAATTTATGCTTTCAAGCTGGAAAGAAAGATGATGTCTTTTTATTAGTTTCAGCATATGAAAGACCCGTCATTCTGTGACCCTACTGATTTAGAATTTACTGAAAAGGTATGATTTATTTTGGTCTTTTAAAAATTGGGCACTTTATGTTTTCTTTTTGATGTATGCTACCATGGCATCATTTTTCTCTTTTGTATCTTATTTGATATTGTGTTTTTTTCACAGCAGAAGACTGAGAAGACGGAATTCTTGACATTCTTCTACAAGCACTGTATGCATGTTCTTACTGCTCCTCTCCTTGCCAACACGATAGACGACAAACCCAGTAAAGGTAAGCTTTATTTCTGAGGCGGATTTCTGGGCAGAGTTTCACAAAATCGTCATAAGCACAAGTTCATTGACATGATACATCCCACTGAAACATGTGTCAAATTTAATACACACATATTTAATGGGTTGTTAGCGATCTTGTTCTTACCATATTTGCTGGCGTAAAGGCCGCAGTATTTTTGGAAGAGAAAATATTTAAAAATTGGGGTGCGGCCTTTGCGGCGAAAGAGTAAAAAAAAAAAAATGCAAGTCAAAACCATTAAAGACAGCACAAATTTGTACATATGGGACACCAATGAAAAGAGATGGACATTTCTAGAATAACTGTCTAGAATAACACATGTTAATCTCGTAAATAAAATTCATAACTTACCAACCAAACTCTACTGGTAGATCTAGATTTAGTTTTTGCCATGGCTAAAGCAATCTCAATCTTCTCAAAGCTCACATCGCGCAAGCAAAGCTATGTCGCAATCTCAATCTTCTCAGCGCGTGAGCAAAGTTATGGCGCAATACACAAGAGAAGCAATACATAAGAGAAAGCTCCTGAAAGCATTTGAGTCGGGATAGCCGAGCGGTCTACGGCGGTGGTTTTGGGTCCCATTCTACATTTGTACGCAAGAGTTCAAATCCTACCTTTGACAAAAGTTCTTTTTTTTTTTTTTTTTTTTTTTTTTAAATGTCAAAATGGGGGGTGCGGCCTTATTGCCGGCAAATACGGTATGACTTTTTGTGAAACAACCTGAAGGAGGCACAACTGGCTTGTGGCCACCCCCCCCCCCCCTCCCCTCCTTTCTTTAAACTATTATCACATTTCAAAATATTTTCAATACAAATGGAACATGTACAAATTTACTTATGATCTCTACTTTGCATTTCTTAGTAAAACATGGATTAACATTTAATTTAATTTTTTTAGTGGGAACCCAAGTTAGTTAACAAGTCGTCATAAATGCAAACAAATAACAAAACAAAGCTATAATGTTACATAACTTTTGGATTTGTAAAGTACTTGTTGCAGAGGATTCAAAGGAACAGAGTGAAGATGAGAGAAACAGGAAAGAAAGATTCTGAAAAATAATATAATTAATGCAATAATCAAATTTTGAATAGAAATGTATTGGAACCTAAAATTAATCTTGTATATGTGATCGTATGGTAAGTTGTTGAGGAAAGAATACTGGACATGTTAGAGTACTCCATACAATTCTTCATGACTTCCCATGTGTTACTCTATCTTTTGTAGATGACTACCAGACATCCCAGCTGCTGAGTTTGATCCTAGAGCTATTAACGTTTGCAGTGGAGCATCATACGTACCACATAAAGAACTACATCATCAACAAAGACCTCCTCAGGAGAATATTAGTCGTACTCAGATCTTCACATCATTTCCTTGTATTATGTAAGTCTTACAAGAACTTTATCAGAATAGTGCTTTGAACATACTCTTTGGTCTGTTTGCATAATTTTTTTCCCCAAGTAAATAAATGTTTACTGCTCTTTTGATGTACCGATTTATTAGATTAACCACTGATTAACCTCATTTAGTTGAGCTTATTTTAGATGAAAAGGACAACACTTTGATTTTGTATAAATATTTATGTAATACACCACAGAGCAACCTTATTCTGCTATCCAGCTATTGTAAATAAAAAGGGGTCTAAGTTAATAAGTTTGCATTAAAAAGAGTATCAAGTTAACTGAAATTGATTTTCCTCTCAAATGAAAGTGGTGGCTTTACAAACCATGTCAGATTTCCTTTCGGTATGAAAACTGCACAGATTAACATTAATTCATCTTTAATTTGTTAATGCATATTCTGCAATATAGTGCCGATCAACTGATTTTTTTTAAATTCCCATATCTGATACCGAAACCTTTCAGCATCGCCTTAGAACATGATTGTGTAATATTTTCCTCTTCTTTTCTTTAAACCTTTTATTTCAGGTGCTGTGCGATTCTTCAGGAAGGTTGTAGCTATGAGGGATGACTTCTACAATCGGTATATTGTGAAAGGGAACCTCTTTGAACCCTTGGTCAGTCTCTTCAATGTTAACCGGTCCAAATACAACCTACTCAACTCAGCTCTTATCGAGCTCTTTGAGTTCATCAGGATAGTAAGTATATCAAATGCACTTGTAGTTCCTCTTTGAGTTGATAGTTATATCCAGCGAAAGTATACTGTCAGGAAAGTGAAGAACCCTCTCTGATAAAAAAAATATAACTGTCCATAAATCTGCAGTTCTTTGCCATTACAATTTTACAGGCTGAGAGATAGTTCCAAGTATAGCCTGCTCAATTGAAATGTATGAAACGCTTCGAGTCTTCATTAAAAAAATTGCTGATTCTAATCAATTTACTATCAGCCTGTTGTTTGGTAATACCATTGTGATCGTGATTAAATAACATTCGAGGGATGAGCAATTGGAAATATAAACTACTTTCGGGCATAACAATGGGTGTGTTTCTGTTCAACCTGTTTAGAAATGATATCATTGGCTATGGCTGAGGCAACCCATGTGTTTGCTTTCTTTCATGATCTTATGATCTGTAAAGCGCTTTGAGAGGGCCTTCGGTCCTAAAAAGCGTTATATAAGAACTAGCCATTATTATTATTATTTGTGAAGCGAAAATGTATGTTACTAAATCATTATTCTCCCTTTTCTTGTCAATCACCAGGAGGGAATCAAGATGCTCCTGACACACATAGTGGAGAAGCATGGGGAGGAGCTGAAGGATGTAGACTATGTAGCAACGTTCAAGGGACTCAGTGTCAAGTATGAGCAGTTCATGGACAGAATCAACACAAGGCCAAACCTAGACAAGTATGTACAATTGCAGTTCCTATCAGTATTTTGATTTGTTTTTATATATTGAGTCATTGTCTTTATTATTGTACATGAATAAAGGATGTATTAGAAATTTTAATCTGTTCCTTATCTAATTTGATTCCCCCCTGGCCTTTTCTGTACTGTGTTGTATATATTTTGCATTTAAAGCCCCTCTGCACTAGTTTGGCCAGGAGGGATTAGACCTCCCTGTATGGTCACTGACAGGTGGTTTTTTCATCAAATCAGCTCTAAACATAAGAAAAGGGGGACCATGGGGGACCAATGGTCACCGATTAGGCATTGTTTGCTATATAAAGGGCGCAAGTAGCTGTAAGTAGTGCAGTGCGGCTTTAAGGGCTGGCTGTGCTGAAATGCAAATGTACAAGCATTAGCCAATTATGGTCCACTCTTCTAGTTTAGTTATAAAGTTTGGTTTGATCACACCTTGCAACGGTCCCTGATACATGGTATTCTATGATTTCTCTTTCCTCAGTTTGAGGCATGCGAGTATCCTGCAGAACACTAGATTTCGACGGGATGCGCGTGACCTGGATGAGGAGGAAGAGCTCTGGTTCGATCAGGATGAAGACGGAGAGGACTCGGAAGCAGTGGTCCCGGTGGTAGACAGCGCATTCCGATCAGCCAAGATCTGTGGAGATGTCATAGATGAGGTAGAAGACACAGGAAGGATAATTGGCAACAAGAAAGGTAAGGAGATAGTCATCTCTACTGACTCGTTTTTGATGAACCTCTTCCCTCAAAACTGAGTTCTTACTCAGGAAGAGGTCCAACATTCTGTTGATAGATTTTATGTACATCCATGCTACACTTCTTCTTTTACTTTGGATCTAATCATGCCAGACATTTTGCTGACAAATACCACAGTTTGTGATCACACTCAATTTTTCGATAGACATCGGAAGGAATTTTACCAAAACTCTGTGACTTACCAATACTCTAGGTGTCTGTCCCTGCACATCTTCTACCAATGCATCAGGATCATTCTTTGAGAGTTGTTATAAACTAGCATTAATGAAAATTGGAAAAGCTTTGAAATATTTTGTTTTAGAGCGTATAAGTGACATTGTTTCGAGCAAGGATCAAACAGTATTGTGCATATATCTCCCTGTCACAGAAAACCAGCTATTGAACAGGACCGAACCTCTGAATGCCAGCAACGGAAGACCAGACACGCCTCTCCGGCCATCAACGGGTAACAATCCCAACAAGAGAGCAGCACCATCGGCCAGACCCTCCAGTCCTATCCCTGTGTCATCCAATACATCGACGACGTCGCCAGCAATCAAGAAGCTTGGTGGTGCCGACACGGAGCTAGCTAATAACATAGGTGGCAGCGCAGAGGCAAAGAAGGTTTCACCAGCATCTGTGTCTGAAATGAAGGCAAATAGTGTGGCAAAGGTACAGCAATCACGTGATTCGTGTCTGGTGCTGTTTGTCCAATGGAATGGAAACTATAGCATGTCATGTTACTTTCCTGATGGTCATCATCTGAATTGTGATGTTATTATTGATTAATTGATTATTGCCAATTGAAAAATAATTGTTTGGAAAAAAGAAAAAAATATCCTTTTTTGGTCGGGGATGAGGTTTATTTAATGATGGGTAGTTTGGTTTGTAAAATTATACTGATAGAAAGAGATGTTTAGTGGAACAGATGTTGTAAGCTTGTTTCTCTTTGTTTGACCCCAGCAGGGAGGCCTGGTTGGATTAGTGGACTATCCTGATGAAGATTCCGATGAAGACGAAGACACAGATGATCATCCTCCATTGAAGAGAGTACGTTTGATCTAGGAAGCTTGCAGTCAGATAAACCCGTCCTCCACCTTACTCACGTATGCCTTGACTGAGATGCCGGTCCTCTTGAGACTCATGCAGACCAACCCTGGATGCTGCCTGCCAAGCTCACCATCACTTGCAGCAACAAGTCTTACCTCATGCAGGGTTCACGTCTGCCTCAAGGGACCTTGGAAAGACATGCACACTCCAGCAACAAGAATCAAGCTTAGGGCTTCCTCGAGAGGCTACAAGCTTGATGGAAATGATGATGATGATGATGATGATGATGCGAGTGCGCCCTGCCTAGATCAGAAGGAACTGCTGGATGGATACCCCCATACAGTTCCATTGTCCATCATCATCCGAGACAGATTAAATTGCTTTCTTCTGCTTGTCCCAAGCTTGGGAAGTCTTGCAATCTTAAATCAGAGGTCTTGGTCATGGGTCCTTACCAAGCATTCGTTTGGGCTTTAAAACATGCACTTGTGTATTTTAACGTTTTGGGTATTTTTTTAAAAGGCCAATCTTTTTCTTTTTTTAAAACTGTAGAATCCAGTATGACCTTCATTCATACACGCTACTTACAATTATGATATTCACAGATTTGGACAAGGGCAAGAGTGGGATGTATCGTTATCTTTTTTTGGATAATGCTATACCATGAGCCGGCGAAGGAGGAGATGAGAAAGATAGGATGCTTTAGGATTTCTTTCATATAAAGACCCATGACTTATAATGCCAGTGAGATAGGAAACGCACTGCTCCTGGGTAGACCAGGGTAGACGAGGGTAGATGCGATTGCCTGAGTGGTATTATCGGTTAAAATTGTCCCATGGATTCTATGCTGCACCACCATCTCTCAGGAATATGATGGGAGTACGTACGTAACTCAAGGCCCCATCACTAACCCATATGTAAAGCAGTGTACAATTGTAGAAGTCAGATATTTTTCATACCACTTTCCAAGTTGATGAGTGTATTTTGCATATATATAGTTGTCGTCGTGTACGTGGTCGAATGTGCTTGACAATTTCCAAGTGCGCACTGTGTCAGAGATGAGAGAGAGAGTGTGTGAGAGAGAGGGATGTGAAGTTATGGAGGTTCTCTCAGTCTGTCATGCCAATCCATACAAAATTGTATTCTTTTTTTGTGAGACTTTGTATGTGATTGTCAACCTTTTCAAGTTATAATATTTTCATGAGAGAAAAGACAGCAGGAGCGATGGTTTCCATTTCAATTCCTCTGAATCCCTTCCAATGACAAATATTGTATGTGTAATGGAAGATAGATTTGTGGAAGCCTTCATCGTTTAAAGAATGGAATATTTCCACAAATCTCTTCTTGCTTCGTACAAAGTATATGCTAGAGCAAGTGGAAGGTATGTAGTATTGCTCCTCCTATGTCTTCTTCATGTATTAGGTGTGTCAACTGTCAGACAAGGAACTTTCACATTTCCCCCATATTTCTTAAATTGTATGAAACTTAAGTTAATTCATAGAGATCTTACCTCATTTTTGTAAAAGGTTAAATTTTACATCGTTCTAAGTTCTTAATATCTTTGTTGAATTAGGCATGTGATAGCATGATCTTGTCAAAGGTACCGAGAATGTGACAACATATCCTCATCTTCACCAGTAATATCTTTTCCGATGGTGCTAAATATCAATCATTCAGCTGCATCAAAATAGGTTGACTAGATCTAACCAGCTGATTATTTCGACCATTTTCAGTTTCCCGTTGCAAGTAGACCTCATGCAACACGCATTTAAATGTGTTTCTCCGTAAGGTAACCAATCATGTAGTTAGAGTCTCTTTCAGTTACATCTGAGTAAAGAAAGGCATTCCAAATATGTGCACAAAAATTTGCTGTTTGTTTCAATACCCATCCTGTCCCGCCCCCACACATTCTCCCTTCTCTTTTTCTCCATGCTCTTTTGTTCTATGTTGACAAATATGGTTTAAAATTTATTTAAAAAAAGAAGGAATTGCATTTTGCTTATGTTGTCTTTGATGATAGATTTTATTATGTGTCTTAAGTGACTAATGCTGGTACTTATTCAATTCTGGTTGAGAGAGAGGTATATTTTTGTGGATAATGACACTGAATCATTTCCTTCTCTTCTATGTTGTTTTGATATATCCTTTACTTCTGTTTATGTCTGTACAAAGCAAAGATGCGTTGCCACAATGTTTTGTTATTATGCTGTGTGTAAAATATCAGAGTGCACCAATACATGTATATCTTTGTACAGCTAGTCATCATTTGTGGCAGAATAGTAAACTTTTATTTCCAAAATGATAAAATAAATTGTGACATTATCTCATATTTAATGGTGCCTGACCTGATACATGTTTCAATGTCGACTAGCATCTTCCCTCTTTTACCATTTTTAGATGGTTTTATCGGATTTTACTTGTAATTTTTTAATTTGTAATTTATTTTGTTCATATGAAAATTTAATTCTTGTCATTTCACATTTTATTTGAAATTTACTCCAAATATTTGTAGATTTCAATAGACAGAGAGAAGTATATGTAGTATAATATTGCGAATGATATATTTGGAGTTTGTTCAAACTGTATCTTTGACTTCTACATATGGTTTACTTATGCAAGTACATGTAATGACGAGCATGTCACATCCTCCTGATCAGGTTAATTTTATTTTGTATTTTGTCTTAATATGAATTTCAGTTGGAGTAAATACAACTGTGCTTGCAAAGCATTTGCCAAACTTTCTCAAAGATACCTGTTACAAGAGTAGATACAAACTTGTTTTCACTGTGCTGTTGAATGATTTAATTGGGCATTTCTCCCCTTACTGGTTTGTTTTCACTGTTGAATGTTAAGATTCAGATCCAACACAAATTTTAAGATGCAATTTATGAAACCTTTGTCCATTAAGTGTCAAATTATGATTTTGTGGGGGCTTGGAAGAGAAACACAGAATCTACTGCAGGGCTTCACACTAATTATGGTCCTGCTGGATAGCGTAATTGAACAATCGTTCATACGTTGGGGTGTCTCGGTCTCTAATTTTAGAGTACCACATGTTCTATGACACTGGTTAGTGTCAAGCCCTGCATACTACATTGTCAGTTCAGATCTGGAGTCTCTGTTTTGTCTGTTAATTTCTCTATATCGCATGATCCAGATTGAAATGTATTTATTATGTTGAGCAAAATCATTCAGTATTTAATGAAGAGGCATGCAATGACATTGCCTTGACATAACACTAACATGCAAGATGCTTAGACTGTTGAGTAGAAATGAGTTATCCTAATGGGTTTATCTTCTGATGTTGTCTTCAAATTTGAGAGTGTCCTGTGTATTTGTCATTTATAGCACACCCTCTGCCATTTACTTTCACCAGCTAAAGATAATCATCAACATTATCTTGGTTATTTGAGCTCATTTCCCTCCTTCTCCCTCTCCCCTTTCTTTTTCTGTAACTTGAACATGATTTATATTTGCCTTTCATTGCCTCATATTGAAGGTCTACCATCTCACCTCTCTCCTCCCCCCCCCCCCCCCCCCCCCCCCTCTCCTCCTCCCCACCAATCCCTTTCTACCATCTACCTGTCCCTATAATTTGCCTAATTCAAATTCACTTCTCTTGTCTCCTTGCTCCATATGAGCAAGACCACAGCATGTGAATCTAAATGGCAGTTGGCAGTACTGGGTCGTATATTTGTAGAACACTTTTTTTAATAATGAGAGAGCGGAGAAAAAGAAACTATGAAGTACAATGATATGAACTATATGATAGGGTGCCTGATTGCTAGAAATGGATTGAAGGTCACCCTTTTTTGTGAAATGTAAATAAATTCTTTGGAGCAGAACAACAGAAAACGCACGATTCGCTTTTGTGAGCCCTTTGTTTCTTAAAATCCCTCCTAATTGATAATTTGCATGAGTGTGTGAAGAAGGTAGTGTGTGTGGTTAGTCTGCGAGCACAAACTCTAATTTGATTCTAATTTGACACTTTATTACGATTCCTAAAGCCTTGAGCAGAGCCTAGATCTATTGGATTTTGGCTGTGTCATGAATGACAAGGGTTTGTGCTTGCAAACTAGTGTGTAGTATGCTAGGGTAAACGTAAGGAGATGTATATCTGAAAAGAAAGAAAAAAGATAACGGGATTATCCTCTGCATTGTTGAGAAAAGTCACTTGCAGACTGCTCAGGTGGGCAGACTCGTATACACTCTCAAACAGCTTCGATAACTCAGACACAGGTATTTAAGAAAAGTACAATTTCTTCAAGTTTTTGTATTTATTATTCTACATAGATCTATTTATTGAGCACATCCTCACACGGTCATTCATAAATCTAGATCTTAGTGATGATTATATGGCCCCCAGTAAAAAAAAAAATAATAATAATAATTTCTATATCATTACAGGTTACTAGTACAATGAATTTCATATTAGATGGGTAACTATACTGGCCCTTCATGACAACAATGCATGAATACAATGCAGAAGGGTGGAGAGGGTGCACATAATGTTTATACCCAGGGAGTTGTACTGTTTTAAAAGTACTTTACAGCTCAAGGTATTAAGACAAAGTATTTCTGTTACCAGTTTCAAATTAAAAGAACTGTCGATATGCAAACTGAAAACATCTAGGCACCATGAATAAATGCTCTTTATAAATGTGCATGCTTTCCAAATACCAATATCTTGTCCGGCACCAAACACAAATATGTGTTTCTCTCTTTTCCACTCCTAAAAAGTTATTTATCTAATCTATTAAACATATGTGAGAAGCTCATATATTTTTGAAAATATTATAAATACTAAAGTGCATGTTATATATCAAATCAGTTGCAAGGAATACAATCCCTGAAGTCCAATGTAGTTAGTCCTAGATAAATCGGGTTACCACTTCAAAACTAAAGGTGCTTTTTAACCCTCTAATTTTGCTATCAATACAATCATCATTTCTACCTTCATTACCTCTGACATTTTTTCCTCTGACATTTTTTCCTCTGACATTTTTACCTCTAACATTTTTACCTCTGACATTTTTACCTCTGACATTTTACCTCTGACATTTTTACCTCTGACATTTTGACCTCTGCCATTTTGACCTCTGCCATTTTTTCCTCTGATATTTTTACCTGGCACCCAGCAATGTACTATTATATTACTCGGTTATATAGTCAGATATTAAAGTGTATGCATGTATTTCACAAGGGAATGATACTTGAGATTCCATGGATTGAATAAACAATGTATAAGGTTTCATATCATTTGATACAAAACATCTGTGGAATACAGCGCCAAATATATAAATCACTTAAGACTGTTGACATTTCCAAAGGAATATGCTGGTACTCATTAATATCATTTAAAAGGACACACCTGCATTCGCTCAGTACCAGTATGCTGGTTTTCAAATGAAATTGAAATGAATGGTGATTAAACTGTGGAAATGAATACCGGTAGTATATAACACCTGAACTTTTAGAGCCAGTGTAATATCCCGCAGGTATATACTGCCAGCTACGGCAGGGAGTACACACACACATGCACGAAATGTAAGTGCTCAAAACGGAACGTCAAGATGTTGAATAAATAAACTCACTTCCTGAATACCCTAGTTCAAGATGTATCTTTGTTAACTTCATAAGGATAGAGATTTTACAGCCAGAAGGGGGTTAACTCATATAATTACAAATAGTTACTGCCTTTCTGGCTCTACACAGATGATATGACATAATTGCTGTACATGTTCACACATAATTATGCTGAATGAATATGTTACAATATATCATACGATGATTGATATGTCACATGAAAAGTTTTGAAGGACTATAACAAGGCTTATAATCTTGAATACATGTTGCAGATAATGTAAAATTGTACGTACATCCTGAAATACAAGTAGAATCAATAACACTAGAAAAATGGAAATATATTACAATTTTTTTCACTACATGATCAACATATGTATTCTATGTTTTTTTCACACACAAACCTCATCCCAAATATACAAATTACATAAATGTATTTTACAGTTTGCCATACAAAGCTTTAGTCAGGAATTGCACTGTATTGTTACTCCAAGCAAGTGTGTAAAGCTAGGATATGGGCTACACATATCTTTGTTTTATATAGAGCCATGTTAATTGAGGTCTATTTAGAACATGAGAGCTATTAAAGGGACTGAGCAATTTATTTTGCTTACAAGTAACCAAGCAAACAAGTCTAAAAATTCAACGCTTTGAAATATTGTAACTGGATACAAGGTATTTCGTATATTCTTTGGATATTTTTTTTTCTTCAAATAAGCAAAGAATGCATGTTCTTAAAGGAAAATATTAGCTACAATACTGTCTTAATCATTTGTTTTAAACAATAATATTGACATCATACTATTACACTCACACCTACATCAATCAAGTTTCTTCGGAATGTTAAGAGAAAATAAAAATCTGCAATTTCTAGCAAGAGAAAAAAAAAATCTGTGAAGCCTAAAAGTAACTAAGTGCATTTTCTTACGAGCAAATATATCTTTGATCAACTAATTAATGCAGAATGCAAGAAATTGTTACACTACTGACCTAGAAAAGTAGATAAAACCACTGATTTCAATTCAATTGTTTCCCCTCCCTCTCCCTCTCTCTCTCTCTCTCTCTCTCTTTTGAGGGGGGGGGGGGAGGGGTGATGAAATACATACCCCATGTATTTAGGAGATCGCATGACAAAAAAAAACCTATGTGTAATATTTCTCTTCCAACCTAAGCTTTGCACTTCCAACTCTTCTTAAACATATGATAAATAATGACTTGAGTCATTTAAGATGGATTTATGAAGAATTAATTGACTCCTAATCCATCCTAAATTCTAATCTATCCTAAATATGATGGAATATACCTTTTAGATTATCACCACCACCATGTACTGTATAATCTAGAAGAAAGACAAATATGACATTAAATTACTTCATAAATTCCCTATTGCACTTGATCAACACAAACTAATCATTTTCTGGTGTAGAGAATTCATTAATTGAAACCAAAAGGCATGAATGGTACTGTCACTACGTTACCAATATATTATCACCAACAAAGTGTATTTGTATCAGTACAGAAACTGTAATGACGGGAAATAACTGTACTGACATAAATCAATTATCGATTGCTTTAAAAGACCTGCAGCACTGGTACTCTACTCGATTGTGAGATCGAGAGATATGTATTTCATATACCGGTAAGTAATTTTACAACAACGCTTTTCTGCAGTGCATTGATGCAATGAATTTATTGTGTTAAGAAACCAACGTCATTCGCACAAAGACAAAACCACATTCTTTGGTTTCATGCATCAAGTTCTTTTGGAAGATGCTGTATGACTTTGCCCTTCATGTACTAAGGCCCACCACTACAGAGTGAAAAAATGCCCTCTTTTAATCCTACACTCATCTGTTAAACAGAGTGATGAACATTTGTTCGTCGATGAAAATGCCTTCAATGCTTCAGTTGCTTTCTTCAGATATCGTAGTCTCTGCATAGTTTGAATTTAATGCTTGGGATCTTTATTATCTCACACCAGATTCACAATTTTTTTTTTCTTCTAAATCACGAAATAATAGATAGAAATGATTCTGTATCTCATGCAATCTATTATTCTATGAACCGTGAAAGATGAAGGCATTAACAAACAATGATCAACAATTTTTTATTTATCTAATAATCCACTTGCATACAACCAATCAAAACAGATTAATAAAGATATAAAGCTGCCACTCAATTTACCTAACTTGCTGCGTTACATTTAGCACAAATGTAGATGGATATGCCCTAATTTGCTCTCACTTCTTGAAAAAAGTGAAATAATTATGACAAAACTATAACGCGTTATCATTTATTTGTTTTGTTTTGTTTTTTAATTCTTGTCGATGACTTCATTCTTAAGACATTCTGCGAGAGCTTTCCTCATGGCTAACTTCTTTTCGTCAACCTTCACATCCATTTTGACGTCACCTAAGAAAGAGAAAAATGGGTCAATGTGTTAAAATATAGATATTCCAATGAGGAAAACATTTGGATGGAGATGTGAAGGTCAATATAGTCAGGGGAAAAAATACACAGGGGCTCGGGGCGAATTTGCCCCCGAAATGCCAAAAAGAGCCCCCCAAATTTTGCATAGAGTTCAATGCAAAACAAATTAAAGAGTGTAATTTTCATGCAAGCAAACTTGAAAAGTAGCCCCCGAAATTGTTTTAATGTTTTTTTCCCTGAATATAGTAATAATAATTTTGTTTACCTAGGGAAGGCTTATCAACATCAATGATGTTCTTCCCGAGGGCCCTCACAATTATTAGTGCCCAAGCAATTGCACATTTACATCTGGTTGGCAAATGTGGTTTAATGTCTCGCCAAAGGATGTATGTGCTGGGCTGAGATTCGAACCCTCAACCCATGAATGTATGGTTTTGCTTTATTTTTTAATTCTTGTCGATGACTTCATTCTTGAGACATTCTGCGAAAAACAAAACAAAACTGATGTATTTGTAATTTTTCTTTATATCTTTGAAAATTTCAAATTTGTAATCTTTGTTTGTATCAGTCTCCCGACTGTTTTAACAAGGAATTTTGATTCAATAAACCGAAATGAATGAATGAATGAATGAATTGAGAGTCAAATAAATGAACCACTCTACCACGACACCTGCGATGATAACCCATTGCCTATTGAAGCAGGGCGGTCCCTGTATGATTGTTATAGGAATGAGAGAATTCGGTAGTCAAGAGGTTAAAATGAGACACAAGCATCAGAGGTTCTGTGCATATATATACCTTGCGTTGCCTGCCTGGCTGCACGGGATGACTTGGGCCTGGCTTGGGCCGACTGACTCTGCTCATAAACATCCAGGCTCTTTTCTCTGGCACTCTTCTTCTTGGCTATCAACATATCACGCTGCTGCTTCAAGTACTGGGCTCTCTTCTCTAAATCACTGGGATCCGCCGTTGAGAGATTCTGCAATCAAGATTGAATAACAGCTGATGCCAATTCATCTCATTCACAAAATTCTGTTTTAAAGCCTGTCTGCACTAGTTTGTCCAGAAGGGATTAGACCTCCCTGCATGGTCAATGACAGGTGGTTATCTCATCAAATCAGCTCTCAATTAACATAAGAAAAAGGGGATCATGGGGGACTAACAGGTACCCCTTAGGCATTAATTGTTTACTATATAGATGTTGCAAGTAGCTACAAGTAGTGCAATCCCGTTTTAAGGGGAAAAACCACCAAAATATAGTTTGCTCTATATCATTTAGAGCACATGCAGCTCCTTTCCTCCATCCCCACTGTTTATTTACTGGTATTTGAACATACATTTTTTTTTAATTCTATTTTTGCCATAGTCGTGCACAAAATCATGTGTAAACTATGATTTCTCCGTACACACACACACCCTGACTACTTACACTAACTCTGGAGTCTGCCCTGCTTGATTCTGCTGCTTCTGCTTTAGCACTGAGTAGCCAGCTTGCTGCTGCCTCCTCACCGCTCACTGGCTTGGCTGACTTGCTACTTGCAGAGCTTGCAGAGCTGGAGGTCGATGGTGCCGGTGACTTGGGTAGTCTAGCAGACTAAGGGATGTGGATAAGTTGTGTAAATGGACAATTCGTTAATATACAATGTATATGTATATAAGAAACTAGAGTGTTCTGCTCAGAGTTTGATAAAATACACAAAAATGCAAGAAATAATTCATGCTCTGTACACCAAGAAATTGCAAATTTATGTTATTTTTAATTACATTTCAAATTCACATACCAGAGGTTTTGATGATTTTGTACTGGGTGCAGGTGCTGGTGTAGGGCCCTCAGAGATAGCCAACTTCAAAGTCTGTAGAAATAAAAGAAAGATATACATCTATATTGTATTACACTAAGTACTTTACCAATTCAAAGAATTTTATTAACGATTGGAAGTCCTTCTCTTAAAATTAGTAGCACTTAGTATTATGTGGAAGCAGATAAGAATAGGGATATTTTTACAAAATTGTAATACTTAATAAATCAAAAGGATTGTAATGTACATATTACATTTCATGTGTATCATTGCATCTTCATGTTACACCAACACACACACACACACACATACACAAACAAACAACCTACATATATATCTTTTCTATTGACATTTATCAGTCCCACACAAATAATAAACTTCAGACACACCAACGAGACCGACACTAGACTGAAAAAACAATTACATTACCACGATTGGCCAAAAATTGGTCAGTTTGGATTCAGTGTGGTGTTTGTTCGGCGGTGTGACTGAGGTGTGAGCCTGAAGTCTTAGCTAATCAGGGAGGTGTTTCACACAGAACTTAACACTTATGGAAAGCCGTTAGCATCTCTGAAAATATTTTGTGCAAGTTATTTTAAAGGCATAAAATGTTGATTCAAATCAATCATATCTTCTATTATCAAGGAGATTTCATGTTTTTGATGTGGAATTTATGAAAAGTCTAAAATACTTGAATTTTTGCTTTTGAATTTATTTTATTTTAAGGCTACAAATGGCTCTCCCTAATGTTAATTCCAACTTATTTAAGTTCGACTTAGGATCTGTGTGAAACACCCCCCAGATGTCTTGGGTATAATTACCCAGTTTATTAGAACAGGGTTTTCTTTCATTAACCTTACCTTTTGCATGACTTCCTCTTCCTTTTGTTTGTGGATTTTAAGCTGCTCGACCTCTTTCCCCGATGCAAGAGATTTATCCATGGCTTTGTTGACAGTACTAGATTTCTTCTTCATCTTCACCATTTCATCATACTCCTCCTGAGATTTTCTAAAAATTATAAAAACGGGTAGTTGTGTTAGTATTATTTTAATGCTGATCTTCTGATGGCAATTTGTAACATGGTACAGTCAAATCTGCTTTAGTGACCACCTGTCTACAAAGACCACCTGTCTACAACAAGCACATTTCTTGTTTCCCTTGAAAATGGTTTCTCATTGAAACATATACTAAAGGAACCTGTCTACAAAGAACATTTTTTGTGTTTCCCTTGGGCAGTCGCTGTAGACAGGATTGACTGTATAATCCATAATCATCAACAATAATTTATCACTATATTCTTGTCCTGAATATCATTATGTTACAACCAAAAACATCACAATTGATCTTTATTATCATCAGCAGCATCATCATTATTATCATTACTATCATTGACATCATTATAAATTAAAATATTTTAAAAATTAAATCAATGTATAACAGATATTCCATATTAAGTTTTAGATTTTCATTCCAAAATCTAAATTCCATTGTACTGATCTTTATGACATGATAAAGCATACAATGCCGCCCTGAAATGATGGTACTTACTGCATGACTTCTTTGAGAATCCTTTCCTCCTCGCTGTCCGCCTGTGCTTGTGAATGTTCTACAGGTGTGTTCTCGCCCGGCTTCATGATATTTGGGATCTGACCGCTGCGTTGCTGGAGCATGGACAAGGCCTGAAGCTCCAGCTCTATGTTCTTCTGTGTCATCATGGCCTTGAAGACACTGAAGTCCTGGGCAGCGAACACCTGCTCCAGCACAGTCTACACAGGGTTAAAAAAAATGTGATAGAGTTTTTAAAAAAAAGCTTCTCCTCACATGGAAGGCTGTAAGTTGATTAGCACCAAACGATTTACAAAACCTTGTTATGCCTTATACACCAGCTCGTAGTCTAAGATCATCACACCTGCATCTTCTTAAGATCCCCAAGAAACGAGTGGCCTGTGGTGAAAGGGCTTTTTCAGCTCAGCACCTTCTCTTTGGAATAATTTACCATTTAATTGGAGAATCATAACTTCCATAGTTACCTTTAAATCCAAGCTGAAATCTTATCTTGTTTAACAATACCTGTACTTGGCACTATGACACTCATCCAAAGTCTCTCAGTCTTTCTATTTTTCTTGTGCATCTCGGAATAGAATTGTCTAGATAGACAACGTTATATAAATGGCTATTATTATTATTATTATGATTTTCAACTTTCTTGTGCAAAGACATTTATGGAATAAACTTTCATAGGTCCAATAGATCAAGATCAATTGATTATTTAAATTTTTCTTTATTTTTTAAATTTCAATTAAATAAATTTTTGATCAAATGTCTTTCATGGAAACAAACTTCATAATCCATTTAAATTTTAGGAGGAAAACCTTAGCTATTCATTCCCAATCTCTATAAATGTCCTTAAAATTCTTTGGGTTGCAACAGCTTTTAACGTGCTTAGATATAAATAGCTAACAATGTACGCATTACTGTCATTATCACTTCTTGTGGTTTACATGTGTATTAAGATTAAGAGTTATACATATACCAAATAAGACCATTTTATTTTAATTTGTTTTCAGAATAAAATAAGAATTATGGCATACCGTAGTGGATTGAGACTGCTTGGTCTTGAAAGCATTACAAACTTCAACAAAAGTAGAAGCATTCATGTTGAGATCTTCCAGAAAACTCTCCAGTAGCATTTCAACCTGGAATGAAGTAAAAATGCATAATATACATGTAATGTATGTCTGAAAGGAAATCCAACTTTAGTAGACAACTCCTCTAAAAGAGAGCAGAAAAGAATCAGAGAAACAGACTGGTGAAGTTTAAATGGAAGAAAAAAAAGAGAAAGTTATGAATTTTTCAACTTTCACCATCCTGTTTCTCTGAATTTTTCTGCTTTCACACATATTAAGTTACAACAAAAGTGGGATTGCCCTTTAAATTAGGAAGCGGCAAGCAGGATTCATCTTCCTCTCACATCCATGTTTTGACTTTTGTTTTTACATCTACAATTGAATTTACAATTTACGGGACCATGTCTGTTGCCTAAAACTTTACATTGATGGTAACTTTGCCATTGATGGTAATTTCCATGGAAACCTTGATTTGATTGGCTGTTGAGTGATATTGCCGTGGTAGTTGATATCGATTGCAAAGTTACCATCAATGATAATGTTTATGCAACAGGTTTAAAATAGAGACCCACAGAGAGAGAGAGAGGGGGGGGGGTAGAAAGTGTGTCAAATAGACAGATTAAGGTAGAAACCTACATGAGTAGTAAAGAGAGAGACTGCACCTAAATTTTATTGACCATGCTGCATATATATGTCAACATGAATCCCAATTTATTGATATATTCATCAGTCAAGAATCAGAATGCATTGTTTTGCAGAGGTACTGTAAGACCATGGGGTCTACTTCTTTCATGAAGAAAGAAACTAAAAGATTAGGAGGATACCCTGGAATAGTATTAATAATAAATTGCAATAATAACAAACTCATTTATATAGTGCTCTTACATGTATGCATATTATACCTTTTCACAGCGCTTCACATAGTTCAAGCAAATTAACATGCAAGTAGCAAGAGTTAATATTATTTCTATTAACAGATAGATTTTCCTGTCTGTGGATTATGTACAGTAGCTAGATCAGTTTATGGACCTTGGTGATCGTAAAATGAGGAACCATTATAAAGCTGACCACTTTAATTACCCAAGGCAGTTGATGTTTCACCACTGTGATATTTTAGTTTAAGAGTTAAACATTAATCCTTTGATTAATTATTGACAGTATTCCTAGAATATTAATCAAATATTGCATGGTCTAGCATTCAATATAACAAATTATATACCTCACTTAAGAAATCCAGCCATCTGATTGGTCGAATTGCATTCATAAACTTCAACTATTTCTGTAAAATTCCCAATAACCATGGTTATTGGGAAAATAGTTCAGTCTCCATGGTTACCCCATAGGTTTACATGTTAAAAAATGGTCTGAGCGATCGAGGATACCGCGTACGTGTGCGAAAAATTGGTCGGCAATTTCAATACAATTGAATCTCGATCGATCTTACCGACAATTTTATCTTGCATTGTTGACATGAAGACGAAAATAAACTTCCAAAAACAAAAAAACAACATCTGCCGATAGATCTTGATCTAAATTCGTGCCAATATGCATTGCAAAAGTAAAAGAAGGGCCTGTTTATATGGAGCAGCCACGAAGCATCCTCCACTCGAAACCATTTTCAATCCATTTTAATGTATATATAAGAAAAAACTATTTAACAGAGCGCGATAGCCGAGCGGGTTAAGGCGCGGACTTTAGTTACATCACCTTTTGTACGCAAGAGTTCGAATCTCATCTTCGACAAAAGTTTTTTTATTTTTTATTTTTTATTTTTTAGTCTATTTTTTTTCGGCATATAAAAGTATTAATGACTGCTTTAATATTCGAGAAATAGTTGTTTTATTACGCTCTCAGGAAGGTTACAATTGGGCTATTGCCCTCGGCACGCCTCGGGTAATAGCACAATTCTAACCTTCCCTTGAGCGTAATAAAACAACTATTTCTCTCAAAGCAGTCATTAATACTATACTATATGTACTGACAAATACAGAATTTCCCTGAGTGATGTTATATTTCACCAAGACCTCAGGCTGAGGTTAAAATATAATGGCATGAGGGAATTCTGAATTTTGAGGTGAATATATAATTCAATATTTGTTATTTAAAATGTAGGGTATTTGCAATCCTTTGGAGTCAGGCCTTCTCATTGAGATACAGGTTGCCTTCACATCAGATGCATAGATATAAAACTATGCAAACAATTGATACATGAAGGGAGATGCGCAGTCTTCTTCATTTTTCTATGCATTTTATAGTCTTACATTGTCAGTTTAACAATTTTAACTTTTAATACACATACACACACACACACACATATATATTTATATGTATAAAATATACATTTTATGAAAACATGTGTGCAAAAAGATAAAGCAATGCTTTTTATTTTAGGTATGCTCATAACAAATATAAAAAATTCCTTCTTCATTTTTTGTTGTTTTTATTCGTTTTTAATGACCTGACTAAATAAAATCTGGAAGAAATTTGTTGAGTATGATCTGCATGATTTTATCAATCTGTTTCACTGCTACTTTCAAATCATACAGAAATACAATAAAGCATGATAGTACTTTGACATCTATCTTTTTATGGAATGAGTCTTGAAATGTCGCATATTAATATACACATCACCAGTCTTCTTGCAAGGTTCTAGGTGTAGTCTGTAGTCAATTTTGAATCTTTCTGAACTTACCAAACCTCCATACTCTTCATAGATCTCTGTGTAGGCTATCTTGTTTTCTTCTTCTGGGTTGAATACTGCAAATGAAAGAAAGGAGAGGAGAGTAAGGGAGAGAGAGAGATATATATAACAGTATAACTACATAATTTATACAAGATATGAATCTGGGACAATATAAATTGCAGAACAAAAGGCCACTAAATAAAGATAAGAGAGCTCTGTTCCCAGGCAAGAATTAGACAAGGGATAAGTTTAGTAAACCAAGGAGCATGCACAGGGAGTTTGTTGTATTTAGCGAACTCCCTGTGCGTGCACCTTTTTGCACTAATTCCAATCCTTGTAAAGTATCATGGACTATTTGCAATGCAAAGACAAATTTCATTGGGGCGGATGCAGGAATTAAGAGGCAATTTTGAATGCAATTTAGTATTTTTAGGTTTTGTTTACATCCCTCTTCACCCAGGGGTATGGGTGCCAATCAATAAGGCTATAGGTACATGTAGGTGATATGTGATATAAATTTCGTTTCAAAGCCAACTGATGTTTCTGCTTTCTGTTTATGTTGTAGTCTATAAGGTCTAGATCTATACGCTTATATTTTTTAAATTAAATTAAGGTAAGAAAAAAAATAAGATAAAGATTTTCCTTTTAATTAGTTTAACAAAGATAGCCTATCTAAGACTAATAATGACACCTCAGTCAAACTGTTTAACGATTGGTAATTGGATTTTTACTGTAATTAATTCACTTATTTTCATCATCCCAATTTCCGATTCCCGAGGATCACCATCACTCAGTCTCCTTGACTGATGTCTCTTTTCCATGCAATCGAAACAGGGCTGACCAGATTAAACTTATAATAAATTAGAAACACAAAGTTGCAAACCATGCATCCAGAGACTCCTAATAAATTGCGTTACTGACTAATTTATGATAGACCTTATCATTACAAATTTTTATTCTCAGTTTTCTTATGTTTAACTAATTTTCTTATAAAACTGAAGATAAGGCGTATATATTCAATACTGAATGAACGCCATTAAACTATTACCAACATCAACACCAACCTTGACTTGACAAACGCAGCGCCATCTCTTATCTTAGTGAGCGCCTGCGGCCCGAGGCCGAGGCTGTGGCTTGTGCCATCCCCAATCGCAATCACACTAATCATTTCGTTAGTCCACATCTCATTCGCGCTTCGCGACGCGACTTACCTATGCATTTTTGTTCGATAAACGAGAGAATCGGAACCCTCCATATTGGACTGCTGAGAAATCCAACTACTCCATCAATAACCCAGTCCCGGTCTTCTTCTGCCATCTTTGTTGAAGTCTAAGAAACCCTTTTTAAAGCCAAAAATAATCAGCGGGCCAGGGAGTGTCACTGGGCAATTTCTAAGGACGCTATGTCAATTAAGACGAGTATGGAACGCCGCCAGTGCTGCATTCTTTATACGGTCCTATTCGCTCTGACCACTGTACTTTAAAAAAAAAATCACTGCAATTATTTTTCTAAACCCGGGTTCTAAACAACCCCAGTTAATCCTTTCTATCATCAATAACGAAGAAAATGAAAGTTAATTAAATCTTTTGTACAGAGCAAAGGGGAAGGGAGCTCGCAAAATACGTCATAGGGTTGCCTGTTTGTGTTTGATTGATCACAACTTTAATGCATAACTTTCTTATTTTTAATCAGAATTATCTCAAAATGTCACTGACCAGTCCCTTTCAATTTTCTACTTAACCAACCAAGGTGGAATTCCCAGGGTGAACTTCCCCTTTAACATTGTTAATTATTCATGTATTCTTTTAAACAAATTTAATCATGATATAAAATTAATGACGTAATATAATAAGCAAATATGTTTCACATCTTACGGGCCTGATGTACATTAGGTTCATACGACATTAAAATCATTTTAAACACAACAAAAAATACAAAAAACTCATATAGATGCACATTATACAATGCATATTACAATGTCATGTTGAAATTAGAATAAAACTGTGAAATATGTCAAAACTATATCAAATTGAACTTGCAAAAATCAATAATCAATATCAAGTGTCATTTTGATCTGAAAACGTGGATACTTTGTCAAACAATAAAATGCCAATCAGAACAATTAAGATTTTATCAGTCATTAATGCTTCTATAATTTTCTAATGAAATGAATACCCCACCACCTTTGTGTTACCTTACCGTTTCTCTTCTGCCGAAATTTCATGTTACTATTACTTGCTAACTCTTGGAACCATCAACTTGTCAAGCCTCAATATCGGGCTCAATATAGGCTTTTAAGGATGGTCCCTTTATTCTTTTTATTTTAAATGAGGTCATTAATTTACCGTAGCAATTATTTGTATACACTTCCAACGTTTGCATGTTTATTAAACGGAAGAATGAATAAAAATGAAAAGAACCGAACGATGAAATTGAAAAGAAAGTGGTGTATAAAATAGCTAAATCAATGAGCCACTCTGAAAACTTTTGATGAAAAGGCCTACTAAAGGCATGAGGGGCAGTGGGGGAGGTCACCTCTTTCAAAATGCCAAAGAGAGGGAGAGAGAGAGAGAGAGAGAGAGAGAGAGAGAGAGAGAGAGAGAGAGAGAGAGAGAGAGAGAGAGAGAGATTGAGAGTTTATAGAGAAAGAGAGAGAAAGAGAGAGAGAGAGAAAGAGTAATAAGCGATTTAACAAATAGGCAGACATTTATTTCCTTTTTCTTTGAGAAAGGGGGAAGGAGGGGCTCCTAACAGTATTTATTAACATGCAATTTACATGATCTTATCCGACTTCAATTCCTAACTCTCTTCTCAGTTTTTACAGTAACATTTCCTTGTAATGGACGTTTCAAACCCTTGATTTATTTTCCGGGTTGTCGCCGCCGTTTGCTTTTTATAATATGTTTGCTGTACTGTTCTATTTTGTTGTTTACCATATTGTCAATGATAAAGAAACAAGTTCAATTCGAATTTCAAGTAACCATAGGAACCCCTTATTATACCACAGTGATATAATAAGGGGTTCCTATGGTTACTTGAAATTCGAATTGAAATTCACATATGTTTCTTTATCATTGACTGTCGTCCGTCACATGCAATTTTACTTCTCGGCCCCACCTCCGATGGACTTAAAATATCATTTGCTGTTCAGCAAGTAGATACATGCTAAGAAGAACCCTACCCGTCGAGAAATATTGACGATGTGATGTTATGTTTATGACATGAATTCCCACCTTTGAAAAATCGCATCCTCATATAGTTTGATAAATGATAAACTGATAAACCAATATTATTGAATAACTATTCAACATGTTGCGTCAAACTAAGAGAGGGTAGACCTATATAAGCCTATTATGGCGTGTGGAAGGTCATGACCCCTCTCATTATTATAATAGAACATTTTAAGGTTCTCTCTGTTGGCTAAACAATAATGAGACGTCATTATTATTGAAGTGTTGGTGTCTCAGATAATGACGAAAATGGCGAACAGCTGTAACAATTGCCCAGAGCTCTCGATCATAGGTAGACCATTTCTTCTGCGTAGCACTGAGAGTTTGGCTGAAGTAGGAGATTACACGTTCTTTACCATCTTGAGTCTGTGAGAGGACAGCACCAACTGCATGAAGGGATGCATCCGAAGATAGGATGAACTCCTTTTCAAAGTCTGGATAGGCGAGGAGAGGTGGATTGGTTAGAGCTTCTTTCAGATGTTGAAAAGCCTTTTCACACTCTGCTGTCCATACAAACTGTTGACCTTTTTGTGTAAGGGTCGACAAGGGAGTTGCAATCTTAGAGAAACTTGGCACAAAACGTCGGTAGAAAGATGCCAGGCCAAGGAAGGATCGGACATCAGTCGGTGTCCTCGGCTGAGGCCAGGACTTGACTTTCTCAACGTTGTTTGGGTCAGGTTTCACTCCTTCGGTGTTGATTATGTGGCCAAGATACGTAACTTCTTTCTTGAAAAAGCCACACTTTGAGGGTTTGAGTTTGAGTCCAGCGTCTCTGAATCGTTGCAATACTTCTTGGAGGTTCTTGCAATGATCATCGAAGTCTTTGCCCATGACTATGCAGTCATCAAGGTATACAAGGCATGTAGACCAGTGGAGGCCATGTAGAACGGCTTCCATGAGACGCTGAAATGTCATGGGAGCGTTGACCAGTCCGAATGGCATGACAGTGAACTGGTAAAGCCCTGTGCCTGTGGTAAAAGCAGTCTTCTCTGTATCTTGGGGATCGAGCTTGACCTGCCAATATCCACTTGATAAGTCCATGACGCTAAAATATGCTGATGAAGAAAGGGAGTCAATTGAATCATCTTGACGTGGAATAGGGTGAGAATCTCGAACAGTTACTGCATTGAGTTTTCTGTAATCCACGCAAAATCGGTATGTGTTGTCCTTCTTCTTCACCATGACGATTGGGCTCGCCCATGGGCTGAAGCTCTCTTCAATGATGCCTCTTTGCAGAAGTTCGTCCACTTGATCCTGAATTTCCACTCTCATTGCTGGTGAAGTTCGATACGCCCTCTGTCGTATTGGAGTAGCTGTGGTGGTGTCAATGTGGTGATGAATAATGTCAGTCTGACCAATATCCTGAGACGTCGTGCTGAAAATATCACTGTATGTCTGAAGAAGATGTTCAGCTTTCTCATACTCTGTCCTCGTGAGTTCTGAAGAAGGGAGAACACCAGCAACTGGTGAATTGTCTGTCACTTGTGGATCAGCGTCAGTAGTTACGCTCATGATCTTGTATTCCTCTTCGGTATCCCCAGTAATGGAGAAGAATTGACCAAGGCAGGTGTCTGCAGGTAAATCAACTGCTTCGTCAGAGGGATTAATGAGGCGTACTAGAATAAGACCATCTTGAGGCTTGAACAGAGATCTGGCACCGATAACAGGAATGTGATCTTGCAATGTTGGTTCAAAGTAGCCATCGTAGTCTCTTGGTATGATGTCGAACTGTGGCGACGACAATCTTCCCTGGACGTGAGTTTCGCAGCTTGGGGGAATCCGAGCTTGTCCAACAAGAGAAACTTTACATTTCAGCGGGGCTTGGTATTGCTGACGATCGATGAAGGGAATAACATTTCCAGGCATGTTGAACGATGTTGGCGATATGCAGGCATTCTGGCTGTCAATAAAGTCCCATCCAAGGACAACTGAATGAGTGATGTTGCGTGCAACAACGAACTTGTGTTGTGTAGCCTTGTTCCCTAAGTGCAGAGATGGTACGATTGTTCCAATGTTGTCTACCAGCCCACCTGTGATAGTAGATGCCATGGATGTCAACTTTTCCAACGGGCTCCTTTGCGATGCTGGAATGGATGACAAAAACTTGGCACTCAACAGAGAGATGAATGATCCACTATCTACAAGTGCCAATACATAGACATTGTCGATAACGATCGGGATGTAGGGCGATTTCTTTGGCGAAATAGGTGCTATTCGAATTGGGGCCTTGGTGTGTGTAGCTGATGAATGGCCCTCTTCCTCAACTACCAGAAGTTTCCCTGCTGCTGGTCTTCAAAACGAACTTGACGATAGGGAGCCTGTCTATGGGAGTCAACTTGATAACCTGCAGTGGAAGGATGCTGCTGATTTCGGCTGCTAGACGATTCATAGGGCCGTCTAGAGGGTGAAGTCCTAGATTGATATGCGTAGCTCCTATTAGGGCTTGGAGATATGCGTCTTGCATATTCAGGAGATCTGCGTCTTGCATATTCCGGAGATCTGTGTCTTGAATATCCTGGAGATCGGTGTCTTGCATATTCTGGAGATCTCTGTCTTGCATATTCTGGCGACCTATGTCTTCGGTAGTCACGGCTTGGTGACGGAGACCCACGACGTTCCATGTGTCTTCCCTCATGGGAGCGTCCTGATGGGCTGCCACCGCGTTGCTGAGATCTGCTAGGCCTTTCAACTGTCTCTAACTTTAAGGACATCCTATCCAGCTTCTTTTCTAACTCGTTGAGTCTTGGCAGTAGTAGTCGTAAGACTGATGATTCTGCAGGCGTCTTGTCCTGGACCCGATCATCTACAGCTGCTACTATACCAAAATCGTGTGCTTGGTGTGCTCTTTCTACACGAAGTGCGATCTTCAACGCCTCGTCAAAATCAAAGCCTCCGAGCTCGTGAATCTTAACTTGAAGCGGTTTGTCTACCCCGGCAACAAATCGTCGAAATCTCTCACCACCTTTTGCATTGTCATCATAAGACGGGAACGCCTCTTCTACTAAGGAAGCAATGGCTGATGCAAACACCTCTAAAGGCTCACCTGGTTGGCGAGTTCGGGCAGTAATACAAGACTTGAATGTGTCAATAAACTGTGTCCGGCCGAAAACCTGAGAGAGTTTCTCTTTCATCTTCTTGAAATCCTTCTTGTCCGAAGCAGACAAGCTCTCCCACACGATGAAGGCTGATCCTGCTAGTCTTGCCGGAAGGAGGGTGGTCAAGTTGATAGAAGTGTCCGAAAAGGCCTGTGCAGCAACTTCAAATCGACGTATCCATTGACGGAAGTCTTTGCCGTGCTCTCCCGTAAACACTTCTGGCAATTCCATGCGATAAGATGCCATACTGTAGGAGTTATAAGCAATCGACTCAACAGATATGATCATCAACAAGATATCAACCCAGTAAAACTTACTGAATGAGTCAATGTGAAGGAGGGGGGGGGGGGGGGTCACTCTGAGTGCAGATGAAGAAAATGCAAACTCAACAGTTGAAATATCTGTGGCGAGCGGCTATGATGGAAGGAGGGTGTATTCTGCAACTGGTTACGTTGCTACGCCAACACTATGTAGAATATGCAGGTTGAAATGGCAGAATGCTGTAATGTACGGCAGCCAAAGGCAGACTATACATGCAAACTGGATGTGATAAGTTGCTTGAAAAATACAGAACTGTATGAAGGGTGAAGAAAAAAAACCTCAGTCACCGATGAAGGATGAATGCAGGAATATTCACCAAAATACAGCTCCAGTACGAAGAAGGGTAAAGGAAATCTCACTTACTGATGAAGGATGAATGAAGGAATTCACAAAACTACTGATGTAGGAAGAAATCAAGGCTCAAAAAGTCAAGATGAAACTTCAGTAATTAATGAAGGAGGTTGAATACACACAAACACTAACTGCCTCAGCTTAAAAATGAAGGGAGGTCAATCAGTGCAGAAGAAGGGTGATATCATGCTCTCAAACATTCACATTCATATACAGATGGAGGGAGAATTTCACTTTGCAACTCACCACTAAAACACTGCAGGAATTTCTACATATGAAGGAAGGCTGCAATTACAGTTTAGTGCAGAAAAACCACTGCTGGCACCAGTTGTAAAGTCCCACACAAAACAAAGTGGTCTCACATGGTTGAGGACTTGAGCTGCACTATGAGATTTTATTCCAACCACAAAATGGCTGCCAAGATGGCTGACATCCAGTCCATCAAACAATAATAACCAATCACAAGATTGGATAATAAATAGGTAACCAATAGAAAAGCTTGTAAAAGATAGAGTGCCATGTGCCATGTGTGCTGGGTTGAATAGCTAAGAGATAAGGAAGAGTGTGTATGTGTGTGGTGCTATAGCAGGTAATGTGCATGAGGATGAATGAATAGGGACAGAACAATAGAAGCCAAGAGCTAGCAGACAGGAGAGAATGAATGTAGGTCAGGAGTGCGCTAAAGCATATCGGAGTGGAAAACTAAATGTACAGTGTGAAATAAACAAGTAACCACTTTGATCAGTGAAATTAAAACCTTACAGTATCATCCCAGAATTAAAACCAAAAGTAATTTCCTATTCGATTCAGACTAACGTGGGATGGGGAAGAACTGCTCAGAACGTTTTTTCTTTCAATTTTCTAATTAAATTATGTATTTTTCATTTTTGTTTAAAGATCTTTCCTTCCCTCCCCTTCATGCTCTCGGTTAATTTGGGACAGCATCGTTTTTATGTTCATCACTATTTGTACAGAATTGTCCACCCTGCAACCATGCAAGCCTTCCGTTTAGATGTTTTTCACGGAATAAGTTTTGTAGATGATAATGGCCCATTTTTAGCAAATAGAAATTATTTCTGAAAAAATACAAAATTTATTGACATCTACTCAAATGAAATGTAGCATAAGAAGTGTAGGGCCAAACATGCGATGTGTGACGGCGCTGGATTTTACAGGGTTCCCTGACTCTATAGCTGCGGTTGGTATAGCGCCATCTGACGGGCAGTCAGTTCCAAGGCATGTTCTCTTGTGAGTTTATGCCATGTTTGGAGTACCGGTATATTGCTTTCGTTCATTTTTATGTCGATGTCTTTATCTGTTATCGTTCATTTACTTATTAATTGAATTGTTTTATTTATTTATTCATTCATCTATCTATCTATCTATCTATTGATATATCTATCTTTCTATTTATCTATCTATCTATTCATCCATAATAATTATATCAGTCTATATGATAAACCTTCCTACATGTATATATCTATATATCCATCAGTTTATTAGGTTATGTATCTATCTACCTCTATTTATACGTTTTCCTATCTATCTATCCATCTATCTATCTATTTATCAATCTATTTATCTATCTATCAATATATATAATCTATCTTTCTTTCTTTCCACATATTTATGTATATGTCTACATGTTTATCTATCTAAACTATTGGATCTCTCTATATACACCTCTATTTTTTAAAAGTATATTATATGTCAATGAATTGATTAAACAATGTGATGTAATACACCTATCTGTCCCTTAATTAACCTGTTCATGTAAAATCTGCCTACCGGTACTTACCTATATATCCATCCATTTTTTTTAATTTTTTTTTTTTTTTTTTTTTTTTTTGGGGGGGGGGTAACATTTTCAGCAACCAACATATTTTACCTTTTCTGTTAATCTCTTAGTGATGAATAAATCTACTTGTCTTTCTATTCTTTCCCAATTCATGATTCATACATCTCATTTAACACATTAAAATCATCTCTCTGGTCTATGCATCTGATAGCATCTCTAGTAATGTTCTAAACTTGATTTCTGTCTTCCCTCAGATATAGGTATAATGTTGAGAGATCCATTAGTTTTCTTGTAGTCCTTTTTGGGCTTTTAGTTATCCAACATTCATTTAATACTAAGCATTTATGAATTTATTGTCATCCATCTAGTAACTTAGGTACATGTGTGTACCTGAACGTTTTGTTTAAAATGATCTCCTGTGTAAATGGTAAATTATTTTCCATTTGCAGAAGTCAGTAAATCTTTAAACTATATCACCAGACTGAAGAAGTGAAGTTGCTTGTAAAGTTTACCTTAGCTGTTTTTGTTATTGTTATTTTTCAGTAAAATGCTTAGATCTCAGTGTCAGACCAAGTTTCGTTGATAAACCGAAGCTTTGACCAAGCGTCAGTTTCAAATATTTAGTACAATATGGGACAAGATTTCGATTTTGTTTGATTCATGGATAGGATTAGATTGAAAAAACAACCTGTTACGCACCCGGATCCTCCTTTGGCACTGATCGACCCAGTACCTGTTATGAATTATGCAAATTAACGAGCTGTGATTGGTCAACTGGCCCCAGATGAATAAAATTGCATTGATAAACTTTGAAACTTAATCGCGAGCCAATATTTCGTGAATGTGTGTTCTCGCCCAAGATGACTCATCATCGCCGGATATTTTCCTGTCTTGCCGACTTTCCTTGGCATTCCTGTCGTAGTAACTAGTCTCACCAGATGAGAGAAATGCCGGAGAAGCTGTGACGACTTCTGTACAAGATATAATCAGGATTTATAGAGGATTTTACACTACCGTGCTTCCCAGTCTGTGGAGTGCGAGTGTTTCAGTCCTTGAGATCTACGGCGTGCTGCTGTGAACCACGCTCAGTTTCCCCGAGACTGCCCCGACGATTGACCTGCTCTGCGTGGCTGCTCAACTTAAAATACTGTGCATGTGTAATAAGACTGAGGACTTCTGCTCAGCTCAGCTCAGTGAAGTGAAGTGGCTGTAGTGTATCTCAAATCAAAGTTGAACACCACAAGATTGCCCGTTTACAGCCGTGCTGACTTGTTTGATTTATTCTTGCAGGAGTTTATTTTGGATTTCTATGTCATTTCAAATATTGGCCTTCATGTTTGTGTGATTTCTAACCATAGACTAATTCAAGGCTAGGCTTTTGACATTGAATTAATTCTGCTTTTGTCAGTTTTGACATGTTTGTTAACCGAATCATGTCATGTTGTTAGACTGGTGTCAAAGTGATACAGCGAGAAGGTGCTAAAGAAAGTTAGAGGTCTATCTGCGAGCTGTAGATAGACCTTACATTACTTATACTTGATGAGGATACATGTGAAAAGATGTCGACCATTGCATCTTTAGAGGAATTCATGGGACACCCACTTGTCGTTTGGGTAAGCGCTGTAATTGTAACTCTTTAAAGCTAAAAATACAAACTACAAGTAACGTACTATTGGGTATGGAAGGGATTCATCATTAAAACCAATAAAAGACAATTTACGATAATACTATATTCAATTTTCATATTTTGTGTACATTTGTATTTTATTTGATTTGATTTGATTCAGGGAGTAACTTTTAGAGAAAGTGAGAGTGCTAACTATATAGTACAATTAAATCCAAATAATAGTAATGAGTTATAACTTTAAAGATGAAGTTGAGTTCTGGTCATGCGATTGCATTGTGAAAGAAACGGTGTGGAATCGACCAGAAAAGGTTGATTATCTAGCATAGAATGTGTTTGTATTGCAAGGTTCCGGAATCATCAAACTGATAAGAAATTTGGTCAAGTCTTGGTAAAGTTACAAACACTGTACACAGAAAGATGTATATGGGACTGCACGAACATGTGACGTAAAAATCCTACCCCCCCCCCCCGAGTTTTACGATGTTACATGACATATTTAGAATATGAAGGCATTTGAAGAGCCATGCTTTTCAGGGAACATGTCTTTTCTGATGTTCTTCCACACTTGCATAATATTTAAGAATGATAACGCTCACAAATTATTTTTCACCTCTTACCAGAACTCAACCTTCTCTTTAAGTATGAGCATGTCATTACATCACCTTCTTCTTCTTATCTGTTTTGGAGATTCCTGGAGTCCAAATAAAGTAAATGTTTAAATCCGACCAGTTAGGAGCTTTGGAGTCAACTAAGGCTTATTTTGGATAATGCCATGAGTTACATGTGTCATGTGTGTATGCAATGTATGGAAGCTTTCACCTATCATTTCTATTTTTTAAAGGATTCAATTCAACATTCTTTATACATGTATACGGTGTATTTATTCTTGTTTTTTTTTGTCTCATGACTTAAACAGGTGCAGACTTTCAAAGATGGGAACCAATTGGATTATATGGAGCTGGTAGATGGAGTTCTACTTAATGATGCCTTTGCTCAGATGTGAGTGAGATAAATATACTGTAGCTCAACTAATTTACTAAGCACATGAGGCAGAACAGTCTCTGTCAGGACTGTTTTGCCACTACAGTGTATGTGCATTACATTTGACACTTGCATGGTTTCCCAATCAATGTCTTCATGTGGGACTAGAAATGTTGATTAAGATCTACAGTATTTAAGAACTGAAATTTATATTGGTTGTATTAATTTTGTTAAAATAATATGTTGTGAATCATGAATAGAAATGGAACTCCTACAAAGTTGTTTCTTTTGCTACAACCATATTTAAATGATGTTATGCATGTAACATGAGTATAATAACTATCAGTACATGTAAACATTGTAAATTAATACAGTACAATGTACATGAAGGTACAAAGTATCGATCTACATATCAAGTGATATGGCTGCGATTGTACGTGTATTATTTGTGTATATTGTGTACCGGTATGTACTTTGTATCTTATACATGGAATATTGATCAATGTACACATTGTACAGACTGTCCAGTATCATAAATATGAAATATTGATCAATATATAATTTTATATACTGGTACAAACTTTCCAGCATGGCATACATGTTGATCGATTACTGCATTCATAATTAGATTATTAGTGTGTCACAGCATTTTTGGCATGTTAGCACACAGACAGACTTCAGGTTTTCCCTGTCCAATTTCCTGTTTACACTCATACAGATCTAACTGGCTTGGGTAGAAATTTACAAGGGTCTTGGAGAATTGTCTGGGAAATCAAAACATAAATTTACATGTAAATGTAGGATTTCACTGTATCAGGAATTTAGTTTGTCTTGCTTTTGGACATTTGACACATACTGGTTCGATTCATAAAATTCTAAACGTATACATGTTTGTTGTCGCAAATATTTCAAGTATACTTTTAAATTTTGTATACAGTAGGCTTGCGGTTGCACCATGCGAGAGGGGATGGGGGGAGGATTGGGGAGCCCTGAAAAGGGCTCTTTTTTGTATCGAAACCAAATGTTAATGTGGATTGTGGATCCATATTTACCAGTGCTATAGATACATTACATTTGTCTATATAATTGCTTTTCCCTCTGCAGTTCACTGGCTGTGATGACCTCTGTGGTGTGTCTAGAGAAATTGAGGTCAAAATGTGTTTATGATCATGTGATCACATTGAATAAAATGCTCAAGATAGGATTTGACAGAAAAAGAAAGTAGGAAAATGTACCCTCACTGGAATAAATGATCAATATTTAAAACTAGGCAATCTGTTATGGATCAATACAAAGTCCTGGGGTTAAGTGAACACAGTCTGTAAATTCACACTCTATCGTCTAGTGGATAACACAATCACTGTTTGTCAATAATTCAATATAATAATCATACATGCATTCACATGTATACTCAAAATATTTATTGATTTGAATCAGTGAATATTCATGCACCATGAATATGTGTATTTCAAGGCCCAAACAGAACCATGCAACCATATCCTTTCAACTATTGTTTTTGTGTGCGCTTGTAAAAATGACGCCTGGCTGGAATGCTTCCCAGGGAGTGGAGAATGTGCATGCATTGTGTGCGGGTAGGCCTGAATCCGATGACCGGGGTAATAATATATATCTTTAAAGCGCTTTGAGAGGGCCTTCGGTCTTGAAAAGCGCTATATAAGAACTAGCTATTATTATTTATTATTATTATTATATTGTAATATGGGTACGTGGGAAGGGAAAGGAATAAACAGATATTCTACTATTCCAACTACATTTGTTATGTCCGACCATTTTTGCAGGTAAATGTAAGTGCTAGTTTAACATAACAGGTGTGTCTATGAGTAAGTCTGATTAAATGCAACCTGACATGGCTTGGTTTCCTGTGAGGTGGAAGATATTAATCAGTATCTGATGTCTCGCACTGGCTTCCCTGCTTTTTACATCAGCCCATTTTAGTAGAGCCAAAATGTAAGCAACTACTGAACATGCTGCATGTACAGTGTATGTACAGTCTACATGTGTACAGTATGTACTGATGAAACTTTAACATTATGTATTGTATGAAGTGCTCTGTGTTTCTCATTAAGAGTACCCTGGGCATTTGGATGGTAATTAGTTTTCAGTAAAAATAGAACAAATTAGAATAACATTCCGGAAATTGTTTAACCCGCAGGATGTAGGGTGCATTACATGCTGCATTAAATGCCATTTAAGAGGCTTGATGCATGTACTGTAGTACCAGTATATTGCAAACTTCACGCATCATTTAAGAACCTCTTTGGAGGAAGTGAGAAAATCTTATTGCTTCATATATTTCTTGAATTATGAACAACACAAAAACAAAAATTTACAAGGACTATGAATAGTGCAGTTGCTCACTGAATGAATGTAGCCTACCGCTACTGCATTCATTTGTAATAATATTTCCATGGTGCAACCCTCTAGGCCTGCATGACACATGTGTATTAAGTACAAATTATAAAATCCTCATATAATGTGGATGCCTGTAGTCTTCTGCATTTATGCACTGAATTACCCATGCAAACCAGCAGTGGTAGAAGATGAAGTTGAAGGAAGTTGGCGATGGAGAAAGAGGCTCACGGGGAGGGAGGTGCTAAAGTCATGATGAGCTCTGATTCTCTTTATTGAATTTCTCATCCCTCAAAATGTCAGAGCCACTGCTGGGAGTTAAAGAAGCTTACAGGCTTCTCAAGCTGTGAGGGGAATTCCTGCAGCTAGCTAGCAAAGGATATGCGTGATTGAACATCACTCACGCAAGAAAAGGCTTTCAAAATAATTCAAGGTGGGGAGTGCTATTTGTGTGTTATATGCAGGCAGGGCAGAGTGAGCTTCAATGAATTGAATGGCTTCAGTATTATATAAATAACATTTGCTTTTACAACAATATTTTGTTGTTCTCGCTCTTTATGACAAACATTAGATAAATTTACTGAATGGACGTACCGGTACACGTAAACAATAGCGTACTTGGGTACAGCTAATGGGTTCATTGGGCAATTCAATGTATGACAAATATCAGATAGTGAATCATGCATTTTGCGTTGGGTGGGTGTGTCCCTTATTCTGTAGCCTTCGGAAATCAACAAATATTGAGCATTTGAGCCGCTGTTGTCCTTGACTATTACTCAGAGAGCCAGTAGTATTTACATTGTTGCCATGGTATCTTAACCACTTAGTCAGAAGAATGACCATCACAAATATTGATAGATAAGTCAAGAATGTATGACTTGTGATTTGGAAACAGCCCAAACTACAGTTTTGTATGGAGCTCCATTTTAGGTCCACATTACACATATGAACCAAGCACCTATTTTGTCACAAATCTCTCTTTGTCATGTTTTCTTTGTAAGAACCATTTATAGGGTATACTTTCTAATGGGGAAAGCAAATACACCCAATTAAGTGACCCAACTGATAAAATTACAAAATACATACAAAATACATGAAAATGCCTCAATAGTTTGGCATCCTTGGAAATGTACAGTAACTCTATTATGAAATGTACATGTACATGAATCATGCAAATCTATTGATGTGGCATTTGTAATGGAAATCAATCATAGAATATTCATGTAGGTACATGTATACAGCAATATTATGGACATGATGAAGTCAACTCATGTACATTGTAGGTCAGTAGGTGGTTCTATACTTGTGTGCACAGTCTTCCTGCTGGTACATGTAGTTCTAGTACAAAAGAAATGTCATAAGTTGCTCCTCACTACGTTAATAATTTGTAGCAGTTCTACCATGTATTTTTGGTTCAATCCTACTGTGGTTCAACTTGCTCCTTGGGTACATCTGCATATCATTGGAAACTGCATCCCTCATCCCCATCCCTACCAACCCAAGCAAAGAAACTTGGTCGTGAGTGCATGGCAGTAATGCATACAAAATTCCATGAGGGGGATATTCTATAGCCCAAGTGAGAGATGCTACTCCATTCATTGGTATCAGATGTCTTTTGAGCACTCACCATCTCTCTCTCTCTCTCTCTCTCTCTCTCTCTCTCTCTCTCCCTCTCTCTCCCTCTCTCTCTCCCCTCTCCTCTTTCCTTCTTTATCTTCTGACCCGTGTTGTTATTATAGCACATTGATGTCTGATGTTTGGGCTTCCTCGCTGCATTGTAATGGTATGCAAATCATTCTGTTGGTTGAGTGACTCACTCAGCTATTAGTATGCCAGTTTCTGTATAACTATTCAAGGTTTTAAAGGCAAAGATGGCAAGGGTCAGAAAAGTGTTTAAGAAATCCCTAGTCTAAAATTATGTGTCATAAAAGATATGTAGGTTAAATGTACCTATTCTTAAAGAAATGTACATGAAGAATTGATATGAATTGAATTTGTGTAATATGTTACACATCTACATTGTACATGTACATAATCTATTAAAGAATGTGTCTGTTCATGCATGTGTTGTACACTTGTGCCGTTTGTGGCTGTAGCTGTAAATCAATATTTTCTAAAATACTGTACCTTTTAAAAATCAATTTTGCGAGCAAGTGATTCACTTTGATGAGGTGAATCCCCTAGAGCAAAGTCATTCCTGCATTCTCTATTTTCATCCAAACTGAATAGCTGATTTTAATACCAAGGCCAAGTGTTCTCTTAGGGGTGATTACTTATCAGATATTATGACCTGAGAAATAGGTCTGGAATTCAAAACACTGGCTCAGTGCCTTTCAGTGGAGCAACTTAAAAGTTTTCTCCTCATAAATTGCACTTTAATGTGTACATACTGTACATTTACATGTATGTATCCATCGTGCATAGTGTTGTTAGACTGTGGTGTATTTATGTGCACTGATGATTTGGTGTAACATGTTCTTGTATATTTCAACTTTCAAGCAATGCTAAATGTAATTAAAAGTAAAGCTGAAACTGCCAAGCAAGTGAAACAGAATTGCAATTTTATGTCCTTTATTTTGATTTATATGCAGATGGAATGAACAGATGTTTATGTTTCAAAAAATTGCAGCTTGCGTTTTTATTTGACTGACAGAAAGTGCTGCGCTGCTTCATTACTTAATATTTGTGCTCCAGTCATGCAGAACACATAGCAATGAACTACAGAAACTTTGAGAAAATATATATATTTTGTTATGAAGGCTGAAGGACAACCGAGCCACCTAATTTGCGGGCCAAAATCAATATCATTACGAAGTCCGATCCAGCAATTTCATTATCTCTGCATTTCACTGTTTGCGTGAGTGTCTTGTGTAAATATTGGGCTGTTTTAGTTCGGTGATGAGATAGGTCTGATGTACATGTATGTAGTAGTGTGGGCCGCTCTCAGTGCCACCATTCTACTCACATTCAAAACTAATTAGTTTCTAGGCTGGCCCGGTCTGCCAGCCAGTAGTTCAAACATATGTGTTGTCTGCTGCTGCCTCTGCAGTCGGCTTAAGATACTATAGTGTACAACGCACGCTAACTAATACGTGGTATTGCCTGCAGGCTTGATACATGAAGCAACTTGCACGATTATTTTGTAATTATGTACACTGTAGGCACTTCATGTACAGAATAGTGTACCGGTAGACTACATGTACATTAGTAGGCCTATTCTTTCTTGTAAAAAATATAAGATGAAATTCTTATTTTAAATCACACGGGATTCATGAATGCAATGTTAAATTATGCATAGTTTACCAAACTTGTAAATGTACGTGTACATTGTAGGTCTACTGGATAGTAGGGCTAGTACAGTGTTTTTAAACCTATTGCCTAAGAGTACATGGTTGCTCCTGTACTAAAGCCTATGGGAATTAAATAACTCAATAGTCAATGGGTTAAAATAACTTTTAATGTAGTAATTACTGTCTACATCTCATCTGACTACATGTACATGTATACAGTAAACATGGTAGATGCACTTTGCCCATCATCCTTGGAGCCTGCTTTTACAGGCTTAAACATGACAGTGGCAGTAGAGTAGAGATGTAGACATGCCTTCCTGATAAACAAGATATTTCAATCTCTTCCTGAATGATAAAAAAGATATCTCTATCCACCGCTAATCTGGCAGATGTGATAAGGAATTACATGCTTTGCCTATAAACTATCACTGATCCTCAACACAGATTCGGGCATTGGCTTTAAGCTGTGTGCTGCTTACTGGCTCAGATTGGCTCTGAGATGTGTATAAAGCCTCTTGACATGTACCATGTAGTTCCTTTCCAGGGGATTTTCCCTGTCACACAAGTTGTGTGAAACTAACATCATGAAAAGTGAAGGGTGTGATGACGGATAAATGGAAATGTAAACTACTGTACATGTATAAGAAAATCTGGTTTCAACTTTCACATTCATGAGATAATAACAAGAATTGATGTTTACAGATTGTGTACATGTAACTTTTCATTTGTTTAGAAAGTTCCTGAAAAATAATTTTTTTAGGAAAAACCTAGAATAACAACTTAACATGCACCCATCCAGATTTACCACACACCCATAATTATTTCCTTTGGATTTGGTTAAGAGATGCCCTATTGTCTGTATTGAAAGATGGGTGGACAAATGGACATCACATGTGTACCCTGCAAACAAAGCTCAGAGTTGAACAGTATTATACAAGCCCCCCCCCCAGATTTGAACAGGGACCCCAAACTTCGAAATTTAAATGGGCCACACATACACAAACCCTGAAAATATCAAACCTTACCCCTTCTAAAAAAAGTTAGTGTGGTGGACTCAAGTTGTGGACCCTTGCAAAATATTGTTGGATTGCTGTATACTAATCTTGTCCTTTATACATGTACAGCACAAGATTACTCAGTACATGTACTTAAACATTTCGTGTTTACATGTACGATATTACAACATTTTGCTTACAAGTATTTCATGAACTGAATACATTTTATTATATTTTCTTGTTTACAATTACAGTGACACCAGGCCATCATCCCTGAGGGTCAATGGGGAGGTCAATGGTGATATCAATCTACGCATACAGAACCTGGATTCCTTGATGAAGAAAATCAAGTCATTCTATCTGGTAAGTCAACCTTTCATTTCATCTCCTTGTACCACAATTCTTTCTCTTTATATCAATAAGTCAAGAAATGAAATTCCTACCACTGGTCACTCTTGTTGATAGTGATAGAGGCTATGGGCCAAATACATTCCTGCATTGTTTGCATTTGATCAAATAAATCTTAGCAGGAGCATCGCTCAAGGCTGTTTATACTGTAGACCTTGATCTTAGAAGGCCACTGCTTGTCATTACTGGGTTTTTGCGTGGTCTATGGTGCAATTTTGTTTTCAATAAAAAACTAGCAAATTTACATACAAAAGATATTCTCCAGGCTCAAACTTTTGAAGTACAAAGGAAAACAAAATAATGAATCTGTATGTTGAATATATCATAGAGTTCCTTGTGTGTGAACTCTCATACCACAGGTGATTGGCAGCATAAATCAGCATAAATATACTACAGTATATTTTGAAAATCATGCGCTCCTCTCGAGTTCAAAATCCACATAGATCTAAACCACAATGAGTCAAATCCTTGATTTAGATTTTGCACAGAAACCACAGCATTTATCTAACTGCAATCTGTGGAAAACATTTGAGAAAAGAATTGAAAAAGAGGTTGCCTGGCAGTACAAAAACGCACAGTGAGATGATATACACAGGCTGCACAACGTAAACACATCAAATAGAGGGCACTTAAAGGCCCTAGAGTGTACCATTTTATTTCTGCTTGGGGACAACAGGGAATAATTTTCCTCAAATTTTTTGGTTAGCAATTTCAGCCGATGGATAAATATTTCAAATGAAATTCTGTACATTTCTATGGAAGAAAACTGCTACACAAAAGATATTTTGTATAGCAGTCATGCAAAAATGCATAGCAAATTGCGATGCGATACCAGGAAAATTATTCCCTGGACAACAAGAACAGGGAATACCGGGCAGAAAAACAGTTTATAATTTGAGACAGTGAAAACACACCCAGTTGCGCAGCTCAATCTAAATACTATAGATTTTAGGAGCATACCAAGTGTGAATGGGTAATACGAGAGCAGCATGAAGTCCCCCTCCAGCCATCTGCTGACTGTAGCATGAATGAATGGATTGGTTAGGGGGAGGTGGGAGGAACCAGATGGAATGCCCTTCAAGGATTGTGTGACCCCCAGGAAAAACCTCCATTGATCAGGAGATTATGGCAATTGGAGAGTTCACCCGAGGTCATGGAGGAGTTGTCCTCACCTGGCCCTTGTACCAGTACAGAGTCCAAACACTTGCATGGCACTGCTCCACAGATGGAAATGACAAAAACAAATTTATTTGTATGTGGTTTATAGAGCTAACAACTGGTGTTTATATAGAAATTTCTCAACCAAATTGTGCTATATTTCTTAGGCCTACAACAACATATGTATGAACCCGTGAAGAATTGAATTGAATTGCAACAACAACTAGTGGTGGCCTTATTTTTTTACAACATACATGTAAAATATCCCAAACCACCTACATGTACATGTACTTCCAAACTGATACTGTTTTAATAATAGTTTGACGCTGTAATAATTAGGCCTAGTAATAATGATTTATTGAGTCACAAAGGCTTACTCTGGATCCAAACTGTGCCCACAAATCTGCACTTTTCAGTTCCTTCTTCAATCAATGTTGACTATGAAGTATTTCAGCATGACATAGAAAACTAAAGGAAAGTTTATAATCCAGTGGTTTGGCAAATGTACATGTGAAAGCATCTGTTGCCACCTGTTGAGAAATCCATTATCAAGGAAAAAGTCATTTAAGGATCCATTTTTTTTATTTCACACACACCCCAAAATAGGGTGTCCAAGTCCAAACTCACAGCAGAGAGCATAAGCTGGTCGTAAATTGCATTCATAGCTTGTGCTTCCAGCCAAAAAAATATGCTGAAAAATTGAAATCGTAGTGGGAATGTAATGTTCTAATTCATGTTCACAGGTGTTCCTAGCCCGCGGACTGTTTATTTGTAGAGTCCTGGTCTAACTTCTGGATGTCGTTTCAAACATTCCATGCATCATCACAAATCCCCCATGTCATGAATACAACCACTTGAAATTAGTATTGCTATGAAAGGAGGGCTGGGTCAAGTTCACTTGGGGAGAGTGAAATCTGAGCCAGGAACATTCAGCATTGCTCAGCAGGATGCTTGGAACATGGTGGTGCAACATTTAAGGGGTTATTTGGAAGATGATGAAGACAAAAAAATGGACCTTTAGTTTGGGGAGTTACTTGCACCGTGGAATTGATTTGTGGCTGCTTTTACAAAGAAACAATGTGATATGAACAGAATAGCGGTTTATTAATTATTCAAATTCCAGTGTTTCAATTTTTCATATTATATTTCATGAGAAAGGAATTACGTATGGAATGGAGAGGATCTTTTTTCCCCTCCATTTCAAAGAATGTTAATTGTGCAGTTTGCTGTCAGACAGTAATGACTACTGCCGTCTAAGAAGTTGTTAGAATACTATAGGAAGTCTGAATATTCCGCTTTACAAATAGTTTGAGGGATGACAGTATTATGGGATTTACCCCCTAGTCCACCAAATATAAGATTATGGATCCAAGGCCTGTGTTAAGATGCTTATGCTGTCGCCCCCAAAAAGATATATACATGTAGTTGGAATGTTTATCAAGCAAATTTGGGCTTATTATATCCTTGGAAAATACCTATTTAAAATCATGATGAAACATAATCATACATGACATGTAACTGTATGTGTAGGCTTAATTGAGCACTACACACCTAGAATATATTTTGGCTGAGGTTAAGTATCTGGTGACCCTCCAAAATTGAAGCACTTTCTGCTTTACATGGTCTTTCCAACAGCGTATAGACATTTCTAATCAAGTGTTGCTCTCTCTCCATTCAATCCCAATGTACTCTGATCTGAATAGCTTCTCAGTAGGGTTTTGTTTGCTAAACTTCTTGGAGTTTCATGTGTCCAAAGACTCGAGCAAGCAAACTCCTTTTGTATTGTAGAGTAGTCTAATAATGCAATCAACCCTGTTTTCTGAGAGTGGGAAGTGCCTGAGTAATAGAAAGTTTTTGAGTACTTGTGCATGTCGTACTTGAGAATTCGGCCAAGTGGAAAATTGCTTGGTTATAATATCTACATTGGAGGTCAGCGGTACTCGAAACCTCTGTACAGTGTACATTCACTCTGTGATCCATGGAAATGTACATTTTATGTTAGTAATCTTTAATGGGTCAGGGAGGTCATCTTAACGCAAATACAATAGAGTGGTAGAAATGTTAAAATCAAATGCTATTGCCTTGGTAGTTCTTAAAAAGTATTAAATTCAAAATTGTGCATCTAAGATGGAAAGAGAGCCTCAGCTTGTGTACATGTACATGTATGCCTAGAGGCCTACATAGAGAAGGACAATGGTCAAAGCATACATGTAGATAGTGCCAATTTATTTCAAATATTACTTTTATAAAGAGAGATATAAAGATAGAACATGAGGATGTACATTTATGTCTTGGAACGATGAATGGTTGACCCAGCTTGTCTCATTGAAATCACTTAAAAGAGTTTAGCTGTACATCATTTATACTTTGTATAGTGTTGTACATTCTATTGTACATTATTGTTCATCATATTCTCATATAGATTGTTTATCTATGCCTACATGTTTAATGAACAAAGATCAAAGCTCTTCAAATATTAGAATGGTGATTATCACCATAACTACATGTACATTGCCCATAAAAATATTGCTATGATATGAGATATATTTACTTGTATACACTGATACTATTGTACAACATATCAGTTTACAAACATTGTAGTGAAGACAAGTACCCATACAATAAGTGTTGCATTATAAACAGTATAATCATTCAACATAAACATCCCATGTATTACAAAAAATGAATACTTGAGATGAAATCACTACCTGTACATGTGTCAAGGACCCTTTTCACGTCATAATTTTTAATACCAGTATTATGATTACGTGTAAACAGGGGTTAACACATGTACATGTACTGTACAAACATGTTTAGGAACTAAGGTCTAAGGAAGTACCTGTAGGAAGAGTGTTAAGTGACAATGTCCAAATGGTTTTATATTGTAATATGAGGAAAAAAAATCAATACAGTCATTGAAGAGAATACAAAAAAATGCAGCCTTGCAACCACTGCCTCATACATTTTGTAACAATCTATTTATCATTATGATGTACAGTATGGAGACTTTATTTTGTATTCAAATGGCAACTTTTCTAAGTGCCTAGTCTCTAGAAGGAGCAGAAATCAAGATGTACATGTACATGGTATGCATGAACATGCATTTGAGCGCTGCACTAGATGAAATCGAGGGACAGCTACAGTAAGCTTTTAACTCGTGTTAAATTGTCTTTGTGGGGTTAGCCGTGCATGTCTACCATGCCAAGTCAATCATGGATGGTTACCTATTGATTGGAAGCCACAATAGAAGGACAAGTCTGCAGATGTTTGCTCATCTTCGTTTGGACGTTGGTGGTGAAGAGTCGTCCTGAAGAACAAAGGGGTCTGACATTGAAAAAAGAAAATGGTATACACTCGTAGAATGGAAATGATTGAATGGTACATTATTTTCAAGAGATGATAGAGTGATAAAAGTTTTTCTAACATGGATGGAATAATGCCAAAATGTACTTCATTGATTGTAGGTGAATAGAATGTTATAAAAACCAGCGGCCACTAGCTGGATGGTTTTATCAGCTGTTGTCTGAATTGTTATGGAGGCAATCATTAACTGTTATTGAAAAAATGTGGTTTGTTGGTAGAGAATGTAGTGTGTATCTCATGACTTCATTGCAAATGTCAGTCCAACTCATGCAGTAAGAACGATAAGAAATTGTGAACAAATCTGGGGTTTCATTGTGTAGGTGAATCAAATAATAAATTCCTAATAACAGAAATTGTATTTTCATTTTCTAATGTTTCATAAATCACATTAGAGGGCTGGAAGGAATAACATTGGATTTGAAGCCAAAGGTCTC